CTCCCTTGACGATATCCTCTAATTGGGGATCCCCAGCTGACAATGTCCTGCAGGAGATGGATGAATGATGGAGGGGACATCCCACTCCCCAAGTACTGGTACTTATTGGGTCCCTGCTCTTTAACAAGTCGCTCGATGGATTTCCCTGGCGGGATTGACAACTGCTTCCATCATGGTGGCAGACAAGAAAGTGAAACGAAAGCTACAGTTTGGCTCCTCAGGCTCCTCCCCCGCCTGCCCTCCTCCAGTTCACATTAAGCATAGGGCAAGAGAATGGTGACTGGCTATTCTCCACCAAAACGGAGCGTACGAGAACCCCACTCTCACCTACGGGCAATAGGTAAACTCCACTCTGTCGACAAAAAGTCTCTCTACATTCAGCGTCTGGAAAGAAAGCAACTGCCCGTCGCCCGCCCACTTTAGATGAACCTACCTAAGGTAGTTGTGCTAAGGTTGCCACTATACGACCAACCACCTTTGGTTTGGACTCTTCGATTTAATTGACCAAGAGTTGAATCAGTCCGAGTTAACATCGGCTTGTCTCGTCTTTCGTCCGCGTCCACGCTTGCGTCTTCGTTTTTTTGGGTTCCTCTCCCACAGTTCATTGGCATCTACACCTACATCGCCTCCAGAACAGTTGACGGTCTCCCTGGTCCTCTCATCACCTTCTACTGTCTCTCAGGTCAAATCGTCATCGTGGCCTCTGCTTCCAATCTCGGCCCCATCACAACTCTTTTGCGGCATCGCAAGCTTTCTCGTCTCTGCGCCATTGTCAGATATTTCCATTGCATGTATCTCCGCCGATCGGCTAGTTACTCACCGACCAAGTCCGACTGGAACGCATCTTGATACTGCATATCGACTGTTTCTATTCTGTAAATATCTCTCGTCACCTTCGCTTGGTGTCAACTTTCTCCGCTTTTAGTGCTGCTTCAACGACTAGTTCCATCCTGTGCAGCCTTGACTGGCGCAATTCACGACTCGCCCGGCTGATCAGATAAACTCACTTGTAATTGCCTCTATTCGATCAACACCCGCCGCAACCCGGCCATGATGAGTTCGACGGCATGGAACGGGCAGGACCAGACAATGGCCTCGACTGGTGAGGACGACTTTCATCAATTTCTCGACATGAGCAGCATGGGAAGTTTGGGCGATGGCATGCACTTCGACTTCCAATCTTTCCAAGATGGCTCTGCTCAGGGTCTGATGAGCCAAGCGCGAGATGCCCCCGACACAATAATGACCGACAGCGACAATCCAGGTCTAATGTCTACACCAAACACGATGCCCATGTCAACATCTACGGTTCAATCAACCATTCCCGCGCACATGATGACGCCCGCAAGCGATCCGATTTCTAATATCGACGCCCAGATTCAATATCTTCAACAACAAAAGTTCCAACAGCAGCAGCGCCAGATGCAAGAGCAGCAGGTGGCTTTCTTCCATAATCACAACCACTCAGTGCCCCCTACACCACAAAGTCTTGAGATGCCCAACAGTGGACAGTTCTATTCACAGGCTGAGCAAATTCCAACATCAGGTGCCTACGACAGAAATTATCACCAGCGCATGAAAGAGCAAGATGTAAGACTCCAGTCCATCACCAACGCCCGCCTCTACATGTCCTGTTGCTAACTTGGTTCTAGATGGCATTCACACCTCTCGTTTCCCCCGCAGTTACCCCTTTGGATCCCAACTTCTCCATGGACAGTGGCTATACTATTCCCAGCGCCTATTTTAGTCCTCTGACTTCACCAGCTCTCCACGCGCAGAACGACCCCTCTACAGTCTACGATCCGCGCCTTACGAACACCAATAATTCACCAATCGATATAGATCTCGACAGATCGGCTGCTCCCGTTACCTCCGTTTTGGACTTGCCCAAGAAGGCTACAAGGAAAAAGACCGCGACCAAGACACGGGCAAAGGCTAGCATCCGAAGTTCTCCCATTGTCAAGCCTCAGCGTCGGAAAACAGGTCCCAGTCCGGCCATCGTCTCACATGTACTCAGTGAGGTTGAAGAGAACAATGGTGCCTTTCTTCCTATGCCTGCGACCTCTACCGAGACCTCGGCAGAGGAGAACTCATCGGTATCCCCTGAGGCCCTCTCGGAGATGCCCCCGCCGCCAATCCCCAATAGGAGATCGACCAGCAAATCGCCATACATCCAAGCGCAGTCGAGCAACCAGCAGACGCCTGTCTCTGGCCCTGTTGATTCACGTCCAGCTCCAGCTACTCCCGCATCGCTCATGAAACTCCCGGCATCCAGGGCAAGCAAGCAGGCAAATGGGCCTCAAGAACCGGTTGTGTCTGAACACATTGAATCGCTTGAGTTGCCCGAGTCGGTATCTGGCAAGACCATGACCCCGGTCATCTCGCGCTCTTCTGTGCAGTCTCCTTCTGTGGAACCTATGTCTCGACGAGGATCGAGCTTTCAGCCATTGCCATCACCAGTATTCCCCAAGGCTTCGGGACCTGCATCAGCAAGTGCGAGCCCCCAATTAGCTCCCGGTTCGGCAGGCCCATCCGCACGGAAAACTCCTCAGCTCGCGCCTCGGTCGAACAGGAAAAGGTCAACAGGCTCAGTACATGTTTCGCCTGCACTGTTGCCTAGAATATCCCCTAGCATCAAGCCTCTTCTACCCGGCACACCGGGTATGACACCAGCGGAGAGTGCTGCATCGCAATTGCTCATGTCGAAATCCAACTACCAAAATATCCTCGAGGGCAACAAGGTGCCAGGAATTTCATATCCGAGCGAACTTTCAACAAATCTCACATCAAAGCGAACGTCGCACAAAATTGCAGAGCAGGGGCGCCGTAACCGAATTAACTCGGCCTTACAGGTCATGGCTGGATTATTGCCTGGTGGAGACAAGACGAATCTTGCGGATGAAGGTGACAAGAAGGATGGGAAGCAAGCGAACGCGCAAAACAGCAAGGCCAGTGTTGTCGAAAACGCCATTGTGCACATGAAGAGCCTCGAGAAAGAAAACGGCGATCTGAAGAAAGAGGTCGAGGAACTTAAAAGACGACTGGAAGGGCTGCAAGGGTCAACAGACGATAAAGAAAAGGCATGACAAAGAGGATCTGGGTGCATCTAGCTCACCACATGATACACACAGGCGCTGAACAGGCGGGAACTTCCCTGGTACATAATTGGATAGGTCTGGTACGTGATGGGGTCAACTCTCTTCGTAATATCCTCAAGGGCGGCAGCGATTCTTGTTTCGGCGTTTTGCTTGGGGTGTTGAACAGGGCGGGATACTAGACGGGTGCCTCTGGGCCTAGATGGGCTTGTTGTAGAGTGTATTTGTTGAAATCGCTAGAAGAGGCAATGGATAACCTAGCAAACGAGGGATTGACGGCCTCATAAGAGTTGTGGAGCATGGAAATACCAGAACTAAATAATAAAGGTCACGTTAACAAGCACAGTGAAGCGAGACATGGGTCCAAGCTCTGAGATGTCGAGGAGTGACATGAATTAAAGGATGAATGTGGTGAAGTAGTTTGGCTAGGGGTCTAGAGCATTGTTTATTGTTATGTGATATGGATGGCTGTTATTGTTGATGATCAAGAACGTCGGTATCTAACTGCTCCATAACCTCCACCACAAGTTTCAAGCTCTCCATGAAGCCGTTGACAGCGACTCGGAGCATTCGATTGGTTGTGGCCCTGTACTGAACCTCAAGAAGCCGGACATCTGCATCGCCGCCAGACGGAGAACCCTGCGTTGACGTCGGCGCTGGGACAACGGTGAGCTGTCGCCTGACGAGTGGGGAGAGTTCAGGGTCCACCTGAATGGCCTTGAGGGCGGTTGTGGCCAGTCGAACGGTGGGAAAGGGGACGTTGAGGACACTGAGAACCAGGGTAGGGGTCAGCAAAGAGAACGAGAATAACAACAATAACAACAACAGCCAGCCTTGGCCTTAGTAGCCTCAGACTTGGGGTCGTCATCGTCACAAGACAGGGGGGTGGCTTGCATCGAGCAGGGAAATTCGGGATCGGGAATGGCGGTCATGGTTGTGACTGTGGCGGAAGTGGTCACTGCTTTGGTAGCGATGCTCTAATCTCTCTTGCTTGTTGTGATCGATCTATTCGTTTCCCGATGCTTAAATATTCTGGTTGTGCGGTAGTTTTATAATGACGATGCTAGCATTGGCCTTTGCCGTGACAAGGAATGGAGATCTAGGCCCGAAATCGAAAGGACAGGAACGTCAACCCCTGGGAATTTTTGCGTTTTGATTCGATAGTGAAGAGGGCCTCTTTTGAGATAGTTGAGTTAGAAGTGAGTATAAGTGAGAGGATATGTATTTGAATGTGAGTGAGGTGAGTTGTGTGCGACTCTGATCCTGAAAAAGATTGGAGGTTTCTGATAGATGCGTGGGGATGAGATTGATTGGCCGTGGGGGAATCTATTACAGGAACCGGGCGGTAAATTCTAGACCATTGACGTTGTAGATTTGTGACACAGCCACAGAAAAAGCCACAGCCGGGGACGGTTCAATCATAACAATAACTACCATAGTAGAATCTAATCACTTGAATACCCTTGGAATCTGTTGCATTTGCTCCATTTAGGAAACAAGCCTTGCAGTTTTAATTGCGGATACTCCTGATGTAGCACTAGTTCCTTAAATTCCCTAAGATGTAAGCGTTTATGCTGAGCTATAGCCGTGTAGTCTGATATCATAACAAAGTCTATCAAAACAGAATTGATTATTTAGGGTACTTAGGACATCAAATAGAGGCAGTTGGGGAAACAAAGATACCTACCTTATGTTAGAACGGCTTTTATTACCGCGAATAGCAGTCGCGTGAGGAACAACTGGAAGTGCTGGTTGCTTAATACCACCAAGACCAACGTCGCATGGGACTTACAGCTGGAGCTGGGCTGGAGCTGGAGCGGAGTGGTATGTTGTGGTCCAGGGCCCGGGCCAAGTTAAAAACTCACTGTTGCTATGGCAATAGCACCAAGGAGCAACCTGTTTCGGGCAGGGGCCAAAAAACAACGACAATCGCCCATACAAAAGAATCGTTAGCCCAGTGTCCAATCTTACATCAACATCGTCAACCAAGAACTTCAATTCTTTTCCCTTCCCCAGCTTTGCCTTCTGGCTTTTGGTGCTTTCTCTTGTCCGCGCTGGAGCTGGACTTGAAGAACCCCCTTCTTTAACCTGTTAACGCCAGCCTACCTCACCTACCTTACCTTACCTATTTAGCTCACTCAGCGCTGCAGCTTCCCGTTGAACTGTCAAAGGCAATTCATCCCCGGTCACCGCCTGCTCTGGTCATTTGTCGCTCGTCACATTGAGACATCGCCGCTGCTTCAATTCATTGACTGTGTATATCTTGCTATAATCTGATATCTTCCGACTGCATTCGAAAGCCCCTGCCCTTTTTTTTTTTTTGTTCAACAACAGCCTCTGGACGGTCCCACCGCCAGCCTCCCTGAAGCGCAAGTCAATATCAACAACATAACAACAACATGGCTCCTTCTACCAGGCAATCGCAAAACATGGCGCAGATAGTCGAGTACATACCAGGTAAATCTTTACTCTCTACAACACATCATTCATACGATGGCTGCTTGGCTTTTCAGGGCCATGTCGCATTGTTATCCTTTTCAGTTTTCGCCGCTGCTCAAGGCTCCACCTTGCTTCATCGACATCAATGTTCACAACATGCTTCTGCCAACATCGTGGCTAAACTATATTTCAGACCGGCTTTACCTTGCCTCCTACATCCATCCTCCCACACCAGACACCCCGTTCCCTTACCCCGAGGAGCCTCAGCCAGCTTCTCCCAAGAAGCGAAGCCAACGAGCTGCTGCGGGTGCGACCCCGCTCGCCGCCAAGTCGAACCGACCGCAGCCATGCTATTTCACCGTCGACGATACTCTTCTGTACAACGCTTTCCACCATGATTTTGGCCCTCTGCACATCGGCCACCTCTACCGATTCGCCATCCAATTCCATGATATCCTAGGCGCAAAGCAAAACAAGGACCGCCCCATTGTTTTCTGGAGCGCTGCTGACCCTAGAAGTGAGCCTTTCCGTGTAATCTGTACGAAGCGCAAGGAAACTAACATCAAGTCAAGGTCGCGCGAACGCCGCTTGTATGCTCGCATGCTACATGGTCCTCATACAGAACTGGCCTCCCCATCTGGCCCTTGCCCCGATTGCGCAGGTCGATCCTCCTCTGATGCCATTCCGAGACGCGGGTTACAGTCAAGCCGATTATGGCATTAGCGTTCAAGATGTTGTCTATGGTGTGTGGAAGGCCAAGGAAGAAAAGTGCTGCGATCTAGACAACTTCGATCTTGACGAATACGAGCGTTTCGAGAGAGTCGAACATGGTGATTTCAACTGGATCACTCCCCATTTCCTGGCATTTGCTTCTCCCCAGCACGCGCCGGTCCAGAAAATCACAGAGGGATCCGATCTGTACCCATTGCTTCCACGGACGCTAGCCGCCGTGGATGCCCATCCCAAGTTGCCAAAGCCCTTCAAGAATGTGCTGAAGCACTTTTCCGAGAAGAACATTGGCCTGGTGGTCCGACTTAACTCTCAACTCTACTCCCCCTCGTACTTTGAGGCGCTGGGTATTCAGCACCTGGACATGATCTTTGACGACGGCACATGTCCCTCGCTCTTGACTGTCCGTAAGTTCATCAGACTCGCTCACGAGACCATCACTGTCCGTAAGCAGGGAATTGCTGTTCATTGCAAGGCTGGCCTCGGCCGCACAGGTTGTTTGATTGGTGCCTATCTCATTTACCGACACGGTTTCACCGCCAATGAAGTTATCTCATTCATGCGCTTCATGCGACCTGGCATGGTTGTTGGCCCTCAACAGCACTGGCTCCATTTGAACCAGGGCACATTCCGCGAATGGTGGGTTGAGGAGAGAATTGAGCGCAGACTCAGGAGGGAGATGGCTGCTGCCAACCCTATTCCCAGCACCCCCATTCGTGCCATGCAAAAGACAACACTTCGAAACGGCCAGGCTTCGACACCCCCCAATCGAAGCCCCTCAAACCGTACTCCGCTGAGTGAAGTCGACCACGACCGCAATAATATTGGCGTCCAGGAAGACTATTTACCAGCTCCTACACCGGGCCAACCGCGAAAGACTGCCAGGGATCGTCATCACCCTTACCAGCGCTCAACTTCCAACGGGCTCGCTGTTGAAGAGCAGCGCACTATTGAGCAAGAAGCTGAGTACATTGCGACGCACAGCCAGGCTCACGGCGGAGAGTCTGACGAGGAGTTGCATTTGCGCATGCGCCGTCATCGTAAGGCGACCTCCCAATCACCGGCTCGCAGTGAAAAGACACGCTCGGTTAGCCAGACGGCAGCTATCTACACGATTGACAACGATGCATCACACGACGCTGAGAACATTGGCTCTGTGCGGACCAAGCACGTCGAACGAGTTGCTAGTACCCCTGGCGTTCTGACAAAGGTTCGCGGCAGCAAGCGCCAGGGAGAGTCTCCCCTTCGGGCAAAGGAGTCTGCTGGCATTCGAAAGACCAGCGGCAGAGTAGGCAGCGCCAATCATGGAGCGTCAGTGACGGCAGCTTCGACGGCCCGTAAAGTTTCTGGAGCTTAGAAAGCACCAGCACAGCGAGTCCAGCCGCTTCAGCGTTCTAACGCGAAGCGTAACAGACACTTGTACGATTCCACGTCACGATCATGATTCACGTACGTCACGGGCAATGTTAACGTCTCTCATGCATTGGCGTTTCTGGCTCAGAAGAGGATGACGAGCGGTTTATGTTTGAATGTTAATGATTCTTCTCCCATGCATGATTGCTTACCGAGAAGTGTTTGGCTTTCAGTTAATGTCATTTGAAACTTGCAAGATAGTTCAGTTTCTGCAGCATACAAGGATCATTACGGCTACGACTTCGATGGAGTTTGTCGTGGTCAAGGAGAGGGCAACTAGAGAGACGTGAATAATGCATACTATCTCGGATGAGGGAAAGACTGAAGGCATACCGGAGTTCAAATTTGCGATGGCGTACAGGCAGGCAAGGTTGAAATTATTATTGTGGACTTATTTGGTTTGGCATTGCACTGGGTTTTGTTGTTTCTTGATGATAGTCAAAGAGGGGGCAATGAAGAAGAGACGGTAGCGGGTTTTTACGACGGTTATATAAGTTTCCAAGAGCTGAAATACATACATCTCTTATACTGTTCATTCTTTGTGGATTTCTGTCTGGCGACCGACGGTCTAAGCTTCCCATATTGATAATCTATCTATATTGCTTCGTATCCAGTTCATATGAAGTTCACTGTCAGGTCCGGATGGCTTCGAGAGCTGTGACAACATCTTCTATTACCTTGCCAGCCTCAGCACTTGTCATTTCTTCACTCACAGCCAAACACTTGTCCACAACATCGCGATATCGACTACCGACCTTGCTACCCAGACCGGGAACGAGAGCCGCACGCAGGACCTTGTCGCGCCATCGACCCGTGGAGTAGTGTGGTTTATGGTATGTTTGGAGAACCTTCCAGAGACCTATTTCGAGCAGCACCAAACCCAGACTATAGATATCCATGGGCTTGCAGTGAGGAAAGCCTCGCAAGGAAGCTGGGTGTCGGTGTAGCGTAAGGATAGAAGGATTACGGGGCGCGACAGAGAGCGCGGTATCAAGGTCTGGTCTTGAAGCATCGAAACCCGTCAGATAAGGGCACTGTATATCTGGTACAAGTGCCCCAGCAGCAGTTGACGAGTGAGCCGATGCTGAAAAGGCTGAAGGGAAGAAGAGAATGTTTGAGCTGCAGAGGCTTTTATGAAGCCAGTCAAGTGAGTGCAGAGACCATAAGGCGACGGCGAGCGTATGTGCCAAACGGACTCGATCATCGAGGTTAGGGGTCTTGAGGTCCGAGCTGGCGATGAGTTCATGGAGCGTCGAGAAAGACGGCGAGGGCGCTTTGTATACGAGCCCGTATCTGCACCGTGAAGTATCGTCAACATAGCCTACGCAGTCGATGCTATGAAGGTCAGGATGGCAATCGGAAGCGGAGTGCATCATGCGAGCAAGATCGTCAAGACGACGCACATGAGCTACACGCTCATCCACATCATCGCGATCATAGTCAACCCACTCAATCACAACATCACCCGCGCTCTCATGCCGTCCTGTACTTCTCCCGCCATCGCCACCATCCCCACTGAGATCAAGTGCAGCACGGGGAACCTTGAGAGCGAACGTCGGTTTGAATGAGGCCTGGGGCTTGGCGTCTAGGTTGATTCGGAGCTTCTTGAGGTTGGCCGAAGTGGTGAGCTTGGGGTAGACACCGTCTGAGGCTATTTCAAGGAGAGTAAGTTGAGTAACGTCACGCTGTGCAGACTCGAGGAGCTGATTTGTCCAAGCCCGTTGAAACGATGGGAGATGGGAGGTTGGAAAAAGGCGTTCGAGGCCATCGTTGAAGTCTAGAGTCGAGGTTTTAGCTTTTTTTTTTTGAACTGTTGATCCAGGAGGGGACATATAACCTCGCAAGTCCCTTAGCAGGTTTATGAATTTGTCTTTATCTACGAGCGATCAGTTCTGTTTTGATGGATATGACAGATGGACTCGGGGACTCACCTGCTATAACCCATCTTGCTCTTAAACCCATCTCCTTCCCCCAATTCCTTTCACTTGCTACCCTTGAAGCACCATTCAAGCCGCGACTCTCATCATCTTTTGATCTCTTTCTTGAAGGCGAAGGCGAAGGCGACTTCCTTGGCTTCGATCCAGTGACTTCCAAGCTGGCTCTCCCCTCATCAACTAGCCCGTATCTGTTCTTCAGCTTCTTGAAGTCTGTGACTGCGCTATGCAACTCCTCGAGGATTTGAAGTGCCAAACTCCTCAGCTGGGGATTCCTTGTGCTCTCAAGATGAGCTTCAAGCCTCCCCTCCGCAACACCCCAATCCCGGCCCCAGACGACCAGGCGCATCTCCTCAATGCGTACTTTACATAGAAGTCTCTGGCTATCTGTGTCAAGGTTAGCTGCTGCGGTGAAGAGGCTGTAGGCTCTAACGCAGCCGTCGAAGAGTTGGCCGAGAACGCCTACTACCGCGAGGGCAGTTCCCACGGCTTCAGCCATTGGGTTAGAGTGTGGGGTCGAGGTAGGAAGCGACGGGATGAGGCCTGTGGGACGTTAAAGGCTTTGACATGAGGTGATTAATTATATGCATATACTGGTTATGATATGTAATTTGTGAGCTCCAGGCAAATGCCAGCTAGAGTTGGATTAGGTAGATTAGGGATTGGCGCTTAATCAGCCCTAGAATCTAAGGCCATCAGAGGCCTATCGCGATTCGAACGGCAAACGTCCAATCGTCGCATACATGTTTCGAGTTGATGTGGATTCAACCATGACGATACGCTGCTTGGGAGTTACACACTTGCAACTAAACCTATCAATAAAAAAATTATTCTGATGAAGTACATACACAAATTATAACATCTAATTTATACATGCCAAGTCACATTATGTCTTTTCATCGACTGACCCTTCATTGCAACATCTGCTGCATGGCATTCAGTCTGTAGCTTTCCCTCCGCTCCATTAGTTGAGAATGCCGCCCACTGTCAATAATTTGTCCATTTTCAACGATGAAAATGATGTCGGCTTTCTGCACAGTATGCAGCCGATGAGTGATAGCCAATACCGTCGTGCCCCTTGATGCTCTCTCGAGACCCTCTTGAAGAGCTGCTTCGCTGGCGGCGTCAAGCGCGCTGGTACTCTCATCTAGGAGCAGTAGCCGGGGACGACGAACAAGAGCACGGGCGATTGCGAGGCGCTGTCTTTGACCGCCTGATAGACGAGAAGCTGAGGGGCCGCATTCAGTATCGTAGCCATCAGGAAGGGCCGCAATAACATCATGTATATTCGCTAAACGGCAAGCTTCCTTAATTTCATCATCTGTGGCTTCGTGACCGGGAGGTGCTCCCAAGCCAACATTGAAACGTACACTACCATCAAAGAGGGCAGGATCTTGAGGGACTAGAGCAATTGTATCTCGAAATGACGCTGGAAGCTTGCTGATGTCATTATCATCGATGAGCACGCTGCCAGATGTGGGCTCGTACAGACGCTGAACCAGGTTCATGATGGTCGATTTGCCCGCTCCTGAAGGGCCAACAAGACCACAAAACTGGTTAGGTGAGAGCGCGAAGGAGACATTGTCGAGTATAGTGGCATCAGGTCGGCTAGGATAAGCAAAGGAAACGCCCTTGAACGTCACCTTTGCACCTCCCCGACTATGGTTATCCGCTGGGCTGAGAGACTTTTCTCCACCGGATGCTTCAATATCCCTCCCAGTCTTAGAAGGATCCTGTCCAGGTTTTCCTGCGTGTGTGCTACTTCCCATGTTGACCACCGTCATGACGCGAGACAGGGCCAGGCGAGCACGAGAGAATTCCGGAGCAAGTGAGAACATGCCACTCCAAAGCTGGGCACTCGTCAACATGGCGACCAATATAATAAGGAAGTCCTTCTGAGTATACTCTCCCTTCATGATGAGCTGTGAGCCCCACCAATACGCGAGAGCGTTGATAAAGGTACCGGTTGTGTATGAAATGGCCAGCCAGATGTTAGTTGTGACTGAGGCGCGTACAACCTGCTCCCTTGGAGGCTTCAATAACCGGGCGAAACCTTCCATGTACTCATTCTCAAGGGACAGGACTGCCACTGTACGGATGGACTGGATAGCCTCAGTTGCAAGTGCGGTGGCAGTAGAGAAGGCCTCGCGGTGTCGCTCTTCATAACGCGCCAGCATGCGCAGCTGCATGAAGCCTGAGCCAAGCAATATGGGAAGCGTCACAAGACACACCAAGGCAATCTTCCAAGCAAAGATATGGGAGATAATGACCGCGATGAGAACATTGATGAGGATGGCAAACACGGTACCGAAAGTTGAACCACTGAAGGCACCTACAGACATGCTATCTTTGGTAATGATGCCAAGAAGGCTGGTCGGCGTTCGTCCTTCAGACTGATGCCAGTGGATGCCCTGCTCCAGCAAGGATCGGAACGACAGAACCCGCAGGTTGTAGAGAAGCCTTTCAGCGACAATGCCGAAGCCCAGCCAAGCAAGAAAGTTAGCTATAAGCTCCACGCCTGCGAGCATGAAGAACAAGCCTGCGAACATGTTGCCCATGGATCTTATGTGGTCAAGGGTATTTGCGCAAGGGTTGAGCGCTCCAACAGTGAAGCCAAATATTATTCCGGAACCAGAAAATGTAGCCCCAACGAAGACAGCAGCGATCATGGCGAGGGTGAACCAGCCCAGAGATGGTCGAATCAACCAGACAAGACCCTTGATGACAGAGCTGAAAGGTTTCACATCGTCCAGCTCATGATCATCTGATGCTATTTCTTCTTTTTTCTTGGTCTCTTCCTTCTCCCGGCCCAGTATCTGGGAATCTAGTGACTGTTTCGCCCCAGAAACCTCGGTCTTTTCGTTCGGCTGCGTATCATTTCGGAGAGTTGAAGCGCCGATCGACTCGCCGTCCACAGATCCTGTGTCACTCTTATTGCCGACTGTCTGCAGTTTTGCCATGTGCGCAAATTCGCCATCCTCTTTGGCCATAAGATCATCATAAGTTCCTTGCTCAACGACTCGGCCAGCCTTCATGACGACAATATTGTCGGCGTTACGTATAGTGGATAAACGATGCGCAATAGAGATGATGGTTCTTTTCTCAGCAGCAGCCCTCTCGACAGCGAGCTGGATTCTCTTCTCACTGGCAGAATCGAGAGCTGCTGTTGCTTCGTCCAGGACAAGGATTTCAGGATCACGGATCAAAGCCCGAGCAAGTGCAATGCGTTGTCTCTGACCACCACTCACAAGCGACCCCTTGGGGCCAGCAGTCGTACCATAGCCTAATTCAAGACGTTCAATGAAGCTGGCCGCATTGGCTTGCTCAGTGGCGTGACGGATCAAATTGGCAATTTCGACGAACTCGGGTCCGAGAGATGCAGCCGAATCTAGTGCGTCCTTGCCCTTGGCAGCCATCTTCGCAAGCTCGGGGCCCTTGAGCAATGGTTTGAGGTGTTGGTGGGACTCCTTTGGAGAGTTCACCAGACCTAGTGCGATATTTTCAAGAATGGACCTGTCGAGAAGCGAGGGTTCTTGCTGAACGAAGCTAATAAAACTTCGGAGAGACTTGACGTTGAGTTCTCGCAAGTCGTGTCCTTCCAGTTCGACCGTGCCCTTGGTGGGATCATGCAGACGTGCTATCAGTGATGCGATAGTACTTTTGCCGCTCCCTGAAAGCCCAACAATCGCCGTATATTTTCCCGCAGGGAAGTCAAGGTTGACGTTCTCAAGGACAGGCTGGCCTCGCCGAGAGGCATACTCGAATGACACATCGCGGAACGTCAGGGTCTTTGCCGCACTTGGAGGAAGTACAACCCCCTCTCGTGAAGTGCCGTCGATGGATGAAGGAGCATCAATATCTTCCTTGAGCCGCTGGAATGCACCCACGGCTGCTCCTAAAAATGGAAGAGTAGGTGCCATTCCGCCCAGCATGACGCAAGCGTCTACGAGAAGATAGACAATGGCATAAATCTCACCAACAGTCGTGCTCCCGTCGTTGCGTGCCACGGATTCAACGATCTTTTTACTGCCTTGCCAGAAAGCTAGGGCATTGCCGGAGTAAGCGATGAAGTACAGCAAACCGGTCTGGATAGCGGCAATGGAAGATTTAGCTATAGCGTACTTGCGAGAACGGGCCATGTGCTCTGCAAACTTCTCTTCAAGGCGGGGAGCGGCACCGAAAGCTTGAACGACTGCAACGTGCGACAGAGCCTCGGAAGCAATGGAAGAGGCTGCAGCGGATGCTTCCGTTTGTTTGACCACAAATTTGCCCAGGTATCTTCCTCCTAGTATTCCGGAAAGAAGAAAGGCAGGGAGCATACAAATGAGGATACCGGCGAGTCTTGGCTGTTTTGTGAAGGCAATAATAAAGACAGTGACGAAGAAGCTCATGGTTGTGATGATGTTGCCAACCTTCTCTGATGTACCGGCCTGTACAGCTGTGATATCACCTTGGAGTCGGCTTGAGACTTGCCCAGATGCTCCACGAGTGTCGAAGAATTCTGGAGGCTGGCGCAGAAGTGCGGAAACATAGCGAGTCCGTAACCGCTGAGCAAGACGCTGGCTGATGATGTTCCAACAGGTCAGATGGCCATAGATCAGGACAAGTGCAATAGCGCCAATCCATGCTGTCTTTATGACCTTGTCGTTGATAGCATTCTCATAGTCAAGAGGATCAGATGCTGCATCGCTCGCTCCGGAGCCACTACCACCGGCGGCGCAAGTGGCTCCGTTGAAGTTATCGATGAGCTGGCCGAATAGGACGCCCATAAGAGGGAAGGGAACACCAGCTCCAACGGCGCAGAGAGTACCCAACGCGATGAGGAAGTAATCGATCCATGTTGGACCCGCAGCGAACAAGAGTTCGAGGTAGATGAAACAGGTTTTGAGAGACTGACAAGCGTATCAGTATCGTTTGCTTACAGCATTCATCTGGGGCCTGGAGATGGTGTTGACCTACCGAGAGAAAGCTCCTTTTCGGCTTCTCTGTGCCCGACTGATCAAGTGTGACGGCCATGGCTGTCGCTGTCGATCGAGGGGTAAAGCGAAGGTTTCTTAGAAGAGCACATCCAATGACTGACTGCCAGTTGAGTAACGAGACTGTCACCAACAGAGCCCGTCAAAAATTCAGCGATGCCTTAGTAACCCACGAAAAGGCTCTCGCGTCGTTCAAAGGAAGTACAATTACTTGACAGTAGAGGACAGAGCAATCTCGGCAATCAATGCGACACGTCAGTAGTCGTTCAGAAAGCCGATTCAGGAGCCCTGAGCCAAGAAGACCCTGTCATGCGAGTATCATTTACTATGAGTATGAAAGTGTGGTCGGTCTGGGCATCTAACCATGCGCTGATGGATACAATGGCCCTGCATTGCACTCTGCGCTTTGGCACAGTCCATGATGACATGGACTTGATGGGTCTCTCAGAAGAGGTAGGATCATCGTAGGGGGCCGAGAGTGAGGATTTCGACCAACATTTTGCTCAGCAGCCTCAGCTCAGAGAACCCTTGTACTAGATGGTGGAGTCGATGCGAGAGTATATTGGCGACAGGTAAAACGTTTATCCTCCCAGAACTCTATTGTATCTGGTCAACGTACGCGTGTACATATGCGGCCAGGGTTGAGGATCAGATAAGCCAGGATGATTAGGTAGTATTAGTCTAGTGAGTCGGAGAAGAGTGTGGGATACGCCAATTGTGTTGGCGGGCTAAAAATGAGCCAGCAACACCAAGAAACCCTGGGCCAAAGAGAATGTGATGGTGATCAGATAAGATGGTGTGATTGATATGATAAGATGCAATGTGACATGGCGCCAAGGCCGAAACGACAAGAAGTGGAGTAAACCGCCGAGCATCGGAGGCGATCGTCAACTGTTTTTACCGTATTTGCGACCCAATGCATCGTCTTGGCTGCCGGGGGGAGGGCAGCTCTAAGCAACTTTTTGCTCGAGAAAGATCATTTTGAGACGGTTCAGAAACAGTTGAGAAGAGAGCTGGATGGAATTAGATGATCCATTTGTCATGACAAGGATGACGAACTTAGCGTGAGCAATCCTTGATAAAGCCGCAGGCGTGGGGAAATGGTGGAGAGGCGTCGGAATGACTGCCTCCTATCGGAGTAAAGGAACCGCTGTTTGGCCACTAAATTTGCCTAGCTGGAGGTCAATGTCCCGAGAGGCGTTTTTATGCTTATTCCATCGTCAATTCAATTCAGCGGGAACGGAGATTGAGTGTGGTCAGAAGATGCTGGTGTCGACAAATGGCTTGATTTCTCCCGGTGGATTTGTCCTCTGACTCAGGCAGGTATCGGGAAGTGGGAGGAATGCACATGGTCCAAAAAAGAACTCATCTGTGGGCCGATCTTGGGTAGTAGATCCTTCACATGAATTGCTTCATCGGGTTTGATACCTGATTTAGAATCAAGAAACAAGCATGCATGATTGGGCAAGCGATTAGAGTTGCATTTAGGTATGAGAAAAGTGGGAAGGTTAATACTATGCTTAAATCACCCACTTATCAGATCCATTGGATTTCACAAGATCTTGGCAGCTCACCCACCAGAGAGCATAACTCACGCTTGCTGTCTACGGCAGTTGATCTGACACTCTGGATAGTGCTGTTCGTGCTGAGCTCTGCTACTCTACACAGAGGAGAGCGTCCAGGAACCTCCTCTCTGCACAGAGCCAATACCTGCCAAGATGCTGATCTTGTCAAGTTTCAGAAGGCAGCATCTTAGCAGGATCACAGCCCTGCTCTTGAATCTATTGGTGTTACATATATAAGAGGGGACGAGGCACGATGGTGTTTGAGAAAAGGTCTTGTCTGTAGATATCTAGATCAGCCCCCGTTCTATGCAACTCGTTGGAGAGAAGAATCACTCGTGCCATCTTACACATCAGCTTCTTACCTAAAACCGCCACCAATATCACGACCAACACAATGAGCCAAGCAACCCTTCGCACCAGTCGTCTCGAACTACGGCCTCTCGGGCACGAGCACGGAGATCATATTTATCTGCTCGACTCGAATCCGGAAGTCATGAAGTACATCGGATACGGCAAGCCACTCACGGCCGATGAGTCGACGATTGTGCACAAACTGCTCCTCGAGACAGCATCATTTGGGTCTGGCCTTGGATGCTGGGCTGGATTTGCTGGGGACGATTTTGTGGGCTGGTGGGTGCTGGCGCCCAGTCAAAGCAACGACGATCCGCCTCAGGTGAACAAGAAGCGAGTCGAGTTCGGCCTAAGGATCCTTCCCAAGTTTTGGGGTCAGGGGTTCGCCAAAGAGGGTTCTCGAGCGCTGGTCAAGCATGGTCTCGAGGACCTCGGCGTGGAAGAGGTCTTTGGTGAAACCATGGCCGTGAACCAAGGGTCCCGAGCTATCATGGCAAAAATTGGACTCAAGCATGTTCGAACGTTCCACAACAAGTACGACAATCCTCCTCCGGGAATCGAGGAGGGTGAGGTGGAATATCGAGTCACGAGGGGTGAATGGTCATCACAACAAGCATGTGCTGCGTAGTCGATGGTGTTGTAGTAGCGTTAGACATCATCTCCAATAACTGCTTGAGCGTTTTCTGATTTAAAATCTTGTTTATTTATATGCATTGTGACATGAATTTCAAAATAACGGCAGCCTTGTGTCTTGATAAGTGTTGGTAAGATTCCTTTTCACTCCTCACTTGAGGAATTAGACCAACACAAAAAGACAAAAAAAAAAAAAGACCTGGAAGAACAGAAGGGGTGTTGCTTTGGCTCTGATCCACCCATCTTCTGGAGTTTCTTTGGCTTCCTGCATCAGGTGGTGGCAACAACTCCATCTAATGCCGGAGGTGAGGATGATAATGGAACATGTGGGCTATATCGCGCATCGTTCTTGGTCTTGGCCACGCGGCCCGTCTAAAAAGGAACATTCGGCAAACTCCGCTTCGTGGAATGAAACAAAAGCTGCTCTGTACAAGGGATTGATCTAAGAACAGTCTTGGATTATCGCTCGGTTGAACTATGGCTTGGCACCGTAGGTCCCTGGTAAACCGGTGAACCGAGAGCCAGCGTGTAGTTACTAGTATCAGTCATTCGGGATTAATCGCTTGAGTGAGGAAATTCAAGACCGAAAATATACTAGCCAGGTTTCATTCCGTGGGGGGGCCATTCAACTCTTGTTATTGGGCCTGGTCATATAGTTTCTGGCGAGGTAGCCTACCGGCCCTTGTAAACAACATCGTCTTGTCTGGAGATAGGAAATTGATCCATAAGCTACCTACAAGGCACAAAATAGCACGACGAACCTGAACTGTACGTTGATTATTGCATTCCCGAGTCGATAGGTATCCACAAAGCGTAGGGATTTTCCATGCGTCCTTTGCTAGTTGCAGTGGGCTCAGACGATCCCAAGCTTATGCCAAGCCACTTGATGCGACCAGGGTCCATGGGCAGCTTTTTTCGGCATCGTAAATTGTTCAGTTTCCCATCATTTTTAGGTCTAGCATTATGTTATTGGTCCGTTCAGTTATTTAGCGTTGTGGTGTTGTTGGTTCTTGTTCGGTATGTCGAGTTATTTCCAAGACTGCCATGCCACTAACACGACACTCCCTTTGCCCCCTTGAAAGGATGAAGCTGCTGACGATTGGATCTTATCCATCAATCAGATTAGATAAAAATTTTCACATGATCCATGTTCCGATCTCGGGTCAGTTCCCCCACTCGCTTGCCACTTGCAATCTGATCCCGTCTGTTGACCAGCTGCGGACCTCGTCCTATTGGGGAAAAGGCCAACTGAGAGCATCCCGTCAGCCCAGAGCCCGATGTTTTGATAGCTCCTTGGCCTAAAGCCTCGCTGGTCTCCGAGGCAAGTTACAATGGACTGTTGCAGGGGGAGTGTACCGCGTGGAGAGAGAGTTCCGGTGCAGAACCAACACATGGGAATATGTAAACAACTGATAATCGTCCAACTCTTGTCCTTTGCATATGCCCATGTCAGTGTTACATTGCACTACATAAAGAATGCAATAGCTCCCCCTCTTATCCTCACTCTTTACATCACAGTTCCAGTGTGTTGCAGCTTCGATCGTAATTCCACTGCACTATCAATTAGTGTTGAGCTCAACAGCAACAATGTCAGCCCTGGCAAAGATCCGCGAGGGCCTCGCTCGCGAGGATAATACTGCCGTCGCACATACTCTGGCTCCCCACGAGAAGGAGATCGAAGAGACCCCCGAGATCATCACCGAGACTGGTCCTGGCCACGACAAGGAGGCCACTGCTGGTGCTCTCCCTCCTGATGATAAGGGCAACGATTCTGATGTGCCCAGTGAAGATGTACAGACTGGAGTCAAGGAGATTCAGGCCATTACCCTCACTTGGGGTAAGGGATCTCTGGCTGCTCTTTTGTGTCTGTAAGTTGTACTCCCGAAACCGACTCTTGGTATTTGTCTAACCAGACTTCAATAGCATCTGGACACTCTTCCTTATAAGTGGATTCCGTGGTTCCTTCTACCTCGTCTTGGTGCCTTACGTTACCAGTGAGTGGCAGGCCCATTCCCTCATGACCACCATCCCCATCGTATCAGACGCCATGACTGCAGCCTGCTACATCCCCATGGCCAAGGCTCTCGACGTCTGGGGACGCGCTGAGGGGTTCTTGCTCATGAGTGGCTTTGCAACTCTTGGTCTTATCCTCATGGCTGTTTCTCAGAACCTCGCCACCTTCTGTGCTGCACAAGTCTTCTACTCTGTCGGATGGGGAGGCATGATTTATGCTGTTGGCGTCCTCGCTGCCGATGCATCTAATCTCAGGAACCGAGGTTTAGCTTTTGCCTTTACTTCCTCACCATACATGATTACGGCTTTTGCCGGTTCCAAGGCTGCCGCTGCTTTTGTTCTTGATGTCAAGAACTGGCGGTGGGGTTTCGGCTGGATAGCCATTGTTCTGCCGTGTGTCACTATTCCTCTGTTCCTTGTCTTGAAGGTCAATCTTCACAAGGCTTTCAAGAAGGGTACAGTCACCAAGACTCATAGAAGCCGCGGCTTCTTTGGTAGCATCTGGTGGGTCTTCAACGAGTTTGACGGTCAGTAACTCTTATCAACTTCTTGCAGCGACTCATACTGACAATCACAGTTATCGGTATCTTCCTCTTCGGCGGCGGTCTCGTCGTCTTTCTCCTCCCCTTCAACCTAGCTGCGCACGCGCCTGACGGCTGGTCCACCGGCTACATCATCGCTATGATCGTGGTTGGCTTCTGCACTCTCGTCTTCTTTGGTGTCTGGGAGTATTGGCTCGCCCCTGTTCCTTTCTTGCAGGGCCGCTTCCTCCTCGATAGGTCTGTCGTTGCCGCTTGCATGATTGATCTTACCTACCAGATCTCTTACTATACTTGGAACTACTTCTTTACTTCATTCTTGCAGGTCGTTGTCAACCTCGGCCCTGCTGAAGCTGGCTACGTCAACTCTACTTTCCAGGTCGTCTCAGGCGTTCTTCTCTTCATCGTCGGCTTCCTCATCCGAAAGACTGGCTTCTACAAATGGACCTTTTACTTTGCTGTACCCATCTACATCTTTGCGCTTGGTCTCATGATCCACTTCCGCGCTCCTAACCAGTATGTCGGATACATCATCATGTGCGAGATCTTTATCTCCATCGGTGGAGCTGTCTTCATCTTGGTTATGCAGCTTGCTGTCCTTGCTGCCGTTGCCCATCAATATGTCGCTGCTGCGCTCGCTACTTTATATGTCGCTGGAGGAGTTGGTGGTGCGGTTGGAGGAGCTATCTCCGGTGCCATCTGGACGAATACCTTCATCCCTCAGCTTATGAAGAACCTTCCAGAGTCCGAGCTGGCCAATGCACCACTCATTGCTGGAAACATTGTCAATCAGCTGGCCTACCCCGTCAACAGCCCTGCACGACTTGCCATTCAGGAGTCCTATGGCTTTGCGCAAGTCAGAATGCTTGCTGCCGGTGTTGGCATCGCGTCCTTATTCTTCATCTGGGTGCCCATGTTGAGGAACATCAACGTCAAGAAGCTGAAGCAGACCAAGGGTCTTGTCCTATAGAAAACTTGACCATTTCATAGATCCCAAGTTGTGGATTTGGAATACAGCACCGCATCGTTGTTGGACAAAGCCAAAACTTGGGGAACTCCTTGCCTAAGGCATGGTCTTGGTATACGACGGACTAATGATCGTCAAGTAGTTAGTATGGTGCGATCTATGATGAACGAGTTATTAATGAGGAAGAGGCGACTTGGCGAAAAGTAATGGTGTAAATTGATTTTGATTTGGTTTATTTTTCATTCCAAACGAGACATGTTGCCATGCTACATGATCGTAATTTGACATCCGCGAAGAGGACGAGATTGTGGTGGACATGCCGAGGAGAACTGGCCGGCGCTAAACTCCTTCGACTGAGTTAAGAATCCCACAGATCTATTATACCAAGTCAGAAAGGTTTGAAGCATCCTATAGTATGGAGTTGTCGAAAATAAAATAAAAATGCTGAAAGGCTTTCGTAAAGGTGAGGCCAGGACTTCACTATATGTGACAGTTGTATATAACCTATGACATGTATAGATCTGACAGGATTAATGGTCCCCTGTTTTCATTGTTCGTGAGGCAAAGCATTCCGAACTTTTTAGCTTGTTGAGGTTATCACCGCTTTTAGTAGTTCAGGTATAGAGATGTGATAGAAAGGCAGCCCTCAACCCTGAGCTGCACAGACTTAACTCAGGCACTCAGTCTATTTTGCAGTAGGACCATGAAGACCTTATTTATTCAGTACCTGCCTAGATAGGCCTGATGATTCTCGTCGTTCGTCATAGGTAAATCTTGAACATATCACTATCACATACGACCATACCTACTAGAGAACTCGGGATCCCGTCTGATCTCCCATAGATAAACTAATAAGGGGCGGATTAGTAGTTGGGTCGGTGACGACCAGCGAATCCCCGCTGTTGTATGTCTTTTTGCCCTACTATTATCTGTGATGCCGTTTTCGTGACCTGGTGAAGGGGCGTGAATGGGTGATCGGGACATATCGGTAAGTAAGCTACTCTGGGTTACAGTGAAACTGGCAACGCGGAGGATTATAGCAGGAGATGAAAGCGCAGTACGTGATGAGAAAAACAAAACTATGACATGATTGTTTTACCTCTCCTTTCCTTGCAGTTCGAGACTTGGTTGCCCGTTTTGATACCACACCCATGATCACATGCAGTCCAACATTTGTTCAAACAGGTATTGATTTCGTTTCCATTCAATGTTGATGTTGATATAAGGAGATACAAACAGAAGCCCACTGTTCGGCAAATCACCTGGGATAATTGTTCCCTAGGGCTGTCTCAAATCCACGACAACCGGTCAAGCAAAACAAATCTAGACGCCAGCCATTCCAACCTATCTGCGAAATGAACATCAACCAAAGTAAAGATCATCCATGTATTCATTTCGTCTGATATGCTGTAACGGCAGATATATAATCTCCATATATCGTACCAAAACTGGTGCCACTCCACTATCACCACATCACGCGCCCGGCCATCATGCAGATGATCGCACCTTTTTCTTATCAATTTCCTTCTCAATGTAGTAAATAGGAAATGCCCTGCCAACGCCGGATACCTTGGCGCCCACTGTACTGGACGTAGCTTGCTGTCCTGGTTCTGGTCCCGAACTTAGTAGACCTTCTTCTTCTCATCGATGCTGAACTGGCCTGGGCCGCTGTTGACGAGAAGCAGGAGACCACCGACGATAGATAGAATCTGGAAAAAGTCGTACTTGGCAAAGTCCTTGTGGGGGTGGTGTTCGTGGAGCTATGGGACTTATTAGCATTTTATGTGCAGTCGGCACACGCCGCAAGTTACTCACTGTCCAAAAGTTGTTGACCAAGAGGTTAAAAATGCTCAGGATGACAACAAGAAGAGTGGCGCTGTACTTGGCTTTGAATCCAACAACGACCATGACGCAGGAAATTCCTCCAAGTGAGGAGACAATGACGCGCCAGAGAGACCACTCTCCGCTGAAGACAAATCCGATGAAGAGGAAGATGAGCAGAACGCGACCAGCGAGCTGGAAGTACATCTTGCGGTCCTTCTCATCGATCTGGGGAAGACCAGCAAAGACCTGCGTCTTGCGAACCCAAGAGTCTGACAGGACCATGACAAGGCCACCAATGACAGAAAGGTTTCGGAGGAAGAAGTTGAGATCGAAGATGAGACCATAGCCTAGAGCCTGTGTGACAACAACGCCCATAAGGCCGGCGACGGCATAGTCGGAATGCTTTCGGATGATGACAAGAGTAGAGCAAGAGAACATGGCGATAATGTTAACGAGCAGGAAGAGATGAGTGATACCGGAAGGAACTGTCATATGTCAGTACTGCCGACGGTGTCATCTGGGATAAGAGACGCAATGCGCATCTTACTATGACGATAGTCCTTCAGGTAAAGCAGCTGATCGGACCATTGGGTGACAATGCGAAGGGCATCTTCGAAGAAAGTGACGACGATTAGGAAACGGCCAATGGCAGGAAGGTAGCTGTCAAAGAGGGCAAATGGTCAGCTCTCGGAGCTCCAAAGGCATTTATAAAGGACGTCGCTCGACTCACGGCTTGATAGGCTCGCTAATGGTGTCGAGCGCATCCTCAATCTTGCTAGTATAGGGACGAATCTGCTCAAGAAAGCCCTCACCCTGCTGAGGATCAGCAGCCTGGGAGCCGCCGTAAGGCGCGGGGCCACCGAGGCCATAGCCTGAGTTGAATCGCTGGGACATTGCTTTATGTAGAGGTTCGTGTCGGGTGGAAGCTTGTTTCACGTGCAGACCTGCTGACGGGCGAGACGAAACAGGGCGAGGCTTCCCAGGAGTGGAAGTCGGTGATCGTCGTGAAGCGGAAGAGAAGGAGACTTGGGGCAGCTGGTGAAGCCTGGTGGAATTAGATTGAGGGCGTTTGATTCGACCAGAGACAATAGCAGATGAATTGCAAATGGGGGGATTGTTTGAGAAGCTCGACAAACAAAATTTAGGTACGTAAAGTAAAAAGAGTGAGAAATAGGGCAAGGAGAGGCAAGACAACAGGAACGAGACGAGGCGAGCTGTCCTTTGTGAATCAATTGCAGGCGATGACCTCAGCTCAGACGAGACGAGTCGAATAGAGAAAAAGAGCAGTATGGTAGTATCGGATTGGCTTAGATTAGGGTCGGGTCTGATTGTACAACGGTGTCCTTTAGAGATCCGGTGATGGAGCCCATTGCCGTCCCACTTTTAAGCTCCCTTCCCTTCCATTCTATTTGTGCTTCCACTGAGACCTTGCATGACTTGGAGCTACTGCCGAACAGAGGGGAAATCAAAGGTACCGACTACCTAACTCTGCAGGTGCTCTCGGACCTCCCCTCGTCTTCTTCTCTCGTACAGGTCAGGAAGGGCAGCTAAACAGTGCCTTGCCTTAGCAAGGGACCCAGCCACTCCCCATCACCACTTTGGTTAGAGCCGGGAGCTAAATGGTCCAAGAATGGAAACATCCCCAATCGATGCTACCTCAGTGGCGTATCACGATATAGTACCACGGAAGACCAAACAGACAGACTCGACAGCTAAAATACCTGGATACGGGTACCTAGGTATAATCTGTGGTAGGTGGATGGACTTTTTGTCTTTGAATCTGTTTAGCCTTTACTTTAGTGTTTACTCAACAGCTACCTACGAAGTATATACTCGTACGAGTAACCAACGCAGCAGGACAAGGTTGATCAGTCAACAATGACTTTCCTTTAGCTCTCAGCCATCAATTCTTCCTCCCCTAATGTCAAGGCGTTTGCTGAATAGGCCAGATTGTGAATCTTCAACCCACCCTTCTCATCATACACAACTCTCCCTTCATTGACAGCATTTCGCAACTCTTCGCACAGCACTGTACGCTCACCTGTGTCTGGGTTCCATTCCCAGCCCTCCTTCATCCACATCCATCTCAAATATGCCCTTAATTCTTTATCATCTGGACGAACCCTCATCCATTCAGGCTGAAGTTTAGGATCTCTGTCCTCGCCGTTCCAGCCCGTCGCTCGCCCAAGTAGCTCATCCCGACAGAAGATGCGCCAGCTGTCTAGAGCATACTTGCCTTGTGTAAGGTGTCCAATCTCCCAGGCCTCTAAAAGATCTTGCCCATATGAGTCTTTGTCCACCAACAGTGCACTACTTCCTTTATGTTGATAGAGGCTCAGTGGGTCAATGTCCCTATGGTCATACTTCTTCACCCTGTGATAGATGCCAGCAACTGGAGGCTGGTCCAAGAAGCCCCGAGCATACTTCTTCATCAAACTTACACGGTGCTCCGCAAGGCCAAGATGGCGTATCATCTCGACGAGCGGTTCGGTGTTTCCTTCACTTGCAATGTGTGTTGGCGTAGGAAATCGTTCTTTTACCTTATAAAATGTAGGGATTGCTTGCGTGCCCTTAGTCCGGATCAGGAACGTCACCACAGTGAGGAGCCAGAATGGTTCGTGGGCAAACTTTTCTTGGATAAGACCAAACTCCTGCGATGTGAGAGGCGCGAAGGGGACTGAAGGAACAGTTCCCCGCAATGGTCGCTTTCGCGCCAGTGCAATGGCTTGGCCAGCCTCGTCCGATGCTGAAGTGGCTACAAAGTATGGTGAAATTGAACTTTGAGGCTTGAGAATCAGGGTCATGTCGCACAGAGCGACTTCTTGCGGGGAACCCTGCCCACCAGCAGGCTTATCAACACTCAGAGTTTGATAAGTCTCATTGTCGGGTGTTTGTGAATGTAGTATTGCAGAGACGCGAGCTTGTGAGGAAGCTAGAGGGAGGCATGCTCGATCTTTCCATTTCGCAAGGTTGTTACTCCCTTCTGGGCGCCTCCCATGAGGCTGGTCAGACCAATAAGGGGATGTTGTGAGACATGTCGTTGTCTTTGGGAAAACCTTTGATCCAAGCCACTGTTGTCGGTGATTTTCGATTTGCTCGGTGATATGTGGTGGTCGGATTTTGGGGTCAACGTCGAGCTGTTTAGTCCGAGCAATAAGCCTGTCGGTTAATTCCCATGGCTCCTCACCAGGTGGAGGATCCTGCCCGCTCAGTGCGTACCATACGTCTGCAAGGACGTCTTGCGCTTGCAAGCTGTTTCTATCTTCTGGGCGAGCTCTTCGCATGGACTTAGCACATTCGATCAGATAATGCCAATCTGCAGCGCGTGCTAGCAGGCTCTCTTGGAAAAGCTCTTCGGTCTCTTCTGGTGCTCGACTGGACTCGATGACGTCGGCGAGGAAATCTCGGGCGTTTGAAGGAACGTCGAATACGGAGAGGACATCGTAGCCGAAACGAGGCGTTGTGGAGCCACTCATGTCGATCAACTCTTTGGTGCAAGATGGAGATGTGTTGGAGCAGCTTGTCCGCTGCGAAGAGGCAAGACCTGTGCCTTGCTTTGATCAGAGCTGATTTTCAGGGATAAACCAATAGCTTCAAACCCGAATAATACATTTAAAATGTTTTATTCAAATAACTTATTTTGCGAGAGAGAGCGGATGGGAGGTGAAGTGATGTGAAATTAAGTTAATGAAATGAAGTAAATGAGGATGGCTGGACTGAGTTAGGTTGCTGATGAAGTGAACTGAGCCAGTACTTGGCACCTCAGGTGAATGAACGAGGTAAATCCGTCTCCATAGTAAGATGTCTCTCTCCTTCCGTACAGCATAGTCCCAGGCAGCCTGAGGGCTGCTGTTGCTCTCGAACTTTTGCGTACTCATTCGTCTTTTTATCACCATGAATCCTTTGACATCATACGCTCTATCAAGTAGTGCTGACCAACAGCGAGGAAGTGAACCACATTTGCTAGTGGAGAATCATAAATCGGCCCACGGTAATAGTCATTTCTTGTGTTTGAGCAACCGAGATTTAAATAATAAATATTTTCTTTGATGGATGATAAAACTTAGTATATATGACAGGATAAAATACTGATGAGCTGAACAAAGTTGCCCTTCCTCAATTAGTAAATCAAGCTTTTTATTCGGCTTGCGAGCACGTTGTGGTAGTCTTTGAACTGAGAGCTAACCTGGACCGACTTATCGACTGACGTTGGTTGTTGACTGATCAATGATCCCTGAAAACAAGTCCTCCACGTGTCCAGGTGACCGGGTTACTCACAGCTGCAGTGATACCTGAGCACGCAAAGGCGCTAGTAGCCAGTCATTGCAGGGCCCCTTTGCCTGCACCTCGGCTTAGAAGTGCCGCCCAAATCTCTATCAGCGGGTACGCAATTCCATGTCGTGGTGCACTTGCACGGTACCTGGCCTTATCTGCCTTGGCCGCTTGGCCACACGTTTGTCTCGGTAAGCCTCAAGTAGCGACAGGTCACCCATCTAGCCTGACCTGAGTATGAATAGATGCGGTGACTTGATACTGACATCTGGTAGGGTCGCGTGACGAATGTCGGAGCAGTTTGCCTGGACAGACAGTTGTGAAAAGGTGAGAAAGGAAACATAAGAAGTAGATGTTTGACAGGAGCAACTGGGATAAATTATATGTCTTCCCATTATCATATCTCTCCTCACCTTTAGAGTTCCTTAGCATCAAGTGACGAGGTTGCTACGCTAAACGTTCGTGATTCGTCAAAAGCCGCTCCGCCCGTGCTGTCGCCCGATTAGTAGGTCACGTGCATAGATCTTGCCTTCCGTCGCCCGTCCTCCCATTCTCCGCTCCGCTCAAATCCCTTCTTCTCGTCCCGTTAAACCACCGCGCCCTCTCCGTTCCTACAGAACCTGTATCATCACCATCAAACCATCATCCAAGAGATGAGTAGTCGCGGCGGTAAATTAGCCCCAGAAGTCAATCGGTAAGTCGCTGCTCCTGTTACGTCTGGCACAGACCAAAAATCGTCATTCGAATTCTTGCGCCTCATTCATCACATCGCATTCTCGACCTCGATCGACCTCGGCGATACGTACCTGCATTGTCTGACATTCGCTAACTGATTTCTAGAGCTCTGTTCGTAAAGAACTTGAGGTATGATAGGAACCGCGATGATAACCTCCCGGCCGAATAACGACTAATCGATATCGACTCACAGTTACAACGTCACTCCGGAAGAGTTGTTCGACCTTTTCGGAAAATTTGGCCCAATTCGGTATGCACAGACCCTGTTACTCGACACGCGACAATTGTCATCGAAGACAACCTTCTTGTCACTCCGAGACGATGTGCGCTTTGCGATTTAATACTGACAGCCATTGTAGCCAGGTTCGACAGGGTATCGCCAACAACACCAAGGGTACTGCCTTCGTTGTCTATGAAGACGTAGCCGACGCCAAGCAAGCCTGCGACAAGCTCAACGGCTTCAATTTTCAAAACCGATACCTCGTTGGTGCGTCCACCTCGTCACCCTTGCGTCACAATGGTTCATTTTTCGATGACTGCGTTGGACGTATGTACTGGGGCAATTGAATACTGACCGAGATCACAGTTCTATACCACCAGCCCGACAAGATGGCCAAGTCAAAAGAGGACCTCGAAGCCCGCCGGGAATCTTTAGCTCAGCTCAAGCAACAGCATGGCATCGATTGACAATCCGACCGGTCTGTGGATAGCCTGCCTAGGAACTCAAAATCCTCGTCTGCAGGCCGGTCTTCGTCTTCTCCCAAATCTCCTTCGCCGGATCCGAAGACGATCCTCCGAAAAGGCAGGACCCCAACCAAAGCAACCGCCAAGAGCCACGCATCCTCCCGAGTCGTCCGTTTCGATGACGGACTTCGACCTGCACTGACCTGTGCATGATGCATCTTTATCGCTTTTTGGAGGGGCTCTATAACAGGAGCCCAAATACGCATCACCTCTGAGGTGGTTTTACTATTGGTTCGGACTTCGCTTGACACGCAAACACCTCTCCTTTACGGTTCTGGGAATTAGGTGCACTGGGGAAATTCAAGGTTGATTCAGCAAGTGGCGATACGACCAGTCACAAACTGCTCTTTTAAACATGGCCTGGGATAGGAAAGGCCTTGATGATGTTGTTGCCTGTGTATAGCTTTTGTTGCATTTCGCGTCTCTTTGTTCCTTTTATTTTTATTCGATCTGGAAGCCTTGGCCATGAGAAGCCAATACCCCCTCGTTCACAGTTATGATCTGCCTGATGGACTAGCGACCATACAGACGTGTGACGTACAAATGGCCTTGACTCTCCATCTCCCCGCTGGGGGTTTTACGTCGCGCATTTTACGAAATTTGAGATCAGCAATGGGGAAAGAAACGGATAAACACCAGTAAACTAGATTGAAGTCAGTTTGTTTTGATAATGAGAGAATCAGTCCTTCTCATCCTTCAAGATCGAAGGTCCCCTGTGCAAGGACCGAGCCCTGTGAAGAGTCTTGCCAGAGCTATGACATGCGAACTAGTTCGAGAGATGAAACATAACTCTGCCTGGACACTGCTCACTGAGCGTCATCTCCTGGTAGATGATCTAACCTCACAAGCCATAGTTTGCAATTGTATTTACGCCTTGCCATAGTCCGCACCAAAAGGAACCAATACAAAAATGCTTGAGTCTGTCCACGACGATATTAGGCTACTGCATATATTTTGTCCACTAAGAGAGTCGAGATCCTGGTTGTAATAACAAACACTACCAAGAGACACATGGAATCAATGACAACATGCCTGCGTGTGACAGTATCGAATGCCACGATTGGATGACCTTGTTGATCCATGGGCGCTCTCGTGAGGTTTAGCTGTCTTCAGACTTAATCGTTGGTTCGCACTAACGTAGAATTGTAGGTCGAGAAAGGGGATTTGCTGAAAATTCAGTTGATCGCCCCTCGAGAAGATGGATGTCTCTGGTAATGACGAAGCTTGCGATGATTTCACTCTACCTTTCAGGTTATTTTTGGGCGCTATGTCTTTTGCAAAAATATTCTTGTGATAAGTGAGGCTATTCGGGAAGAATATGAGAAAATATCGATGCCATCATATCACACCACAGAAACGATATACATAACCCAAAAGGCCCTAGAAATCCGTATTAGATAGAAACATACCATGTCTCATTGGTCACTCAGCTGGCTTGCAATCTGCTCAGCAAGCCGTGGACAAGCTGTCTGCCAGCTCTCGGGGCTGTCAATTGAAAAATGCCTTGCCAGACAGAAGATTGGCTTTGCAAACGGTATGTTTCCCCGGTCGCATCGGGCTTGGCCTGCACTGCGGATAAGTTGCAAGTCTATCGATTCACCAGCTGGGCCGCCGATGAGGTCGCGATATCAGCCGTGGAGAGCTGTGAGTGGTTCTTTAGCCGCCAGACAGTGGGCTTGTGGCTGAGTGTGGGAGGCTTTGAATAAAGTAAACCAACGTCGATTGCAACGTAGGTATCAGTTTGAGGTGGTATTGAATATGATTGATTTTAATTGATTTATCGAGTTGACAGTATTAAGTGTTGAGTCATCTGTAATACACCTGTTGATTCGATGAATGACAGCTTCATGTGCATGCTTTAATCTACTTGAGTCAAGAATCCAAGTATACTCAAGCCTGTATAAACCAATCATCAACCAACAAAGCTACCAACAACAGCTGCCTGAACTTCACTCATCTACCGAAGGAATCATTCCTTCGATCATGAGTGGGTATCTCACTACCTGCACCCATTGCCATAGAACCCACTACCGGGACTCCACAGCCACAGCTGGAACCTCTAGCTCTCTACCTATTGCGAGCGTTGAACAGTGGTCTACACTTATTCGATCCCGTCTCAAGGCTACAATTTCTGTTCTATATTGGTCATGATGCCTTGGGCCCCTCATGTGTCCTTGTGCCCGGCCATGAGGCTTATAACCAACCACCAATGGCCGCAACTGGGGTCTCTCGATATAAGTCGCTGCCAGCTGCAGCCTTGTTGGGTCGACATGCGATATAAAGCCATAGAATAACCACTCTGTATTCTCATAAACGCTACCACGGCACTGAACATTTGTCTAAGCCGATGTATCCTCCCTCATCTCGTTTTAGTCGACTATCTCTCGAGAGCATGTCTCCAGAAACCCGCTCTCGCACCAGGGCTCAATCCCTAGGCCGGAAAACCGAGCAATCTCACCACGATGAATCATCTTCAGACTCTGATACAAGCTCAGATAGCTCTGGCTATGTAGATTACAGTTCAGAATTGGACGATGATGATGAGCCCTCTGCTATCCGATCCCCAACCAAACTCACATATCTCGTCGGCCATCTCCCTGAGGAGACCCAGTCAATCGTCCGCGATACCTTCAAAGAGCCCCCAAAGATCGCCCTAGAAAAGTGCCGTCGCATAGACGATACATATGCGTTCCAAATGACAGAGCTTGTCACGCGCTCTGTGCGGATCCGCGCGCCACAAGACGGCACTTCCAATCTCAGCTGCTCATGTCGAGATGACGGACAGCCTTGCCAGCACCTCCTTTGGCTATTAGATCAGATCGTCAAACAAACTCTGTACGAAACTGATCTCAGCAAGCCTCTCAGGATGAACCCAGTAGGCTATGCTGAGGAGATGGGCGAAGTTTTCCAAAATATATCTAATTTTCGTCTCGATGTACTGGCGGAGGGACTTCACTGCCATCTCGTCACCCCGGACTCAGAATACAACAACGAGCCTGACGCTTTCCGCGCCCAGGAAGCTCGAGAAATGCTTTCCTCTGTCTATAAAATGGACCCAGGGGACTTTCGACCAGATATCTTTGAAAAGGTTTCTCATAGCAGGAAGATCATCAAACGCAACGACCTGGAACAAACCATATCTCGTATGCTTCTAGATAACCATCACTTCTTTCACTATTTCCGCTCTCTATCTCGCCCACAAGACCCTATAAAGGACGTATTCTACAAACTTACTCAGCGCATTAACCGCGTTGTTCGAGATCTCGACACCCCAGGCCAAACTTCAGACCCTGATCCCCCCCGAGATGTCATATGGGCAGCTTCACATATTCTAGGCTGCGTTCGTCGGATGCGCCACGATATTTATTCCCGCGAAAGCCCTATTTCAGCAAGAGAAGCCCTATCAGCAGCTCGTAGCCTTGTGCACATTCTGGACTTGGTGGTATCTCGCAATACAGACCATGGTCCAATAGATGCACCCCGCATCGACCGAAACCTCTACCTACGGCTAATTGGAGATCGAGATCAAGACTTCATTCTTAACGTCCTTAATCTGATCCCCGAAGCTGCGAGCCAGTTCCTACATAACCTCGAGGAAGTTCTCGGCAAGATTGAGATTTATGGAGCGCCAGCTGGCTATGTACAACGATTTAGGGCAATGCTGGGAAGACTGAGAACATCGAGTACAGGATCTGGATTGAAGAGGTCTGTTCAGGGGCAAACGGGTGGTCGTAAGACAAGGAGAACCAGATGAGACATGGAGACTTGGGTGACTGGTGACAATGTACATCGAAAATAAGCATCGTTTATTGATATGAATAGCTTTACAAGCTGAATACCAAATATCGAGATTTGTGTAATATAAAAACTAACTAGGCCATACTTATGAAATAGAATTCAGTGTATCAAACTCTGTTGCTTCTTATTGAATAACTCGCTTGCTGTTTGCTATGCTTTTGAGTGGAGAGTGAGACATGTCCGGATTGTACGATTGTCGCCGGCCCAAGTCAGAACTTGAATCCCCTTTCATCGCGAAAGGCCTCAAGGTCCGCAAGAACATCCTTCAGACTAGGCCGATCGTAATAGTTCTCTTTCCAATCACCCCTCTTCATACCTTCGATCCTTCGCCTGAGCCACCTCTCCGATGCATCGATTTCTCTCGACCACCACTCCTTGGCCGTTCGTTGCACCCCATCTGGGGTGGAGAGCCCTGTTTTCTCGAGCTCTCGGAGCACGAGCTGGTTCCTCTCCCTCACAATCAGCCTACTAAGGCCATTCTGCCTTCCGCGCGTGCAACGATCAATTAATTTCTGCATGGCTCCAGGAGTCTTTGTGTATCCTGGAAATTCGACAAGAGGCTCCCATCGATATGAAAGCCAGACCGCGGCTCTTTGGGGAGCGCTATTCCCTTCAAAGATGCACCACAATACACGACCAAGCATATACACCTCGCATGCCTCCTGCTCTTTTGGTGTGAGACATGCCCATGGGACATTATAGCCTTTGCATGGCCACTTATACTCCTCGCTCTCACCCATCGCCTCCCAATGCGGAAGCATCTCTGTCAAGAGTTTCGAATACTTTTCGCTGACTTCTGCGGGTATTTCTTCATCGATAGCAAGAAGCCTCACGTACTCCAGAGCATTGACTTCAGGAGCGGCGAACTCACACCAGACCCCACGCTGCTCAAAATCAACCATAACAGCATCTCGACTAGCTGAAAGAACGATGTTGTCTAACCTGAGATCCGGATAGAAGATACTGGAAGTTGTACGAAGATGCACCAATGCTGACGCTAGTTGTATAGCCCATTTTGTCTCGTCGGCCAGGGACACCATGTTGTGAAGCTTGAGAAAAGGAATCAGATCACGCAGGCTACCGTGGATATGGTACTCGAGAGTAAATCCGACAACAGCCACTTTACTCCCAAAACTGCATTTCTTTGTAACCAGGTGCACAGGACGGGAGACAATGTTGGGATGTGGTGGGATGATGAGCAGCTGCCTTAGCTCGTGATAAAGGTACTTGGTGTAACTGGTAAGTGCCTTGAAAATCCATATTTTGCCTCCAATTCTGACGAGGCAGACGCTGTCGTGTAGCTGTGAGACGTATACCACGTCACCAAGATCGACAGTCGGCGGTAACTCAACGTCGCTTCCCCAAGCATTCTCAAGAGAAGCCACAGACAGAAGTTGGCGTTCGAGATAGTGAGTTGGAGCGATGGTGACCTCCGCGTCAGCAACTTTCATGGGCATGTTCCTAAGCACAATCCTAGAACCAAAAGGTATGTTACTGAAGATTTGCAGAGGCTCCTGCTGCCGAGCTGTCCAGTGTTGCAGGATGCGGAGCACATGTTGAGTGATTCCGAGACGCGAAATGCGCATTGCACTCGTGGTATGAAATGCCACATCAACATCGAGTGCAAGTCGAAGCTCTGGTGAGAGCTTCGAGGGCTCAGGAATAAAAACATCCATTCGAATAGGAGACATCGAGTCGATGAATAAAGGAACAGCATAGAACTGGCTCCCGAAAGCAGTGCAGCCATCGATGCGCCAGAGAGGACGATCCAGTGGGTTGAGGCTATCAATGCGGTTCTTTGGGTTCAGCGATGAGTTTTGCCAGTCAGCAACATGGCTATCCTGAACTGCCGAGCCCAGCTGGGTGGTTGATGGAGGACTCGAGAAGGCTGCAGTAGGGTGGATAACATCGTGAATAGATTCCTGACTCAACTCCATGGCATGGGCTGATGAATACTCTGGACGCCGAAAGCTACTAGAAGACGGCTCAAGTCAGCAGAGCGCAGCGTTCCACGGCAAATCATCAAGTACCTGCACAAATGTCTTAGATGCTGCCCAACACAAACAGTCGGCTGTAGGTGAGGGGTTCAAGTCTCGGATGCAAGGCGACCAGAGGCTGAATAGTTGGCGAGGAGTTGTTGAATCGTCAGCAGCGTAGAGTGACCGATATCAATCCAGGAAGAGAAATGACTCGGTTCGACTCGAGAGCAAGATTTACTGGACAAGGCCGAGCGTGCCACTGGTCAGCATCAAGCTCAGGGAAAAGAATATGCGTTGTCGTGCGACGGTACCAAAGATGGATGACACAGCCGAATTGGGTCACTTTGGGTGGTTGGCTTCGATGCTCAGTACGCGGTTCTTTTTGGTCATGCTGTCTGATCACATGATCGAAGGAAGCCTGTTGGTTCTTGTGAAACCGAGAGTGACTGATCACAACTTGTTCTTGCTGGGTGAGAAAGAGCGAACAAATATGGCAAGCAGTCGTCCGCGATGGAGATTGCCTCAAACATCGAGACTTGAACGACAAGATCCAGTTTCCAACTAAGTTTCACGTTTGACGCAAGTACCCTAAGGCTCCACCTGCGGAGAGGCATGTTGCCTGGCAAACGAATATTTTTCGTTCCCAGGCATTAACAAATCATCCATGCTTTCCATGCAGAGGGATCAAGGTAGGTATCCGTTGCCTCCTGAAAACACGGGATCAGACCCGGTCACATTATCTGCTTGGATAGTTGTTTTTATTCCAAAGGTTGTTGTGGCACGTCCCGTAAAATTTAGCTTCTCAATACCCGTGAATGCAGCGAGATACACCAAGCCAAGGCCATTTGTATTGGGCTTCGCGGGAGTACAGGCGCTGTGATGGCTCAACGAGTCGTTGGTGGTTTGTTTGCGTCGCTAGTCGTGGTAAACGAACGCGCAAGCTGGTGAGAAGCCAGAATCGACATGGTTCGCTAACGGTTTTGTAAGTTGGACGCCGTCCAGGGAAACAAGGATTGACATTTAAAAGGGATGTTGACGAAATGCTCTTTGAATAAGCTAGAGTCAATATGAAGAAACGGCCTTGCATGAGAGATCAGCTGCAAAACTTGTGTACAAGCAGAAAAAAGAGTTAAGTGATGGACCTGGCAACGGAGGATTGACTGAAGGCAGTCAGATTCCTGTGGTAGAGGGCACTATTGCAGTGACAGCTTCAGGGGAAGTTCGAACTGGGTGGCATGAGGAGTCTCTGGTGAGACAAGTCAAGGTCTTGGTCATGACTCTCGGACAGTGTTACATACGGGAGTTGGCATATTAATCAGTTCGAAAACTGAATGACCTGACCCAGCTTAAGAAATCGGGAGCTTTAAGCGAGATGGGCCAGGTATACTCCGTGAAGCATCAGGCCACGAGTGAGGTTAACCAATGTCAAGACGAGACAACCTCATCTAAGCGCTCGGTAGGGCTCGTCCAGGGCCGATCAATAGAACCATCTCCATCAAAAACAGCATACGACTTCCATAATAAGTACCGTACCTGGCTTGGACAGGTAAATGCCGGCATCTGCCCCTCAAGTATCAACGTGGGGGAATACCAAGTTTCTGGGAACAAGGGCTCCTGGCAAACCGGTGAGCAGTCACATTTCTCATTCCCGAGATACCGACCATTTGGGATCTTGTGTATAGGCAACGTCATTCGCGCTGAATGGCATGCCCTGAAGCAAGCTGCATTCCGATATTTGATTTCTGATAACAAGTGCCAGCCGACACCGAAGCGGGAGAGGCGCACCGGAGAACCATTATCACCCATGGATCACCCAATGGGGTTTTGACCATAGCTTTCTTTCTTTCCCGGCCGGGCGGGGAGGCTTGGACAGTGCGCAAAGCCAGCATTGTAATGTCCGTGGGCAAAGCTCGCGGAGCTCCCGAGTGGCTGCACTGACTCGCTCTGTTGCTGCTGCGTTACCATATCGTGGAAGCTGGATAATAGACAGTGTCCATTGATGCTGGCGAATATGGAGCAGGGGTGATTGGAACGATAACTGGCCGATGGCTGCTTACATGGCTGAAGAGAATACGGGCTTAGACGGATGGTGTCTTGTGACTGCAAGCAAAGCAAGGGATGCGACTTCATATGTATAACCATCCCTTACCTGCATCCTGTACGTCTAGGTAGCACAGAATTGACAGAACGAGTTGTAGCTACAGGTAGGACTGGTAGGCATAACCAGGAGAAAGCTCCAACGATTTCTATTTGAGGAACAGTTCGATTCGTCCCATCTAGAACGCCCCATCTAGAACGCGGGAAGACCCGTTGGTGGATAGAGACTAACGATATTAGTCCTTCCATGTGGCATCCATGCTCTTTTGTAGATCAACGAAAGAGTTCCTCATCGGCGCTTAGGTAGGGACAAGGTACTGGATCCGGTGAAGATTTGGATTCCTCGGTCTGGAGCTCAGAAGGCACTAACTTTGGATATGAAACTCATGGGTGTTCAATTACTTCCCAGTGTGGAAATCCGGTGAACGGTAACGGACCTTTCTTCCGTCAGACCGTTGCGCGGTTTGTACTAACGCAAAGCAAAATTTCTAACGTCCATCGTAATAAGGTACTTTACTAACTTGACTTGGACCTTCCTTCCTCGAGGGAAAGCGCAAGCGCCACTTAATTAACTTCCAATCATAGCAAGACACCTCTTGTGGTCCCAGAAAAAGCCTAGTGATTATTTCTGCAACCTGCATAGTTTGCCATCCCATCCATCCGACGTCACAGGCTGGCTGATATCGCCAGGAACCCATTCTCGCATCGAAAACCACTACAATTTGGCGAGAGAAGAGACAATATCGTCAAGCCAAGAGACGCGGACGCAGCCACGCATAACCCACTTGCATTTTGATGCAATATAACCCAGAAAGATGCAACCATATTCACGCAGAATCTGTGGCTGGGCCACGCCTTGCTGGCGGCTGCTCAGGGACATGAGTTGCATCGTGCCGTTCGTTAGTGCGCCCGGCTCGAACATCAGCTAGCAGGTTCTGTCGTAAGAAGCTCGCAATGATAACGTACACAACCGGATATCGATCGGACCGATCTTTTAGTTCTAATTCTCGGCCAAGAGTGAAAGTAATTGCTGTTCTCACCGGTTGCTGCCCCTGCCTCCTCCTCGTACCAACCAGAGCCTTTGCGTGACGACAGCACACGTTCGTCTTATCACATGGACAGAAGGCAGGCTTCTGGCAATGATCCAGGTCACTGGTCTCAACATTCTGTGAGATGTTGGCTGTTAACACTCGTCAGCCTTGGTCAAGTTGAGATTGGTGAAAGGGGAGCTGAAAGGGCCTGAAACAACGCTCAGGTACTTGTTCGTTTACGATACACCACTGCATCCGAGTGCATTTGGCAAACGGAATTTCCTCCTGGTTAGAAACTTGACTGCTCATCCAGTACTTGTCGAGGTATCTTTGCCTTTTCTCGGACTTGTATGCGTTACTCTCGAGAATGGCCCTCCAACGCCAGGCCTACATCGACGATAGGATAAAAGCGATCTTTCTTCTGAACTGCTTGGCGATTCAAGTACCTTTGAGAACCTTTGCTACGTTGCGGAGTTGACGATGTACAGTACTTTTTCCATTCCCTGGTGTGAGATACCCGGGCGGGTTGGCGTTGCGAGACCCTGTGAGTGAAAAAAAGCAATTTGAGAATGGTACATCCAATCCCAGCTGAGCGGCTGTGCAGCCATGACCGACATTGGTCAGCCCCATGTCAATCACATGGCCATTTTAATGCACGAATTAACCGTTGGCATGGCTAGGCTCCGTGGCTATGGAACAATGACCCGATCCGAAGATTCGATTGCCAAAGGATTGAGCTGCATTATTGTCTAGGGATCTACGACCACGCACGATTCAAATCACCCTCATTGTTCAGTAGCCAAGCTCCTAAGCCATGAACAAAGCCTTTATTCTAATTCTCTTTTTCTAATTGCCCCGCCGGGACGGCTCCTAATAACATATTTCACTACCTAACATTAGATCAAGAACTTCAGGCGCACTGAACCGGCAGAGCGGGTAATATCCCAAAATCCTTTACCTGACAAGCCTGAGCACTACAATCAGAAGGCCCCCTGCCACTCCCATGGTACCCCTCAGACCGGTCAAAAACTACTCAGCACGAGGCCATGTCAACGCCGTCCTCACCGAGTCCACTTTCCTCTCTCACAGACTCGTTCATCATCACCTTTCCCAGCAGACCGTCAAGCCGTTGCTTGAAGCGCTCAACGCCGAGTCACTACAACCACCACACCGCCAGCCGCATACTTTCTCAGCCCGCAGCCCGCATCAGCCGTCATCCATACGATCGCGGCCGCAGGCATATTGTGCTGATATCGCTCAACGGTGCAAACACCAGTACCAGCACCACCGGCTACTTACTCCACGTTCTGTCGCCAGTACCACGACAGCTCAGCCCGCCTTGTTGCTAAAGCAGTGGACGGGGTGGACAAGGCTCCACGTCCTGTCCTAATCGTACTCAGGCTCGAGGTTCTCAGGTTGGCGGCTGCGAGCAGCACACCAACATCTCATCGACCTTCCATCTGTTGGCAAGGAGCCTCAACGACCTGATTGGGTTTGCACTAACATACCTACTTATCGCCTTTCCGCCTAGCTTCCCCGGATTCTTCGCCTCCCTTATCACAGTATTTTCTATTCCCGACCGTCTGGTATCCTTCTCTCGGCCGTCGTTTTGACTTCGGCCATCGCTGGTGCTCCACTCGGCGCAATACGGGGGGTTTCAACGTCAAGTGCCTGGTGATGGCTTTCGTGGCACCTTAGCCTCCCACCACACTCCCCCTCTTCTCACCCCGGCGTCGCTCGATTTTTGACCACCGCTTCTGAGAGACAAACCGGGCAAGCTAGCTCTTCTTTGTCATTAACTGTATTTCGTCGAGTTTGATTCCGCGTGGTGGTACCTTGACCTTCGTCTTTCTGTTCTTACTCCTACTGCTAGGCAGTGTTTGTTCCACACCCCGTCCTGTCTCACTGCAGCCATTATGGTAAGAGTTTCTCTCCCCGGTTGGCGGCAAGCTGCATGGAGTTATATCATCGATCCCCCATCCCATCGTCCAATTTGTATGACCCCTGCGGCTGTTGCCAATCACCACCGTTTCCTCTTCTCGCAGCCCCGTCGTGGCTCTGTGCCATGACTCTCGGACAAGCATCTTCTCCCTTTTCTTTGCCCTAGGCCCCTCCCCATGAGACCCAAATGTGCGGTGAATTGATTTTTTTCTATAGAATCCACATTATCCTTCCAAAGTTAAGAGGCCTCTCCTCCAACCGGGAGTTGAAGATCCGGGCTCTTCGTCAATATCTTTCACCCCTCCCGTGAATGACAACTTCACCTTTATACCATTTGAGATCCAAGACAATCTTGAGCAACTGGCACAATTCTATGGAATAGCCTCTGGTTCTCAATTACATCAACTGATTGAACAAGAGCATTGTAGGAAGAGGAGAAGGCTTGAACCATCGGTCCCAATGACACCTGAGCAAGGACCGGCTTCGTCCCAGGGACCTCTGATAAAACTCCCATTATCAGGACCTTACAGTCAACGCGATGAGCACTATGGGGCATCTTCAAGCTGGGACGACTGTGGCCAGAACTCAATGCCATCTTCTACTTCCCCATTAGCCAGGCGTATGGCGGATCTGACCTTATTCTTCTGCCCATGTTGTGGCTGGGACCCAAGACATCAAGATGGTAAGCGACTGACTCTCTTAACCTTGCCGGATCGACCGACGTACACCTGAGATCCTCGCTGACATCACCCTGAAAGGCTATCAACAGCTACCGAGCTCTGCACCAGCAGTTTCTGGTCCAGATGCTCCTTACATGGCAGAAAAACAACCATCTATGACAATGCCATCATCTGAACCGTATGATAACACGACTCTGAGCTCTGGTCAACAACCGGATTACAGCTTTCAGCAACCTAACTTGAATGTTGCGCCCCTTGTCAACTTTCCTCTCATCTCTGATCAGACGGCATTAGCGGAGCCTGTGATGAGTGGTCCTGGGCCAACTCATCAACCTAATCTTTCAGCGAGAGACTTTTACGTCGCCCAAGCTTTCAAAGAGGAACCACAGCTGGAGAATCAAGTAATGATGCCCAGTCAACAGCTTGTCACCAAGGCACTTCCACAGGTCGGCTACAGTTCCGACCCCAACCTTACTGATACAAATGCTATTACTCACCAGAGCTTGGCTCCACCCGACAGCGTTTCCCAATATGGTATGCTAATCAATACTCAACTTGGCGAAGATACTGCGCAGAACGGGTGGTCTCTAATGGATCAACAAGCCAATTTTGAAATCATGCTCCCTAACCAAAGAGGAGGAAAGAGAGGTCCGTTCAAGGACCCAAATCTCCGTGAACAAACTGCCCAAACCCGAAAGATTGGTTCCTGCATCAGGTGCAGAATGCAAAGAATTCGTGTAAGTAACACTGTCCGGTTCTGTTACATAAGATGATGTCTTACTTGTAATGAGCTTTTTGGCTGGTGCGCAAAGGCCACTAACCAGTGATGCAGTGCGAAAACAACCCTGAAGAAGAGGGAGGGGCCTGTTTGACATGCAAAAAAGTCTCCAATTCGAGGGCAGGGCGCTTTCCTTGCCTCAGATACAAGATAACGGATATCCGACTTTTCAAGCCGGGCCAAGTTCCCGGTTATGAATGGACACGACGATGGACCAACAACATTTCGGATCCGATACAGAGCTGGGCTACGACTGAAGAGCCCAGAACCATCTATCTTTCCGAGGGGCTATCGAATAAGTTTGTTAAGGTGAAGGTTCAACGATTCATTCCTCAGGCTGGTGACAAGCTGGAACGTACTTGGGATTACAAGGGTGTCAAGAAATCAGTGAAGATTCCTCCGTATGCGATGGTCAACCTCGAGGAGGCGAAGAAAGAGTACCTGGACCACATTGAGAATAGCATGCAGGATGCTTTTACCAAGTTGCTTGGCCCACCTGAAGGCCTGCTATTCCGGACGTACTTACGTGCTTGGAAAATCTTCAAAGACCCTTCCACTACGCCAGAGTGCGTGGAACTTATTCATCATACACTCTTGTTGTGGATGTCGATTCGTCTGACAACGCGGTCGAGCTTCATTGTTGGAGAAGAGACCTTGGGGATGAAGCAAAATATCCTGGACGAAACGAACCCGAACCATGGCAAGATCCCTCTTCCGCCTGTACTTGGCGCTCAGATGGATCTTATCCTGATTCACCACATACAGACCAAGCTGCGAAGAGAGCTTCTGGACAAACTCCAGAAGATGATGTCAAAGAACAAGCAGAGCACTTGGCTAGTAACGTATCTTGTTATCTTCATTCTTTTGCATAACACAGCTCTCATCACAGCTCATGATGCTGGCTACGCAAAGAAGCACGGCATGAAGGTAAGATAGCCCTGAAAGTCGATAGTGGCCCGTAACGTTTGCTGATTATCGATGTACTTGCAGCGACGCTTTGCGCGTGAGGAGAAGGTCAAAGAATACCACCTAGGTGAGTCACACAACCACCCCGGTCCATCCTGCACGGAAGCGCTTGCTGACTGGGGATTGAACAGGCGCAAACATCTTGCTCGCACACTTCCACTACTGTAACAAGGGCATCTACCCTTTCTCGGAAGATTGTAAAGACCAAGACTTGCGAACACTGGCAGGCTTGGATGAAGAAAAGATCAAGTTTGTCCATCATACTAGCAACCTGGCTAGACGATATGGTAAGTCGACCCTCGGGGATGTAGAACCATACAAGCTGGGACCATGGCTCTCTGATTTGATGCTAACTTGAACTCTGTGGTTTCAGCGTTGCAATGGGAGGAAATCCGGAACAAGGCCGTGTACGAGCATGATTACTTTTTTGTCAGCCAGTTGTTCGAGACCAACTGGCAACCTCGAACAACAATATGATCGGGTTTGGTTGGCCAACAACATCTTTAGTTGTCTTCTGTGGTAGTAGGGAGGCAATGGGTGACCTGGAACCAAATGGGTAGGCGCAGAGTTTGAGAAGATGCTGTACTCACAGCGGAGATGCAGGAACTGAGACTGTATAGGAAGCGAATGAAGGGCGGTGAATGCGGATGACGGCGGCAACAGTAACGGCCATAATGACGATGACGATGATAACGATAATGAAACCATTTTAAAATGCCAGGGTAGTTTTTGTTACGAAAAGGCGGTCAAGAGCAGGTGAAGTACAGAGAAAGAGCCGAACTGGTGTGATGGTTTGAAGAGAAATGACATAAACAGCTGAATTGGGTGTGGAGGGCCGGATGAAGAAGCTATAGCCCAAGAGATTGATCGTTCTTGTTCAGTTCCGACAAACCGCCACATGGACCAGTTCACGATACGGGACACGGCAAAGCGGCGGGGAGGAGGGTCGTAGGCGAAACAATGTAACAGGACGAAACGGAGCGCACGCCAACAAATTGTGATGCGATGGAAGAAAAGGGATGACGGTGAGAGGAGAGGGACAGGTGCACCGAGAGTGTGTGCGGCCACCTACAGAAAGAGGCGAGAATTTGCTCACCGAGTGTCGATGGGAGACGGGCTGCTACGTTTTTGACGGGTTGCGCATTGTTGCACAGAAACACGAGGCGGATCAAAGGTTTATATGTACCAAGCTCGCTGGGGGTTGGCTCGCGGAGGGATGCCGGACGGGCCGGGCCTGGTTGTGCGGCGCTTGACAAACCCCGGGCCATTCATACCGCAGCTATGCTCTGACTTGACTTGGCTTGGCTTGGCTTAACTATGTAGACTTGGTCTGATAGTGTGGATAATGCAGCACTGTGCACTACATAGTATATGTGCTTTCTACGGAGTATATGCTGTGTGGTTTATTAGTACGTCAATTATTCAGGTTGTGTATCCCTCGGGAAGAGCGGAGAGATGGCAATGGGACGAACGGGGGAGAAGTATGAAATGAGACGCGCCTATTTGCATATCCCTTGCCTTTGCTTTGCTTTGACTGTCGATTGTTGACCGTCCGAGATGTCCGCGTCGCCTAGGCACCATTCTTTGGCGTTGGTTTGACGGGGAACCAGTAATTAGGGCCCGAGAAACGAACCAAACCTAAGCTAAGGGGGTGGCAACGGATAGTAATCCGTCAACCAATGAAGTTGTATAACACCTCAGTAAAGTTTAACCATTGCCAAAGGATCAATATCGACTGCCGTGTTTTGGGGGACCCTTGTCGAGTTTGTTGAACAGACACAATACTACCTATAGTAGCACAGCTACGGAGTACTGCTAGTAGTTACTGTAAAGGTGACGCCAGCCAGCCACAGATAGATAAGTGAGAAACCAACAAGGTGCACATACTATGGAGTAAGCCAATGGTGAACCACTTTTAAAACACACTTAAAATTGGGAAAGAAAAGCTGCGAGGTAGCTACTGGGGGATCAACACGAAGGATCATCCTTACCATGCTACTCCAGCTCGGTTAAACTAGGATTGGGCTCTCAGCTGAGCTTGAGTCTGAGCCTCTCCTAGTCTTAGCTCATGTTCATTCTTAGCCTTTGGTGTTTTGCTTTTCTCAACTAACTACAGCTTGGAACCATACACATCAATCAACCCTTGCTGGGCTAGGCTTGGTACTTCTATCAATTTTCCTTCTCCTTTCTTCTTTTTTTCTTTTTCTTCCTACTCTAGTCGAGGGCCCGGACCGTTTCCCCAAGGAATGTTACAGTGCTCTCTCGTCTCGTTTCCTCCTCCCTTGCAATAAGAGGCGACCCAGAGTTTATGTTGCTACCCAGGACTTTTGAGCAACCCACTGGTGACATGGAAGCGAGGAACCGCGAATGAAGTACAGGATCAACGGCAAGGCACTTACTCACCTCCAATTGATACCTCAGAGTTCGTCTGTTCCTTCCGTTTCCCGCCCTGAGATACCGGTACCTGACCAGGCACTTTAATTGTTCAAGGCGTTAGCCCTGGAATATGGCAGGAAGTTCAGCGAATACCCGCGTTGCTGGGTTCTGTTGCAGCTTCCTGCCGCCGCGTATCTGCGACCTGCCACGAGCACGGCTACGCAAGTACCCGATCTACGTATACCCTGTCTCTAACCCTGCCAACTTGGAAGTGCCAACCCGATGCTATCTCAAAAATCCTTGTGTAAGTGGTGTAAGGTAGCTACCCAGGTCCTAAGGTAGAGGTACTGGAAATTGGATGGATGTGGAAGCCACGGAACGAAAAGCAGATCTACCTTTAGTGAAATTTTTCATTATACCTGCCTTCTCTCTCATCGAATCCGAGAAAACGGGGACGAAGGAAGCATGGAAGAACGTTACACAACTTCAACATCCTTCCAAGAGCCGCATATCCAAGGAGCTTCACCTTCATCTCTAAATTTGAACAGGGCTACCACCGATTTCTAAACATCTTGGAAAAGCTATAATAATACCTTACTAGCCTCCTACTTAGTCTGAACGTTCTTTTGATATTCCTCATCAATCTCAATCTCGCTCGTCAAGAACTGTTCGTCTGTGCTGCAATTTGCATGCCATCCATCGTTATTGCCGTATCTTTAACACCTTGCACCTCCGTCTTTTCCTCTTTCCTCGGCCGCTGCTACTCTTGATCTCGACTGTAAGTTGCGCCTTCTGTTCATGTTACTCTTCACAGAATTTTGAAATTGGAGGCGCCTCCAACGTCACTATACCTTGCCCGAAGGCACTTGCCACGATAGTATCAAACGTTCCTTTTCTCTTCTGTTTTGATCTCCGCCTTTCATTAAGCAAACACATTTAAGTAGACGCCTCGCACCACCAGAGGTCCCATTCCTTTCCTTCCATCTTGTTCATCTCTCTTTTAACGCCCCAGCACACCTTCAACTCACATATCATCTTTCATATTCGATCTCTTCCTGATCCACTTGGTCTCCACGCAGATCCTGACTTATACCAGCAGTCATCAGACAACGGCCCGTTGCGTTTTGTAACGTAGGTTCTTAACAAAACTTACACATCCCTTTTCTCATGTAGGAGGCTGGCTGACAGAGTACCTCAGTATCAAGACACCCCCACCAAGCCACCAGCGGAACCTCTCCCTCAGGAACCATTACCATGGTATCTTCCCTAGCTGGGCCCATCATTGGCCCGAGCCCGGCCGTTGAACTAGCTCCTGCGGCCGCCGGCTGTGTCAGTCGCGTGGCAGATGGACCGGCTGGGGTCCCCGAAGGGTGGCCCAAGTTTCTCGACGAGCCTATGGCTTGGGTTGGTCCTCAATTCACGGATGAATCGGAATACATCCACACTCTGAGCGAATCCGATCTACAGGAAGCTGAGAATGCTTTGCTGGTCTTTAAAGGTACGTCTCTTTTCCTGAGACGACGCTTCCATGGCGTTCATCATGTGGCTAACACCAGCCAGCCTTGGGGCTTGACGGGGATTGCGTCTCCCGAGACAACTTCCCTCTTCCCACTCTGGGACCAAGACTGGATCGTATCCGCCGAGACGTGCACCAAGGCAAGGGCTTTGGTGTCATTCGTGGCCTCGATCCTCAAAAGTACTCAGTCGAGGACTTGACTGTGCTGTATCTTGGCATTCAGTCTTACATTGCCAATCGTCATGGGCGTCAAGATCGAAAAGGCAATATGCTAGGTTGGCTCGATTGACCCCAATACCTTGTTTCTTTCTCATTGACATATTTGTAGTCCATATCGTCGCCGACAACTCATCCAAGCTCAAGGCTGGTCACCATCGACACTCCACCTCCCCCATCGTATGCTAATCTTTCTTTATAATTCCTGGAAGGAATAGTCAACCAGGCTAACTTCTACTCTAGACTTTCCACAACGAGGAAGCTGGTGATATAGTCAGCTGGCTCACACGTAGCACCGCTGTCTCGGGAGGCAAATGCATTATCGCCTCAGCCTACACTGTCTACAATGTTCTTGCTACTAGCCGTCCGGACATGGTCCGCACTCTTGCTCGCTCTGACTGGCCATTCGCCCTGTAAGTTCAGGCACTTGATTATCTACATCCTCTTTATTTGTTCTTCTCATCACAGCGATTAGCAAGGAGTGCATCAACTGACGCGCTATACTGTGATAGACCCCGTTTCCAGTGCCGACCAGTCCTCTTTCATCATGAGGGGAGAGTGTTGATCAACTTTGGGCGTGTGGCACTCACAGGGAATGCAATTCACCCACGCCCTACCAACCTTCCCGCCGTTACGCCACGACAGATGGAGGCATTGGACTCCATTGAGAACATTGCCAAGGCAACTCAGCTGGAGATCAGCACACATGCAGGTGATATGCATTTCATTAACAACCTCACAATCTTGCATCGCCGAGAAGGCTTCGTCAACGGTGAGGCTGCCCGGGAACGTCGACACTTGGTACGCATGAGACTCCGCGATGACGAGCTGGGATGGAAGCTCCCTGCAGACCTGAGTCAAGAGTGGTCCGCTGCTTTCAACAAGGAAGCACCCAAGATCTGGCACATTGAGCCCATGCCAGACGGCTTCTTCCCCCTCAGGTCTCAGGCCAACTAAAACTGTGCTTCTAGCGCTTAGAGCAACCTCAGTTGTGGGGTGAACTCGCATGCATTCATGCATGCTCTCGAGACATGATGAGATAATGGGGTGCTTATCAACTTTGGAACCGAGGCGCATAAAAAGGGCAATGGGGAATCTGAGGGTAACGGGGGAGAAATTAAAAGTTATGAATAAGGTCCTGCACTCGAGTTTGAGTATGCTTTTTTAGGTTCTTTTATTTCTTTTTTTTTTTTTTTTTGTTGGGGTGTCACGGTCGCGGAAAAGTAACAAGAATGGTTTATCATGTCTCAGGCGAACCTGTCTATCGGTGCAGTGTGGTATCTGACTTTATGGGCATGGCAGGATGGGCATTGGTTGAAAAAGAGAAATCAAGGATTAATACGTGTGTTTGAGGCTCATACAGTATTAGCACCTACTAGGGACAGCCGAATACAAGGAATCGCATGCATAACTTAGATCGAGATGCTCAGGCACAGAAGACTACAAAAGTGATATATGATAGTGTGACAAGTCTAATTCGTATGTGTACCAAACTACAAGAAATGTTTCGTTTAGGTTGGGAATAAGCCGGGCGTCTCACGGCAGAACGCTGTGTACTCTCCCATTGGCAACAGTAAGGGGAGAAGTCGAGAGTGTCAGGGGTGCTCTATAAGCATGCAAATCCCTTGTTCTGGAGTTCTTCAGGCTTGGAGAATGCTGGCATAATATATCCGTAGAGCCACACGAAACGAACACATACCCATAAGCTGCGACCAGGTAAGACGAGACAACGAGGCTTGAAGGCTGGCGGAAAGCCGGCATAATACTTAATACCATGGGGGTTGTGACTATGGTGGTGACCAGGGATGGAACGCCTCAGTGGGGGGACTTGTCCAATGTAAGAAGATACCAAGGAAGAAATGTGGCTGTTTCTTAACGAGAGTTGCGTGCTGAGACAAGAAGTAAGATGAGATGGTGGTCTCAGATTTGGCACAGAATCTGGATGGAATGGCTGACACATGAATGACTTGCTTTCGATAGTTGGTCAAGATGTGCTTAGTTTCCGATGATTGGTTGCGTTGGCATGGTGAGGCAGCAGAGACAAATCCGGTATTGGATGAAAGGCGAGAACGTAGCTCTCATGGTCTCGGATTTTTGTCTGGTCTGCTTCTGTTAGAGCGAAAATAACTGAATGGGCCTTTTGCTTTTTGCTTGGGCTGAAGCCACCAAGGGTTAGGTTCGGGGAACTTGCTTTGTATTCCATCGTCATCCCAGCGTTGTCTCTATACCGATCCGCCTTGCATTGGATTCTGTGTCACGAGGAGGCTTTCTCCCCTTCCTCGAAATGACCTTTGGTCATGGATTGATTAATGGCGGTCAAGGATGCCTAGCTAGGATCGATGACGAAGTGGTTGACTTTCAGAGCAGATCGAAGGGAGGAAGACGATAACTTTCAGATGACCCACAGGCAGATATGCTTCTGTGCCTGATGAATGATGGTTTTGGTACCACGATAGGGTAGCTAGCAGCTTGTTTCAAGACCTGAGTAGCCAACGAAATATATTCCATGGAGGAACCCCGGGTTTATCTTGCACTTTGTGCCTTGAAACAATGATGACTGGTCTGCACATGATCGCAAAGATTGGGACATGTTGCAACTCATCATGATGGTCTTCGAGACAACAACGAATGTCGCTAATCCTTGACGAGATTGGCAAGAGAGGACGGGCCTCGATATGCGACTAGAATGACGCGTTGCCATGCAAAACAAGCCATATGCATCAGGATTATGGATGAGGCGTTGAGAGAAGAGGCAACGAAGACTACGACTAGGTTTACATTACATTCTCAAAATTGACTCGAGATCTGATAAATGAGGTGGAAACGACGGTGAGATCCCATAAGATGAGATCCATAGTCACGGGGTCGGCGATCCTGGCGCTTGTTTCTGGTGTGGATATCAAGCGACCCGGCAATATCAGTACAGTGTCTATGACAGTATCAATTCAATTGTTGTCGCCCTGTAGGAACGCTAGAAACTGCCCCTCAGTGTTACTGACAGCCGAAGATCGGATTCCTTCCCCTGTCTAACAGGGCTTGAAGAGGATCCATGATACATAACCCAACACAGTGCATGGCTGACTATCCAATTGGCCACTTTCCCCTTGCACAAGGCGGGCTACTCCTAACGCGCAGGGGCAATCAATTCGACGCCTCAACCAATCTTCAAAGAAGCAACATCATCAACATCATTAAGCAAATCGAACTCAGCACCATCGAATTCTAGCGCTTGTCGTCTCAGAGCGACACCCCCGTCCGTTTCTCCTCTCCTCTCCTCTCCTCTCTTTCCTCCACCAGTTTTCTAGGGCGTAGATTGAACGGATTGTTTCATCGACTATCCACTGTCATTGAGATTACTTCTCCGAGGCACAGCCCCGTGCCAAAGGGGTACAACCTACAGCCCAATCTTCGCCTATGCTGGTCATAGAGAGTGGTTGTTGAGACAGCATAGTTATCGCGCATCAACCTACAGTCTACCCATCAACATCGAACCAGCCCTGTATCAATATGGCTCCAGCTTCAGGAATTCTCAAGTCAAAAGCAGCCCCGGGTGCTTCGGGCTATCAGCCAGTGCATCAAGATGAGGGTGATGGTCACGATGATGGCCCTAGGGAGCCTCCCGCTCAACCAATCATACCGCGTGGTCCAATTCGCTCATACAGGAACACCATAATGCTTCTCTCGAGCCTTGTCGTTATTCTTATGGCCATAAACCTCTATCTTAGTCTTCCACTTGCCTTCTCCGGCTCCGGCTCCGGCTCCGGCTCATGTCCGGGTGACCCACCCCGAGTTCCCCAGTATTTTCAGACCTCGCCGCAACTATGGCCCGGCGTTACTAAAACTGGAAAGCCGGCTTTCATGGCACAAACCCATGTCTTTGAGCCTACTGCCACCTTTGTCCCCAATGATCCGTTGCAGACATCTATCCCTATCGAAGGCATGAAGGAGGGTAACCGAAGCATCTTCCAGATGATGGGTTACCTGAGTCCTTATTCTCCATCTACAGGCTTCGGCGTGGACGAGTATCCAATCCCTCCAGGTGCTGAGATCGTTCAGGTCCAGATGCTTTCTCGTCATGGTGCTCGATATCCAACCCCAGGTTCGAACGTCGCAACCCTTGGCGAGCGACTTGCCAATGCTTCGGCTGGCCTCAAGACCAGTGGCGCCCTTGAGTTTTTGATGGACTGGAAATACGAACTCGGAAAGGCTATCCTAGTCCCAAGGGGCCGACAGGAGCTCTTCGAGTCTGGTAAGAGTTTATCTGTTCAGAACTATAAACTTAAAACTGATAACGAGTTCAGGTGTCTTGCATAGTTACATGTATGGTAGCTTATACAACCCTCAAAGCAAACTCATCGTCCGAACTACAGTATGTGAACCTCGTTCATATACCACCCTGGGCTCAAGATACTGACAGTGTATAGACTCAGGATCGCATGCTGAAATCTGCAGAAAACTGGATGGCTGGCTTTTTTGGCCTCGAGTGGTAAGCGTGATTCGTCCAAGGTGTTTACTGCAGTATTCTGACAGCAGCAGGACCAATAATGCCACTATCGAAGTGATCATCGAGGCCCCTGGTTTCAACAACTCCCTTGCTGGAGGGCTGAACTGCCCCAACTCTGACAAGGCGGACTATGTGACTCCTGTAGCCGCATGGTATGAGAAGTACCTCAAAGACGGTATGTCTCTCCGTCAGATATGCAGACCAACAACTAAAAAGTCACATAGCAACTGCCCGATTCAATAATGTGACAAAGGGTTTCACGTGGACACCAGCAGACGTCTGGGCTGCACAAAACATGTGTCCCTATGAAACTGTTGCATACGGCTTTAGTAGATTCTGTGATCTCTTTACATACGAGGAATGGGAACACTTTGGCTACTCTATCGACCTTGGATTCTCTTCGGGGGCTGGGTTCCAAAGCCCAGTAGGCGTAAGTTGACTTCTCTGGCAACCCCAACCCTGCTAACGAGAGACGCAGCGAGCTACTGGCCTTGGCTACCAGCAAGAGGTCATGGCAAGGCTCAAGAATCATACCCTCGGTTACTCTGGCTCCCAGATTAACACGACACTGGATAGCATGAAGGAGACATTTCCTCTGAACCAAAGTCTTTACTTTGACTTTTCTCACGACACCAACATTATCTCTATCCTGACAGCCTTTGGCCTTCGCCAGTTTTCTGAGGAGCTTCCCACTGACAAATATCCCGGTGAACATGAGTTCGTTGTTTCTAAACTGACTCCTTTCGGTGCGCGTTTAGACATCGAAATCATTAAGGCGCCCAGCCCTGTCTCACCAAAGAGAGACGGCTACCTTGATGGCAAAGAGACCAAGTACATCCACTTCGTACTTAACCAACGGACTGTGCCTTTGGGCAGGAGTTTTCCGGAATGTGACGTCAGCCGTAAGGACGGCTGGTGTGACCTGGATACGTTCATCGAGGTTCAGGACAAGATGGCAGAAAAGGCACAGTTCGACTACTCTTGCTTCGGAGATTACTCGTCATTACCATATGGTAAGGTAACAGACGGTGTGCCGCCTTCTTGAGAAAGTGTGGCCTGGCATATAAAGATATAATTCGTGTGTAAATATGAGATGCCACCTAGATTTAGCAAAACGACAAGTGCCGTTTAGTCCTTAATTATAGTTAGCAATTAGAATTGGCGCAGCATGTACCTTTGAATAAATGGAAGCAAGACTGCAGCAGGCATTTGGATGGGGTTTCAACCAATTCGAAAAGACCAAAGCAGCTTGAAGTCCCTTCACTGGTGCTTGATCGAGACATGTATAAATATAATATATAGTGATCTGATTTTGTAACTGTCTAAAAGACCACATGGCACAAAATTATATACGTGTCCAATGACCTGCATCGCTTTTCCAAAGCCATCCACATCTACCAAGCGGGTATTTAAAACAATCCAAGGCAGATACGTCGAAAAGATGGTAAATCCGTAACGCCTTTGCCTGCTACTCCCAGCATCCCACAAGTTAATAAAAAGAAATTCTGGCAATAAAATAACCCCTCTATATCAAACAAGGCTAATATGACTCGCAAAGATAACATTGCCGTAAGCAAGTTTAAGCATGCTTCTCGGTAATCACCGCGTCGGGTGCAACAACATCGGGTGTGTTAAGAGAAGGAGTCTTGCGGACGTCATCGGATTCGCTTGGGTTCATCATAGACTGGTGCTCCTGGATGCCATGGGTAGGCTCAAGTACATCACCATCCTCAGCGGGCTCACCACGGTGAGGGCTCCAAGCAAGGAAGTCTCGGCGGACCTCGACGTAGTCGTAAGAGAACTCGCCGTGCTGATCGTCATCCATACCAAGGAGCTCAGCCTCTTCAGAGGCACGGAGCTTCAGTCCAGGAATGAAGTCGATGATCTTAGCAATGATGGCAGACATGACGAAGGCATAAGCGGAGGCAGCGACAATGGCAGCGATTTGCCAGCCAATAATGACGTAGTTTCCATCCATGAAGCCACCTGTAGCACCGGTGTTGACGCCGTCGAGGCCAATGATGGAGCCACGGGCGAAAAAAGCATTGAAGATGAGGCCAACGATACCACCGACACCGTGCTCGGCAAAGACATCGAGAGAGTCGTCAATTCGAACAAGGAACTTGACTGCGTGTGAGGTCAGCGACTGTGTGTAAAAAGAAATGATAAGACAACTTACTCTTGGTGGCAAAGTTACAAGCGACACCAGCGACAACACCCAGGATGATGCTAGCCCAAGGGTCGAGGAAACCGGAAGCAGGAGTAGCAGCAACAAGACCAGAGATAGTGCCAGAGCACCAGCCGACCATGGACCACTTGCGAGCCAGGCGGAAATCGAGAATGCACCAAGTCATAGCAGCAAACATGGCAGTGAGGCAGGAGTTCCAGCAAGCCATAACAGCACGGAGGTTAGCACCGAAAGAAGAGCCACCATTGAAGCCGAGCCAACCAAACCAGAGGAACATGGTACCGAGAGTGATGAGAGAGATGTTGTGAGGACGGAAGTTCATCATCATCTTCTCATTGCGGCGGCCCAGAACCCAAGAGTAGGCGAACGCGGACATGCCAGAGCCGATCTCGACGGGAACACCACCAGCGTAGTCGAGAACGCCGTTAACGAAGCCCCAACCATTGGGGTTCCAGACCCAGTACGCGAGAGGGCAGTAGACAAGAGTAGCCCAGAAGAAGATGAAGACCATGCTCGGCACAACGCGGCCTCGCTCGGCGACAGCACCGACTGTAAGAGCGCCAGTGACGGCGCAGAACATCATCTGATAGAAAGAGTAAAGCAGAGCAGGGACAAGAGGAGATCCGACTGAGGGAGCACCCCAAACCTTCATAAGACCGAAATGCTTGAGATCACCGATGAAGGGGTTGTTGGAAGTTGTAGAGAAGGCGAGAGAGAAGCCCCAGAAATACCACTGGAAGACAATGACGGAGAAGGACATCATAACAACCCAGAGCATGGAGAGGGCTGACTTTCTTCGGGCAAGACCAGAGTACAGGAAGGCGATGCCAGGGACCATGAGAAGGACGAGACAGGCGGAGAGGATGATGAAGGCCTGGTCACCGGATTGGTACCATTGGTTGAGGTTCTCGGTAGCTGGAGAAGAATCGTGTTAGTATTGGATTGTGATGATGATGATGATGAGTATTCGCGTTGTCGACGACGGAAAAACATACTGGAATCACCACCAAGCTCTTGGTTGGTGCCATTGAAGGCAGTCGGGGGTCCAGGGATAACATAAGACATGTTGAATTATTGTGTATAAAGTCTCGTGGGATCTCGTTTCGTATGTTCGTCGGGTTCAGGTTGTCGAAATATGGAAGAGGTGAGATTCGATGAAGCTGAGCAGATCCCTCTCACGTTAAATGACGAGCAAGGTGAAGTAAGTGACGAGTGAGTCCTAGGAAGAGCAAGAGGAAGGAAAGCTCCACCGGTTATAGGAAGTTATGGAAACAACCTAGTGGGATAAAAACGGAAGGGAATATGGAGAAGAGAAACAGGAAATGCAGGTGATGGGGCAAGACTTTAATATAATTGTTTGACATGCCTACATGCCTCACTGTACAGTACTGCTCTATCTTAGACTCAACCCAACGCCAAATCCATATCCATATCCATACCCATACCCATGCCGGCCGCGGGTCTGTCTCCATGAGCCAAAAAACGCCATGGATGTCCTGGGCGTGGGACAATTTGTTGCAGATCTCCTGGTATGGTACGGGCATAGATAGAGGCGCGACACACAATGAGAGACAAGAGATAGAGATAGCAGCAGAGCTGAGCTGGGGGCACCAGAGATAGAGCCCAGGGCAGAGATAGCGAGTCTAAGGGTACGTACCAGCATGGCTCAGCCTTTCACAGGGCTGTACGAGCACCCGTTAGTCGCTGTGATACCGCCATAGATTGATCTGATACAGCGTAGTAACCAGTTGGACACATACAAAAACCACAAACCACAAACCATCTCATGGATGTTTATCGGTACGTACCCTCCCAATTGATAGAGATAAAGATAGCGGCGCCTGCATGCTCTGTCCAGGTACCGACCCTAGCGTCAACGCGCTTACACGTCTTTGGTAAGGCGTCTACTATGTCGACTCCTCTTTGCGCCGTTCTCGGCTGGTTCCTGGGTTTTCGAGATCGAAGAAACACCCCTGTCTTTGTCGTCTCGTCCCGGACAGAGTCCGCATCGCTTCTTGACACGCCCTCCGAGACGCCCGATCTTGACTTGAACTTGCTTTGGCGCTGAGAGGCTTCGCATTAACAATGCACTGCCCAAAAGGAAGAAGGAAGCTTACCGTGCGTGGAAGTCCTCACATTGCTCGACACGCATGGCTAGAAATAAAGCGTCATACAAGTCATTTCTTATTTATAAATAAAAGAATCATGCTTCGTGTAACCTAGAAACTGGGTGTAAGACCCTGTGCCACCAGTCACAAATGGGGGCTGTCATCTTGGGCATCAGCCGTCCAAAATCTATGCACGAAACCTGGAATCTCATATCTCATTGGACCGTTCGAAGCTGGGGAGAGAGCCAGAAAAAAGGACGGGAAAATCCTCCAACCTCAAGGGATCCCCTGGGGTCTGGAGTTTGGGGGGCGCCGTTGACGTGTGATATCTCTGAACGAAGCGTGGGGTTTTCTGTGTCAGAGACCTCCGTTGACAGATTGCTCCATGTTTGAGAATCAAGATCATGGGGGAAGCTGGCAAAAAGAAAGGAACAATCTTAAATATTGCCTGGGCATGGATGAGAAGACTCGGCTGATATCCGTAGATAGATGTCGAGCCGAAATTTGAGCAAAGCTGAAGTTAATCTGCTCAGCTGGCAAGTGTAGGTATGTACTGTCGATACAGGCTTGATGTGATGTTAGGCCTCGCCGTTGTCGGTTCAAACTACGTAGCCATCCCATATGTTTGTCCATTCCGTGATGATGATGAATTCTTGACTGAGGCCTTGCAACTTGTGGATCGAGGCGAAAAACGGGCATCTTGATCGGAGACTAGAAACTCCTTGGCTCGCTGATCGTCGTGCGTAAATGCGGAGAGGGAACCAAGAGGGAGGGTTGGTCCGATTTACTAGGCCAGAAAGGATTATTCCATTACGGTGAACGATGTGTAAAGCCGTTTGATTACATTACTACCGCAAAACCTCAACTTGTGTCAATCACGTAGGTAATATCTGGGGTACGTGAGGTACGGCTGAGGCACCGGCTACTGCTACAGCTCTTTTTGTCCCTGACTTCTTGGCTCTTGGGAAGTCGCCCGATAATCGTATTGAAGACCGATAGAGCAATCTCTCGGTCTTGTCTGGTGTGATAAGTGAGATTGCCATCTTGGTTGATGCCAAAGAATTGCAACGCATTTCTGTAACAGGCTTGGTATACATGGTGAGACTGGCTATCACTCGCTTCATCTCCAACGTCACCGCACACTTGAGCATGGTTTCGTTTAAGCAAAATAACCTTCTTTTGCCTGCGTCTTACACGTGAACCAAGCTACCAAGATATTGTACGCACCATCCCGTTGCTAAATCGCTGGCGTCACTCAGATAAGAGAGATGTTTTGCCTGCAATTGGTCCCCAAGTATCGGAAGCCGTCCAAAACGACCATCTCATTTGGCGCCCCTCACGTGTAAAGAGCAATTGTGCATGGCTCTATTTTTCTTATCAGACGCACAAGTAAAGAAGGTGGTTGTTGTTAGTTTTTTTGTGGGGGGAGGCTTGGTCGGTACTTGGGTACTTTGCCAATTCATGTGAGTAAAAAAGTTGTTTAATGAGAACAAGGGTAGATTGCTAAATTCATGGACACATCGTAACTCGTCGACCAATCACAAGCCTGACGCCATATTCCCCGGGGACATTCTCTCCAACTCGAGTTTTTGGAAGTTTGCCCTTGCTAAGAAAAGCATTTCATCAATTTATTACTTTTATTTATATGGTATGCCACTCATATCCAGTGACGCACTCGTGGTTGCAAATCTATCAATCTCCCCATGCTTTCTTGCTTTTATTTTCCGGACATCGAAATCCGATCTGGCGGAACTCCATCGCTTGGCTACAGACAAACCTTGGCGGGCTGCCCTGCATTTCAAGCTGACGGGGATAAAGGCTTGGCCCTTGTACTCCGGGGCATCCCGGCAGAGCGGCAGCCGGATGCTCACTTCCGTACCGTTGCTTCGGGGGCATTTTGGGTCCGCTCCGAGTTTTGGTGCCGGCACTCTACAGCACTTCAGTTCTTCAACTCAAGTCTCAGCACACATTTGATCATTTCGGTGAGACCGCACAGGAAAACAGGGATCTCGCTGAAAGTTAGTCACTTTCACTGAAGCATACGAAACCCATTCGTTCATCTTGGTATGCAAGATACCTGATGACTGACTGACCGTAGTTCCCTCCCTGTATATGTATACTTGAATGACGTGCCACGAATCCCAACTCCAACTCCAACTCCGGGCAAAACATAACATCATCCCCAGATTTTGCCCGTCCAATCAGACACCCTCTATCACAAGCTGATCAGAAATGATGTCCTCTTTCTTATCTTCCCTAGCATCACCTCCACCAATCAAGACTCTCCAGACCATCAAATCAATACAAATTACACTTGGTCATGTCCGTCAGAAACAAGGTTTGTGCACCCCTCCTCTACCGCTATCTCTGTTATCCTCACTCCTATCCTCTTTCTATTCTAGAAGGCATTGCCCTTGTCCCCGGGTCGGTTTGCGGGGTGGCTGTCTCGTCCCGCCGACCCGGAACCCCGAGATACGGAGGCATAGTTAAAATAATTCATAATTGTCACCACTCCCGAGGTAAGCTAGGTTGATTTCACCTCCGGCCTCCGTTCCGATTTATACTCTTGACCTACGAACCTGATTCTCCCGAAAAACGATGATCTCAGTAGCGGTTCTCTGTGATTTGTAACATGGTACCTATTCGAGCATTGAACCTCATCTGAGTTTATTTTGCTACACACTAAGCAAATTCAGGAACAATACATTATGCTGAATGCAACGCCTCCGATTCCATAGCACATTCGAGCATTGACGAGACTGTGTCGAAATCGCGCCTGATATCAAATGGTCCCCCATCAAGATCGGCACCAGCGGTCATCGCCAAGAGATAGCACAAAAATATTCTTATAGAAAACCCCAAAGAGTAAACTACCTACGCCTCTAAGGTCCAAAACTCCATTATCCCTAACCTAGCAGTGAATGATGAAAGCGTCCACCGGGTATCAATAAGCCAGTAGACTCCCAGCGAAGAAACAGTATGCAGGATATAGTTCAGAGATGGAAATGAAACGCCCCTGGGTCAGAAAATACATAGCTTTCCCGATTGTTCCTCTCGTGTCAGCTCATATGACAATATGTCGTGGTTTCGATAGTGCAGCATCAGCCGATATCGCCGGGGCATCGCTGGCCCTACACCTCCGACCTTACCTCCGATCTCGTCTCCCACCTGGACTGGCCCCATGGCCATTCCATGCATAGGTCGCAACGTCTTGCGATGTTCCGTCTCGTCGGATCCTGTCGGCAGCACCCACTCTACTCGAAATCCGTGCTCCCATGTTCCATCATCGCGCTCCGCAGGGACAGCCTTCCGAGTCAATGTCATCAGCACGACGCGCCCGGTTGGTGACCCGATAGCCATAAGTGAGAGCTCAGGGGCCAGCGCAATCATGTTGAGTCTACTGGTTGCATGGAAATGCCGCCTCAACCCAGGGTCGCGAAATCGTCCAAATTTGAGCGCGTCCGAGCAGATAACTCCAAACTCCGTCGGCAAGGCCCTGTTCGGGATCGGAGAGAATGAGCGCAGCTCTATATCCTTCTCGTAGGTCCGTAACAGAAACAGCCTTTTTCCGAGATCTGCCAGATACGCTTCTGGCAACTGTGGATGTCGATTGTACTCAGGAGGTCTCCTCCAATAAGCCATCATCATTTCTGCTTTTCGGGGTGTTCGATAGACCGTGTTGCTGTGAGGAAAATATGTCATGTCGAGCTTATGGGCAGCCGTTGCGTTCCCATTCATAGCATGCCCCAGGTCTTCCTTGTTCTCTCCCTGACCCTCAGAGTCCTGCTGCTTGAATGTCGCATCCCAAGCATAAAGATTATCAGGAGAACTGCCAGGTGACTTGTAAGTGCTCAGACCTTGCGCCAATTCGTGGGCTTGGAAATAAAAGGAGCTCCAATCTGTGCCCGCGACGATAGCATCCTCCTCCGAATCGACTTCTGAGCCGTCTTCCGAGTCGCCTCCTTCATCGTGTTCCTCATCGGTCTCATCTTCGGTGTCCTCGAATTCTTCCTCGCCAACATCGCTTCCCAAAAGATCTTCAGCCTGTACAACAAAACCTAGCTGAGGCATATCAGGTTCCCAAGCAAGAGGAATCATCGGGCCAGGCTGGCTTAGTGGCCTCAGCATGTTGTGTGGATTATCAGGAATATTAGCCACAGCGTTCCTGACGTTCACCAATGGTTGTTGACAGCCACTGCCTGCTGGGATAACTTCTAGTCGATTGGTGGGCACGCCAAACAGCTCCTCAGTAGTCTTGACCTTGAGAAAATCCCTCTCATCCAGAGCAAATATTCCCCATCCTCTGGATGGAGCAGGGTGGAACTCCTCACTTTTCAGTAGATTTGAACATAGTGGTGGAATGACTATTAGACCTCTGTTGCCTTGCCAAATATCTGCTAACCATGCAGTGCCCTTGATGTCGATTGCGCAAATTCGCTGCGCGTGGCCTTGACAATCGTCCACAAAACAAACGTTTGGGATATTGTCTGCACTAGGAGCCATCCGTATTACGACCCGCCAGTTCCGGGTTCGTGTTGGGATATCTAGGCGTGTCGTGCGGGACAAGCCTGCCCTGCGACTCAGGGGGTCTTGTGTGAGAGCCAGAGCAAAGACGACAACCTCATGCCTATTTGAGCTGACGGCGATCAAGCGAGACTTTCGATGGACAGCCAAGCCCCAAGCTGATATGCCAACATTTTCATGGAAGAATTGTTTCGGAACAGATTTGTGTGACCTGTCGCTTGTGGCACGGCATTCTTTGGCTTGTTTCTCAATTTCCTTGGTGTAATATGCCACCACATCTCCGTCGTCGTAGCACGCGAGGACTATTTCTTCGTCGCCAAGGAACCCTGTGATCATATGGTTGACTGTGTGTGGCCGAGACTCGTCAAGTTGTCCGCCGACTAACTGGGCGGCAGTACTTGCTTTAGGCTTCAGTTGTAGATCAGGTTGGCTCGGAAGTGCCTGGCTCGGGGCGGCACGGGGTCTGTAGACGAATATTCGGCCTTGGTAAGCAGAGAAGTAGAGCTGGAATGTGTCGTCAGCATTGCGACTATTAAAGGGGATTGGTATGGTCGCACATTGTACACTTGAGAAAGAGCAGTCAGGTTGCTCCGAAATTTCTGCATAGATGGTATCAAGCGGTATATTGAAGGCCCGGCATTTCTCTCGTCGTCTGAGTCGTTCCCGGGCCAGGTAAAGGGAAGCTCGGCGCTCTGGGGGTGCATGCCCAAAGTCACCCGCTCGCGATCACGGACTGCGGCTTTGGCGCCATCGCCAAACTGAATGGTCGCGAATAAAGCATCAGCGAAAAGAATATCCTACGCACACGAGCAATACTCACCCGGTCAGTAGCTGTTTGCGCATAGCATTTCCCCACGGATATTGGCTGGAAGTTGCGCTTGTAAGGTTGTTGACTTTCCATCAGCTCTCACACAACTCATGCGCGGGGAGGTGAGATGGCCTTTGCCGAGGTGTTGCAGCTTAGCAATTGCATCCAGGTGGCGGATGTATGGATGGGATTGGGCAATACCCTGCGCGCGTACGGCGACTGATTCGCTTGATTTTCGAGGATGCAATGTGATGTGATATGGTTGTTCTTCTCATGCAGAAGGCTGAATACCGGTGCTGTTACTGGGGGGAGCTGCGTGATGATGCACAAAACAGCACAGCACAGCACTTCCAGCTCGAACCTCGATCGTCGGTTTGCTTCTCGAAGAAGATGCAAGTGACCAAATCGAGAGTCGCGGGGTGCGGCACGTCAGTCCCTTGTTATCGATAAGGAGCCGGCGAAACCTCCACTGTAAGCTGAGATGCCGGTATGGAGTAAGGAGACGGAATCCTAGTAGTTCAGCCCAGCTCTTATAATTCCAAGTATATTCCTTGTAAGATAGGTAGCTAACAATTTTAGAATTAGGTTGAGTGATTGCGCTAGGATTTTTGTGACGTTGGTACAGAGCTGACTATGTGGGTTGCCTTGTGTTGCTAACAGTGGGTTTTTAACTGTCGACGATGATGTCAACTGGAAATCAGAGTGGAACAGCCTTTTATAGTTGAGTCTAGCAATCGACGTACCAAAGCAATGAATCACTAGGTACTATACCTTAAGGTACCTTGACAAATACGGTTAATCTTTGTATCTACACAAAGAACTTGAAATAGGGATGCACCTGTTTCATGGGAATTTCCAACACCTGACTGCTGATACATTCTGTGCCGATAGGACACAATCCCTGAAAATGCCATGCTGTCTATCTCTTTTGAAGAAGAAGACATAGGTTCTGATACCATGAGTGTCTTAGTTCGGTAGGGTTAAGAACTTATTAACAAGAAATTGGCTTGTTACAATTGTCACTCATCGATACGCACACAAACGTCCTAACAAGATTCCATTTCGCTGACAAAAGGTATATCCTCCAAATCCACATTTAAATCCAAACCAGAAATACATTCTCATTTCATCCATAGTCGTAAGGTATATCATCACGCTCAAGCCGACATGAGCTCAAGCATATCCTTCATCCGGTAATCAAGCACTGGAGTCTTCCAATCATCTTGTAGTAGTCCATATCTCTCCGTTGCATTCCCCTTCGGCTTCCGGGCATTCAGCGCCCAGTATCCAAAATCAGAATCTTTCTCCTGGAGGAAACGAACTAAGTGCTGCCAGTAATTGGCGTCACCAACAGACGGCTGCACAGGCGCCCCGATCTCGCCAACCCACACAGGAGCAATCTGCTTATCGACGATGTATCCCCAGTTATGGTGCATCGTCTTCGCGAATGAGTCGTAGTCTCGCTGAAGGAAACGGCCCTCCCAGCTTCCCCAACCAGACCAAGCGTACACGTGTGCTGAGTATACTAGTCGGTGTGTAACATCCAACAGGACAGGACGTTTACACACTTTGGACAGATCGTTGGAAGACTCGGTGCCCTCGACTATAACAAGCCAGTCCCTATTCATCTGAAGAAGTCGGTTGCCGCATCTTTCAGCAGCTGGCGCCCACTTCGACCACGGCATGGTTCCCCAAAGGCCGCGGATCTCATTCCTGAGATCAACACCAATGACAAGCGGGTTGTTGATGTGTGGAAGCATGATAGTCTCCCAGTGCTGGATCCATTCGTCCTCGGTCTGCCGCACGCGACAGACGGGGCCCAAATGATCATTCGACCAGCCAGCATCACAAGGATCAGCACCGCAACACCAGGTTGCGCTGGTTATGTGGTTGTTCACAATGACAGCGATGCCCGATTTAGTCAGCGTCTGAACAACAATATGGAAGATGTCCAGTGCCCTCAGACCGACCAAATCGGGGTTTGCGCGAAGGTGTTTTTCTTCGACAACTGGATTCTTGATGACCAACTCATCAGCATAAGGTAGCCTCACACTATTGAAGCCGAGCTTCTTGATAGTCTTTGCAATATCGTCGCGATGTTGGATATCCAAACCTCCGGCGACAAAAAACTCATCACTGGCACCATACCAGTTCACCGAGGCCAACTTGAAACGACGGCCGTTGACATCTACAATATCTCGTCCTCTCGTCCGTAAAGGGAGTGTATAGTTGGTGATTTGAAGATGCTCTGGAGGCGGAGGCAACGGGTTCTGGCTAAATCGTTCGCTGGCAGCATCGGGGATCCAGCTCCGATGCAATGCGGTCTCGACCTTCCAGCGATATACGTATCCGACTCCAAGACATAGTAATAAAGCAGCGAAGAGAATTGCGCTACTTGGACTACGTAGACAACTACATCTCCGTGTTCGTGTCCGGATCCAGGGTCGTCTTTGATTTGTTGGCTTCTCGAAGTCAGCGAATCGAACACGCCGTCTGGTTTTTTTCGTCGGTCCTAAGTCTTGATCCAATTCTTCATCCTCGTTTTGACGCTCATTCCCTTCCTTCATGATACGATTCTGCTCGATATCCGTCCAGTCGCCCAGTAAGTGGTTCCGTTGTTGGGGGTCGTCCACCGTCGGAGTCGGAGTCGGAGAGCGGGGCCGTGTCCCGCCAAGGAAATGCGGCACGCGAAGACCTGACCACATTCTTCCACTTTGAGGCTGAAGTCACGTTTCTGAGCCTTATCGTATTCGGTTATGTATTTGAGAGCTTCAACTGAGGGTATCGATATGTTGAGCTCGATAGAGACAGAAAAATCTTTATCTCTGGTTGGTAGGCCGTCTTGAGGGCCTTCCACGGGCTGATATAATCTGTGATGGTAATATCTGTGTATGAATGGGCTTAAAACAAAACTTCAATGGTAATGTTTAAGAGGATGTCAATCATGTATGACCTTAGGAACAAGGCGGAATCAGAGACAACAAGTCACACTGAGAGGGCTGTCTCGGAGCTATTTATCATGCCTTGAGCCATCAAGTACCCATGGAGCTCTTTGACATACCAGTCCGATCGCCAAGTTATACTCAGGCCCTCCTCTTCCGGCTCATCCGGAAGAGTATGCAGGGCGTTGTGACTAATAGAGCGTGGTTGATGGAGAGTGGCCATGACACCACGCGACACGGCATTGGGCAGAGACCTCAATTTCGTCATTGGTGAGCTTAAGCTTACTTATTTGACTAATCGGGCTCGCTTCATCATTCATTCACGTACGGACATAGCGGGTTTTCTCATCTTTGTAGCTTGACATTATTAAGTAATTGACACCTTGTATCCCGCATCACCTCTATGAAAATGTCATGATCAGGCGCATGTCAAACAACCCAGATCAGGGAAGATCGCATGGCGGTGCTTGGCATCTCAATAAAAGCCCGTATCGCCGAACTCGAACACGATGATTCGTTCTCGGTGCCCGCATAACTCCATTGCAGTGTTCCTGAATCCGCAGCTTCCGGTACTTGCCCTGCTTGGCTCCTCCATGATTCAGATCAGCTTTTGTCTTTGCCATTCCCAGCTTTTGCCCAGCCAATGTTGGAAACTCGGGGTCGCACTGATTTGCAACACTGGCATCATGAATCAGCTGGCACGAGACATAGTCGTCTTATCTCCGCCCATCCGTGCATATTCCCGCGGAAGGACGAATGTCTGAGACAATACCATTCTATATATGGAGTCACAGACTCACCATTACATTTCCCCTTCTTCCTTTGCCTTGCGTCACGAGTCTGGTCGGCTGATTCGTCACATCGACATTTCCTCAATTGCTGTTCCTCCTTTATTTTCCCGTGTCGAATTGCAAAAGCGCAAACACCTCGCTGTCGCATTGATGGACATTCCCATTTCAAGATTGCTTAACAAAGTAAATGCAGTCGTTGGTGTCAATCTCCTAAACCTGATATGGATAGGAATTGCGGCGGACGGTCTTCATCGCTCTGCGGCCATCATCATTTTGGGTATCATCCGAGCCAGCGTGCGATTTGCCGTTTCCGGGGGTATATATAGATTATATGTAAGTACATTCATGCATTAGTAGTCTCCTCTGAACTCTTTCGTATGTGCGGTCAGCCCTCATCATGTTCGGTTCATGGCAAGGGGGTTCATCTCTTTGCTATAAGTCGGCATCGGATATGAATCTCCCGTCTCCCGCCCAGTAGGCGGAGGCCTGGGGCTCGAAAACGAACGCACTGGCGCATGATAGCGTGCAGTCGAACCGAAGTAATCAGGAGTTCTGCGTCCACTCTCTGGGGACTTTACTGGAGTAATGGGTGTTACTGCCGCGCTCGAATCTCTTGAGAGCATCTCGTACGAACGTGGATGGTTCTTTACGTCGACACGTGCGTCGACCGACACAAATTCCTTCTTGTTCCGAGTAAATGGCTTCTTGATCAAGTCAATCCAGCCTTGAACCATGGACCATCTTCCGAGGAAGAGGATCAGCCAGAGACCATTCAGCTATAGTTGTCAGCAAACATTTCAACATCGTAATACTGATACAGGACACTTACCGCCAAGAGAAGGAGAACAGCCGTGACAGTCGCTTCGTTGATGACCAGCGAGGATGCCTCGTCTAGACAAGGTTCCTTTTTGCCCTTTTCTTTGAAGAGACATTTGACGAAAGCGCCTGCCTTGGTGGGATCGTCGGCAACAGATTGAACCACGTTGTCTTGGAAGACAAAAACGACAGAGAAAAAGATGACATCAGCAATGATGATGAGCACTATGGCAATACCACGCCATTGGAGTGCGATAACTCGACGAACTCGACGGTAGACCTGCCTTGGGTTCATGGTCTTGATGCTTTGTGTATAAGTGGGCAAGCTAGAGCCCTCGGAGGATGCGCCGTTGTCAGACAATGATGCCAAGTAGACCTTGATACAGTAACCAAAGGTGGCAAAAGTAATAATAACGGTCAGTCCAGCGAACAGGAGAAGCGGGATCCAAAAGTCGGCCAGACTGTTCTCATGATTGATATGGCATGTAGCACCAAAGCGGAACGAAACGCCGCTAAAGACGAGAGCCAGGATTATACCCAGGATAGGAACGCCCCATCCAGCTGCCTGAGCAAAGATCATGAAGTTCTTGCCAACGAGAACTTGCCAGCATATCTGTAGGTGAAGCGATACCGACCTAAGAAATACCCACATGATACCTGCCCAACCACCAAGAAGGAGAAAGGTACCAGAGGCGCCACAGACCTTGCTAGTCTGCATGCTATGCGGAGTGATCGTGTTGTAACATTGCTCTGGTTGTGCTGCAAGAGGAATCACGAAACCCATCTACAATCCAAAAATGTCAGCGACTTCAAGAGACTAGATATGAGAAGTCATTGTGCTGTCACCTACATTCATAAGCAAAATGGCGACTGTAAGACAGATGCTCAGGTAATGGCGGTTGGTCTTTTCTACAGGCAAGAATGCCCATGATAAAAGAAGGAAGATACAACATATCTGGCTGAAGAGCGAAACCCAGTTCGCAATCGCCGTCAAGGTGTCGAAGCGATCAGGGTAGACCCAATCCGTCATTGGACAAGGCAGACAACACTGGATAGTTGCTACTGTTTGGCAGAGGCGCCCATCGATAACTAGACGTCTGTCAGAGGGATCATTCAAGGTTTCCAATTCGCAGCTCGCTTACATCCGCCCTCAGAAGGGAATAACGCGGCATCCCAAAACGGCGGAGGGCAAAGGTTGACCCCCGATGTGTTGTTGGCCATGTTGAAATGAGTAGGAGAAGCCGTTACAATGTCGTGAATGGGTATGCGGTGCCGGTCCTTCACAGGTCGTATTATGCCGTTAATAGATACTCCAAGACCAAGAACAGTGAATTAGAGACTATCCAACGTCGCTCTTTTCCGTTTAGTTCCAAGGAGAGCGAGGTCGAGGTCGAGGTCAAGGTTGAATTGATTAAGCGTTGTTACAACATAGCAAACGTTTCGCTAATAGTTCGAAGCTGTATGACCGGATGGCAGCACCGAGATGGTCTCGAGGGGATGCACTGATATCGCGTGCGGGACAAAAGGTAGCACAGAAAGGAATGATACAAGAGGATGGCGAGAAGATTACACAAGAGTTGTTAAGACAGCCGGCATAACAACACCAACAGTGCGATTGGCACATAGACTCATGAGACGACCAGCGAAGACGGAGTCACTCGCGTGAGGAGGGAGGGCACACGGGTCATATAAGTTAGAAGGAGAGGGAGATCTGTATGCAAGTGTATTTGGCCACAACCACTACCGACCTCAAAAGCACTGGCAATGGGGAATCGAGAACAAGACTTGAGGCGAGGGTGGAGGCAACAGGGTCTGCTGCTTCTCACCATCCCTGCCAGACTGGAGAACGAAAAGGCTGCAGGAGACTTTCTTTCTGTGCATCTGCATCTCTACCACCCATTCAGAGCATCCTGGATCAGTGATGGCATGGCAGACCAGGACCAGGGTGGTGGAAAGGGGCCAATTAGAAAGTCCTGGGAACTGTACTGTTGAATATACAGGCGCTGTAGACTGCTGAACACCAAAATTCGAAGTATCATTGGGGGACGTGGTCTGTGATGACGAGCGGGCACCCATTGGGAAGGGCCTGGCGGAGGCGGGCGACGAGGGAACAAGTGAGGTTACAGGGGTTGCTAAACTTGGGAATGACCCACTCCCGTGCATCGCAGCCATCGTGAGGCACAAGAGACAGAGAGGTGAAGTTCCTGAACCTAGGGACTTTTGGGCGTGGTGCAGCAGAGTCTAAGTCGGGTAAGTTCACCAAGATACCAAAACGGGCATATTTTGGAACCAAGTCTGCAAGTCCACAGGGGGCAGAGGCGAGGTTTAACTGAGCCGGAGGTTTCCAAGTGGAGCAACAGCTTCTTGGACGATACCCTGACGCCCTGCGGTGCCTGGCCCCGGAGGCCTGGAGGTGGAGGGGCGGGGACTCAGGGGTCATCGATGCATGTCTTGGCCGTCACGACACTCCCCGGTCTTGTTTGACTGAATCTGACTGACGCGACAGACCGACTGACGACAGGGACGTCTGAAATCTTGCCTAAGAATGGGTTTTGAGCGATGAGTGATCCGACTAAATGAGAACGGCGCAGTGGCAGTTTAATCTTAACAGTAGACTGGTGCACATACCTGACTACATACGTATGTGTCAGGTTGGCCGTTGTTAGGTCTGGTCCGTGTGCTTAGCTCGCCGAGATCGACAGCAGTCAGTTATCAACAGTCGTATCCAGGACCCAGGTCCTACAGTACCAGTAGGATCTCTCGGGTTGTTGGGTGCCATTGGTAGTTTCTCAACCAAACAACATGTTTGACTCGAAGTAGCCGTATGCATGCGAAATGGCGAGTCTTCCGAGCAGGCCAACCGCCAATGTTTTATGCTCCCATCTCTCATAAGTGGTATGTTGGGCCAACTGCCAACGCTCAACCTTGATTGGCTGGTCAAGAACGGCGTCAGAGTGTAGACAAGTACAGTAATCGGAAACGCTGGCAGCCTATTATGCTGACAAGAAAATACAAAAAGGAAAGGCTTTGCCAAGAGTCGTTGCACATCATAGCAAGAAGCAAAGAAAATAACGGCTTGCGGAGAACGTTTGGCACTTGTATTGCAGGCTTATTACGGGTGCAGCCGGTCGACGTCGAGGGCTCCGGCGATCTTTCTTTGTTGTGTGAATTCGAGTCAGTACGTGGCCCAAGTGATCAAATACTAACCTCTATGCTTTTAGAGATACGCAGGACGAACTCCAGCAAACTGATCCGTGGATAGAGCCAAATTACGTAGGTCCCATAGCCACTCTATTAGCAGCTCACCACCGCAGACCGTTGTTTACTAGAGACAATTCTCAGGGCATCTCATCAACCGTGCTTGATTTGAAACTTTAGCCAATGCACAGATGAATCGCTCCGCTGGACAGTGGAGCTGATCTGAGCTGAATTGAACTCAGTGCAACAGTCCCCAAGTCCTTGGAATACAAGACGTGGTAACCAATCAGTGCAATGCCGACATCTCTGATGTACGTCCAAAGAGTGGATGTGACATTGTCATCCAACAAATGATAGTGGTCGACAGGAAAGGCTGTTGATGCATTATGTTGTCCTGAATGAATCAAATTGAGTATTTGACTTTCCAAGTGATGGAAGAAGGGAGCTACGCAGGGATTGGGATTTGACGGACAGGCATCGATCTGTGGGACTGCTCTTTCCCCCGGACATACGGTTCACCCACAAATTGTTTCCTTCCACGGGGGCCACAAGGCAGACCCAGTGGAGTCTCGGGCTGCCGTTGAAGACGACCTTAACTACAGAACATAACACTTACAAAGTCATTATCACCGTTTTTAATCTTAGTAACTTCATACTAAGAGTCTTGTCTGGGATCCAGTGTCTTTTCTAGTACCAATTGTTCGCTGTTCCCTACACACTCACCCGACGCTGATGTGTCTATCCCAGTCGTTACAATCAAAAGTCCAGTCTGCGTCCATCGATATTATCATGAGGGGCATGCCTGGGCTGAGCAGGTTAAGAGCTAACATTCGCGTAAATGCTCCAATACGCATCGACGTCTTTTCACGGCTCGTCATTCGACATGTTATGGTGCGCCACCAGCAGAGGATCAAAAGCCTGCGCGGCAGGCTTAGCCACTAAAAGTCTCTCTGGATGCTTCAATCACTAGCATCGCCATCTTGGCACTTGAGAACATCTGTCTGGTAACTTTGACTGGCTTCTCGGCCCTTCTGACACCCTTGTCGACCCCTGGTCAGTCACTGTCGCTCCGCTGAGCGGCTCCCCTGTCACTCCCGCCATGCAACACCCATGCTGATTGATCCTCTTCTTGCTGGCCGGCTTTTGGTTCTGGTTGGCTTGGTGGTCTTTGCCACTCAGGAACCTCGTCACTTTGTCTTGTCTTTCAACATGGCAACTCAGCGTCTGATTCGCATCTTGAATTTTTCGCTCACCAACGAGCCCACTATCATCAAATATGCTGGGTCCAATCGCTGTTGGAAGATGACGTTCTCAGCCATAATGTATTCAATCCTTACGGCGAAGCATGACATTTTTCGCAAATCAACTAGCATATGCGTATTTATTATCTATTATTTGTTATAGGCATGGACTCAACGATATAGATCTCAGAACACTCCTTTCACTTCAACCGCCTGAAGTTTTACCACCTCTCGGATAAAAATATTTCACCCGGAAATCTCAAGGAGATGTTTTTTGTGACATATCCGTTCGAGCGCCATTTCCTTTGGTCGACTCTAAATGCAAGCAACCTCTTGTGGTGAGCTGACGTCGTCTATCACACACATCACACCGAACCATGCTTTTCTACATCACAAACAATGTCTGAAATGTTGATCTAACGCATCTCCGCATAGACAACCGTCAGCGTCATTGTTGGAGATTTGTGGAAGATGCCACTCTCTGGACAAAGACAAATAAGGGTTCCACTGTCTGATCAACACAACGACTGTATCTATCTGGTGGTGCCGTGCCTTGCTGGTACATTGGATGCAGGTACGGATAATAACTATCGACGTATCCCATGCTCAGGGCATATCAGCCACTTCCGCTGAAGTCTGCAGGACCTGCAAAGCTGATGGTGTGGCATCTTTCCTTTTACAGCCACTCTTCGGTCCGTTGGTGCGATGTCTTCAATGTTGACAATGACGCCATGTGAAAGCTTGCAGCCACCGATCTAGGAGCCTAACAGGCCGACGGCATCCTCAACCCGCTCTCCTAGATGAGATATTACGGAGGGATTCATAAATGGTTGAGGAGAATCGCATGCTTGAACATGTCGTAATGGGCCTCCACTTGTTGCAAAGTCAACAGCATGTAAGAAAAACACACACTGTCAGCAATTGACTTGTATTTCTTTCAAATGTGGAACTGGCTTTCCATGTTGATGGCTATCTTCCCCGCAATCTCCGCCCCAGACAACTCAATCTTCCTCTTGCCCATTTACCTCGTTAGCTCGTGTCCGTGGAGAAGGGATACCTAACTATGTAGCATGTGAGCCCTAAGGATCCCGACTATCTGCACTGCAGCGAAACCACATCTGAATGGGAAGTTCTTTTGGATACGATAGTCACTAAGCTATCAAAGGAACGGCTTGCATTGAGATATCCCTGGAAAAAGGGGGAGGTTCTTCGAGACTTGAATTGGGCCCGGCTCAGATTCCTATTGCAGATATATGGCGCAATTTTCACTCACTTCCCATTAATTGTCAAATTTCCAGGATAAAATCGCTCGGAATTATTTAAAATCTGACAGTTCTTGCAAGGGTCGAAGTAAATAGCCGTCTGCCTACTCCGTCACAAGGCTAAGTCTACCCTTGGCATCTGTCAAAGACGTGGCGCTCCGGATATATCTCTTTGGTAATGCTATGGACTGGGGCGTCTTATTACAATCAGTGATCTGATTCATTGTCTAGTGAAGAGTTTGTCGACTTTGATGTGCCTCACGCCTGCATCTATGCAAAGCTTCCACTCCGAACCTTGTATGTATTCCTCCCGTCTGTACAATTTGTGGGTGCAGTGTCGAATTCGGTATGTTATTCAAGGATCTGACCATTACGAGGCTCGCGGGAATCTTCCCCGGTCTAACAATACATAATTATATGCATGACACCGACTTCGGCAACTGGCAAACGTAATAGTCGAACCAAAATACGTATAGGTCTCAAGGCTTGGTCAGATATAAGTAACATACATTCAGTCGGAGGTGCATTCCCTGTCAAACGAAGCTCTCTTGGCAGCTATGTTGGTGTATTATCTCCGGTTTAATACCAGCATAAGCAATATGCTGCATTCGACGCCATCCACTGTAGCAACACCGTTTCGATTTGAAACCGTCATATTGCTTAAAGTTGTTGCCAAATGTCGGATGTAGTAACACAGTCATCTTTTGTGAATTGCGGCACAGCAACTGAACTTCCCCCGTGAAGGAGGGCAAGACATTCAGATCTGCAGCAACTCAAGCTAACATAGATCGGGATGCTCAAGATTTGAGACGGTGCATGTCCACGTCTGCGAGCTGCCGTCAGCTTGAAATGCAATCTCCGAAACAGGCCTCTTTAGAGTGTTTATTATCAAGTCCTCCGCGTTCTAGTAGCTTTAGAACAACTAGAAAAAGTCAAAAACGTTGTGTGGAACCCGGCATTTAATGCTTCCGACCATGAGAAGAAAAGGGCAGTTAGTGGTTTTTATCAAAAGCTGAAACGACGGGTAAGAGTTGAAACCGAGACTGACAACGAAGCCTATGACACGGTCGTCAAACCCACCCCAAAGTTGACTTTCCTTCTTGGCTATGTTAGTCGATGATCCGAGCCCTGCATCCGGTTGCAGTGGATATGAGAAGCCCCTTGTGTCTGTGCAGGAGGCTAACTCCATCTGGCCGTAACTCCGAAGGATCATTAACATCAACCGTCTAGGATTCTTCTTCTAGTCTTGCACAGACATCGAACAAGAAACTCCTCAATTTCTGATGTTCCGATCATGTCGTCGAAGAGCTATTCTGCCCTATTGAATGAGCCAAGCTCAGACTTTGTACTAGTCCAATGCATATGAGTTTTGGGGACAACGATACCGAATGTCACATCATGCCTTTGACCCTCGTCGATGAACCCGGGTAGTACTGGAAATCCTCGGATATCATTACAAAGGGCTGTACCGAAGCTATTCGGCCAATATTTGCAGTCTAGGATTAGGATGTCGGGCCACATAACCGCAGCAATATGATCTTCACTATGGATCCGTTGTGGTTGCTTTGCTCGAATGTGACCCAGGAACCAGAGACTGGGAGGGTGACCATGTGCCAGAATACCAGTCGGAAGTTTGAGAATCATGTCACAACCTTCTAGCCACGCATTCTAGACGTTCGACATTGGTCCGGATTGCTGATGCCTGTCAGGTTGTGAACCTAATTTTGGGTATTGATGTTCCTTCTCTTCAGCACGTCTAGACGGTAAGGGCCATGGCTGAGATGGCAGTCGCCTAACTGTTGCGTTTCATGATTTTTCCATAGGGTTGTTAGTGCAACCTCATTGCTCCGCCATAGGGCCGTCTATGTTTCAATCGCCTACGTTAGCGACTCCAGGCTGGGTAACCGAGAGCGATCCGCACACAGCGGACGATATCCAGATGCGTGGGTATTGCACGGGTTCAACACGATAATATCGTGGGTTAAGACCAGAGACCCTGATGATCAGTCACAAAACCCTTCAGTCAGCCTTTACGGGAAGGTCTTGCCAAAAGGAAACAAGAGCCCGATGTGAGCCCGATGTTCTGGAACCGAACAAACAATTCTTAAAACCCCATTGAAATGCAACTTAAGCACTCGTTAAGGAGCCTGCAGGAAGTGGGAAAACCACATGAGCTTCCTCTTACGACCACTTGGACCGAGCGTGAGACGAATCCTTGTGGACAGAAGAGGAACAATGCTCGCTCAATCCAGGTCCAAGCACTGCAGAAGACGTCTGAGACCCCTGTCCCTGGCTCTGGGACCAAGCGGCGGAAACACGATCACTCGAACCACTGTGATGGGTGACAGGATTATGGCTTTGAGGTACAGCTATAACGTCCGTCACCCAAAGACTGGCCACCCCCACAGACCGGCCACCCCGACCAAAACACCAAGAACCGGATATCATGATCAATTAACTAATTATCTCAACACCACATTTTTTATATTAAATAAAAATTTAGTCAGTGAATATTTAGATGAAACTGAGTACAAAGGTCCTCAAGTTTTAATTTCTTAACCCTATTTGCCGTTCTTTCTGGCTGCAAAGTCCTCCACATCTGTTCACGAGCCTTCTTGATCGCTGGAATCTTTGCGAACTCAGCATTTGGGTTATAGATAACTTTTTTACGCCTTTTTGGTCGATTTTCTTCATTTTCCCGCTGTAGAACACTTATTTGTCTATTTTGCTGCTCAATATTGAAGTTATGACGGTCCAATTGACTGCCAATCTTCCTGAACAGCAGCCTGATAGTCGGATCTTGAGTTGCAGAAGCTGGGACTAGGTCTAGAGCTCGCCGAAGCTGTACAGACGACTGGGGAGTCTTCAGGAGACTGGAATGCTGCTCTTTAGCCGGCAAATTCGCTGTGACAGCGGGAGAAGGTGTCTCTGTGACCATCGGGTTCATCAGGACCTTCGCCAGATTGACAGGCCACAGTCCAGTGGCTTTGAAGCCGGCAATCGCGTTGGACTTCGTGATAGCTTCTCTCCGAGCCTTGTCGTAAGTGTATAGAAATGTAATCTTGCCGACGTGACTGTCATCAGCGACAGAAACAAGATCTAAAAGAAGTCGACGATATGCCCTCTTTAGGGGACCAAAAACAGCAACATCTAGTGGCTGAAGGACATGGGAAGCGTGAGCAGGAAGAAATAACAGATATATATTGTTATCATAGCATTCCCAAAGGAACTCTTCTGTAACATGACTTCCGTGGCCGTCAAGAATAAGAAGACGGGGTTCTTTTGGATTCTCGGGCTGCGTCGATGGAATAAAGACTTTTCTCAACCAAACCAATGCCAATTTATTACTCGTCCAGCCCTTATCACTACAGGCGAATTCCCAGTCATCTAGGAAGTCTAAATCCTCAGGGAAATGTTGTTGTTGGACTGTTTTCCCCTTGAAAATGACTGTAGGTCTCAGGACTTTCCCGGTTGCTGAGATACACTCGAGAATTGTAATCCAGGCACGAGAACCAGGCTGACGAATAAGTACTGACTTCTTCGACTGATGACCAAGGAATAGACCGTTCATTCCTATTCCTTCCATCATTCCAACTTCGTCGACGTTGTATCTGTTCCCCTGCTTGACTAGGCGTATCGCCGGCATCATCAGGAGCATAAAGAATGCCTTTATCAGTTCAGAAGAAGCTCCCTGATATCGATCAGAGTCAATTTTCTTGCCTTTTAAAGTCCTGATATCAGGATTTCGTCCTAAAAAGCCCTGTAACCAGTTCTTTCCGACGCCTTCTGGGAAGCCGTTGCGGACGGCAATCTTGCTGGCGAACTCTCTGACTTGCTGATGTGATACAGGGCATCCTAAATCAGCCTGAATAATAATCCAGTCTCGCAGATGCTTTTCCTGAATATCAGAGAGCTTTTGGCGAGGTTTTTGGGCTTCTCTTGGTGTTGTACTTCCTTTGATCCGACCTTGGAGCGTTGAACGGTTGATGCCATTAGCTTCGGCTGCTTTATTCACTGACATACCCTCTGCAACCATCTGGAGAGCGGCGCTCATATCTTTTTCAGTAAAAGAAGGCATTCTGAATTGATTGGCGTTAGTTTGAAATTAATTGGAATTAAATTGGTAGAGTTGTGACTGTTTAAAGTATATATAAATTGGGTGGCTGGGTTAAAAGTGAGGTGGCCGGTCTGTGGGGGTGGCCAGTCTTTGGGTGACGGACGTTACGGGAAGGATCACGGCTGATTGTGATATGGTATGGAGGTAATATATCGGCGACAAAACCTTAAAGCATTATAATATATAGTGTTAAAGTTCCATCTTGAATATATGTATCCGCATATCTGCGGACTGTTGAGTCTCGGCGCGCTTATGTTGAGCTGTTGTCTCTTTGGTTTCTGAGCTTAGACAGCGTTATCATCTTCATGGTGGTTCATGAGACCACTTCGAAGAAAAGCACATACAGCTCAGACACGGATCAGATTAGAGCCGAGTAACATATAACAAGACGCGTCAGCGTCTGATAGAGCCGGATGTTTTGTTATTCCTAAGTTGATACAAGATTGCAATACCTTTTCCATAAAATGACGAAGAAAATAGGGTATCTATATCTCATTCGAAACTCAGTCATGGAAGAACACGTGACTGTAGGTGTTTGACGAGAGTTGAGAGAGAAGTTATGAGTTTCGCCGTTATGCTTCTTCTTTGATGAAGTTTAGGTATATCGAGATTTAAATGCAATTATTTAGTTATTCAAATGATACATGACCCTCAATCAATAGCTCGTGTCACCAGAATACGAAAAATATCTGATGCTGACTCAGTATCAGAAGTCACTCACGCACGGAAATGGTTTATGGACTCAGCAGATAGTGATAGTAGGAAGGGTGTATTAAATAACAATTCAAAAGTGCCGCATATACAGATTTGTAACAAATCTCATAGGAGCAGCTTCTTGTGTTGCCAATTCTCGGGCTGGGATGAACACTGTTTTTTTCGTTTTATTTTTTTTTTGGCTGTTGATCTGCCCCGCCGGTGTTGTTTGTCATTCTAGCTTCACAGAGTCACACAAGTGACATAACTCGTGACCAACAACAGTGTACATCAATCAAGCTCTAGAACCATCGTCAAATCATCGTGCCGTTGTACTACGCTAGCTACAGCTACTATACATGGTATAGTCTCGTATTGGATTCAAAATAGCGAATTGCCTCAACCGGATTGAGTCACGCAAATCATATCACTCAACGTCAGCGATGGGCAAAGAGACTCCCCTTGTGTCATCTCGACGTCTCTCCAACGCCGAAGGCGATCCTGTCGCTGTTGTCCGCGTTCGAAATCTCCAAACGACTATCCAAGGACCCAAAGATGCCTGGGGTCGAGGTTCTAAGCAGCAGCCTCTTCTGATATCCGCCGAGGTGTCACTGACGCATGCGTTCCCCTCATCGTCGTCAGACGACAAGGTCGCTTCCGATACCGTTCACTATGGGCTCCTTAGCAAATCTATCCTCAGCACACTGGAGAAGTTGCCCAGGTCAGCTTTGTCGTTGAGCGATGTGCTCAACAGGCTCTGGGTTGACCTTACTGGTTTCCAGTACACTGGCGTGAAGGAGCCTTCCGCACAAAACAGAAAGGCTTTCCTCGATATGAGCCTTATCCGAAGGCTTTCAGTCTCGCTCGTTCTGCCCAAGGCCTCGTTGATGGGAAGTGCAATCCGACTCTCGGGATCGTGTCTCTTCGCCGACTCAGCCATCACCGCGCGAAGTCTGGAGCTGGGTCTGGAAGGGATCAGAGTGCCAACACTCATCGGTGTCAACAGCAATGAGCGAAACGCTAAGCAAGTCGTCATCACAAACATCCGCATCGATGAATACCAAACCGCACACGATGACTATGCTGTAATTGAGAGTACCATTGTTGATGTAAGTAGACTATGAAAGGCTTAGTGGACAAATATGCTAATCATCACAAAGGCCATGTCAGAATCGTCATTTGAAACTCTGGAGGCTTTGGCAGCAAGTCTGGCTTTCCATATTGCCCGGGAACTCAGGACCAAGCGTGACGATTTCTACGGACAAATCATTCGCATTGGACTCGAGAAGCCAACAGCCGTGCCTCTGGCCGAGGCTGCCTGTGTTGAGCTCACGGTCAGAACCGAAGATGTCAAGATCGAGGTCTCTAAGACGAAAGATGTTAGGTTTGATGATACTAGAAACCAGATTGCGCACTCGAATGACAGGAAGTCGTAGTGCACTTGGGCTTAGGTAGAAGTGTGATACGGGGAGTAAAAAGTCGGTCGCATGTGCCTATATGGCTTCTTGGATGTATTATTCCTTTTTCAACTGCTCAAGTTCGCTTTCGACAGCCTGCATATTCTGTACATGACGCAGTAGGTAGTATTGATCAACGTATATGGCGTTATCAACACCAATGCTTCAGCATATCCAGCTTACTCCAACAAAGACGAACCGCCGTAAGTGATACCTGTTTAGTAACTCTCAACACTCACTTGTGAACCCCCATTCCTGCCCGCGGAACGTCTCCCTTCGTGACCTTCCGTACAAAGTCGGGATCGGGGTTGAAGAGCATGACGTGAAAGTGCTGCACGGTATTGACTGATTGCAAAGAATGCCAGTTCCTAAACCAAAGAACCTATGCACATGAGCCTCACAAATGAATCACCTGTAGTGACAGGAAAGACTCACATTCTCCTCTGGGATATGCGCTCGAAAGGTCTTTGTCACAAAATCATCAATCTCTTTTCTTGCCTTGTCCGTCAAATCTCCCGTGGCGGGATCTTCTACGAGGTCGAACTTTGTCCACACGACAAGGTGCGCTATTCTCGGATCTATTCCGTAAGGAGCATCATTCCATAGGATCTTATAATCGTCCTCGAACTCAAACGGTGCTCCGCGCGGCGTCAGTGGAGTACTCCATCCAAGACGATGTTCATGAATGAAGTTGGCGATACTGCCGTACTTCTGTTTCAGATAGAACGTAAAGGCTTTGTAGCGTCTAAGCTCTGAGGGAACACGCTTGAACTTCTCTAAGCGGTTTGTTTGGATGATGTCGTGGACTTCGGCCCAAGAGAAGATGTGGTACTCTTGGTCTGGGGTGGAGAGAATGCCTTGATCTTTCTTGTGGAGGCCTTGGAGAAAGTCAGGACACTCTTCGGTTCTCTGGTCCTTGGGAATGTTCATGTTCCAGAAAGGAACAGTTTCTGTGCTCCCCATGGTTTCTAATGTTGAGTGAGATGAAGTTACGGTGAGACGGACTCTTCGTATTATTGGTGATTATGTGAAGAAATCGAGATGCAATTAGACCGGATGTTGCCCGTGAAGGAACCAGTTTCAGTGTTACTTAAAGTTGATTGTCTCTTTGCCAAATATCTGGTCATGGGACGCGTTCTTGTGAGGTAGAAGTTCCATGGAGGGTTGGATTGATATGGCTGCGTCTCCACAGAGGGACGCGCCACAGATAGAAGGGTGACAATGCAGAGAAGCACGCAAAACATGTCCAGTTACAATATGTCTAGTCTATTGGTTACCCAGATTGTTTAATTCATACAAACTATGAGTCAGGCATCGTGATCGGGCCATTTATGATAAACAAGTGTTGTTTTTTTGTGGTAGATCCAGGCCAAGTTTCTCAATTGTTACTTCAGAGGACGTGTCCCAACGGGCCACTCTCAGGACAACTCCACTATAACGGCAGCTGAAGGGGGGAGTTAGAGGTCCGGTGAGCCACTGTGATGCATATGATTGTCGTCTAGCTTCCGTGATTGTGGAGGAGCTGTCAAGAAGCTCAGAGAAACAAGTGACGTTGAACTGATACCTACAGTACTCACTACCTATGTATCTGTGCCAGGAAAAATGGTGGTGAATCTAGGGTAGCAAAATGAAAATAACTGGGTAGGTTCTCACCCAGCCTCTTATCCAATGCCAAGGCCACGTGGAGAGATATAAGCCCGATGTAATACGGCAGGTCGAAGCTTGCATTTGACAGGAGTCTCTAAGTCAGCTATCTTTTGGTCTCCATTCACCCATTGGCCACGGAACGGAACGGAACGGGAGAGGCGTATGTGAGCTGGGCCCCAAGTGTTCCAAACACTCTTGGAAATGTCAATGGTTACCTATGCCTACGATATTACTCCCGGTCTTCTGATACGTAACAATCACAACGCTTACACTCTCCTCAACCTTGTAAGCAAGAATATGCATCTTACAGGGAGATCGACCGATGTAAAGATAGCGTCAAGACTAGCCATGATCAACCTCGTTGCATCCACTTCTGCTCATTTCGACTGGGCCCAAGCCTGCGAGGATCCAATAATACAGCCAATTACAGAGCCGAGATACTTGCTGTGTCTGGGCGCGAGCTTTGGGAGCTTTGGCCCGTTCCTCGTCTTCAACTCTGGTTCACCAGTAAAAGGAGCTTTGGGGCATAAGCAATATCACCTTGTTGAACCAAGGCAAATGGATGGTCCGAAAGAAGTAGAAATTCACTCAGAGTAAGGTGTAATGAGCGGTTTGTTTGCACTCGGGAGGCAAAACAGTAGCATATTAATGAGGGATATCATGATGGTGGCGGCACACCAAGAAAATCCAACCATGATACCACCCAATCTCAATCAAGGTTGCCTGCTTCCCTTATTCTTATTCTCGGCTACTCTGTCTCGTCTGTGCATTGTGCATACCTACGTACTCAACCTGACTGCAACATTATATCTGCAAAGGACCGATCTCGAACATCCAGTCCTCAGGGAGCAAGAAAACTTGAGACATAAGAGGAGGATGTTAAAATAAACTCAGTAAAGAGCCCCCCAAGTTTAGGCTAGAGTTATCTGAATATTTTCATCATCTAGGATAGAGGTCCTACGTTTTCTTGCCTCCCCTAGCCAGTCTCACCAACTTCCCACCTCGAGTGCTAATAATATCAGCGGTAAATGGATACCTCGAGAAGAAATGGGAAACAATATACCGGGGATCCTGGCTGGTTGGCCCGCCGCAAGCCTACAAGGTGAGAGATCGCTGGTGCAAGTGGTGAAGTGGTGGGGTTTAATCCCAGTGGTATGGGTATCGTGAAGGTGAGCAGAAATGAACAATTACGACAACTCGATGATACGAGATGTGATAATAAACAACAATAGGGGAGACGAAGGCACTATTGAGCCTCATCTCATCTCCTCCCCGCAAGCCATCATAACTGGTTGGTAAGGATGAACAGGGACGGGTACCAGAGCATGGGAACAAGCCTCCATTCCCCAACGGCCAGGGAAAAAAACAAAACACATGGGAGCTGAGATGACCTAGACCAGGTAGGTGCAGTATCTCCAGTATCACCGAGTTAGTAGACGGTCTGCTCGACCATTGCGAGCTGGGTTGTCACCGCAAGTCTACGAATCTCGCCTCCTATGTTACCCAACCTTTACTAAATCTGCACCAACAAAAAGAGAGGCAATTGCTGGAAAAGGACAAGAAGCAGAATCAGTTGAGAGTGCAAGACAGGGAAAGAAAAAAAAAATCCATCAAAATCGACTCGACGTCACTGTTACAACTTGTCACCCAATAGATCGCAGAAAAAGTGTCAATAGTTCTAAACTACTGTCGTTGTTCGGCTTCTTTTGTCCGCCTAGGAAAAAGCTCCCTCGCCACCCCCACCAAGTTTACAAGCAACAGCTGCAAGCCCGGCATCACCGCCCCGCATCTAACTCTGGCGCTGGTGCTGGCCTCCCCTTTCCCTCTCGCTCCCGTTCGTTTATTAGCTGCTTGACCTGCTTGACCTGGTTACCTTAATTCATTCCTCTCCTCTCGCTGACTCTCTCTCTCTCTCTCTCTCTCTCTCCGGTAACAACTTCTTGATCCTTCTCCTCTTTCTTCATCCCCCCAAAGGCTATCTGCTACTCCCGTTGGCTTCCATCGTGTTACTCTAATTCCACCTTATTAATATTCTCCACGACTCGACCGACTCCCTTCACAATGGCCAGTGCTATCAAGAGTGCGCTGCCTACCCACCTCAAGCCCAACAGCGGCGATGAGCAGGGCAATGAGCGTCGTCATGGCAAGACGCGCAGTCACATGGTGAGTTGATGTGAATCAAGATACTGCTTCACCTCCCCATCGTCACATGCCACATTATACAAAACAGATGCGATTGCCTACCTTTGGTCGCTCACGGCGAAGCTTCACTGTATCAAAAGCTTAATCGTGACGCTCATTGCACCCTCAATTACAATCATATGGATGTCCAGGCACTTGACATGGCTGCAAACAGGCTCGCGTTTCCACATCTGTCAGATGGACTTGGTTACGGGCCGCGCATTCACTCGAAGCTTGATGGCTTTAAAGTGCCTCGATGAGGGTGCGAAGCTTCGTCTTCGTCTTCCTCTCCCCACCACTAACTGAACGACGGACCTTAACAAACATCCCGTATCATATTTTCATCATAAACCATACTAACCCAGTATGCTCCAGGCTTTCGAGAACACCTCCACCAACGTCGCTGCTGCTCAGATGCGAAATGCTCTGACCAACCTCGCCGAGACCGTCAAGGATCCCGAACAGAAGAAGGCAAGTCCTTTAACCCGAAACATGTGATTCCTGAATCAGTCAAGACTAACCAGACGACAGTTGTTCGAGACTGAGATGGACAACTTCTTCGCCCTTTTCCGACGATACCTCAACGACAAGGCCAAGGGCAACGCCGTGTATGCCTCCCTTCCGACCAGATATATGCCATAATACGACAGTTGCTAACTATACTTTAGAGACTGGGATCGCATTGCTCCTCCCGCTCAGGGTCAGGTTGTCGATTACGAGGATCTTGCCAACACCGAGTCTGTCCAGTTCCTCAACAAGCTGGCTGTTCTCAAGCTCAATGGTGGTCTGGGAACCTCAATGGGTTGTGTCGGCCCCAAGTCCGTTATTGAAGTCCGTGACGGCATGTCCTTCCTCGATCTTTCCGTCCGACAGATCGAGTACCTGAACCGTACCTACGACGTTAACGTCCCTTTCATTCTCATGAACTCCTTCAACACAAATGACGACACTGCCGCCATCATCAAGAAGTACGAGGGCCACAACGTCGATATCCTTACCTTCAACCAGTCTCGATACCCCAGAGTATACAAGGACTCTCTCCTCCCCGTCCCCAAGCATAACGACTCTCCCATCAACGAGTGGTACCCCCCTGGCCACGGTGACGTTTTCGAGTCTCTCTACAACTCTGGCATTCTCGACAAGCTTCTCGAGCGAGGCATCGAGATTATCTTTCTTTCCAACGTCGACAACCTGGGCGCCGTGGTCGACCTTCGCATTCTCCAGCACATGATGGAGACAAACGCTGAGTACATCATGGAGCTGACCAACAAGACCAAGGCCGACGTCAAGGGTGGTACAATCATCGACTATGAGGGCTCAGTCCGCCTGCTCGAAATTGCCCAGGTACCCAAGGAGCATGTCAACGAGTTCAAGTCTATCAAGAAGTTCAAGTACTTCAACACCAACAACATCTGGCTCAACCTCAAGGCCATTAAGCGTGTGGTAGAGAACGACGAACTCGAGATGGAGATTATCCCCAACGGCAAAACCATTCCTGGTGACAAGAAGGGCGAGTCCGATATCTCTATCATCCAGCTCGAGACCGCTGTCGGTGCTGCTATCCGTCATTTCAACAACGCTCACGGTGTCAACGTTCCCCGTCGACGATTCTTGCCCGTCAAGACCTGTTCCGATCTGATGCTCGTCAAGTCTGATCTCTACACATTGAAGCACGGCCAGCTTCAAATGAGTGCCGCTCGCTTCGGTGACGCACCCCTGATCAAGCTTGGTGGTGACTTCAAGAAGGTCTCAGACTTCCAGAAGCGAATCCCCTCCATTCCTAAGGTGCTGGAGCTGGATCACCTCACCATCACCGGTGCCGTCAACCTTGGCCGCGGCGTAACGCTCAAGGGCACTGTTATCATTGTCGCGACAGAGGGCAGCACCATCGACATTCCCCCTGGATCGATCCTTGAGAACGTGGTTGTCCAGGGTAGCTTGCGCCTGCTCGAGCATTAAATTGGGAGCTTGTTGGATGTTGTACGGTTCTGTGGCAGACTGTCTTAGGGTTTTAACTTGTCATGGCCTTTCGAGGTGCATCAGATGGATAAGGCATGGGCAGACATGTCATGAGGCTTGAGGATTGGAATGTTTATCCTATGGTATGGAAGAAGAGAAGCAACGTCTCCGAATCGGTAGACATGAGAGCCTGATTCAAGCGTCACATTGAACGCTTGCTGGGAGGATAAGGTACACTTTGAGTATGTACGTACTTGGCAAAACAGCATTAGCTTGATACCTATACATAGGTACAGCACATTTTTAATTGAAAAGGGCAAATGACAATTTCTCGAGAAATGAAGGGTCTCAAGGAAATGTGCCGGACAACGTCGTCGACTCATGTTGGGACACGCCACATCATCTAACTTCTTAGCACTGTCAATTCATCGACAAAGCTAGCCTTTGTATTAGCGGTGTTTCCTTGTAAATGGGGCTGATGGAGCCGATAAGCCCGTAGCCGGCAGGCCTATCCTCATTTCGGACCAGATCTTAACCTTAAATCTTGTAGGTTTGCAATTACGGTTTACCAGCCCCTTTGGCTTGTTCAAGCTTCAGGCGGACCAACGTCGTCGTTCATCGGACGCATGACGACGACGACGTTGAGGATTGTATGCTTCTGTGCTAAGTCTTTGTGAGGCACAGTCGTATTGGAAAAGTCTATCCATTCTCGGGTGGCAGAGTGGCTCACCCGTACTGCCGAACGTGTTGCATGCGGTCTGAGAGCAGGATGATGGTGTCCAAACACCAGTTTGTTTGAAAGTGAGACGCGGGGCGAAGGGTCTGTTTCGACCCAGGAGGCTGGAGGATCATAGCACAAGACCGTTTACCTTTTGCCTGTTTGCTACCTCGATTTGACGCCTATGGCCTATCACAAACGCTGGCAAAGTGAAATCAAAGGACTTAGATCGGCACCCATGACGTTCCACATCAATGAGGCATTTCCTTCGATCTTGAGTACCGAACCAGGGTCGTGGAAAGCTTCAACGCACTTCGCACTAAAAACAGCTACCCAACTCCGTAAGGTTTGAATCCTACCCTGAGTGAGGAGTCATGATCCGAGCCGATGGAACTCTCCAAGGTGAGGACATTTTTAGCACGTTTGGTATGATATTCCCAACCGAATGCCCAGCCGGAAAATCCGGGCCTAGAGGAGTCCGTGAGATTGATATAGGAGATAGGGGATGGTAAAGACATCCCATGATAATATCGTGAGCTTGGCGAGAACAAGCATCCTCGATCAACCAAGGCTATGAGCCTGTGGCTATCCGACTTCTCGAATCAGTCTAGTTCGGAGAGGGTGGCCCCGTCGTTCCATTCCATCGAGCGGCAATGCACGTTTGCATATTGTTTGTGGGGTTGAGGGAGATTGTGTGAAGAAGGGGAGCGCGCTGCTGGTTAATGCGAAGTCCGGACTAGCCTAAGCAAGGCCAAAAGTCGGGGACCCCAGCCTGATTACCTCCTGGGCCATCTGTGATAATGCCTGCAGTTGCAATTCATGGCTCATTGACCAGGAAGTACCTTTGATCCTGGAAGAACTTCTGAGTTATCATGCACTGTTCTCATGTCTTGACAGACTTGACTTCCACCGCAGGGAACTCGGCCGGCGTTTCTGAGGGTCAATAGTACGGGGGAAGGCGAGACAACAAACAGAGAAAAGTCTTGCCTCAGCCTACAAGGCTGCGTGCCCAGACCCTCTGGATCGTCGTGGGAGAGACGCTCCTGGGTCACATTACGGCGATGCTCGGTAAGACTAACGGTTGCAAAACAATAGCCGCTGATGGCCAGCTGTTGAGCCGTGGTGTGGCGGAGGCCATCTACGACTGGTTGAAGTGCAGTATTCATGCACCATTAATGCTGTCGCTCACTCTTGTGCTCCCCAGCCTTTCTCTTGAGCAATGATGAGGGGATGTGTCTGTATCGATCCCGATGAGCTTAGCATGAAGCTTTTGCGACCGTCCATCGAGTTCAAGCCACAAAAGCAACGTCAACAATAAACATGTCCGCCTAGAAACCGCTGCCATGATCGACGAACCATATCGGTTTGTATTACCATTGCAGAAGGCTGGGGAGACGCTATCCCCAGCCCACCTACAGCGTTGGATCGGCTTGGTGGAAAGAATGCATGGTACGTACGCTATTGCGTATTTTGTTGACTTACGTAGTCATCAATGTTAGGAAGCCCGCCAAGGTTTGGGGAATGTATCCCATGGCGTTCTCTTACCTTCCTGTGTGTAAGTCATGCCATCACATTCAACGCTGGTATTCCCTTACAGGAATATGCCAACGCTTGGTGATCCATTAGTGACGTGTAGTTGAGCAAGTGAATAATTTGCATGATGGCGTCTGTTTGTTGTCTCTGCTGCCCAACATTCAGCTGTAGCAACGCAGCCACGGCGGGCGCCATCAACGGGTAATGATTCACACTAATTTACAGCTACCTAGACACACACACACATTAGCGAATGTAATAACACTTGATGAGACGCTATAGGCGCTGAGATGGCGACTTCTAATTGTAGTCTACTATCGCGGAGAATTTGATTCGAAGGTTGGTCAATGCCGAGAACGCCGCTTGATCAATATTTCCAAGAAACTTGCAAGAGTCATGGCAAAACTCTCAAGTGCTTGCAGGGAAGGTTTTCAATTGAAGCTCGTCATTGGGACTATTGACAAGCTGGGGGGGCAAAGTCATTAAAGTACTTCCCAATGCGGTAAGGTGACCACGCCAGGGATACCAAGTTTCCAATAGCGGCAAGCATCCAGACCGCCGATGAAGGAGCAACAACTGCAGCAGCCGACATGCTGAGATTTTCCGGATGTTGTCCAGAATCGTTAAGGACAAGGGTATTGCTGTATGCTCCACGGTTGTGATTCGTAAGGGTTCGGAGATTTTGGTTGCATGTGCTGTGAAATGAATGGGAGGATACTGAGAGAGATCATGTCATGCTAAAAGACTGTGTCGTTGTTTGCTGATATGTTCAATCAGACACGGCCCATCTCATGAAACCAATACATAACTGAACAAAGACACAGCTGCCTTGGCTGAGTTGCATTACATCGGCGAGCTTACGACAGCATGTTTGACAGTGGTAACCTAAATCATGGCGGCTATCGCTGCTAAAAGGATAGGGTAGCTGGCCTCGCCCTCCGAGAGTTGGTCTGTAGTGCAGCAGCTCCGGTATACGCCGGGGAGGCGCGGTTAAAAAGTGTGCTGCCGTGACCACTGCCAGACTAAGGCAAGGCTGACAGGAAACCCTTGATAAGGCCTAGAACGAGTCGAATTGGGGACTTGGCCAGAGGGAAAAGGATTTGCATAGATCAAATCTCGACTCATGACTGGATTAGAATATTAATTCCATTACAAGGTGATCGCTAAAGACCAGCGATATGAGTGAATTGAGGTCGTCAGGGGGCAAGGCTCGGTGCAAATAGAGCCTGGAAGTCAAATTGTGATGGATCGAGGTCTCATGTCGCTAATGATGCTTGCTTGGCTTGGTGGGCGCGTGCCCGCTCTGGCTGCCAGGCACAGCAATCCTAGAGGTTGTTCGTCGGTCTTGCAGGTGGAGCTGGCGCATCCCCGTAGCCTGAAGGGCGAATCCACAGAAAGCTTGGAGTGTAAGCCACAAAGGGCATAGCGCTGGCATGCTTAGAGGACGCTAGGACATGGCTAATTTGCGTGGCAGGGATCTGATAGGGTCCGTTCTGATTCGGGAATTGGAAGGCCGTGGCTGGCCTGCCAGTGGATGGAATGTGATGATGTAGCGAGATAGGCCAAGAAAGAATGGCATGGGTTGAGAGAGGAAAATGCATTATCAGACCAAGGCAAGCTAATGACAGGGAAGTGGGGGACGAGGTTCTTTGGGTGAAAGTGGAAAGAACCTGGAAGGGGAAAGGGAAATGGAAAGCGAAAGGAGGAAGGAGCTTGAGGAGGAAAGGACAAAGCTCACAATTGAATTCAGTTGAACCTGCGGAAGGCATGTCCAGCAACCGCTACCTGCGCTACACCTCACTCAACCGCTCGCCCACCCCTCCACCCCCTCTGTTCTGCACCTACACCCCGGCCCTTAGTTCGGTGGGATGGGATAGAGTAGTTGGTACCATGGTCTCGTGGGATTAGGTTGGATTGGATTGCCATCGGTAGCGTCTGAATGTATCCCCTTTATTGCTCTCAATATTGTCACTAGCTCTGCGTTCCCTTCATTATAATAAGCCTCCCTCCTTCTCTCGAATCTCCCTCCTTCCTTCTTCTCTATCAACGCCTCAGTCAATTCGCTACTTCGTTGTGCCTATTTCCCACTACCTAATGTAAGTTCATACCTTCTTCAGCCTTTCCTTGTATGGACAACATCCACATCGAACTTCGTGCCTGGGATACCTAGGAAGAAGGATGCATTCAAGTGCAATGCAGATCGGTTGGGCAACAGCGACAGCAATGGATGGAAGTCAATCACGCTGGCACCAACTGCCTGTGGCTTGTTTACTCGACTATTCATCAAGCCTCGTGCACCCAACTCGAACACCACAGCATCATCACAAACGCCATTACTCAGTCTCGCTACCATTTACGCTTTATCGTTTCAGTATTTCTGAAATAATAACTAACCCGGCCGATAGTAATACTCAGTCATTCTTTCAACCACAAACCAAACCTCACCAACCTTCAATATGAAGTACACTCTCGCTACCATTGCTGCCCTCGCCTCCGTGGCCCTGGCTAAGCCTGCTTTCCTCAACACCGAGTTTGATCTCACCGAGGGCAAGCCTTACACCATCCGCTACTCTGGCTGTGACGATGGCTGCACCATTGTCCTCCAGAACGGCCCCTCCGATGATCTCTCTGACTACAAGACCCTGACCAGTATGTCTTACCATTATTGACTATTGAATATCTTGCTGACCCACGATAGGCTCCGCTACTGGTGACTCTTTCACTTTCACCCCCTCTGAGCTTCCCTCCGACACCTACAACTTCAAGATCACCGACAAGGCTGGTGAGGTCAACTACAGCGCTCAGTTCCCCTACAAGGGATCATACGCCGCTCCCTCTGTCACCAAGTCTGCCACCGCTACCGCTGAGACCACTGCCGTCGTTTCCACCAAGGAGGCCACCACCCTCGCCAGCGTCACCAAGTCTGCTGAGGAGACCACCACTGTTGCTAAGCCCATCATTCCTACTCATGCTCCTTCCAAGAACGCCACCACTCCCACTGCTGCTCACCCCACTCCTTCCAAGACTGGCAGTGCCGGCGGCGAGACCAGTGTCCCCAGTGTCCCTGAGAGCGGTGCTGCTCGCATGACATCCTCGCTGGCTCTTATTGCCGGTGCTGTTATGGCCATGGTTTACCTCAACTAAGTTATGGACATAATGTTTTATGCGCATACATGGCATGAAGAAAGAGCGGTTTGATGAGACTCCAGTTTCGGGTGTATAATTCTACTTTAATGATGGCCTTTGTTTTATTCTTTTCCGGTTACCCCATGAGGCGTCGCGGCCGGCTATATCCACCGATGAACCCTGCTTTGGCTTGTCTGGGAGGAAGAGAGCCTGGTATTTAGAAATCAATTAGACTCAATGTTAGTCTGTCTTTAAACAATTGTTTGATCTTGTGATGTATGTCGCATACTTGAAATTTGTAGGCCATGGTGCATCTCATGACATTGGTTGTCGGACTAGAAGCAAAAACAGTATTTCATTGGATGTGTATTCAACTCACCTGTCACCGTCCAAGAAGCCTCTGTTCTCTGGTTTAAGCTTCCTGTGTGGAGAATAAACAACGTTTGCAGCATGTCTTCGCTCTGATTCCGAGTTCCGTCGTCCGAATTTCCCTTTCGTCTTGTGTTGGGTTACTCTCTCCACACCTCCAACATCCTTACATGCAGGTTCCCGGTCTGATCTGCCATCCCTTTCTGCGGCCCAATTGCTGTTTCAAAGTAACAATTCAACGGGACGAATGCCAAATCGATCCCTGGACCGACGGGTATGCAACATTACCAGGGGCACCCTGCTATAACGGCGCATGATATCAGTGGACATTTTACAATCTGCGCCTCTCTGTGATGCGTCTTCAATGAGACAGCCTGGACAGCATCAAAGAATTGCCGCACTTTTATGGTTCCAATCTGACCTTCCGTCTGATGCCGAGATATGCTTCGTTATCTTGATACAAGAAGGTTCCCCATAGTGGGTATTATGTGCATCCTTATTACACAACGGATCATCATCCACAGTACACAACACTTCCCAGTATTTGCCCAAAATTCGTCGCACACCGGTAATTAAATGACATGTACAGGGTCTTTCAAGAACTCGGAAGCTGCGTGAGACGGGGTGCGGAGTACTGTAAGCCTTCATTCATGCGGTGTGTCATAGGTACTCTATGCAGCAAACATCACATGGCTCGAATTGCTCAATGACGATCGTGTGCTTGCAAGTTGTGGAGGGCTTGTGTTACATCTCACAATTTAACCGTGGAGATCATGACCAGGTTTCCAGTTCAAATGTAATGAATTCTTTTCGATGTAACCGATCTAGTCTGACTTAGATGATCTGATTGCATGCCCGTTGCGTCAGTGAGCATTCCTGTTGTTTGTGGCTGTGGCGGCCCTGTCTTTCTTCATTGAATCCATTTCGAAACATAGCTACTGCTGAGGTTTTTTTGCAGAACAAAGTAACAGATACAACAAAAGCACGAGTGGAGAATTTCGTAAGAGCATAGACAATGAATGCATCATCGTACATGAGTTCAGATGAAAAGCAAAATCAAAAGATACTGTAGATACTGTATATGAAACGCGGAACCGTTCGGCGCGTGGCAGCCCAAAGGTGATAGACAAACTGCCGGCCGGAAACAGACAAGGAATCCATGCCCCAAGACATTCCTTGGTTTGAAACTCAAAAATGAAAATATTTTTCTGCTAGAATTATCATTGTCGTGGAGTGATTCGCCTCTTCTTGGCGACGAAAGAACTTGTCGTAATATCGGCCCACGCTCCGATTCCACAGAGTCCTTGATCATCTTGGACAGAGGTGTAGCTGTAGCTGAATAGGCTATCGCTACCGACGGACATTTCAGAAGCACGGTCGCGCACCACGTGCGAGCCGGGACTGGCAAGCGAGCCTGAAGGCCGGGTATCCTGGAGTTCCAGGCGGAGCAGCTCGGACGCCGTGAGATCGACGACGGAGGCGGACACGGACGCCGGAGCGTGGCATGTGGTTTCGGAGGCGGCGGATGATGTGCCAACAATGGTCCAGCCACTCATCGAGAAGTCGTCGGCTTCGGAAGGGGATGATCTGATTGCCGTGGTGCGCTCGAGAACCATGGATGTAGACATATCTATGGTGGGAGGAGAAGGGTGTTGATAATCATCCATGTCCATGACTTGGCCGTAAAAGTCGAAGATGGAAGAACTGCGGTCTTCCAGAAGTATGGACGACGAGAGGGAAATGGAAGAATCCGAGTTGCTTTCATGCTTATCAGAAAGAGTCATGCTGACCATGTTGATGAGCCCAAGAATCTAGTTGGGGGATGCACAATGCGTAAGAACCCCTCTCAGGCATACGTCAAATGTGGTGTAATGTTGCTCCAAATCAAGCGACAAGATAGACGTCGTGATACTCAGTAATGCTTAGCTATGTTAGCGTATCCGCCCAAGGCGAAGTGCCGGGCAGCACGAGCGTTGACTGTATTTCGATGACTTGGTTGTCTCGCTATGAAATATTCTAGAAACAAGATACTGACCCGAGGAGGTGGGTGAGGCCAGAGCTTTTGAACCCAGGAACCCCTTAGCCCAACACCATGAACCATTAACTGCATAAGCCTATGATCCAGCCCTTTCCATTCGTCAATCGTGCCGAACGCCATGAATGATGCGTTGGCAGTGCCCCTTGCTTGGTGCACATCTGACGCGGTCTCGATCAGACAGCCTCAAGAATACGGTACGCGGGGAACAAGTGCTATTCGCAGAGTGGCATATACCAAAATCCATGTATCTTTGGTATCGTCATCTCTTGAAAGTGGTGTCATTGCTGCATGGCAGAGCCTCCTCTAACCCCTTTCGCATTAGACATGAACTACTGCTTACCTGTCAAAGCCAACCGCCTCATTCTCTTTTGACGCCCTGCTAGAGAGGAGGTCCATTTTGGGGAAAGAGGAATTTGCTCCTTTATGTCTGACCCTATGACCATGCAGAGATATATCTAGAGCCCAGTGTGGCTGGCATTGGCACAGGTTCTACTCCGATTATGTTAATGATTAAACGACAGCTGTTTTTTGAGTTCTCCAAGTCTCTCTCGTTTAACTGGTGACTGGTGCATTGGTCTCATCAAAGTCTGGATGTGATTCTTGTTCTCCCTGGCATGACTGTATAAGATGATTGGCTGATCAAGAGAATGTTCCTGGAGGCTCTTAAAAACTCATTTCTAACTACAAATCACTCTCTGACTCTCTCTCACATATAATACTTCCTGCGATTTCGCTCTGTTCCTGTTTCGAGTTTCCGGAGGCAGGTGGCTCTTCGTTGGTGGCATCAAGCCCACAGCTTAAAAGCACCAGTGTCTCTGAACTGTATAGCATAAGTCTGAAACTCGGTATCCCGCCATGCGTAACAGTCTGGATATTGTAAATATTGATAGACCCCCAATAGACTCAAGTCTGGGAGTCTGAGCCACTGGACTGACTGAAGTGTCTTGCCAACTCTGCGGCATTAGTACCTGAGTTACCATCCCCCCTTATGTTCATATTCGTATTCAGAAAATCGTCTTTTCATTGTATTTCGTCGGTTCTATAAATGGAGACTGCCTGGACGTAGACTTGCGCTTAATTCTGCATACTGATGAGTGTTTAAGAGAGTTGCTTTGCAGCCACGAAATTGGGTTGCATCCTGCCAATTGCGAGTTCTTGCATGGGATCTATTAATTCGCTGTGATCGCTAAAGGCCAACTTGTATGACTTGAGTGATCGTGCGGCACGGTTTTTGTGACTGCTTCCTGCTGATGCTTGTCTTGAGGCTGTCGAATATCGAGTAATGGTGATCGATGTGGGAAAAGCGAATGCGTGATATGACAGGAAGAAAGATGAAAATTGATATAATAGGTAAAACCAAGACAGTTCTTAGACACAGCAAGCTCCTCCCGTGAGTAAGAACGCAGGCAATGATACCCAAGTAGGTACATATGCTTCCGTGCTAAGGTAAGTACCCCTTTGCTGTTTGTGAACGGTATCAATAAGAAGGGCTAGTATTTACACATGCTACCGATGTCCCAACAACTTTGGATGAAGTATTCAAGTCGCGCTAATATCCGTAACGGCTGAGCCAAACTGACCATTACGCTCTCTTCTCTCAGCCTCCAGTGTAGCGGCCATGCTCCCCTTTCGTCGTAAGCCGGGGGCTTTAAACTTCCTGACCACCTGATATGACCTGTCGAGCTCATTCTCGACAGCACACCTAATTCTTAGGGCGGCTACGGCAGGCCACACGCTCCTCTCGCCTCTGAGAACCCAGTAGTTGAGGGTCTCTCGTGTCGGAGTTTCTAGTAATCGCACAAAGTCCCCTGCTGTCACTTCGGGCACGAGAACCATGGAAGCAGCCGGGACTTGTTCATCAACCAGGAAGCGACGGATACCGGTTGGCAGGAGATTTAGTGTGTCCAGCTGACTGAGGCGGTGCCTTATCTCCAACCCAACCATGCGTACGAGAAAGGCAGATATCTGTGTTGTCTTGCTCCGTGACTCTACTAAAGATGGACCATGCATATCAGACTGAATAAAGGGAATGAGATACGGTCGAGCTTGGCTGACAATGAAATGATTGACGTTGAATAACTCAGCAATGCGTCGTAAAGGTGAGTCTCGATCGGAGTAGGATGTATGAGTCCAATGTCGAAAGTCAATTGTGTTAGCTGGTGCCCACGGTACAATGCTGCCGTGGGCGTCTTTGCAGAGCATAGTCGTCTTGCGGTGGCCATAGAGAGAAGGCGATGAGGCATTCGACGCTACAGCAGCGGTCCAGATCAACTAAGACGGGTCAGCAGGCTTCGTGAATAGTCAATGTTTCAAGAACATACCACATTAGGCGCAGTCAGATAGTTGAGGAGCGTCGGTACACCCCCCTGGCCCTCCGTCGCAACAGTTATGTTCAGCACCCTCTTGCTCCGGTTATAGGCCTCCTCGAAAGTCAAATCGCCAACATTGGCCCTCACACACTCCTCCAAAACAGTCACGTCAAGAAAGTACCCCTCTTTGGAGAAACGTCTAATCCTCCGCAACAGAGTTTCCCACCGCGACCTGAAGGTCTGAGCTGTTGATGTTTCCCCGTTCTCATGACCATTCTTGGACGCAAATGCCGAGAGATCGATACCATCGCCACTCAAAACAGCCGGTAGCTCATCTTCTGTATGAATAGCGACCAGAGCCGCGATCAAGGCGCCTGTAGCCGTTCCCGTAATAATGCGCGGAAGTAAACCACGCAGAAAGAGAGCCTTCACAACGCCCAAATGGCACATGCCAAATATGGCACCACCTTGAAGGACGAGTGTACTCCTCCCAAAAGCCTGTCTTGTGTCATGGATACAGTCCAATTTCATCTGCGTCGTCAACGATGGCCCCGTGCCATGTATAGCCGATGGAGTTGTAGGCAGGGCGCGAATATCTTCCACTGCCTCGGCAATCTGTGTGATGTACTCTTCTATAAGGTACTTGGTTCCGGCAAATGATCGATTGTAGAGTTTGGGTGAGGTAATGTTCCCGAGGTTTCGAACAAGGCCGGATCTTAACAGGTTGACGAGCTGCTGAAAGTTTCCATCTTCCCGCGCGGTCGCGAGAGAGTCTAGGCGTTCTGCAATGAGTCTCCAGTCGTAATACTTAGAAGCTGGATTGTTCCTCCTGTGAACTTGTTAGCGTAACGCATCTAAGTAGACATGACATTTTGTAAGCAGACTTGCCATAGATCAAGGCCCAGGAGGTTATCCAGGTGTAGCGCGGCCTCCTCCCAGTCCTCAAAGGCCTCGGCGGTTCTCAATAGATCCAGCCATAGTTCAACGGGGCTTTTGCGCGCGTACCAGCTCCGCAGCTTCTGCAACGACATAGTTAGGAACGACAACGTCGCGTATCACGGATAGGAGGAACAGAGAGTTTACCCTCTGCCAGAAGCTGGCCACATCCACGACGACACCCCATACGGTGATTACCACCCCCATTGCGCGTTACCGAGGGCCGATCACAAGCACAAGCACCATTTGCGAAGTGTCGTGTTTTGCGAGCGTTTAGCGACGAGATCACACGCACCCAGTGTACCTTGGGACTATGTCATAAACGCTAGATACCGCATGCAGAACCGGTGAGGGGGGGCTTCTTAGGGTATTTAGGTTCGTCTATCAGAAAATCGAGATATTATTTTATAGGATGTGCAAGATAGGTTGGTGTTGTTGAGTTTCGTAGAGCTCCCCGCAGCTGTTCAACAAAGTACCTCCTTGAGCAAGGTAAGGTAATGCTTGACGCTAAATCGGCATGTGATTGCCAATGAGATCACCAGTTTTTGAGACATGGAATCTCGGAGATTGAGCCACACTCACATGCACATATATGGCTAGTATTCATCATCAGAGTCGCGTGAACGATTTTTTTTGTGATAAAGTGTGGTTTGTTTATTATGTTGCGGCTTATTGTATCGGCGAAGGTTTCACACAAGGGATTCAGTAAAGATGTAGCCTTGCTGTTATTGCCCCCAAAAGTCTAAAATATAATACAAAAACCACCAATTTCTGCGATACTGTCTCGGAGACAGTTTGATATAATCATATTATGCAGCAATGACCTCCTTTGCTCGCCATGCAAATATCCATCCCATTGTCTCTGAAACTCCAAAGATGTCCGTTTTAATCGTCATCATCATCGATGACATTTCTCCGGCGGGATCTTCCTGCCACTTGTTCGACTTCGCTGAGATCATCTTCGTCCTCACTGCGATCCCTTGTCCTCTGACGTTTGGAGCGAGGCTTCTCCTCTTCGTCGTCATCGGGAAAATCATCTTCGTCATCATCATCGCCTCCGCTTTCCACTTCTTCGTCGTCACTATTGACGATGAAGCCATCGTCGAGGGAGTAGCCTTCATGCCGACCAACAGCATGCTCAAGCTCCTCGTCTGATTCCTCATCTCTTCGCCTTCTAGGCTTGCCCGAACCAGGTGCGCCGCGCTTGCGAGAGCCTCCCGCGCCTCGGCGCCCACCTTCAAGGTCCCCAATAGACAGTCCTCCTCGTGATCGGCCATACCCACCATCCATCTTGGCAGCAGCATTCTCGCGTCGCCTCTGTGCCTTCATTCTTTCCTTCTCAGCCAATTCGGCCTGCTTCTTCTGGAGTTCGGGGTCGACAGTAGTTTGGATGATCATGTCAGTTGCATTCGCAGGCTTACTGGCGACAGCCATCCTCTCAGCTAGGAGAGTCAGCGCGTCGTCTCCAACAGCTTTGTTGGGTCGAACATTGTATTGCTCTGTGATATGCCCAACCGTCATGAGGATGTTGCTGTGCAACTCGGCGGCAGCAGCGTAGTAGTGACCATCGTTAACCTCGTTGTAGGGCTTGTCTGGTGGTGGGGCGAGCGCCTTTCTCTGGATCTCATAGTGCTCTCCGCCAACGGAGATGGTCACTGACCCGTCACTCCAGTGAAAGATGTTTGTGTTACTCTTGAATTCGCCGGTGCTGTGATCTTTTCGTACTCGAGCGACATGCTTAGGATGTTCAGCTTTAGCATTTGCCAGGTCGAATTCTGTCGGTTCAAACGTCTCGGGATCGTACACTTCAGGCATTATCTTCATGAACTTGGGGATCCGTAGAATTCGAAGCTATATCGTCAAAGTCAGCGCCATGAGGCTTCTGCAGAGCAAGTAAAAATGCATACCGCGCCATCTTTAGGCTTCGGAATTCGATGTCGATAGGTTTCGACGTTTTGGATAGCTCGTTCTTTTGTCTGGACTTGAGCCTGGTCGTCGTCATCGTTGCGATACCGCGCGTAGCTGTCCCCTTCTGGATCTGAAGCAAGTTCATCATCCTCATTGACAGGCTCCTTGGTAGGTACAACATCATCGTCGCCATCATCACCGAAGAGGTCGTCGCCGCCCTCGTCGACTGATTCAATTGGGTCTTCTATGTCGGACATGTTGTAGGTTCTTTGTGGTGACGGAGACTGAATTAAAACAGTGGAAGGGAACAGTGAAAGAAGCGGTTGGTTTGCGCGCAAAGTGAGCTTGCAGTCGCGCCTTACTTTCCGTGACCGCGGATCCGTTTAGCTGATTGTGGCTCTAGGCCTGAGGTTGGGAGGTAGGTGCACCAGCCACTGCAATATCCGTTTTGTCGATATTCACAGCCACAACCTGTGCCACACATAAACAGATGGCAACCTAAAGTTCCTCTGCCTCAAGTTAGTGGAGACGAGAACGAAGGAACAAGTGTGCTGCAGCGTCAGGAGGTTTGAGAGGAGGAAAAAAGTGGCGGAGAAGTGGCAGGAGTGTCAAGATGCTCCCCTTCGAATGCTCTGAAACAGGCATGGCGCGCTTCAGGTGACAAAACAGAGCCAGTCGCATGAGACGAGTAGGGAGGCTTCTGGAGACGGGATGCGATGCGATGCACTAGCGTGAGGCCCCGTTGTGGCGCTCATCCGCTAAAGTTACGGGGTACTTAGCCGCTATTCATCAACCTGGAAGCCCAAGCCCCGACACCGACACCTCAAAAACCCCCTTTCTCAAACCGACTCCAGCTGCTGATATCGGATTTGATCTGATATTGATCCTGACAACAACACGCAGTCTCAGTCAGGCGGAAGACAATACCAACGACCGCTCAAGTCACCGAACATACCCCAATACCGACTCGAGCGCGTTCTCCCTCTATTTGGGAAGCCCTCGTGGAATCCTTCTCAGGCGCCTTTGCTCACGATTTCACCCCGCCTTTCTGTCAACCATGTCGAACCTCTTTTCTGGCATGTGAGTATATATTTTCATTCTTCAGTATCATCTCAGTTTGTCTTTTCTCGTCATTGGATCTTCATTGTCAGCATCACCTCTGTGTGGCTTGTCTCCGGGTTCTGCCACTGTTCTTGTCATGTCTCCATCATGAATCCTGGAAGAGCCGCCGCCTCTTGTAGAGGTAAAATATCTATGTCCACCAGCCACGACCCTCTACTCCTATGCGAGTGCAACATTGCAAATTCTTCATTTCGGATACCCTCGAACCTGGAGCCAATACCCTTGCGCACTCCTTGTCGCAGTGCAGGACAACTACCGAGAGACTGAGGGTCAACTGTACACAATCAGACTCTCACCATGTGGTCCCCTGGTACACTAGTACTTCGTCCAAGACATGCCCCAAAGCTTCATGAGCTGGAAACATTCATTTTCGAGCCTCTGAAGACGTTGCTTTAGGATTCCTTAGGAGAAACTGATCACTCGTAAAACCCTCGTCATGATGGGCATTCTCTGGTAGTGCCTATTGGACATCATGGATAGTTCCTCACTCATATATCATCCCTACCTACTTACCTTTCCTATCATCATTCCTCTCCCTTGCAAGGGCGCCACGCATGGCGCTTTTCTGCGGCTGCCATGGGCAGACCTGTCAGTGTTTCAACCATCTGTGCCATTTCAAGCATAGCGTGCTGTCACATCTATGGCTAGGTGCTCTCCTACCTACCTGTACCTGTGCTGACTTGAAGTGACTTTTTTGTTCCTTCCTCACCTTGGTCCTATTTCGATAGCATCCATTTCATTACGCTTGCTAACATAACATCACCAGTAACGCTCGATTCCGAGGTGGCTCAGCTAAGCCTTCTTCTGGCCCTCAAAAGAGCCCAACTGGTTCTACTGCCAGTCAGCCTCCACCGCCAGAGCTGCCTACTCAAGGGAGCCAATCTTCCTCAGCTAGCTTAGCTCCCAAGGTCCCCCCTCTGCCTAACTCTCCTTCACTCGCTCAGACCATTGGCATGGATGACTCTAGCGGCGTCATGAGCGGCGACGAACTAATTTCTTCCTATCATCTTCCTCGACCTCTCCCTCTGTGGCTCAATGCCCAATATGCTAAGCACATAGTAAAGGGTAATTTCATGACACTGAGCGCCCGACCCAAGACGGTCGAGCAAGGCGAGTGGATTGCACACCAGGGTGAGAATGAAACTCTGATATCACAATGAGTCCTTACAGGTGCTAACGCCGTTCAGTTGTTGAGCATTACCGCAACCTGTGGAATTTTGTTAGGGTTCTCCACGAAAAGGAGGATGATGGTACATCCATCTGCAACTCTACCAGCTGCCCTCGCATGTCTGCTGGAGCGTGAGTAATCAACACTCTTATCGGACCATACATTCACTTACGCTCGCTAGTAACCACTCTTTTACCTGGCTCAACCGTAACAGGGAGCCTGTTGAGCTTCCCGCCTATGAGTACATGACTCTTATGCAGCGATGGATTTCTGGTAAAATCGACGACACCAACATCTTCCCAACGGACCCTTCTGGTGTCTCGTACGCCCACAACCCCTCCATCACCACCACACCTTTGTCCCAACTCTCGAACCCTGGCGAGCCCGAGTACATCGGAAAGCGATCAGGCTTCCCTGATAAGTTCGTCGATATCTGCCAGATGATTTTCCGACAAATGTTCCGAGTCTATGCTCATCTCTACTGGGCTCATTTCACCGAGCCATTTTACCATCTCAACCTGGAGAAGCAGCTCAACAGTTGTTTCTCACACTTCGTCCTGACGGCTACGGCTCTGGATATGCTCAAGCCCGCTGAGCTGGAGCCCATGCAGCCTCTGATCGATCTTTGGGCCGCCAACGGAACTTTTCCTCCCGAGTCCAAGGCATATGAGTATGCCAACATCCGCGCCGGCGAGCGTCTTCTGCAGCTTTCCAATGTCCCCCAATAAGCATGGACTAGTACCGGTGTAGCGTAACACGAGAGGCGGAGAAGTTGGGGTATCGATCCTGTGGATCGACTCCCATGTACACAATCTGGAGGGCCTGTATCCAGCCTGGAGTCGGAGGGTTGATAAACCAGGCAGGTTAAATGGGACCGCATGATAAAGCATATTCTTGCAGTAGCAAAAGAGCTGCAGACTGGAGTTCGGGGGCCACGACTTAGTGCTTCGAGGGGGGCTTGACTATGAAGGGGACACACGACTGGTGGTAGACATACGAACTAGGAACTTTGACGTATCGATGTGAGGCTTGTTTCTAGGTCCCCAAACACAAATAGATCTCGAAAACTGAAGCAACGTAGTGTAGAAAATCACGAACGTGACCCATCTTGTCAAACGATAGATTCCTGCTCTCAGATTACTCAATCCATACCCGGGCTAATCGATATCTCGTCCCGTCATGCCTTTCAGTCATTCTTCGATCCCTTGTTGCACTGCGCGCTTACCTCGCTGATTTTGTATTCCACAATGACTGGTCGATCTTCCTCGATAACGAATCTGCCCGAGCCAACATACAACTTGTCCTGCAGAAGTTTCAACCCAGGAGCGTCAGTCTCGAACCTAATCTGCACAACTGACATCGTCAGTATCAAGTCCAGAATTGTCTCACAACAGCTCAAAACAATGTGGACAGGATGGCAGCTCAGCGTGAGGTCGACAACCATGTCATGGAATGCGGTAACTCACATGCATTTCCAAAGCCAGTCGTCGTGGCATTCGTATCTCCTCGAATCACTTTCCCCTCATCCCCCGCCATGTTGACGACACCATTGTAGCTAAAACGCAACAGGGAGCCAGAAGTATCACGCGCAACACTTGTTACTTCAAGCTTGACCCATTGACCATCAGGATCACGCCGAATGAAGTCGCTGCCATGGATGAACGTCGCCTCTAGAGGAGGCTCATATCCCGGCTCAGAGAGGAGAGTACCCGCCTTGGGGAGAAAGGGGATGTTGAGGAGGTTAGAGGTGATGACAAGAGGATCATTTATGGCGATCTGTCATCCAAAGAATTAGTGATACGTGAATCCATTCTGAATGGGAGCAAATCGCTGGGCAGAGAAACACGGTGCTTGTAGGGTTTGAAGGCACAGGCTTTAGGCTGGAGACAAAGCCACAGTAATATATACAAAAGGCGGAGAAAACTACAGTCCCAACATACTTGAGCTGTGAAGGCAGGAATGAGTGTAGGGAAGTTCGTCAACTTCATGTCGAAAGATGTTCGACTGAATGTCGAGTCTCATTCTTGTTCTAAAAAAAAAAACAGGCTAAGCAGCTGCTAATAGGCTTTTCTATCTCACTGCTTCGGATACAGTCTTGAAAACAAGAATGGGCGCAAATGCATACGACTTAGTGTGTTGAGCAAATGCATCCCCATCTCGTATTATATTTGCATTCTCCGAGACCACAACAGAGGAGTTTGCACGCAACGGCGATACACTGGGCGAAGTGTGTGCGAGCATCAGCATCTGAACCATGACACACATTGTGCTATTGTTGCCCTTGTGATAGGAGCATCTACCGAAGCGGATTTGCTAATCAATTACGAGATCTCTTGTTGTGTGACTGGTGAACAGAGCTGATATGGGTGCCCACAAGGGGCGACGATTTCGAGTGACGCAGACCGTCCCAGACTCTGGAGGTCCTTGGGAGACCAAGGCACAGAGATCTGATGATAGGGGTACATATATGAACTGGGAGCCATTTTCTTGACAGGCAGAGATACATAAACCCATTCTCAATAGTGTAAGATCAGGACCTATCGCCAATGACGAAGCACAAGGCCCCGTGGTATCAAAAGCGATTCGTGGGAACAAAACTGATAACATGGCGCAGAATGCCCGCAGATAATTTGGCTGACGATAATTTGAAAAGCCACCAACAAGGGTGATGTGTGTTCAAGGCACCAGTTACCAGTGTAACGACGTTCACGACACAATGACACCGCGAGCCCATCTGTTAGGTACGGTCAGGCTGCTTTCACAATGAACTCGCCAGAACCTAACATCAGACAGATTCAGCTAAGGACTGAACTATCGATGTAATTCCGGTTCATGATGGCGGCGTGGTGCTGTGTTTGTGCATGGGATATCTACACCAGAAGTTCTCGATACCGCCGGCCTGAATGCATCTCCGCCAACTCCTATTAGCCATATGTACCACCAGGTTCGTATGAAAAAGAAGATCGAGGTGCATTACCCGCCAGTTATGTTAAACACGGAGCATTGCGAAGGCTATCAGTGTATTTGAGGTCCTGGTGGCGCAATCCGTTTATGCATTCTGGAACCGATGTCCCTTTTGCCCGGATACTCCGGTGTTGTCCATTGATTTCCGTAACCGCGTATTCCAGACTGCATGCATGGTCATAAGGAAAGATACTGTCGTAGAGAGCTGTTGGATATTGGGACTGTCATCCGTTTCAACCCGTCATGGCCCAGCTGCCCGGGTACCCCCCGCTTCCTTCTGTCAAAACCTTGTAGGCCCAGCATTTTGTCTAAGCCACTTGTTTCAGAAACACATCCGCTCGTGAGATCAAGTGGCTAACAGGTCCTTTCTCAGCTGTCAGGGTCGTGTCCCAGATGCGGCAAAGGGCACAAGGTTTCTCTCTGCCATATTCACCGTTGGACCTTCTCTACATAGGAAGAAGAAACGATTATCCCATTGCGGATCATCGTCGTCGTACCTGGAGCCAAGGTCAAGTACACTTACGCTCAAGTCCTGGTATTTCTTTGTCCTCGTGCGCCTGACGATGTTCCAGGTATCACATCTTCGTTAGTTGACCAGGCAGAATGTCCGACGTGATGACCATGATGCCCAGAAGGCACAGCTATCAAGTACTCTTGAAGATACTTGAATAACTCCTAATAGCGATGGTGATCTACTGGCCGACCCCAGTGTCAGACGTTAAAAGTAGTCGACAATCGCTATACAAGATGTGTGACTTTATCTAAAACAACAAGTGGATGATATCATGGGTCGCAGTTTTACGAACTTGGCTCCCATGTTTGACTAATGCATACTGCGGTGTTTGAGAAGTAAGGTTCCATAGATAGCTTGGAGACCAGTTGCTATCAATGCCTTCACTTCAAAGTATTCGGTATGTTGATATGCAAAGGATACCCCAGCTTCGCAAAATACACTTGATTGGGGTCCAAATTGCACTTGCAAAACAATACTAGTCCATATAAAGACAATTCGGTCTGTTTCGTCCCCCAGAAGGCAACGTGAGATTTCCTTGTTCCAAGATGTTGTGAGCGTCATCGCAGCTTGTCGGCTGCGACATACCTGTCCCACGTTAACATTTCTGGGTTACCAAGTTGTATTGTCGGCGAATCTTTATCCTGGGATGCCGCATGTGCCAACTTTTAATCCCTTGGGTGAGATTGTGGCGTGGACAATTTCATCATGTTGATGTCCGTGAGTGTTTCAGAAATCGAATACTAAGGCGCGGGGGTTATAGACACAGGGCACCTCTGTCTCCGGGATTGCCAGCCGCAGCCTCGTGATATGACATGATACTTGCCGAGGCTGATGCTGTCAAGAGCCTGAAATCCTTGCTCAGACACAGCAAAATCCAGAACGGTGGATCGTTATGCTGGAAATCTCTTCGCATACGATGAACGTGGGCCCAAACTCGGACAGGGATCCAGACCGCATGTTCGGGAGATACCCTACGCCACTTGATAAATGAAAGAGAGGTAACCAGTTAGTGTTCCAAGCTCTTCTGCTGCGTGCTGGTGGAATACCAGTAGTCAATCCATATATGATTCTTTGAGTGCGCAAAATGACTCTAGGCCGTAGTAAAGTTATCAGCGCAATCGGGCCACACTCGGTCAGAATGAGTCCTGGATGATGATATGTGAAGGTGGAACGGAGGGAGACACAAAGGACAACGCGATATCAAAGATTGGAGTCTAGTACTAGCAAGACCTGCGTTGTTGTTCCTGTTCTAGGAAGAATGTCATATGGAAGGCTGCGTCACGAATAATACCCAGGAGATCTCCCGGTTGTCTTTCATGCCGGATATAGAATGAATATGATCCAGTACTGGAATCAATATTGCGTTAGATCAGGGGAACCGAAAAGCATGTGCATCTGAAACCGAAATGACTGAATTAGAGAGGTTCTGCGTTGTCGTGGGGGCTAGAGTGAGTGTCCGATAATCGCAGCCTCTCTTCGAGTCATAATGGCGGTATCCCTTTGCTCACCAATGGGATATGCTGAGGCAGTTGGGCAACGACTTTGGGCGGCCTTCATATCGGATTCACATCGGCATTGGTGAGTAATGCCGCTGATGCGGCGATGAGGAGGCCATTCAGAGTCGTAGCAGGCCCTGTCTCATTGAACCCGTTTGTCTCGAAAGGTGATGAGGCTCTCGATATGACCAAAGCGTACGTCTCGGTAGCCATGCATGGCGTTCAAAGTTCTGAATTGTCAAGGATACGCTGCATAGCCCACTTGGGTTATTGATGACCAGAACTGGCTAAACTGCATGCACGAAGCGGAAGCCTGATTGCCTGGACAAGCAGTTTAGGAATGGAGCAGGCCGAGCAGGTCTGCCTTCTGGGCGAATGAAGCACCAAAACCGCTCGCCCTATTTAAATGATTGGGTGTCGTGACAGATTGGGCAGTTTTGAATAGCGCTGGCCGTTTACCCAACTTGACCCTCCCGGAACAAGATCCGGAAATCCATCGTAGCAGCAAAAATGCTCGTACACTTGATCACCAAGCGATAAGACTATGCTTGGACAAGCAGATGGGACTTGAAATGACATTTCTATGCCTTTTTCATCAGCGTAAAACACAAGCCTGTGTTCACAATGCATTCATCGAGATTCGGGAAGCATTCCAGATGGACAGTCTTTCGTTTTAGGGTCCAGTGTGTGATATGACATTTTCCGTTACGTGAGAAGGGTCCTCGGATTTGAAGCATGGGCCCAGGTGCACACCAAGCACGAGGTGTTTGGGCCAAAGATCAGTCGAAGCCATGACGCTAGACCATCTGGTATCTGTCAAAGAGCAAGTCAGCAGGGTATGGGAAAGCAAGGTGCCTAACATTTTCCTGGTCGGCTAGGGAGAGGACGCGCACGCGTAACACACCGACAAAACAAAGTGCTCAAAAGAGAAGCACCACGAGCGGCCCATTATGCGACCGCGAAGCACAGTGGATCCATGATATCAGGTGTATGAGCCTAGTGGTTAGAATTAGGGTTGTAGAGGGCGTGCAGTAGGAGCGTGTGGGAGCTGAGTCGCAGCCGTCTTCCCCAGCCACCCACAGTGACGGAAGCATCGAAGTCTCAGTGCATGATCAAGAGAAGCATCTCTTGGCTGATGAGCTATTGGAGATTCCGCAGGTGAATCGGACGACAACAGAGGCTTGAGGCGTGATATCGATGGTGTTCTTGCAGTCAAGAATGGGATTTGTGGCGATTGTGTGGGATGGTCTGTAAACGGCACTCATTGGGACTTCAAGTTCCGAGAACTGGTGTCTCAAAGGCAAAAATACCTTATCTTGGGAGGATGATGGAAAACTCTTGCCTGGGGCATCTATTATTCAGAGCTGTCCCGTGATCCTCCGCTCGGTTTCTTCATTGGAAAGGCGCTGTGCTGAACTAAGCCGAGACCTGCTCTATTACCGCGTGTTGCTGCTTCCGCTGGTCGAGAATAACTAGGGTTCAATCAGAATGGTTTCCCTGAAAATTGAGGATTTTCACAGAGTGGACAAACACGCGCCAGGATGAAGCCAGTTGAGATATCCATTGTGAGGCGACTCCATTATGCCATGGCGTGTAGTTTTCCACAATTTTAGGACGGCTCAGTGTTCCTCGCTAGAACTAAAAAAGAATAGAGTATCCGAAGTCCCTGAAGACGGGGCCGAAGACGCGGTGTCGGACGCGCTGCTCGCGTTTCATATTGTGTTGTCTCCTCTAGTTGCCTTGTGAAATAAAGACTGTCGCGAGCTATTCGTTGAAGACGAACAGGCCATGGGCAGCTGTCCATGGCCTTCCAATCCCATCAGCCATCGGTACTTGGGAGTGTACGTCGACACGTTCTTACCCCACGGCCCAGCAGACTGGTCAATAGGAAGGCAGCCATTAGTGTTAGTGGCTCTCGGCTGATGCAGAAATAAAGCCCAAAGCTCTGAGCACTAGCGTCCGTTTTGGTGCCCAACGTCTTGGAATTTTCCATTGTTAGGTTTGCTGGGCTTTTGTAAACAACCTAAAGTGGCCGGGCCGGCCCAGCAGCGCCCGAAGCTAGACCCAATGAGACATTTTGGAGTCGAACTTAGAAGTCGACGCTCCTAATGAGAGGCTATGATGTCGCAGGTCTGAGTAAGAGTTTCTTACCGTCTTGAAATACGGTACGATGCTCCCTTGTTAGAGGTGCCGATATCAGCCTGGGGAGTATCAAATTTAGCACATGGCTTCCCGCCATTAGACCCAGTCCTATCCGCTGCCTGTCTACAGGGTTGGGATCGCTTTACAGACTCCCTGGCATAATGGCCTTATTGCTTTTTCCTTCAGCGGTTCGAAAGCATGTTCTCTGTGTTCCTTTACTGCTTATTGTCGCTCCCGGCAGTACATAAACATATTCCCCCATGTTTGTTAATCCTTGTAAGATCATAGTCAGCCTTCAGCCATGACACCACTCAGGTGTAGCTACTGGCTCTCAAGAAGCGTGGGGTTGCTGGGATGGTGGCAAGGTTTCCAGTCTAGACATTTGAAGAACAAGAAGATCACAAAGCATGCATAGAAAAGTCCGAGACGATGGCCTCATCACTCGCGAGAATCGCTCACGATGTGAATTGGTAGCGGCCCAAGGGGAAACAGGGCCAAGGCTTGTGTACTGTATGTTACAAAACAGAGCAGCGGTCAAGTGACGATGGCCCATTTCTGAAGCTAACAGCAACATACGCCGCTGCTAATTGTTCACACGGGCTCCATGGCTGACAAGTAAGAACGAATAGCATCCATGGTAATCTTCCTCTTGGGCCAGGCTTGGATGACACATGAGGAAAATCCCCTGCCTGGTGTGCTAAACTAAGCTCATTTTGTATTGAGAAACGGGAAGTCGGTTCACATCTGGAGATCTGATTGACATCGTGGTGTAGCTGTCACAATCTCTCTCCTTTGCGGAGTTCTATCCTCCATTCGCATACTGTTACGTATCGTTGGTTTCCACCGCAACGATAATAGATAATGGAGTCGTTGTTACAGATTTGGCTGGGCACATTGAAACCCATCACCGCTACTATGACTGATAGCTGATGGCGGTGATATCGATATTGGCAATGGAAGAGATCCGATGAGGGAAGAAACATCGGCATCACCAGTTCCCTACCTACCTTAGTCTATCGCGGCCTGGTCCCGTCTCATCTGGTCTTCTGGCTCTTGCCGATGAAAGCATCTTCAGCCTGGTTGGACCCCAAGTTTGCCTGGTCGATTGAGGCCCCCCAACCCTGACTTGCGCCTCCACACCCAGATAGATCGTCTGCTACGCTGAGTTCTTATTCCCATATCATATTGGATACGGCTTAGACGGCTAAATCGACGAGACGCGTGCTTCTCAGGAAGCTCATTCACTGGCTCATTCAATCATTAATTCATACACTTTCTCTCTCTGATTGATCTGATTTCTTATTCTCCATCACCGTGGTCATGCCCTAGTAAAGCGCTTATGAGATCTGTTAGCTAAGGGAGCTCTTATTCGAGCAGATCATTGAACCTAGACATCTCCAACTGTGCCGAGGAAGAGGGGCCAATACAAGGCCCCGGTCTCTGGTGGGTCATGCCCATCCATGATCCTCCGTCTCGCAGAGGTACCCTGCCAAACTCGACAAGACCTGTCCATGCTCTGCCGTGACCGCGTTGCTTCAAGTCTGGCATCGCCGGCGTGGTCCAAGATGCGAATGGATGCTTCAGTGTCTGCTCCACAAGAGTAATTGCCGGCTACTTGCCCCGTCCAAGTACATAATCGAAGATTGTCCTCGCCTTGATCCCAAAGTAGAAGTCTGTTTTCTTCATACATACCTAGTAACTCATCAACTCTGTTCATCGTCCTATCTCGTTTGTTAGGATTGCAGACTATATCAAGGTCTCAATTGCACCATCCACCACACAAAGCTTTATAGTGCACACTCCACACATATTACCTCAAAAACGGCACCATCAAAGTCAATCCTGGACATCATCAGCACCACAAAACGCCTAGCCCACACCATCCCAAAGCCTCTGGACATATTGTTGCACTTGGGGACGCGCCGGTCTCTCGCTATTGTAAGTGCTCCTTATTTGGTCATTGTCTATTGCGCCGTGCTAGGCTTCTGCACTGCATTATACTACATTGCAGATACAGAGAGCGTCCAGTCGCGCCCTTGATTTCCTGTTTCCTTCGGCTTGTCATTGTTGGTTATATTCTAGTGAATAGGCCATTACGCTTGTTGCCATTCCCGCCCTTTCCCGTCCTCGCCGGCTTCCCGCCCGCACATTCCACTATCTATTATCCCATCTATCGCCAGCCTCTTTTTCACTTCCTTACGTCCTAGATTCTTCAGAAATTCTTCCCATTTTCCTATCTTGGTACATACCAGGATTCCAAATTTAGTTTACCATTTTATCCCTGGAGGCCGATTTCGAGCCACTTGTGCACAAACAATACTCTACGGGAGAGGCTTCGTCTTTAATTTTTTGCTGCGCCTGAGCTTCAGCGTTGCGAGAGAAAAGACAAGAGCTTCCAAGACCATCTCATCGATTATCACCCGTTCCATTCAATTATCTTGGCCACAAACTGGAGTACCAAAGTACTCGAGAGGTACGAGCCATCCCCCCGATTCTCCCGCCGAGCACTGAGTCACACTCTCTGTACCCTTTTCGCATCGGCCTGGCCTGGCACTTAACCCCACCCAAGTACGGAGGGTCGGGCTTTCTGGCTTCCTTCCAGGTTCTCAAAGCCCACCTCACCTCACTTTACACGCCCCTGCCCTGTCCTACCATTGCTTCCTTCCCTTCAAGTGAGGTGAGCTGCTGGATGCTGGGTGGGTGAAAACTTGGCAGGCTGCCAAAAATACACACCCGTACCCGTTTCGTCCTTCACCGCTGCCCGCACTACGGTTCGGCCTTGCCCACCAAACATTGTTTGAGTCTCCCGCGCGCAAAGAAAAAAATGATGATACCTTGGGTACTCCAGTACTTTATTATTTCGCGCCCCTCCCTCAAATCCCAACCTCTTTTCGCTTCCCTCTGTGCCTCTGTGCTCTTCACCTTGATATTGATATTGATTCTGAATCTGGGTTTCCTTCTTCAGATTCCACCCTTCCCTTCTTGGCTCCTCTTTCTCTTTGCAGCCTTGCTTCCTTCTTCCACTGTTTCTTTTAAACTTCCCCACCCAACTCTCTGCTCTCTTACATATACCCACGCAAAACCTCACTTAACACACACTCTCTCACTCAATCTCACAACACTACAATGACTTCAACATTTCAAATGCAACAACCCTTTTATCGTCCAGCCTCTCTAACCGTGGATACACAACACGCACAGAAGTACTTCGAAGACGAAGACAACAGTGTATTAGACGACAACATTCTTGAACACAACACAATCGATTCGGGATTAGAACTATCGCCCCCCATGGCTGACAGTCGTCGAGAATCCTTTGCTGTCGGCCCCCCTCTCTTCTCACCAAAACAAGAGGACTGGCAATCCGTCGAAATGCAGTCGGTTTCCTCCAACAACCCTTTCTTTGATCAGCATAGCAACAACCCTTTTATGCGCCCTGATCACACTCAGAACAATGGCTTCGCTGCCACTGCCAATTGGTTCGGAAACACCTCCGGCACTTGCACTCCTCTGAACCCCTTCGATGGTGTTCCTGCTGAATATGACGCCAACGCATCTCTCTTCCACCGACCCATGGCCGGCCCAACACCCTTCACAAACCCTGGGAACATGTTCCCGTCACTTCCCGTCGGCTCCCAGTCTATCCCCACATCTCCCCAGAAAGAGTGGATGACCCCTCAGCAGCCCATTAACAAGAACAAAATGCGCCCTAGCAGCCCCGGTCTCCGCTCTCACAACGAGATGCGCCGTGGCGACGGTATTCGGAAGAAGAATGCTCGCTTTGATATTCCAGCAGAGCGGAACCTCAGCAACATCGACCATCTTATTTCTCAGTCCACTGATGAACAAGAGATTAAGGAGCTCAAGCAGCAGAAGCGACTGCTCCGTAACCGACAAGCAGCGTAAGTTCCGTCCCACTAAATAAACATAAGCGATTTACTTTTCAAGATTTGATACTAACTCTCGTCAGCCTCGACTCGAGACAACGCAAGAAGCAGCATACTGAGCGTCTAGAGGATGAGAAGAAGCAATATACCGCTCTCATGACTGACATGGAGGAAGAGCTGAAGATGCTTCATGCTAGGGTTGAACAACTGGCCCTCGAAAAGCAGGAATGCATCAAGTTCATCGAGACCCAGCGGCTGGACAAAGAGGAGATGATCCGTGTTCACACCAATGAGACTGGTGAACTGAGGAAGAAGATCAGCGTTCTCACCGACCATGTTCAGCGACTCGATAGCGCCGTTCCCGCCACCGGAGACAATGGCTTCTCAAACGGCTTCGATGCAATGGACGCTATGGATGGCTTGGGCATGCCTGGTGCATGGGATGCTTCGAACTTCCTTCACGATTACCCAGAGCCTGAAGTCAAGCAGGAGATGGCTATTGTTCCCGCCAAGAAGAACGACAACCCCTTCGCCGAGAGCGAGAAGCCTGCCGCCCAGGGTGGCCTCCTCTTCATGCTCTTCCTCGTCGGTGCCTTCGTCCTCTCGAGCCGCTCGACCCCTGCTATTCCTCGCGTTTCTGAGGATGTCAGGGCCGCCTCGGCCACCATTCTCGACAACGTTCTCAAGGACGCTGGGGTCAACTCTCAGTCGGCCAGCCTGCAAGCTGCCCCCCAACCATCCGGCGCTGCTAATTGGGGTAATACCATCTCCATGAACGACATGGCAATGGATGGTGTTGCACCTTCGATGCTTGGTGAGCTTGGTGACCAGCTGACTCAGCCGACTCAGGAGCAGACCAATGAGCAAATCTTCTCTCTATCGGCTGCTCAGTATAATGGTGTCAACTCCCAAGACTTCCTCCAGAACGCTCCCGAGAGATCATCACCCAGTCAAGGTCGCCGAAATCTTGCCGAAGCACTCGCGACGATGCGGATTCCAAACAAACAAAACGATGCAGCCGAAGTGTACACGCGCTCCCTTCTGTGGGACCAGATTCCCAACGATGTTGTGCGAAACTTCGCGAAAATGGTGTCAGAATGCAACAGCGCACAAAATGAGCAGCAATGCAACGAATTAAGGACATGAACGAAGACACGAATCAAGAATATAAAAAAAGTCACGATGACGAATTCACGGCTTAGCCTCGAACGGTTTTGAATCACTTGTTCTCATTTTTCTCTATTTCCTTTCTCTTTTGTCACTTTTCCTTGTAAGTCGGCTATTTTCCTTCCTCGTTACGGGGGATGAGCTGCCATATACTCGATGTCGCTCTCGCGCACTCCAGACATGTTGCTCACGCACCCAAATGGATGGTTTCTTGTCTTCCTTTTGTCGTTTCTTGTGGATTTCCTATTTCGGGGTCTTTCTGATTTCCTATGGATCGAGCAAGCGAGCGTGCATTGATTTGTTTTTTTGAGTGATTTTCCCAGCGTGGCATCGGTTTTCCTATCTCGAAATTGGATACCTCTCTTTTGGTAACGGCGAACGGGATGTGGTCGACGTGGACGGATGTGAGTCAGATTGGGTGTCGACACTAGCGGCGAAACAGCAGCCAGCAGGAAGGAGCAGGCAGACTCTATGAGGGCCCAGTCCATGAAGAGTCTTGATACTATCGCGGTGCATGGAAAGGATTTGGAGGCTAAGGATATGGATGGAGATGGAAATTGACATATGTCTGAAGACGACAATGACTGAAATGGTCAATGATGACGATGATACGAGCTCGTCGATGATCCATTTACTTGTTTGTTTGGAATTAGTTCGATTCTTTAAAACAACCTCCGGTTCCAGGTGATCCGGTCAGTTGTACAATATTTTATGGCATGGATAATTATCTGGAATTAGTTTTCACGCAGCGAGCATCAAACAAAGAATATCCATCCCAATAGTTACATTCAGTATTTGTGACGATCATGATGCCGATGTTACCTCGTGAACAGTTGTGTCATATCATCGGATATCTGCTTAGGCAGACTTTTATACACTTGGAACGTACCAGGTCCCAAAAGAGGAAGGAGAGCGGGTGTTAGTTTTGAAACAAGAATTGATAAAAGATACCTACCAGGTGAGACATATGCTAGACCGGTCGATAATAGGCTAGAAGATGCAAGTGGTGGGTGTCAGTGCGAGAGGGTGGTTTGTCTGAGACAATGTCTTGCCAATGCGTGGCGCTGGGACGGCACGCGATGCGCACATCAGCTAGACGAGCATGTACAGTACTGACGAGTTGACTTGATTTGACGCCCAAATAAAAATAATAATCAGGTCTTCTAACGAGAGGCTAAGTGGTAGGCCTCATGCTTATGCTGATAGTCTAAACAAATATATATCGAATCACCGGTTTTGCGCCACTATGGCTTGCTCTTTCATATGGGGAATCCTTGACGTTGCATCTCGTCTGGGAGTTGCCGGGCGTGGCTACATTGTATGGCATTGCATTGCAGGGCGTTGAGCTGAAAGGATAGCTTTAGTTGGGGGTCTTATGATTCTTTTCTTCGTCTCTCGACGCAAGGAACAAATGGGCTTGAATCACAAACCTATCATTGGCCATGCATGAGATAAAAATGCGATGGTCTTAGAGTCTGAGGAGACGAATGAACCAAGTTCAAACGCTGATATTTCAACCACTAATTACAGGCAGCAATATAGCATTTTCAAATCTATTCACTATTGCTAAGCTCCCTTCTCAATATGATATCTCCGCCTGAAGATAGACGAGATCACTTTGATCCTATAACAAGCCCGCTATAGCGATGAACCGTGACAGCCTCCGTGCACCCCTCGTCATGTAGACCTCGACCGGGCCGCGTTAACAGGCCGCATGACCAAGACGTCCAATAATAATATGATGTCTTTTAGGCTATCGACGTTGGGCATCAATAATAAACGCCTTGTGGGATTGGTAGGGTTTTGTCACGAAGTCCAAAGTGAGAGAAGGGGGAACATCCATCGCGAGATGGTGACGATGGGACGATATACGGCTGCTACACCAATGGTCTTAACCCTAATGATATGTAGAGAACCACTCAGATAATGTGTTGCGATATGTACAACAAGACACAAGGTGGAAACACCCTGTACTCTATCTATATACTTAAGAATAGTAAGATATCGAGACACAAGCACACACAAACCTCCACAGTCTTATCCACCCAACCGCATCTGGCAAGTATACATATATGTTGATGTGAGCAAGACACCCCTAAATCAGTTGCATCAATACGGGATAAAAATTGGCTGGTCACCCAAGGAGCGAATCAAAACTATGTGGTCGACTGTCCCATCAACTCCTCCTCCTCCTTCTCCTCTTGATTGACTTATACGGCATATATGTCGTGGAGATACACCTCTCAGTCACAGTGGCACATAGCTACAGTTGCGCTACTTGCGGTTGCCGTCGCCCGGAGGGTCGTACTTTTCCTTCCAGATCCTAATGCACGATGTTTGAATCAGCGGTTGTCCGTCGAATCGTATGATGCATGATGGGGGATCAAGACCAATCGATAGAACGCCCTCCGTGGCACCAGGTCCTGTGGCTCCCGAGCAAGGCGGAGTCGACGGAGCCTATCGAAATACAGACCGCCACAATAACGCTGGAAGACGATGTGCAGACGGAGGTTCTGGCCTGTGGACTTACCAAGAGTTCCCTAGTGTCTTATTACCGGCCTTCTCAGCCAGTCGATAATACCGAGCTGCCGCGAACTGTACAGGATATCAGCCTCATGCGATGAATCAAGCATCATTAAACGTATAGAAACGGTTAGAGTCGATTGAAGATTCTGACAGAATGAGTTGGGCAGTGAGTTGGGAGCCAGTATCTCGACGAATCAAGTGACCTAGGCTCACCGAGAACATCTCTGCAGCCATGGCTTCGATACAACTCATGGTACAGGTTGCTCTTGAACCGACCAGGCAGGCAGTCATGAGTAGATGGCTTCTGGTGTAACATACCTTGTCTTTCTTACACCCGAAGCCTTCGACGTAGCACCAGGCAATCTCGTTCATGGCATCTATCAAATAGTGTCAGACCTTGTCCTCAGCTCGTGTATGTACGACTTACCAGTATCTCCTAGATTCGCCGCAGTCTCATAATACTGTGTTGAAGTCAATGGTCAGCAATTGATGTCACTCCCACGAGAGTCAGAGTCAACGTACCTGCTTGGCGGCGTAGGCATCCTTTTCGATGCCCCAACCATGCCTGAAGCAGTTCGCCAGCTCGAAAATGGCGAGAACAAGCTCTCCCTTTGCAGCTCCACCCTTCTTCATGCCCGCCTGGAGAGCCATCTGCTCAATCGACGCAGAATTGGATGCTGCAGCTGAAAGATACTTGACGGCACCCTCTGGATCTGGAGCGCAACCCCATCCGTGTCTGTACAACACGAGTCATGTTAGCGTTCGAGACATGTAAACCAACTCATTTCGATAGATCACAAGGTTGGCACAAGGTTTCGGGTATCGCTCAACGTAAATATCAAGGTTTGAAGTCTCAACCGTCTCCAGAGCTTCAAACTCTATCAAGCTTTACCTGAAGTGCTCTACCCGAGACATTGATATCCTGTCCAGTGTTCTCACCTTAAAGCAAGGCCGTACAACACTTGGCTGAGCGGGTTGTTGGCACCTTGAGGATCAGCCAGCCGCCCAAATATGCGCGTCGACAACTCCAGTTTCCCTTCTTCGTGCAGGCGAATGGCTTCTTGAATATCCTGATCAATCTGCTGCGACGAAACCGCACGCTCTTCGCCTCTACTGCTGTCCGAGGGCGTGCCTGGCCTGCTGTTGCTCCTGGCGCGGTTATTCTGACCCGCCAGCATAGTCGCGCGCTTCTCCCACTGCGCCTCATCTGATGTAACAATGTCGGGCAGGTTCTCGGGGACGTTCTCGGACGAGGGAGGTGCCCGGCTCAGGTGCAGTCGCTGAGACAGACGACGGGCGCCGCTCTCTTTCTTTGTCTGGCTCGACTCTGAGGCAGAGCGTGATCGACCGGAGCGGAAGACATCGAGGGATCGTCGGGGCTTGTCTTTTTCTTTGGGTTCTTGGACTGCGAGATGTAGATTGTCGACGGACTTCATGGACGGCGGGTAGATGCGCTCTTGGGTTGAGGTGTCTGAGCGGATGATGGTAAATTCGGGGGCTGCCAGATGATCGATGGTGCCTTTCTCAGGCGGTTGGCCTGTCGAGAGGTCGTCCTTTTTCTTGAGGATATCGCGTATGCCCATTTTCGCTAACTGTAATGGTAATCTGTACTGAAGAGAGGTTTGCAGGGTTGTAATCAGTATATTGATGACAGGAGGCGGAAGGGTCCGTTCACAAGGATCTACACAGCGATTCGCGAAAGCAAACAACCCAATCGAGAACGAGACGGGATCAACGAAATAAGCTAAAGATCAGGTTAATATCGTCGAGTAAGAATGGCATGTTTATTAAGATACTGGCGCTTTACTCATTCCTTCGAGGCACCGCAAACAGACACAGGCAAGGGCACAGGCAGATGCATGGATTGAGGCTGAGTCGAGGCTTTGCAGCTTCTTGTACCAGAACTGTCATTGAACACGATGTGACTGGTGTTTCTCAGATCTCTGGTCTAAGCGCCAACAAAGATCAGTAACCCCTGGTTCGTTTCGAAGAGTACCTAGAGCTATTGTGGTGTTCATACGTCGGGACAAAGATGTTTCCGACTTGGGGATGTCATAGCATTCCGGGTTTTCATTTGATACTGGGACCGTAAGCCAATCTCTTAAGCTTCCTTCCAATGAGGTATGAAGCTGTTTGCTCCCATGTCGAATAAGCAGAGTCAAAAGTTCAAGGCACCTGTTACTAATATTAGGTTCATTGAAGCTAACAATGCCCCTCATCCTTGATGACATCCAATGCCACCTTGTCTTGCCCGCGTCTAAGGTACCTATCTACCTACTAGGTTAGTAGTCATGGCATAAACCGTCCCCGACAGCTACAGCCAGGAGGGCATCCAGGATCTTCAACCCATTGTAATCATCTAGGTAATCACCAATACTGCCTCATGGTCGTACACAGTATCAGAATCTTTCATTCAATACATATCTACTATCTTCGGTATTCTTTTGAACACAGATGTGTTCATTTTGATAACCGCGTGCTTTTGCTCATCTTTAGTTTCTTTTCCTTTGTTTCGTGATATGCTGGTGGCATTTCATAGCCAAAACCCTTACAGGCGCCGATAAGTCATGGGTATCTTGAAATCATTTACCAGAATCCCGTCCCAGTCTCCAGACGCCAGGAAAGAACAACAAGTTGGAATCCGAGGTTGCCTGCTTCTACTTGCTAGAAACAGACATGACGAATTGATCTAGATCGATAGGAAGTCCTTCTGTTCTTCAAAATCGGAAAGGTCTGAGTCTGCATCAATGAACTCGGCAACTTCATCTGAATCAACATCGTCGGAATCAGCAGCTTCGTCATCACTTGAAATGTCTCCAAGAGGCTCGCCGGCGGCATTGGTTTTGTTTCGAAGGACGCTTGCCCTCTCACGGTGTGGGAGCTTACATCCCTTGACCTTACAGCGGCCGGTATTGCTAAAGTCAGGGCACTCAAAAACGTGACGGTCAGTACACTCTGCTCCCATCTCGCAGTACCCGTTGAAACCAAAATTGCGACAAACTGGGGCGGCTGGGGACGCTTTAGAGTGAGTATAAGGACAGTCAGCCTTGGCACAGTGGCCTTTGGCATAATGCAAACAGTTGGGAGTGCGCTCAGGAGTCATGTCATGGGAGAGGTCACAAGACTCGCCGTTGACACATTGCCCATCTTTCAGTATATCTTTACAGAGTGCCACTTTGTTCGGGTCGTGAATGTAGCGGCACCGAGGGCCTTTGGTGCATGAACCTATGTGCAAAGTACTCGTCAGTTTCGCCCCATGGCCACTGGGCCGGTCTAGGTAAAGGAGATGTGTAGCACTCCAGCCTGGGGAAGAGAAATTACCAGTCGTTGAGAAGATTTTACAGGGTTGATTTATCTTCTTGACCGCGCCGGTTCGCCTTAACCCTGTTAGCAACTTCGTCTCACTAAAAAGAACTTCATACCGTTGGTCGTTAACGAATCTGTTCGCAACGAGGTTTCCTGTCTTTGTTCGGTAAAACTTGACCCCAGCAACAGTGGCGAACTTTGGAGTTCGTGAGGAGGAGTTGAGGGCATCTGCAGCGGGTAAGGCACAAGCGTCAGAGTCGCACCGAAGTTTGCACGCACCAGGAATTTTAACAAGCTTCTTGCCACCGTCCATAACGCGGAATTGGGCACCTTCGATGGTGAGCACGTTGCGGTCTGCGGGGTTAGTCTGCGCGCTCGAAGCGGTAGCTTGATGCTTCAGGAACTCGTTAAACTGAGCCTTCTCGCGCTGCCGACGTCCGCTGATCTTTCTCTGGCGTGTTTGTTCGATGGCCTTGGCTCGGTTTTGGGTTTCTTTTTCGTAAACGTTGGCGTTGATAAGTTGACGGTGGCGATCAGTTCTGGAAACCCAGCCAGGGGGTGTTTCAGCACCACTACTGGCAGACCGAGAAGCAGTTGAGTTGTCGCCATTCAAGTGAAGGGTCCGGTGGTGGTGCGCTGTAGGGTGGCGGCCAATTCTATTATGACGAGTTGGGTACGGGGAACTCGCATGTCGATAGGAGTTTTCTGAGCATATCAGTAGTGATCTCCCCTCAAGGCAAGTTTCCACATACGACGATGATGAGCAGGATGATGGCTTGGAGATCCCCGAGAGCCCGCTTGCTGGTTCTTATGTCGGTTGATCTGGCCTAGGATTTATCAGCAAATTGAATTTACCATGATGCGCGAGGGGCACAAACCCGCAACTTGACTGATACGAGCCAGAAGTTCTCGTTCTTCTTCTGACATGTTGTTAATGACTTTATGCGATCGGGATTAACTGTGCCTTTGTAAAGGGCGCAGTGGTTTTAGGGATAAAATTAGGAGTGTTTGGGATGGATTATTGCAGGTTGTAAATACGGCGAAGGCGTTGAGCAGTGGGAGACGGGCGGCAGGATGCATCATCAAAGTGGCAATCTTAGTCATCCTCACTACGACGCATCATTGGTTCGCTGCTTTCGCATCTTCAATGCTATCACAAGGCTGAGCTTTGTTGTCAATCACCTTTCAACTTCCTCAAAATCTATTTATGCAAGGCTTAATCAAATAATTTTTTTTAACGATTGGGACGCGTCGCGACCGACATACTATCTTCTTCGTCTTTTCTGCGGACCCATATCCCCACGTAGAAACTACACAAACATTCTCATCCGATCGCGACTCGACCGCAAACCATGGCATCCACATGGGATCTCTTGGATCCTGAGGAAGAGGCTGAGCTTCATAAGACTCGCCTCCTCAACGTGGAGGAGAAGCCTTTCAAGCGTCTCACCAAACGAATCAATACCATATCACAGCTCTTACTACCATTCAATCCTGCCATAAATGGAGCCAATACGTCTGAAGATATCAGGTCCAAACTCAAGCAGCTCAAGGAGGACATGAACCTTGACTTCGATGCTTTTGGCAGCAGTATCACGCGCATGCAGTTCCTCCACAACGCAAATTCCCAAGAACGTGAGCGCTACAGAGTCGACCAAGATCGTATCCTCGCCGATTGCCAATCAGTACGACAAAACAATATCCAACTTCGAGAGCAGCTCGAGGCCGCACAAGCCACCCTCGCACAGCGCAAACAGTTCGATGAGCTAGCGGAAAAAATCACATCGAACCGCCTTCTTCGACCACGGGAAGACCAAATTGCCAACCTCGCTAAACTCGAGGAAGAGTGTCGAGAGCTAGAGCGAGAGAGCGAAACCTACAGCGAAACCTGGAGAGAACGGCGAGAACAATTCAATAGAATCATGGAAGAAGGGATGCTCTTGCGGCGACAGATTAGAGATGAAAAGGAGGAGGTCGATCGTCGAGAGGGTATGAATGAGGATGCTGAGGATGATGCCGAAGTGGACAAGGTCGGCCAGACACCCAGAAACGAACCGAGCGGTAACGCGACACCTCATCCCGACGGGGATAGCCAGATGAAGGCAGATGGGGACGCAGGTACACCAAACCCAGAAGCTCTCAATGGAGGAACAACACCAATGAGGGATACACCAGCTCCAGACACGCTCAAGCCACCTTCTGGCCATACTGAGTCTCAAAGCCGGGGAGATAGTCAGGCCCCCAGTCGGGATGTTTCGCCTATGCCACCACACGACGAGCGTAAGGCAGAATCGGGAGAGGATGTTGACATGGAGGAGCCTGAGTTCAGTCGAGCCCATGATGACGGAGGAATGACACCCCAGGTGACAGTTGAGCCACCTGAAAATAATGATGATAAGATGGAAGTAGACAATTAGGGCTTCCCACTTGGCTGTTTGTACTATCGACTATGTCTTAAGATACCCTCATAAATGAAGGTCCAGAAGCGTTTCCGTTTTTTTTTATCAAGTGTCTTCTAAGTGGTATCGTAAAGTATCCTTCCCTTGTCCTGTTTTATGATTCGATTAAGCATCGGCTTGGGTAGCTTTGGCTTTTACCAGCGCCTCCTTGGCCTGCACCACCTGGTCCTCCGGAGCGTTCAGCTCTTCGCTCACAGAGAGTTGCTCCTCCAGCTTCTCGACAGCGACAGCGATCTTTTGTCGCAGGGGTTCGAATACGGCCTTTGTCTGCTCAAGGGCAGTTTGCTAAGTTGTTTTAGATCGACTTTCTTGGCCGAATACCAAGGTGATGGCTTTCGGACTGACCTGCTGTTTGAGCATGAACGAAGCATTCTCATCCTCGTTTGCACCGCTATCAATCTTTTCCTTCAGAGCTTTGACCTTGGCTTCCTCCTCCTCAACCTCTTTGTGGTATGAAGCCTCCTCTTTGAGGAGTCGGTTGACAGAGCCTGTTGCGATGGCGAGTTGAGAAGGCGGCGGCATGGTGGATTGGTTCGGGAGCACTTAACGATCGACTAAATGTTTGGCGAGTTGCGGTGTTTTTATGTACAAGCCTGGTTCCTGGTTAATGAAAAAGGAGCTTTTGTTATTTGGGTGCCTGCTCAGTGTCTGATGCCTGGAGAACAAATGGAGAAGCAAATGAGATCATATTGGACGTGGGGTTTAAATGGCGGGGCTCTTCGCATCTACTTTCTACGCGCTTCACCGCGTTGAATGCAGCTGTGAAAGGATTTGACTATGGCATCACCAAGGTACTGAGAAGATCTTTAAAGGTCGAGATACAAGTGACCGTTCTTTACTATTGTACTCAACTACTAATGCAATGTCCAACAGAACTCGTTCATAAAAGAAACTGCTGCACCTCGACCTCTGCCGTTTTCCCAAAGAGCTACGACCAATCCAACCAAGTACCGCAAGCCGTGGTATCTCCCGAAACGCCGACAACACCATCTGGGCGACCCCTGAGTGACTGCCCTAGAATGCTGGAATTCAATAGTTTATATAACCTGACACGCCGCCCATCCAAGTTTTCGTTAAGATGCAATAAGCAAAAACACCTGACCTGTCAGATTATGCTGAAACAGCAACTGCGGTTGAAGCAACTGCAGCACGTTCGGGCTCATTCAGGGCGTCATTGTCTTGAGACATCTCACCACCAGCTTCTCTTTCCGCCCAGGCTCCCCAGAGTCCACGCTTCGCCCTTATCCGGATGTCGTCTCCTAGACCAGGACCCTGCTCGACTTTGATGGCATCCTTGGTCGCGAGAACCAGACACTCAAAGAACATTTTGGTAGCATCGGCCTTGGTGGTCTGTTGTCTAGGGCAGAGGTTCTGGAGGAGAACTGCTCTCTGAGTTCGCTTGCTGGGGCTGTCAGCAGCATCGTCACCAAATCGCTCTCGCAATTGGTGCACTACGTGTTTCGTGACTTGAGAAACAGGACCGCTCTCAGCGGGATGGACCAGAGCAACAGTCGTATCTTCAAAGCCAGGCATCATGGTTCCTGCCTCTTCGTCCCCCATCTCATCGTCGGCGGGGATTTCATGGCGGCTTTCCTCTGGGGGGATGCTCATTTCGCCGAAAGCGCCCTCGAAACCAAGTCCAGTGTCTGAACCGACATCGAGCATACGTGGTGACTTGGAAGCGCCGTGGTCACTTTCGACGTCAGCAATACCACTGTCACGCTTGCGCTTGAGCTCGTTCATGCCACGAGCAGTGTCTAATGTGAGCATATTGCGAAGTTCTGGAGCCCAAGCTGAGCTTCGGCCTTCCCCCATGATTGATGACACGAACCCTCCACTCTTTTGCATATCCATTAAAGCCAGGAGAAAGGGGTCACGGGGAAGGAATCCACCCTCCTTTATGATATTGTCACGGTTGGCTTGTTGTTGCTTGATGTGGTTACTTGAGAGAGCAATTTCTTCATCAGGTGTGAGTATCTTCTGTTTCTTGGCGCGCTGTGCTGGTCGTCGAACGATCTGATCTTCCTCGTGGTCGGGTTCATAAAGGTCTGCCATCTGGTATCTCGAGTGATCCTGTTCTAGCTGTGCAGCCCGGTCTTCGTCGATGTCGGAAAGCGGCGACTCTGAAATTCGAGGAGGAGGGTAAGCTGCGATATCAGGTACTTGGGAGACATCGTCAGGGTTGAAGTCAATTGCCATCAGGTCGGGATCCTCGCCGTCATGAATCTGAACGCGCTCGTCGGGCAGATCTAAAGTCATCGCTCGATCGTCGTCCTTTTGGGGAAAATCAAGCTCTGAATCGTCAATCTGGGGACCAGCCGTCGTGCGATCCTCCCTTCGGCCACCTTCGGGCTCAAGACCTGTCCCTTCAAGGCCAAGATCATCAAGACCAAAATCCAATTCCAGATCAATGTTCCCCAGCGGTGCAATCATGTCATCTTCCATTCCCATGCCATCGTTGAGAAACTGGCTGTTATCGTAATCTTCTTGAAGGTTGATGTCACGCTGACTAGCGCGTCCTTTGCGGCCAATTGGAGCAGCAGTCACATCCTCCACTTGAGACAAAAGCCAGTTCGCGTCTGGTGGAGGAGGTAGTTCGAAATTATCGTATGGGGTGATTCTGTCAGGAAGGGTCAGGGCTTCCCGGTTGGGGATTTGTAGGTTGACGGCCATGTCGTTGTTACCCGAAGACCGAAATGCCTAAAAGAGTTAGTGTACTCGGTCATGCAGCGCGTCATGGGAAGGGCTTACCATTTTGATCTTCATCATAGCTTCATTGCAATCATCCAAAAGATAACGCGTCTTTCTTTGGTAGATTCGAACCACACCCAAAAGCAGCTGACTGCTTAGTCGCAAGGCCATCGGCGCCTGGTTAGGCGTGATGATGGCCTCCACACTGTCTGTAACATTGGATTGGAGGATGTGATTCTTTGATAGCTTGCGCTCGAGGTTGGCAGAAAGCCAGACGCGGGCGAGCGGCCCGCTCTTGTTGAGCAAAGTCTCTGAGTAGAACATGATGCACTCGCGTAATTACGCGGTATGAAGGTGAGAAGAGGCAATTACCCACGCGACAAAAGGTTGGACTCGAATATTGAGGGGTTCTTTCAGGTAATGGTGGTAGTGATGGTTAGTGGGAGAACGAGGCTAAGTTGATGAACACCAAGACTGGGGGCGCGTCGGGTAAACAAGCTCTTGGTGGAAGGATAGCTCTACGCGCAAAAGCAAAGTCGCGCGTACCCCAAAAACTCGAGGCAATGCGAAAAGGTCGACGAAAATAATGAGAATGTTATAGCGACCAAAATTCTGGCGATAGCGACGGTGTCGGGAGTGCAGTAAAGTGACAAGGCGTGTGCGCGGGCGGGATTATCGCGATGTAAGGCAGTCAAGGTATTTTATCAGAAGGGAAAATGGGACCTGGACCTTGAAGAGGGGGGATGCTCTGGTCGTTGTCCAACGGTAAATGGCGTGGCTGGGGGCACGTCAGGCCTGTGGCAGGAGCAGGCACCTATTGCGGTGTACGGAGACAGGTTTATCCGTAGAGCGATGTGTTTTAATTGGTCAGCTACGATCGTCGGCTAGCAAGGTCCCCCAACCAACACTGCCAAAATTTGTGGATGACGGCTCGTGTAATTGAGTGCTTGGATCCGTCGACTTTTCTGAAACTGAGGTCATCACCTCATATGAGGCAACATCTTCTGCCCCCTGGGTCCTTTAGAATGATGATAGTTGTAGTAAGTCTATGATGGCCTTCTTCCTTTTCGAAGACATGAGCGTTGAACATGAAAAGCGATCGTCACTACCAATATCCATTGGATCACTTCCATGGATGTCATGGGTTCATGAGGTCCTATAGGTAGGTAGGTACCCGTACATTCTATACTTGATCAATTATTAATTATCAACGCGAGACCTAGTGACCCCAAACTTTCGGTCTTGACTGTTTCTTTAAATCAATTTTCCCAACCCAAATAGTCCGCCATTGTGGCTTAACCTGCAGCAAAAGCATCATTGGCTTGGCATTGCGCAGCTGGGCGGGAATCATTTAACGTTACCTTAAATACAGAACCAATCTTGACTCGTCCCCTCAGCCAGATTTCGTCTTTCAGGTGATGCTACTGGCTGATGAGCTTCTAGAGTCGATATGCAAGCCCCTGGCAGCCTTGCCGAGCCTTGAAAGGTACTAGCTCCGACCCGCTCATCGAAGGACAAGACACATAGACATCTTAGGACAACCTTAAGTTCCGTTTAGGTCTCCCAACACATCCTCAAGTCTACTTTTGTTCTTGCTGGCCTCTTCCTCTTCTCACTTTTCCGTTCACCCATGACTGAATCTCTTCTTTAACGGGGCTGAAGCGAGCCGTTTCGTTTGGTTGACTTCGAACTGTCCAGTTTTGGGATAACTAACTTTCTCGTGGCAACTTTGCTCCATGTCCTGACATTCACTTTCCAACATCGACGGGCCTTTTTCTCCTCCTCATGACTTTGCGCATTTGATCTTGAACTAACTCAAACACCCATGCATTCGACGGATTTTGCTCTACAATTGTAATACAACCACTTGCGCGTCCTTCTGTCGATATGCAACTGCCATGGGGCGGCCGCGACGGTCCGGGAAATGACACCTTGCTACCGACATCCAACATCCCTTCCATCACCGGGCATGCTGCAGATGGCATTGATTCCAAAGATAGCGATCGTCCACAGCGCCCAAGTCGCCACGTCCGAACCACGTCTTCTGATGCACGGGTTAGTCTCAACATGCGCATCCTCTGTAACATACTCGATTTCCATGGACCCAAACTAACAACTCCACCAGAACGTTGCCGATCATTTCTCCTATATGACCCCGAGCGAAGCCGCAGCGAATTTACGGACATCACTCACCCTTGGCCTTACTCCAACCGAAGCTCTGACCAGACTCGGCGAATATGGTCCGAATGAAATTCCTCACGATCCCCCAGAGCCATTATGGCTACGATTCGTTAAGCAATTCCAGGAGCCCCTTATTCTGCTGCTTCTGGTTTCGGCCGGTACATCGCTCCTCTTGGGAAACATGGATGACGCTATCAGCATCACAGTCGCTGTGACAATTGTCGTGTCCGTCGGATTCATACAAGAGTATCGTTCTGAAAAGTCTATCGAGGCTCTTAACCACCTTGTGCCGAATCATGCCCATCTGGTCCGTGGTCAGAGCAAGACATCGCCGTTGGGGAAGACTACTACCTGGCCACCACGCACAGATGATGCCGATTCAGCCTTGACCCCCGGCTCTGTCACTCCAGTTAGCGATATTCTGGATGCGACCTCTTCCAAGGTCATGGCTTCTCAACTGGTTCCTGGCGATCTCGTTCTGTTTACCACCGGTGATCGCATTCCTGCCGACATCCGTGTTACCAAAGCCGCAGACTTGACGATTGATGCGTCAAACCTCACTGGAGAGACGGAGCCTGTCAGAGTGACGGCTGAGGCACGTAGCCGTGGATTTGGCTCATATGGTCTCGACAAATCACAATTGCCTCGACCCAACTCTCTTGCCCCCTCTGAGCATGGAGATTCTCACGGAGACGGTATTCATAATATTGCATATATGGGAACATTGGTGAAGTCGGGCCATGGTCAGGGTATTGTCTTTGCGACTGGAGGCCATACACACTTTGGAACTATTGCTGTCAGCGTTTCTGGTACCGAGAGTCCGAGATCACCGCTTCAGTTATCCATGGATGACCTCGGCTCACAGCTCAGTAAAGCTTCATTTATTGTAATTGGCCTCATCTCAGTTGTCGGCTGGCTCCAGGGGAAGAAACTTCTTGAGATCTTCACTATTTCGATATCACTTGCCGTTGCCGCCATCCCCGAAGGTCTGCCTATTATTGTAACTGTCACATTGGCTCTGGGAGTTCATCGCATGGCTAGGCATAATGCGATCGTCCGAAGGATGCCCAAGGTCGAGACTCTGGGCTCCGTGAATGTAGTTTGCACTGATAAAACAGGTATGAAAACTGGGCGTCACGCGCGGAGATGAGCTAACAAGAGCGTTCAAGGTACCCTTACTACGAACCACATGACAACTACTCGAATGTGGTATTTTGGAGCTCAAGAACCTGTCCCGGTGGAGTCTGATCACGATGATGCTGAAACGAATCCAGACCTTAACCAGGCCACCCTTCGAGTGCTTCGTATAGGCAACATTGCGAATGATGCACGACTTGCCCAAAAGTATACAGAGCATGGCCAAGCCGCAACAGCTGTACTTTCGTCGACCCTAGGACGTGGTCAGGTTTCCACATATACCCGCTGGGTTGGACAACCTACTGACGTTGCCATGCTGGACCTCCTTGATCGCTTCAAGGAGCACGATGTTAGAGAATCTATCGGCCCTCGAGTGAGCGAGACACCTTTCAGCTCTGAACGAAAGTGGATGGGTGTCACAATTGGATCCGAAACAAAGGGTGACAAGGAATTCGCTTACATGAAGGGCTCTATCGAAAAGGTTCTGGCAGCCTGTGACACTTATCTCGAAAAGGATGGAAGGGAAATTGTACTTGACTCTGCACGTCGTCAGGAGGCCCTTCAAGCCGCCGAAGCCATGGCTGTCCAAGGTCTACGGGTATTGGCATTTGCCAGCGGTTCCGTCACGCGCCCCTTGAGAAGCAAATCCGCCGCGCGCAGCACCCCTGGTTTTGACCGAAGCGAGAGTCCATTTTCTCACAGCCCAGAAGACATTTACAAAAACCTCACCTTTGCGGGTCTTGTTGGTATGCGTGATCCTCCGCGACCCGGAGTTGGACGTTCAATCAGGCGCTTGATGCGAGGTGGGGTCAAGGTCATCATGATTACCGGCGATGCAGAGACGACAGCGCTTGCGATAGGAAAGCAACTGGGCATGAACATTGCAGTCCCTAGTGGACATGCAGGCGGCCAGAACACCGTAAGGCCTGTGCTGCGTGGTGACGAGGTTGACAGGATGTCGGAGGAAGATCTGGCACAGGCCATGCAACACACAACCATATTTGCACGAACGAATCCAGACCACAAGCTTAAGATCATTCGAGCCCTCCAGTCAAGAGGCGATATTGTCGCCATGACTGGTGATGGTGTCAATGATGCGCCAGCTTTAAAGAAGGCAGACATTGGTATCTCTATGGGCCGCCATGGAACTGATGTTGCGAAGGAGGCAGCAGACATGATTTTGACGGACGATGACTTTTCTACAATTCTCAGAGCCATCGAAGAGGGCAAGGGTATCTTCAACAACATCCAGAATTTCCTGACCTTCCAACTCAGCACAAGTGCTGCCAGTTTGGCACTTGTTTTTATTTGCACCTGCTTTGGCTTCAAATCCCCTTTGAACGCCATGCAGATTCTTTGGATTAGTAAGTGCAACAGCTGATGTGCAGCCTCACCCAAGCTAACCGTCATGCTATAGACATTATCATGGATGGTCCTCCAGCTCAGTCTTTGGGTGTTGAAAGGGTAGACCCTGATGTTATGACCAAGCCCCCACGACGACGAGGAGATCCAGTACTTACCAAGTCGCTTGTTACACGCGTTCTCACATCGGCGGCCATTATTACTATTGGAACAATGCTCATCTACCGTCGTGAGATGATGGCTGATGCACAAGTAACCCGACGTGACACGACGATGACATTCACCTGCTTCGTCTTCTTCGACATGTTCAATGCTTTGAGCTGCCGGTCAGAGTCTAAGTCGGTGCTTCAGGGCGAAGTTGGACTCTTTTCTAACAACTTGTTCAACTGGGCTGTCTCTCTCAGCATTGCTGGACAGTTGCTTGTCATCTATTTTCCTTGGCTCCAGGAGACTTTCCAGACAGAAGCTCTTGGGTTTTTTGACCTCGTACGACTCGTTCTGTTGTGTAGCACGGTATTCTGGGCGGACGAGCTGCGAAAATATCTCAAGTATAAGAAAAGGCGTTTTGGAAACGGTTATAGCCAGGCGGTGTAATAGCAGGTACCATTTCTTACTGAGAGGGGCTAGGGGGGTTCATTTAAAAGGGACATATTGTAGCATAAAGATATAAACCTTGTACAAAGTATTGCATAGCGAATGCACCGAAGCTGTATATTATAAAGGTCCAGAAACAGACCTGTATCGACCGAAATTCTATTAAACTATCTTGTTAATACTTCTTTGCTGTGTCTTTTTTCCAGCAAGGGATTGTTGGCCATGGGCATGTCATTCTGTCTCGGGGTGCAGGGTATGCCTCCATAACGAAAATTGCGGGGGAGCTCTCCCAGTGAGAGAGGCTGCGTGGCACCAACAAAGCAACGCCTCCAGCTGCGACAAGTAAGTCCCCTTTGCGCTGTAAACCCCACGTCTCTTCTTCATTCGCCCTGAACGTAGAGAAAACGAAGCAGAAGGCAGAAATGCGCCGCCGGAATAGGACATCTTAATGACAATGTCAAGCCTTCAAAACGGCATTTCCCACAGCGAACACCCTGTCGTCGAAACACCAGCCGCTGTCTCTACTTCGTCCCTTGACAATGCCAACACCGAGTCCGAGATTCGTGAAGCGCTCGCCTCCCTGCATGCCCACGAGGTTTCTATAACGTCCCGCCTCGATGCTCTCGTGGCTTCACAGGCTGATTTATCCCGCGACCTTGGGCGGCTGGATCTGCTGCGGGCTGGACTGGGAGCGCAGGTCATCGCCGCACGTTCAATTGGAAATGACATGCTAGCAACGGCAGCAGATACGGCTGGTCGACTGAGTGACAGGGTCAAGGAGCTGGACCTCGAAAAGAGTCGAGTCGAAGAAACGCTGGGTGTGGTGGAACAGGTCGCGGAGCTCAAGGCTTGTGTCAATGGCGTGGTGGGTTCCATGGGAGCGCCCCAAGACTGGGAGGCTGCTGCTGGATACATATCAAGAGCAAGCAAGATACCAGAAGAGATCACAAAAGGTTCATTCGCTGTTGGCATAGTACCCAGCGTCGAAGTCCCCGACCCGCCATGGGTGACATTGGAAGAAGCCAAGGAGAGTTTATGCGGCCTCTTCTTGAGAGAGTTTGAAAAGGCGGCAGAGGAGAGTGATGGCACGAAAGTTACTAGATTTTTCAAGCTCTTCCCCTTGATAGGAAGAGCTGAGGTCGGATTAGATGTCTACGGAAGATATGTGTGCCAGGGAGTCGCTGGAACCGCTCGAGCGACACTCAAAGACGCCCTGAATGGACAGCGTAGGGAAGGCTTCTTTTATGCCAACGCCTTGACGAAGTTGTTTGAGCACATCGCCCAGATTGTCGAAGGCCACGGCGGGCTTGTAGAGCGTCATTATGGCTCTGGAAAAATGGTTCGTGTTATTGAACGTTTACAGATGGAAGCGGATGTCCAGGGTGGTATCATTGTCGACACCTGGAGCGACGAAAGAGGAATCGATAGAAAACTCACCGACGTCAGGAGTTATCCATTCTCGTTTCTAGTCCAGAGCTTCTTACCCCAGCCCCCTCGTGGTGGCACACCGAGGGTGAACTCGCCAGCCATAGGGGTAGGCAACAATCCCCGAGAAAGTGAGGATGAGGGTGTCAATATGAGAGAAGTTGACGGCCTCCTGAGCGAGATTGCGGTGATGCTTGGACGCTGGTCATTGTACACCCGATTCCTCGCCGGCAAATGCAAGGTATGTTTGGCTATTCAAGCTCGAGATAAACTGAAACTTATACGTCGCAGAATCCCGACACACCAGATGAGGCGCCTCTTGTCATACCAGACGTACTTGTCAAGTCAAATCTGTACCGAAAAGTATCTACCAAGCTCACATCCCCTTATAACGTCATGACTACTTTCTTCTTCCGTCGTTCTGTCGAAAAAGCGTTCCAGCTGGACGAATATCCTACCGGTCTGTCATTAAGCTTGAGCAGGCAGATCGAGGGCAACGCCCCATACATTATATTAGCGGTGGACGATGTCATGTACATTGTGAATGCGGTCATTCAGAAATCTATTTCAACATCACAAAGAGATGTCATTGCTTCTGTCGTCCCGACAGTTGGCCGAGTGCTTGGCTCCGACTTTGTTGGTATGATCCAGCGCAAGATGAGAGATGAATCGTATCCTAGACCGGTCGTCCAGGGAGGCTTCCCACCTGAGGACAAGATCATCCAGTTCATCGTTCTTATCAGTAGTCTGGACATGGCCAACGAGTATTTGACTCGAATTATCACGGGACGGATAGGGGAATCGAGTCACCTGCCAAACGGTGATGCCCAAAACGGGCCCCTCAAGGATTCGTTCCCATTTGAGCGAGATGTTATCTTTGTTGCAAACGCGCTACACACCCTTCAAACTTCGTTCATCGGAAAAACGACCGAGCTGCTCAACGAGGGAATCCAGGTACTCTTCAACCAGGTTGTCAAGCTCCGTTTAAGGCCGGTCCTGACAGATACATTCCGTGATGCGGACTACACCTTGTCGGAGGACGATATTGCAGATATAGCGCAGCAGAATGACGAAGACGAGGATGAACTCCTGGAACAAGTACCCCGACTGTTCGAGCATGGTTGGGATCAACTCATGAAGCCAATTGCACGTTTGATGACACCTGGGACATACACCACTCTCCTTGACACCACAGCACGCTACCTCTCCAAGATATGGGAGAAGAAGATCATGGGCTATGCGGGCCGCACAAATGCTCTTGGTGCAATCAGACTGGAGCGTGATTTTATCGCGTTAGTAGACATCGTATCTCGTGGGGACTACGCCGTGAGAGAGGTCTTCGCCAAGGTCCTGCAAATACTCATGGTCGCCAACATGGAAGATGACGAGTGGGATGAGGTTATGGCCCAAGATGGAGAAGACGATGCCATCGAATGGGTTTTGACTGAGGAGGAGAGGAGGCGGGCGAGAAGTTTGGTTAGAGGATGATCTGGCAGTTAAAGATATTCAAGGACATCAAGAGACAGCGTTGATTATAGAAAAAAAAAAGAGTCTAAAGAGATGTAAGAGTAGAGTCGATGCAAGTGAGTATTTCGTAGTTTACGGTTGGTGAGACGTTGATAACCACTACTGATGCAAGTTTCTCTCTCTGATCATCTAGAATCTGACGGGCTGTAATTGAAGCTACCTTAAATTAGATCAATCAAGAGCACCAGGATTAGCCAAACAAAATAAAATGCGATTATTGGTGTCAAAACTTGCAACAAACTGCGTTCTTTAGACAATCATTTTTTGTACATGCCTTCCTAGTCTCCACTGATATTGTTCGTTTTAGGACTACCTATACCTAGGTCTGAGCTTTCAGTGGCCTTTCGCCCTAACGTGCCACTGAATAGACGTTAGTGGCACCAGACCTCAGGCACTCCCAAAGCCGAACTTGGTACCTAAGTCCAGCAGTTTTCGATTGGGCATTGCCTTCAGCTCTGAGTCACTCTCAACCATCAAAGTCCAGCCAGAGGCTCCATTTTAGCTCGCCATGATGAGTGAGCATGAGGCCCAGTGTGATGAAATTTTCTATCGCCCAACTATCACGAACCCCGAGCCACAGACCTCAATATCATAGTTTCCGAAGATATTTGCTAACGCTTACACTTTCGGAAAACACCCTCTTCTATTTTCCAAAGCGAGATTTACAAAAAACCACCTACCCCTCCCCGATATTGAGAACACCACTTACATCACAAACCTTTGGCTCTCAGGCTGCGCCCGCAATGGAGACAAGGATAGTGAAAGTCCCGAGCAAGGGCTCTCTAGGCCAGTTTCGACCTGGCGATGGTCTCGCAAAATTGAATCACTGGGAAGTTCAATGCGAAAATAAACTCGCTCTTGAGGCTCTGCAAGATGCTGCTCACCTGCTACGGACCAAGGACACGCCTGTCGCATTCCCGACAGAGACTGTATATGGCCTTGGTGCAGATGCTACTCGGACTCCCTCAGTTAAAGGAATCTATTCGGCAAAGGGACGACCTTCAGATAACCCTCTCATTTCACATGTTTGCGACCTGGAAATGCTGCGACAGTATATCGGCCACACTGATGAAACTGATCCTATACCCCAACGATACAGGGCTTTGATAGAGCGTTTCTGGCCTGGACCTCTGACTATTCTTCTACCTAACCCGGTACCGTCGAAACTAGCGCCTGAGGTGACTGCAGGTCTCAAGACCTTTGGCGTGCGAATGCCATCTTCAACCCTCGCCTTGTCTCTTATCAAGCTAGCTGGTGTACCCCTGGCAGCACCATCAGCCAACGCTTCCACCAAACCTTCACCCACAGCGGCACAACATGTGATGGACGACCTCAACGGAAAGATCGAGCTCATTTTGGACGGTGGACACTGTCAAGTAGGTGTGGAGAGCACTGTTGTGGATGGACTATGTGACCCCCCCGTCGTCCTTCGCCCAGGAGGTATCGGAATAGATGAGCTACGAAGCTGCCCCGGTTGGGAGAATGTATCAATAGCTTATCAAGACAAGAGCGAAGAGGGAAAAGCTGCACCTCGGGCTCCAGGGATGAAGTACAAGCACTACAGTCCAAAGGCTACAGTAGTGCTTTATGAGTCGAGTTTCGGAGAAGGGGGCAATGGAATAGCTTCTCTCGACTTGAAGGCGGCCAATGGGACAGTCAATGGCCATGCTAGCAACGGCGAGCGGAAGGGCAGGGTTATTGGGGTTATTCGCACCCAGCGATGGAAGTCAGGGGCTGGTCTGCGATGCGCCAGCTTTCAGCATCTCACCGACGTACAAGGACCCGATGAGGATGACTCGCCATTCCAAGTATACGAGGGCGATCTGTTGGATGAAAAGGAGCAGCCAATAGGAAAGATCTTGGATATCGATCTGGGCAGAGGCACTGAAGGAATTGCGAGAGGTCTTTTTGCAGCGCTCCGGGAGTTTGATCGACGAGGCGCAGACACCATTTTTGTTGATGGTATAGAAGATAGAAGCGATATCGCAGCGGCGGTCATGAACCGGCTCCGTAAAGCGGCTTCAGAGACTAGAGCATGAATGATCATATCAATTAGAACACCAGCACACCTGTATAAAAAAACCCTCTGTTTCTTGACCCTGTGTCAGCCAGACCAGACCAGACCAGACCAGACCACTGGCGCGGCGTCTTCCTCTTTTGATTTTGGTTTTGCATGCGGCGCTGAATAACGGCAAAACTCCCGACTCTCCACACATAAACCTGTTCCCATCTCTACAGACCCTGACGGAGCCAGTCCGCCAGTTTCGACTTTCCTAGCTGCGCCAAGTTGTTGACACCCTGTTCGCTAAGGTCGATGCGGCCAACGGGCATGTCTTGAGTGGGTGCTCGACTAACGCGCTGGGTGATGATAGTGGGATCAGTCTCAAGAATGATGCCATCGTCGACAATCTCATCAATAGCTAGCGAAACAAGGTCGTAGTTCTCGACAATTGTCCTCTTGTCAACGGATTGCCTATAGTACTGTGTTAGCGGTGCTTCAATGGTTTGCGCGGGCTCGAAAAGAAAGAAACTAACTTGAAGAGGATGTGGAGAGAGTCCCGTAGAGCGAGAATGGTGTTGTAGAGCAGAATCTCGTTCTCGTCGACACTGCCAACAACATACATCATGACATCTGACTCCATCTTGTACAGCACAATTCGGTTATCGTAAAGAATGATATCGCCGTTCTGCTTGGCAGTCTTGTCGATAAGACCCTTCTCAAAAGCCTTTTGCGATTTCACATCGGAGTAGGGGTTGGCTGACGAGCTTGTGGGAGCTGTTCGTAACAGTTGTCAGCTGTCGTTGCGCTCACTGGTAGCATAGTGAGGGAAGCTCAGGGGAGGATGAATGTACCATTAGGTGCTGAATGAGGTGGCTGGAAGTACTTTGCGAATATCCGAGAGCCATCTTCAGTGCTGAGGATCAGGATGGCCTGAACCGAGAAAAGCGACATCCCAGGGGCCATGATTGCAATCTGTTGTAGTGTTTGTTGGCTTGTAAGTGCTCTACTTCAATGGTGGCTCCTCCAGATGCCAACAATGCCACACTGTTAGGGATACCCGGGACCAACGTTTGACCGCTCCGTATGGCCAACCGTCTTATCTTATCAAAAGCTCCCTGCATGACGGGTTAATTGGCAAGCCCCCCGCCCTCGCGTCAAGCACTTTACGCGTCTGAAAAAGGAGACGCGACCCGTCACCCAGCCAATCCCTGCGCGGCCCCTCATCTTCACCACCAATTTCCCAACATCAACAGTAGCAAAAGACAAGGGTCACGCCAAGTCACTTCTTCTACCTTCTCTGGCATAAACATACAGATAACCCAAAACGAAAATGTCGTCGCCTACGAAAAGGTCGACACGCAGCTCAGCGACCCCTCGTCGTGCTGCTGGCAATTCAGAGACGCCCCGTCAAGGAAACTCTCAGCTCGATGCCCCTTCGAGTCCCCTCCACTATCAGTCTTCGTCACCAGGACCAAGCAATCAGAATAATCTCCCCGGAGATGTGTCTTCGCCATTTGGGCATATGACGAACAGCCAGAGCGATGTCCCTAGCCCTCCCCTGCGACAGATGACAGATACTCAAAGCGACCTGGATCCTGAAAGAACACCTCGAGCAAACCCAACCACACCGGCCTATCATGGAGGTGAGAACTGGCTTAATCAACCTTACCTTCACTTAACTGACCACCATAGGATCTTCACCTATCCACTATGAACCTAGCTCCAGCCCTGGCAGATCACTGCGACAACAGTCTGAGCTTCGAAGTGAGAGCAGCGGCTTGTTCTTGGGTTCTCAACTCGGCACGCCGGCACCTCACCGCAGAGGCGATATCAACTCCGATGCGACTCGAACACCCCGTGCTTCTCGGCGAGTGATTCTCGACGATGCTGGCCGTGTAGTTCGTGAGGGCCCCGCTGATGGATCCGATGCCGCCTCTTTCGCGAACAGGGACCCCAATACGTCAGAGGCTGATGTTCTTGGTGGACAAGGACAAAGTCTTATTTGGGGCACGACTGTCTCTATCGACGATACCTTCGCATCATTCAAGGAATTCCTTCGCAACTTTACACAGAAGTATCGGATGTACCGCGATGGTGCGTCAGATGAAGATGTTCAGAACGCTCCTGATGCAGAGTCAAAGCCATATTGGGAGGCTCTGGAGAACATGTTGCTCTTGGGAACAACACGACTTTATCTTGATATCTCTGACCTGAACCTATATCCACCAACCCGAAAGCTATGGCATCAAATTCAAGCCTACCCCCAGGAAATCGTGCCAGTCATGGATCAGTCCGTTCATGACATGATGGTTGAGATTGCACGGGCAGAGACTTTGAGAAACCGTCAATCGCAGAGCAGCGCTGGCCACCAAGCCTCCCAACAGAGCACTCAGAGCTCAGAACCTGTATTTCTCAGCTCGGATAGGCCCGAAGAGGCGCCCACACCCCGGACACAACCAGATCAACAGCAGCAAGCTTCGCTGGAGGATCAAGTAGCTTCATCTATTTATGTGGTTCGACCATTTGGTCTGGACAAGACCACCAACCTGAGAGATCTGAATCCTTCTGGTAAGTTATACTCTACTATAAGTATCCCTTCCTTCGACTAACATAGACCAGATATGGACCGCTTGATCAGCATCAAGGGTCTCGTTATCCGCACAACCCCCGTTATTCCTGATATGAAAGATGCCTTCTTTCGTTGCAATGTTTGCAACCACTCTGTCAATGTTGGCTTAGATCGTGGTAAAATTCGCGAGCCCACCGAGTGTCCTCGTGAGATTTGCAAGTCCAAGAACTCCATGTTGATCGTGCACAACAGATGTTCCTTCGAGGACAAGCAGGTCATCAAGCTTCAGGAGACACCCGATGCTGTGCCTGCTGGTCAGACGCCTCATTCAGTGTCGGTCTGCGTTTACAACGAGCTGGTCGACTTTTGCAAGGCTGGTGACCGTGTTGAGTTGACAGGTATCTTCCGCGTCAGCCCTGTTCGTGTCAACCCCCGCCAGCGTGCCCTCAAGAGCGTGCACAAGACATATGTTGATGTTCTTCACATTCAAAAGGTCGATAAGAAGCGCATGGGCGCTGACCCTTCTACGCTCGGTGTCACTGGTGAGGAGGAAGCTGAAGCCGGAGAGAACGGCATCGAAGAGACACGAAAGATCACGATTGAGGACGAAGAGAAGATCCGGGAGACAGCCGCCCGTGATGATATCTACGAGCTTCTTGCTCGTTCCCTAGCTCCCTCTATCTACGAAATGGACGACGTCAAGAAGGGCATCCTGCTGCAACTCTTTGGGGGCACCAACAAGACTTTCCAAAAGGGTGGTAGTCCCAAATATCGAGGTGACATTAATGTCCTCCTCTGTGGTGACCCGTCGACAGCCAAATCGCAGATGCTTTCGTACGTTCACAAGATTGCCCCCCGCGGCGTTTACACGAGTGGCAAGGGATCCTCAGCTGTCGGTTTAACTGCGTACGTTACTCGCGACCCAGAAACAAGACAGCTTGTCCTCGAATCTGGAGCCCTGGTCTTATCAGACGGTGGTGTCTGCTGTATCGATGAGTTTGATAAGATGTCTGATGCTACGCGCTCCGTACTCCACGAAGTGATGGAGCAGCAGACCGTCTCAGTCGCCAAAGCCGGTATTATCACCACTCTCAATGCGCGAACTAGTATCCTCGCCTCGGCAAACCCTATCGGCAGTCGGTACAACCCCGATCTTCCTGTTCCTCAAAATATTGACCTCCCTCCTACCCTCCTCTCGCGATTTGATCTCGTGTACCTCATCCTGGACAATGCCGATGAGAAGAACGATCGACGCTTGGCCAAGCATCTTTTATCGCTTTACCTTGAGGACAAGCCCCAATCCGCTCCCAACAAGAATGATATTCTGCCAGTCGAGTTCCTCACTCTCTATATTTCCTATGCGAGATCCAAGATTCAACCTACTATCTCACAAGAAGCGGCTCAGGAGCTGGTCGACTGCTATGTTGCCATGCGCTCCCTTGGACAAGATGTCCGCGCCGCTGATAAGCGTATCACTGCCACCACCCGTCAGCTTGAGAGTATGATTCGTCTCTCCGAAGCTCACGCCAAGATGCGCCTTTCTGAGATTGTCACACGTGACGATGTTCGCGAGGCCAATCGTCTCATTCAGAGCGCCCTCAAGACCGCCGCCACAGATGCTCAGGGACGTATCGACATGAGTCTCCTCACTGAGGGAACAAGTGCTGCTGATCGCAAGCGTCGCGATGAGCTACGTACCGCTCTCCTACGCCTCTTGGATGACATGACAGCTGGTGGCAACACCGTGCGTTGGACTGATGTTGCTCGCCGACTGAGTGAGGGCGCCAGCATTCCTGTCGAACAGTCCGAATTCAACGACGTGATGAGGGCTCTTGAGGCGGAGAGCGCCATCATGATCACAGGCGAAGGAGCAAGAAGGACCATCCGCAGAGTGACCTCTGTTGCATAGAAATGATAAGTACGGAGCTCACTCGACGTTGAATGATATACCATGTAGATGAGTTGATGAGGTTTACTAGATCAAAGGTTGTACGATGATGAACCTCCTGGCTGGGTCAGGCGTTGGGCATATTTGTGGGGGATAGATAGACGTGGACATGTTTAATTTGATTAATGCTATGATCATTCTACCAGCCTTGAAACCTGTACCGGGGGACTAATGTCCGGTTTCGAGCCCTTTCTTGACTTTAGTAGCAACTTCCAGAGCATCTCTAAGAGTGTCGATCAAGTCTTCTTCGTTTTCTAGACCAGCCGAGATTCGCACACTTGCTTCCCTGACTCCCAGTTCATGCATATACGCCTTCTCGTCGGGTTTCTTACCAAAGACGACCATGTTGTACGCAAACATGATTGTGACATGTCCGCCAAGGTGAGGGCTCGGATAGAAGCCTGCCCTGTCGTAGAACGCAATCGCAGCTTCAACAGTTGAGAATTCAACTGTCAGGAGGCAGCCGTATCCAGGCTCTGGCAGTTCTGGTGTTGCTCGCCTTAGAATTGCATCGTAGTTTGACTTGCTGCCAAGTTGACTGGGATATTGCACATTGACCACAGGAGAGTCTGGGATTGAGATGGCTTTGTGGAGAAAGTTCGCCATGGCGAGAGCGTTCCGGTTAAGAATCTTGGTACGCTCAAGGAAGTCCTTTGAATTGGAGAGTAAGACTTTCGCATCGGAAGCAAAGAGCTCATTATGATGAGACTCTTTGAAATGAGACCGAAGATTATGATAATGGGGAGAAGTGGGATTTAGGACGATGGAACCGCCCATGACATTGGCATAGCCACTGAAGGACTTGGTGAGAGATGAAAGGAGGACGTCTGAGTTGGATAGGACGTCTACATTGGCGAAACCACTGATTGTGTCGTCGATGATGAGAAAGAATCCATACTCTTCAGACTATTGAGTGTCAGCGAGTCCGCAGTAGGGCAGGGCAATATGAGATCCGCTTACTAGTTCCTTCAAACGTTTCGTATCGACAGTTTCCAAGGTTGGATTTCCAGGAACCTCCACAAATGCATGGCTAACAGGTCTTCCCTCTTCTTTCTCATGCTTTAGCCAGTCTTCAAAGACCGAAAGACCTTCTTTATCAACCTTTCCAAAATGTTTCATTCCTTGCGGGCATTCTTCTATAAGATGGTGGTATGTGTTGTGGAAGATGATACCCAGGACGACAATAGTGCCAGGTCGGTGCTTTGTCAACAGAACGCTGGAGTGGAAGATAGCAGCCATGCCCGTCGGGTATAGAAACACATCGCTTGGTGTACACTTCACCTTGTCTGCATCAACCGGTGCACGATGGAGAAGCTCGACGATCCTCGTCCGGAGATCACCATGGGCTTCGCTCTCGGGAGTCCAAGTCGGAGATGGGATAGGGCCTTTTTCGGCTTCAAAGGGAACTTCCTTGATAGTGTCTATGCTTTTGAGAAGATCCTCAGCTCCACGAATAGAGATTCCGAGTCCTGGATTCTGCCAAGTGAGCACGACAGCAGGCATCGCCGTTGGACTAACGAGGATAAGATATACTCTATGGCCTGCTATATCGACGCATTTGAGAGTGGCATCCTGGACTGTCAAGCGTTTGTCTCCACGGTTCTCGTGGGTGACATGATGAAGAGTATATGGCCATACCGCAGGGTTAAGATAAACCAACGCAGCCTTGTCGGTATGGCCAAGACGTTTTGCAATCTCATGTCCAAGCTAAAGCCAGCGTCGTCAGTACGTTATTCTCACATATATATGGACTTACTTGAGCAGAATAGTGCGTGGGCATGAAGCGAGGATATATGTGAACCAGCTTCTTCATAGGAGCAGGATCGCCTTCTCGAATGGCCCTCGCCACATCCCATCCCGGAAGATTAGTGATAACACTGTAGGGAGCTTGAGGAGGAGGAGCGTGTCCAACTTCGGACTGGGTCTTTAGTACGACCATGATGATTGAGTATATAAATGAAATAGTCAGGTCCAGAACAGTGAGCAGGGTTGTGCGATACGGTTCGAGAAACACCGTCGTGGCCTAATTCACCATCAAGTCTTTATATACCTGCTGCATCGCAGACTAGTGCACCAATCGTTCGAATCCTCATGGATTTAGTTGCTTCCGTGTACAGTGGCCTCGACCTGTTAATCATGCACTAGTTAGACCAAAAGTGACCTTTAGAGTAAAGCCTCCAGGTTGGACTAGTGCCACTTTCCTCCCAGGGCGTTGGTTCGACATAGAGACCGTGGCCTAGAATCAGATATAACTTGGATGTTGACAGCCTTGGCGCTGATACTATGTGTATCGCCAATCATGGATACCACCATATGATGGACTACAAGCTATGAGCTACAGTGGCGGTTACTAGTGGGAATAAGGTTACGCGGCTCCGTACTGCCGCGGAGGTAGCTGAGGGTTATGGACCCAAATCCATTAGGTCAGGATACTCTCGATGAAATGGAAGTCGAAGAGATTGCAAGGAGGATTGGGGAAAGCGGCTGACCTGTTGAGATTATCATGGCCATCCTCAACATCTGACAGAAATCGACAACACCAAGACTGATGATAGAGTCAATCGTCATTCAGGAAATGTAGTGACCAATACTGCTCCTTCTGTGTGCTTTTTAACTTTGCTGAGCTCACTAACTGCATTACTCGACTTTCCAAACTAGCCACTTGACCTATCGCTTCCACCTCTTCAACTGAGGAACTCATATTACACAAAAGGGGACCGATCCAAGCCTAGTACAACACCCCCATCAAGACTATGTCTCAAACACCGCTACAAAAATGCATGCAACAAAGCCTACCAAGACCAAGACTCCTTGTTCCTACCAGATGCCTCTCTCCTTACCCTCAAACCCAAAGTTCGCGGCTACGCCTACGAACAGAGCTATGCAGAGAATACTTGGACCCCAACGGTCGTAGAACCCAATAGCCTTACGTTCTCGGATGCCTTTACTTCGGTAGAGATACGTAAACACAGAGTAGGCGAGGCTTGCAATAGCCAACGCAGTAAAGAGGCCAGAAATCCAGAAGTGGGTAGGTGTGGGATGGCTACCGAAATTGAGTAGCGTGACAGCAATTGTGCCGATGTAGATAGAAAACTCGAGCTATCAAACGAAGCGTATTAGTAAACGAACACGTACTTGACATCAAAGTACTTACCCATCCCAAAAATGTTCTTTCAGCCGCAAAATAGACCTTGGGTTCCACGCGTACAGGCACGTAGATCTTCTTGCCAGGGGGCGCCTTAAACTTCTTATTCTGAATAGGATCGTGCCCAAACAAGGCTTGCAGCCGGTCACTGCGTTCAACCTGCGTGCTTCTAGGCGCAGGAATAGCAAGCTTGAGCGCAGAAATCACGTGTTTTCCAAAATGTTGTCTGAGATGTCGAGTCTTGGCAGAAAGCAAAGTCGAGTAGTAGCGCCATCCTCCGCTTCTCTTGGCTTGCGCCAGCTCGTATCTTTCATCATACTCATCATCGGAGTTGTATATCGCATAGTCTTCATCGGCCGCGGGAAGGTCTGTCATCTGGCCCTCCATGTCAATAGGGGGGAGCTCGCGGAGACCACGAGCGCCCTGTGCGCTCGACTCGCCGTTAGTGCCGTTGCGGCCAGAAGCCTGTAATTCCTCGTCATCCGAGTCAAGTTCTTCGTCATCATCAGATGTATTGGTAGTACCTGACAACCCGGGTCGTCGAATACCAAAGTCATGAGTAACGGGTTTGCGGATGTCTACGTCCATCTGAGGCATCCAGAAAGGCAGGAGGTTGATTCTATCAGGAAACAACGTCGCCGTACCGTGGATGAACTTCGAGAATTTGGGCACAGCCTCCACCAGGTGAGATGAGATGAGCTGGCGAACCCACTCAGGTGGTTTCTGACCGGACTGCGTCTGGAGCTTGACCTCCAGAACGGCATAAGGGAACCGCTCAATGTCTTCGGCAGGCAATTGCGAAAAGGGATAGTCAACACCGATGTCCATACGGCGCCAGTTATCTCCAGAGCGGACACGGCCATCAAGATTGTCTTCTCGTACCATTGTGAGCTCCGTATCCAGCGAAATTCGGACACGGGCATCGGCGGGCAGCTGGAACGCAGTGCGGTTATAGAAAGATCGGCAAACGGGCTTGTAGCCCTTTTTAATAACCGAATATTGGATCTCAGAGGCCAATCGCTCGTCCTCAGCAATGGCCTTCTCAGACTTCTTGCCCTCTTTGCGTGCCTTCTCAAAGATGGCGGCTGGGAGCAGTTCTCCCTTCATGTACGCGTTGACGTTTTTCTCCTTCATGGCAAATCGAGCCTTGACGGACTTCTCACCCGTCCAATCTTCGCGATGAGTCTTGCGCTCGACGAAGATCGTCTCTGTCTTCATGCCTCCATACCATCGAAGTCGAATCGCCTCGGCACCTTCAGTTTTCTTCAGTCGACCTTCGTACAGGTCCCATGTGTCGGGATTGTCGTAGTAAATCGATGTGATGGCTGAATCTTCCGGGTCGAAGTCCTTGTTGGCATTGAAGACGAGAACAGGCAAGTGCTTCAGGATAATAAGCTTCAGTTCCGTGACATTGTCGGGGTGCACCCAATATTTAGTCGTTTGTCGGATGAAGTTGGCTTGGCCTCCACCCGCAGCACTGTCGCCCTTGACGGGATTTCCGCGAGTTCGGACGAGGTCGTAAAGCTTCGACAGCTTGATGACAGCCGCGTCGTAGTTTTCCTTGTAAAAGGGCTTGGCTTTGAGCCGGCTATCGAAAACGGGCTTCAGGTGCCATCCGGTCGTTTTCTGGAACTTTCGTTAGGCAACCGCTGCGTTGTTTCCAATGGTTTAAGTCTTACATCGTGCTTCTTAATGATCTTGTAAAACCCAGTATAGTTGAGCTGCACAAACTTGGCGAGGTCATGGACATCGGCTATAATGTCGCTGAGATCCTCTTCGAGAAGCATGAACTCTTCTTCGCTAGGGCCATTCTCGCCAAGGCCACGCTCATTCAGGCGGTTAACAACATCCTTGACTTCGCGTTCGCTCACAGCAATTCGACGGGAAATCTCCATTGCCTTGACCTTCTGCTTTGTGTGAACCTTGTCGAGCTCTGACTCGAGCCTTTCGACGAAGCGCGTCTCGTCATCCTCAGTCCATTCTGGGCCCTTGCCGGCCTTCAAAGGACCGGTAGGTCCCTTGAGCTCATTTTTCAAACCATCGTAATCGATATAGTACCACTGATACTCCTGAATAACGCTGGAGCGTAACTGCTCTCCGAACTTCATGACGACGACGCCGGGTCGGACAGAAAGATTTTTGCCGTCGCGGGTGCTGAGCCAGGTTCTGGAACGTGTCTTGAGGTCCTGAACGATCAGCATGTGCGCATTGAAGAAGCTGGATACGACATCCAAGGAATTGAGCTCGAATAGTAAAGGCTGATGATGGATGAAGAAATATGAGACGCTTGACCACAATGCAGCCGAGGAAGTCAATCGACGGATGCTGATGATACAGTTCTTTTGCTGGCTTACCTGGTGACGATAATAAAAGAAGAGGAGGTCGAGAGAGACAATGTTTTTGGTGTCGCCGAAAGTTACGAGATGACCGAGGCGTAACAAAACAGGTCAGGGCTTCCGAGTCGGCAGGTACGGACGGACTATTTTAACGAATATGCAAGGTAACCGTAGCACTGTAAGTCAATTACAGTGCGGCAGGTACGAGAAGAGTTCCAGGTTTCCTTGCCTTGACCTGATCTGAACTCTTTCGTCGCTTCGCTCTGTCTTGTTATCGTTGGCGTTGAGCAACTGACTTTAGGTCGGGCGTTATGTGGAGCAACAGGCCGACATTGGTTTAGTTGGCGTTGTCACGGTCGAGAGCTCTGTTCGAGACAAGCTCTGAACCTGAGACGATTGGCGAATCACGTTGGTGGCTACAGGAACGTGCACGTCACTGAAGGAAACTTAATAGCGAGGCTACGAGACGAGGGAGGGACAGGGGAGTCCGAGAAGAAAAACTGGTGCTGGTGAAGCGAGGGTCCGCTGTATTTCTTAGCGGCCGTTCTTCCATACCTATTTGGGGCTTCTCGTCCAAGGTGCTGTGCAATGCAGGCATGCGCCGGCGTCATTTTACATGGGATACAAACTGGAGCTGAAAGTGCATGGACTACCTAACAAGTGTCCTATTCGCCAATTGAGCCCGTCAGCACCCAAGCTTGTCAGAAAACATCTTCCATGCACGTGTAAATGCATATTGGCGGCATTGCACTACAATCCCCGGCTGCCCAGTTGCGAGGGTGGATCGATTCAGCCATGGAGACTCTCTAACACAAGGTGGGGAAATGCGTTGAGGCTCGGTGTCGAATTCGATACCTTGGAGGATATAAAAAATTATAAAAAAAAGTGAAGGGTTTGTATACCTAGGTAGGTGTCTATACTTTCAAACTGCGAGGTAATGTTTATACCTCTGTCCATTGATGACTTTGATGAGACCATTATTTAATAACTGGTATGGAACTATGAGACACTTCGTTGAAAGCGATAGACCCTTGCTGTAACTAATGCAAGACTTATATCCTGGCTTCTTTGTACCGTACAGACGGCCCAGTTTTCTTTTTGGTCAGGATGCTTCACCATCGAACTCCAGACCTGTATACTACGTAGTAGATCCAACCCTAGCACAAACTTGGCCTTGATTCTTTTTTACAGCCTCAACTCGAAAAATCGGCTTCAACCTTACCATATGTGTAGATAGACAGTCACGCCCGCTGCTCAACCCTTGCCCGTGTATTGTCCACCCATCTCCAAACTTCCGTGCCCCTCAAAATCGAAGTCGACCCCGCGACACAATTTTTATTTCATGCCCCTCATCATGGCTCCCAAAATCGATGATTCTATGCCGGCGCGCATCTCCTCCGATTGCCCAGACGAGATTCGAGAAGTCTTGTACCATGCCTGGGGCCATGATAGAAGTGGTCTGCAGAAACTGCTAAAAACCACCGGCAAGGCAAATGCTCAGGACCCCAAGACTGGGGAGACACCCTTACATGCAGCTATACGTGCCTGCGGGCCTGCTTCTGGGGACGATGACGATCAGGAAGAGGATGGCTCCGTTGAGGAGGCCAAAGAGATAGTTCACGATCTCTTCCTGAGAGGTGCAATTTGGAACGATGTCGATAGCAACAATGAGACACCAGGGTGCCTTGCCCTTAGGCTTGGCCGTAAGCCTCTATACAACCTTTGTGTGGAGGCTGGAGTGCGAGCTGAACTCCTGTTCGCTCTTATGGGGGATTATGAAGCACTATCATCTGGTTCAGATGATGGTGACGAAGAGATGGAAGCTGAACAAGATGACGAAGAGGCTCCTCAACTGGTATCCGCTGAAGACACCGCCCCTCCTCCAGAAGAACCCAAGTTCATTCCTCCCGATGCTCAAGAGAAGCAAGTCACAAGCGAGGAATATCTAAATTCGAAACTTGTATATGATGATGCCAAGCTTGTCGACTCTGACCTCAACGGTGTCATGATGGCCTGGGAGACCGATATCATGCGCCGGTCTGTTGCCGCTCTGATTCCCGACTCAGCCCCTGGTAAACGTATCCTGAACATTGGTTTCGGCATGGGTATCGTCGATGGTATGTTCGCTGATTTGAAACCCTCACGCCATCATATCATCGAGGCACACCCAAGCGTTCTTGAGCACCTCTCCAAGGACGAATCCAAATTTGGCCCTAGTTGGGAGAACAGCAGCCCTGAAGAGGGAGCCTTTAAGGTGCACAAGGGCAAGTGGCAAGATATTGTACCAAAACTACTGGAGGATGGTGAGGTTTATGATGCCATTTACTTCGACACCTTTGGCGAAGACTACTCTCAGCTACGTCACTTCTTCTCTGAGTGCATCATTGGCATTATGGACCAGGACGGCAAGTTTAGCTTTTTCAATGGCCTTGGAGCTGACAGAAAGATCTGCTACGACGTATACACCAAGGTGGTCGAGATGCAGTGCGCCGATGCAGGGCTCGATGTCGAGTGGGAGGAGAGTGATGTAGACATGTCTGGTCTAGAGAAGGCTGGCGAGGGAGAGTGGGAGGGCGTACGGAGACGATACTGGACCCTAGACAGTAAGATATACCATATATATTTTACGTCACTATCAAGCTAACTTTATTTCGCAGAATACCGGTTGCCTATTTGCACATTCATGGGCTAGACGAATGGATCCATCAAAAGAATTCCAGGCCTGTCAGTGGCACGCGCTCTTGATAGTCTTTAAGAAACCCTTCGTCTCTATTCGTGCTTTCCATTCAAGTCCACGTCTATCTTCGTTTTCCGACCAACCCTAATATTAACCTTTGATACCCATCACGCGCCTTTCATCAATCGGCCCCCGCTCATGCCTATTTGAAGTTCTCGGGATGAAGGATACCCGCCATGTTGCCCTCATTGATTCGCTTAAGGGTCAGGGCGGCAATCAGGGCGGCGCCGACACCACTGCCGTCCTCGGCAGTAAGAACCTCAATAGGGTCCTCGGCCTTCTTGTCGGTCTTCGCAGGCCAGTCGAGAATCTCTCGCAGAGCCTGAGCTCCTCGCTCCTTGAAGTAGGGGTACTTGTTGAACACGGAGCCATCAGCACCGACGTGGCAAGATTCGTAACCCTTCTTCTTGCAGATAGCAGCGACACCACAAGCCGAAAGGCGAGCAGCACGTGTGCCGATGAGCTCGGCGGTCCTTCGAACGAGCTCCAGTTCGGGACGTGTGGGCTTCAGATTCAGCTTCTTGACGAAGAGATCATACGTCTCAGTCAGGTTCTCCCAGGGGTCCCTAAAGCAGACAATTAGCAGTGTGCGTAGCCCCAGCAAAACAAAAACGTACTCTTCAATAGCAGACAGGAAGGAAGCATCGAGGGAGTAAGGCTTGCGTAGCAGAGCAATGTCCTGGTTCTCAAAGATATGGATGGCCTTGTTATCGTGAAGGTCGACGAGGATGAGTCGGAAAATCTCGCCGAGGTAGAGACCAGCAATCATCTTTTCGAAGGCCTGTTGTCCAGGGCGAGGAGACTCCTTATCGATAGTCACATCGTAGGCAGTTCGGGGAAGGACCTTGTGCTCGTTGTCAAAAGCTCCCCACTCGCAGTTGATGGCCATGGGCAGATCGGCGGGCAAATTTAGGTCGGCAATCTTGGGAATGGAACCACAGTCTTCCATGTAAGCAGCATTGCATCCCGTACCGAAGATGCAGCCGATCTTCATGGCGGTATCAGTGTAGGCTGAAGCGATCAATGTGCCAGTAGTATCATTAATGATAGCCGCAAGCTTGATGGGGACGCCCTATTCACATGATTAGCAGCGATTATTGGGGTTTTAGAGTGATGTTCAGCATACGCGAGCCTTCAGGGCCTCCTCAAACATGGGCACGATGTTCTTGCCCTCCACACCATCAATGTCGAAGCCCTTGGTCCATCGCTGTAGAATACCCTCATCGATGTAGTTCTGGGTGGCAGGATATGAGAATGTGAAACCCAGAGGGATTTTCTCCAGCTTGCTGCAGTCTCCGTGGTGAGTCTCGAGGAATTGGTAAAGACACTCGGCAATGTATTCCCAAAGCTCTTCAGATGTACCAGACTTGAGCTCCTCGGGCATGCGGTACTTGGACTGGAGGATATCGAACTCGGATTTCTCTTCGGTCAGGGTGATCTGGCAGACTCGCAGGTTTGTTCCGCCCATATCCAGGGCCAGGTAAGTTCCGGTTTCATAGCCATCGGGGTATGACATGACCCAGGTAGGATTCATAGGCTATGGACTTGGTTAGAAGCAGGATTGGAGGTGTCTGTTTCGAACTCACGATGCTACCCCCCTCAACACTGAGGCCTATTGAAAGTCAGATAGTCGTCCCTGTAGTCTACAGAACAGTAGGGCTCACCTTTGGCCAATTCGGAGACAAAGTGGTCGGTAATCTCCTTGAGCTTAGCGGGCTCTACCGTAAAGAGCTTCTCGAGCTTGTGAATCTCATCGGCGAGATCCTTAGGGACATCGGCCATTGATCCTGACATGATTTATCGTTAGCAACGGATATTTGAGCTGGCTGATATTATTTTGCATCATGTAGTTGGAAAGACAAGAAACTCTGAGGAGGGAAAGGTTAACAGAAGGGCAGCGCATTTGACTTCGGTGCTGCATGGTCACTGCACAAGCACTGCATCTACACCTTGACAGTAGGACAGTGATTGCCAGCTGGCAAACCCAATAGCATTCAGTAACCACGAAGTACGAGCTCACGTAATACACCTCATCTGCAAATTCGTTGTTTCCCCGAAACTTGAGGTCATAGTTGCATGCACAGTCGATTATCATTGTTGTCGCCGATTCTTGGCCGAGCCCCAAGAGCCAACCGGGATGGCTCTCGATTTCGCACGACGGCTTTTTGCTCTGTCGTGACTCTAGAAGACGACTTCGTCTTGTCTCCAAGGTTCGTCACCAGGAATGTTGGAGAGGATGGAGAAACATCGTCATCGCAGCGCATTTTTGCTGGTTCTGCCCCACCGAGCAAGCTTCCTCTCCGTGAACAAGCAACAGCTCGTGGCCAGCAGCAATTGATGCTCCCAAATAACGAGATGTAGGGTTTCTCGGTCGCGGGGACGTCATAACACGATATGTGATAGCATTTGAGTATACGTACCCTTTCGGGAGGGAGGACGTCGAGGACCGAGACCGACCATTTTGATGAGGGAGTGTTGACTTTTGGCGGGGTTCGGATTTGGCGGGGTAGTGTCTTGTTGAAGCTTCGTAGCGCGTAGGTCACCGTGGAAACTTTTGTAGGGAGCAAGACGTATTCACGAAAGGAAAGAAACACAATTTAGAATAGGTTGAGGAGTATAAGGAGGATGGTGTAGGTAGGGGGATACAGGGTTTTTAAAGCAGCCCAGATATGGATGGGATGGGATGGAAGGGAGGTGGAGTAGAAAGCACCTTATGTAGGTAAGGTAGGTAGGTGCTAGCAGGTCCTGACGGGACTGGACTGAAGTAAATTGAGGTGAGTCGAGGTCAGGACAAGCCGTTGAGCGGGAGATTTGCAGGGAGTTAACTTATTAGTTGTCTTCTCATGTCATCAATCGGCCAGAAGCAAAGTACATCTACCTGCAAATAAAGGTTGACATGTACTTTATCTTCTATCTTGTGACCAATTGGCAACAGCCAGATCGTCCCAAGTCTCCGCTGTCTTGACACTCAACTACATACTATGTAAGTATCCGAAATACATAGATTTGCACCTGGTTTCTACTTAATACTTGTGTCTGCTCCCCTTCGATAGGTACCCGAGCTATCTCTGTACCCTTCCTGCCTTCATAGTTTGGTTGATTGACCGCTTCGTTGCAAAAGGAAGTAAGCAAACAAGAGACATCTCTCCTCAAAAATGATACTAGCCCGAACAAGAACTCAGGCGCCTCACGCTTAGACATTCGTGGTCTGAGATGCGTGTGGGTTGAGGTGTCTCTTCTCCTCAATTCCAACTGGAGCCCTGGTGTTGAGCTCTCATCTTGTCGGGCCGTTGATGGAGGGGGCCATTGGTATTAGTGGTTACTTTAACTGAAAGTCGCACAACACATTAGAGTTCCAATTGCGTTTTTTTAGTTGCTTCTCTTTTTTAATGCTGTCTCTTCGAACTCACAATTAGGAAGAAAGTCATGATACCCCGACTATGCACATGTTTCACTGCTCTCAACCTTCATGAGCTGGGTAACATGGGGGTCGGCCGCGTCCAGTCTGGGCAGTTTAAGCTCCAGCTTGGTAACATGATGTCAGGTCCCAGTAAGCCACCTTCGTGGGGGGGGGGTCTCCAAGGCAAGGTACTTGGTTCTTCTGCCGTTCAGGTATCTCACAGTGGCTCCCAGTGCTCAGGCCAACGCACTTTTAGTTAAGGTACCGGGGGTCCGGGTCCGGCGCTACGATTCTCCCGAGCTGCAAGATCTAGCCACGTTTTCATTGGTTAGGCATGCTAGCTATGGAACCTACCCTGAAGCTCCCGCTGACGCGCCAAATGGGCAACGTATGCTTTTTGGGGAGCTGTCTCAGGAGGGTCTAGAAGTTGAGGTGTCTTGAGAGTTGCGAGCTTGCATTAATCAAACTTTAACCACAATTACCTTGCGGTACACGGCCACAACAAATTTTCATTTTTGATAGCTTCGGATCTCTCAATCAATGAGTGCATCCCTATCTAAGCCGTCATCATGAAGCCTTTCGCCATCACCACGGCGCTCTTTAGCTTCGTCTCCTTCGCACTCGCTGGCGCAACTACAGACCCCAAGACATCAAAGGTCATCCTGCCCGTCGATTTTAAACCTCCACAGGTTTTCAAGAACGCCAATTTGGTGCACGTCATCTCTCTAGAGAAGACCTACGTAAAGGAACAGATCAATGTCCTCGTCGAGAACGTTGCAAAGGAGCCGCAGACAGAGTACTATGTGCCATTTACTGCCGAACAGCTTCCTCGTATAGGAGGTTTCGAGGTTAAGGATCGTAAGGATGCGAACGCCGGACCGTTCGTGGCCGAGACTGTCGAGTACGATTCTCTCAGGTATGTGTCTTCAAGCTTGACTATGTCGCAATTTAATACTAATGGGTGCAATATAGTGATGTTCAGTACTATCGTATCCGACTGCCCACGCCGCTCAAGCCTGGTGCTCAACAAACACTCGGAATCACCTATTATTACCTGAAAGCCTACACTCCTCTCCCCGCGGCTGTTTCTCAGGACGATGACCAATACCTGAGCTTCAACTTTTCCGTTTATGCACCATCTGCCTACATCACGAAGAAGCAGAAGACCGAGCTTAAGGCTGCTTCGGCCGATGTCCCCGATTATACAAAGCTTCCAGGCAGTGGCGAGGTCAAGGAGTTTCCCGTCAAGCAGGGCACCAAGCTCATCTATGGTCCCTTCGATGAAAAGCCCGCCGGTGCTGTCTCCCCTGCAAACGTTCGCTTTCAGTTTACCAAACCGGTTATTCATGTCAAGGAGCTCGACCGTTTGATTGAAGTCAGCCACTGGGGCGGCAACATCGCTTTCGAGGAGCACTACGAGATGTATCACGGGGGTGCCAACCTTTCTGACAACTTCGATCGAATCAAATATTCTCAGCATTCGTTGTACCGTCAGCATGGGGTTGCAGGAGTTCGTCCTTCGCACTACCTCGACCAGCTGCGAATTCCTCTTCCGGGCGGAAGCGTGGACGCCTACTATACAGATGTGATCGGCAACGTCACGACGTCTACTTGGCGAACCGACAACCGAGACGCTCTTCTTGTTCTAAAGCCGCGATACCCTCTTTTTGGTGGATGGAGGTACCCTTTCACTATTGGATGGAACTCTGATGCTTCTAACTTCCTGCGAAAGACTGCTACTGGTAGTTTCGTACTCCGAATTCCTTTCATTGAGGGCCCCAAGCAGCCAGAAGGCGTTGAATATGAGCACATCAATGTCAATGTTCTCCTTCCAGAGGGCGCGGAGTAAGCCAACAGTCCAAGCACTATCTGTGCCTTTGCTAACTTTGATACAGGAACGTCAAGTTCCACACCAACATTCCCGAATCATCCATCTTATCTACCTCGGTTGATCTGACCAGAACCTACCTCGATACTGTCGGTAGAACAGCTGTCAGCATCAAGGCGCGAAACCTGGTCGACGAGTTCCGAGACCGCCAACTTATCATCTCTTACGATGCGCCTCTCTCGAGCGCTCTTCGAAAACCTTTGGTCATCTTTGCCAGTGCCATGGTAGTATTTGTCACTACTTGGGCGTTGGGCCAGGTGCAGGTGGGATTTAAGCCCAAGAAATAGACGCTTTAATAGGAACGGAACGTGTCTTTTGATAGAGGGGTCTTCACCTTTACATGATGAGGAGCCTGGAAGCAGCTGCTGGAAAAGATGTAAAAGTGTAAAATAGAGGGATCTCATATTAGTAAATGGATCAGGTTTCCTGTTTACAAGACGCAAGAAACATCAAATGACAGTCAAATACTCGCTTGGCTTTGGTCATGTTCTGACAAAGACAGCAAAGCCACCACTAAGGATAGGGTCCAAGCCATTATCCGTAGAGGCGGGCAACTCCGTAAGCCAGGTAGGCCCAGCCTCTTTTAATAGCTTCTTGGACTTTGCCGGGCTCTCAACACGGACTTTGGTACCACACGAAAGTTGTGTGGAGGGACTGTGTCTCCCAGTTAAGCCTGAGATGGGTGGGCGAGACAGGCTCCGAATGGTCACCCTGGTTAAGGACCCTCTCCTTGTCTGCGCCAGGTTCTGACAGCATGGGTTAGTCAAAAGAAACCGGGCAAAAGAAACCAGGGCACTGGTATAAGATTGAACATGAGAACCCTCCTCAAAGCCTCACACATTCTTTTGCATTTATAATTCAACAACCAATATCTCAAGTTGAGGCTGATCAATCAGGCTCTCACTTTACAGTCGTTTTAACTATCTCATTCGACTAATCCCGTCCTATCACAGCTACGACCAATCTTACCCTCGCCGAACAAACCCTCAAACAACTACCAGGATGTGTTTCGGCAGTGAACCCAAGCCCAGGACCAAGTACTACTATCACGAAGAGATTACGCCTTCTAGACGATACACAGGTCATCATCACCATCACCACCATCACCACCATCACTCACGCTCTCCCCGAGCAAGCTACACCAGTGTCTCTAGACGGTCCTACAGCCACAGCCCACGAAACAGTGGCACTGTTGTCTATGAGCGCTATTGATCGTCTGAAGGCACCAACGCTGAATTGTGGGTGTAATTAGAGACGATGACGTTGTACAGAGCATGCGCTACTTGGCGGGCTGTGTTTAGCGGCATTGGCAATATGTTTTATGTATTGATAAGGAACGTATGACTATTTGGGCAAGGTTTGGGGGAAACTGTCTTGTTAAAGATATTGGATACAGGGTGGGCGTTAATACTGCACAGGAATAGGCGATATAGCGCAATGAAATAAGATGGAGGTTTTTTTTTGTTTTGGCTCAATGCGCTGTGGATCATAAGTTGTCACAGTAGAAAAGGTCAACTTAAGAATCTCAAGATGCTATTCGACCAATGTCTCTTACATGAGAGGCTGAGCCTCGTGCTTTTTTTCTCGGGAGCCACGGATCTTCGTCATTTGGAGCTGTTACTCTGTGACCCTTTGGAAAGCCTGTTCACGTATCGTTTGGGCGGGGTGCGGAGTGTCCCGCAAGGCTGGATCGTCGCTAGAAGAGCTCATGACATCACACTGCATTCCGCCACCGAACATCCAAAGGCTCTCTAAGACAGATACAGGGAGTTACTCCAAATGTGAGCGTAGGTGCAGCTGAAAACATGTACTTGTGCTACCGAAAGCAGGGCAGATCAAGATGTGTTGGTGTCGTCAACGTCAGTTCAAAAGGCTCTTCTGCTTGTTTAAAGCCTGCACAACCCCTGCCTTTGTATCGGCAGCTTTAACCTCTGGAGACCTTTTACATCCATCCCCCTTGCAACAGACCTGACCCGGACCCAGACGATTTGCACTGATTTACCACCCAAAGCGGCTCTGCAGCTGAATTCTTGAATCGCCTTATTCCACTGTAAGCTATCACCTGTTTGTGTGAGGAGACGTTGGGCTTTGTCTGTTCCATAGGTGGCGGGGAAGGCAAGAGTGTTCTGTGATGTGAAAGCTGACTATATGAAAGAAGGTGCATTCTGGACGAGTCGCAGTCACTCTTGAGCGATACCTGATTCACCTGCCTAGGTACCTTGGCTCTCTAGGTATCCTTCCTCAAGCCTTCAACATGTAAGCTCCCGTCAGTATCTACAACAATTGTCAAACTTCATATGTTGTCGCGCCTTAACCAACCTTACTGTATATCAAAATACAATGTCACGCTTCAGTTTTGATGCCTCTACTTCACGCCATGAACCAATATGTTTGGAAAGCCCGATTGACGTGAGACCCTTTTCTAGGAATCGCGCACTCTCCATTCGATCCAACAAATCCAAGGGCAACTCTGGTGCTGGTGCCGGAGCCAAGCGGGGTTTCTCCTTCAACTCACTCCGCGGCCAGGTCCAACCTGAGCTGTCCCGTAAGCTCTTCCGCCTCATCAAATCGGAGAATAACCTCATTGGCGCCCATGAGACCGCCGGCCGTGAGCGGGTTTCCATCGCGACTCAGTTATCTGAATGGGGTGAGCACACCGGAGATGACAGTATTAGTGATATCTCGGATAAGGTGGGAGTTGTCCTAAGTGAAATGGGCGAGCAGGAGGACGCATATGCTCATGCTCTTGACGATTCTCGCGCCTATCTCAAGGCTATTCGAAACACCGAGAAGAGCGTACAGCCCAGCCGCGAGAACAAGGATAAGATTGCCGACGAGATCCAGAAGTTGAAGTTGAAGGAGCCTGGTAGCACAAGATTGCCTGTCCTCGAGCAGGAATTGGTGAGAGCTGAGGCTGAGAACCTTGTGGCGGAGGCTCAATTGACCAACATCGTGAGTTGCGACTTGCATCGCGTCATCAACCATTTGAGCAAGACTGACCGATCATGCAGACCCGACAAAAGCTCAAAGAAGCCTATGCTGCCGAGTTCGCTGCCACCATCGAACGTGCCGAAAAGCAGATCATACTAGCCAAACATGGCCGCCGTCTGTTGGAGCTTCTCGACGATTCGCCTGTGGTCCCTGGTGATACACGAGTGCCTTATCAACACTCCTCCCAGGCACGTCAAATCCTCAACGATGCTGAGGATGACCTTCGAGACTGGCGACCCGAGGCCGAGGGCTTTTCTACTCCAGTTCAAAGCCGATCGCCAACCCTTGAGGGAAAGGGAAAGGAGCCTCTGGCTTCGGGAGACAATTTGTCTCCTGTCCAGTCTGAGGCAGCTACAGTTGAATCCGAGACTTCTCCTTTGGAGCAACGGGGTACCAAGTCCTCTGTCTATGCTGAGGTCGCTGGCTAAGTGGGCAATTACAGGATAGTGAATAAGGATGCCGATTCTGGTATGGGCTTTTGTTTCGATAAGCTTCGTTTTCTTGAGCAGGCGAGAAAGTTCACTTGCTGTCATCGCAGTCTGTCTGGGTATCATCGAGGGATCAGTCCCTAAGTTTAATATGTCTGGGGTACCGAGAGGGGTTCTTGAAGTGCTGTTTGTTTATATCCTTTGATTATTGCTTGGTTAGTCTCGTTAGTTGAATCAGAATGGGCGTGTCTATCAAAAGTTTAAAACAGTGTCATTTTGAGGTTCGTAGTGTATGTAGCACCTTGGGTGCAAGAACGACGTTGAACCGGCTCATGGCACAAACCATGGGCTTAGGCTCATATCCAATTGATTGTTGAATCACTCAGCACCAATCGATATGAGGTGATCAGTATCGTGGGTCCTGGTGCATCGTTTGGGGCTCTGGTTTTTCAAACGGTGTGGATGGATGGGGTCTGCGTCTTGGTGTTGCACCTAATAATAAGACGGTTTATGTTCCGGTTACGGAGATGGGAGAATTTTCATGACAGGCTTGAGTGCAGAGCAAAAGGAAATATTTAATAGTCTCCGCAGTGAATATCTTGAATTGACTACACGAGGGAAGTGGAAGAAGGACCTGAGCCTAGACATTGCTCCAACCCATTTAGCTGCAGGTGTAATGAAATAGGCTCATCGGGCCATGACTTGTCTCCGGGCTGTCGGCCGCGTTGTGTGGATATGACACGGCATGGAGATGAGGACCGATTTAGCACAACCGAGACCCATCATGATATCCAGATCCAGTTAGCTTCTGGTCCGTATCGTCCGTCCGAAAACCAACTCCCGTGCCCGCGAAAAAGACGACCTCGGTCTCTCTTGAAGCCCTGCGCTACAGCCGACGACCGCGGTGTAAGGCCTAGGCATAAGGTTTCTTCTCACCGTATACTCTTGATATAACCTCCCAATCTCTTTCCTCTCTCCCTTTTGCACCCTTCTCCCCGGGGCTGCTCCACTTCAAGCCGCCCCCTAAAGACCAGCTTAGTATTGATGTTACAGCCGCAAAGTTCCCGGCTTCTGCTGCTCCAGAGGTCGTTACGCACTACAGTCACAGGCAGAAGCAGAGGCACAGGCACCACAGCCACTGGGACACTGCTGTACAGTCCCTCCGCAGCGCCGTCGCTGTCGCCATACCGAGTACCTGGCCGGGCCAATTACATGGCATCGCTGGCAGCACGCAGCCCTGCCGCTGCAGGCCCCGGCGGGAGCAATAGTGCCGTTACCAGTGGTGCCCCGCCCCCTCCATCCTCTTCTTATTCTCACTCTGCTGCTACGTCAACCTCCAAAATTTCTTCCCGTCGAACAGCTCAGATTGCTCGACACTTTTCCTCCTCATCCTCACCAACAGGTCCCGTTTCAAAGCAGAAGCCCGACATGGCCTCCAACTACACCGTCCGCAAGGTTGCGGCTCCCAACACCCTCGAGCACCGAGTCTACATCGAGAAGGATGGCCAGCCCGTTTCTCCTTTCCATGATATTCCTCTCTATGCCAACCAGGAGCAGACCATCCTGAACATGGTTGTCGAGATTCCTCGATGGACCAATGCCAAGCTCGAGGTATGTTCTGGTCAACATCAATTGCGGTCTTGTTACCTGCTCGGCACGCTTTGCTTTATTTACAGCTGTCGTGTGCTCCAATATTACCCCTCCCCCTCCTTGCGCAATCATTGCCCAGACCGACAAAACGCAAAACATGAATACTGACAAAAATCTCACTCTAGATCTCCAAGGAGGAGCTCCTCAACCCCATCAAGCAGGATATCAAGAAGGGCAAGCTTCGATACGTCCGAAACTGCTTCCCCCACAAGGGTTACCTCTGGAACTACGGTGCCTTCCCCCAGGTATGCTCATATTTATCCCAATCTGACATGGTCATCCCTAACTCGATCACCAGACTTGGGAGGATCCCAACTCCGTTCACCCTGAGACCAAGGCTAAGGGTGACAACGACCCTCTCGATGTTTGCGAGATCGGTGAGCTCGTTGGTTACACTGGCCAGGTCAAGCAGGTCAAGGTCCTCGGTGTCATGGCTCTCCTCGACGAGGAGGAGACTGACTGGAAGGTCATTGTCATTGATATCAACGACCCTCTCGCCTCCAAGCTGAACGACGTCGAGGATGTCGAGCGACACCTTCCTGGTCTCCTCCGTGCCACCAACGAGTGGTTCCGTATCTACAAGATTCCTGATGGCAAGCCCGAGAACCAGTTTGCCTTCACTGGCGAGTGCAAGAACAAGAGGTGAGTTCTCAAACTCCGGCTTAGTGAGCCCAAGACTAACGACTTTAAGCTACGCTCTTGACGTCGTCCGCGAGTGTGCTGAGGCCTGGGAGCGTCTCATCACTGGCAAGACCCCTGCTGGCGGTGTCTCCACGTAAGTCTCTGAGCTGTCTTCCCAACACAGTTGATATTAATGTTTGCATAGCACCAACGTCACTGTCCAGAACTCTCCTTCTCGCGTCTCCCCTGACCAGCTCCCCCCTCTGCCTCCCAACGAGGATGTCCCCGCCGAGAAGATCGATGCTTCCATCGACAAGTGGTTCTTCATCAGCGGTGCCTCTGCTTAAGTGTTCATAGACCAACCATCTTGCATAAAAGGAAGAAGTATGGCAGACATGTAGTCTTCACAAAAGTTGAGCACAGAGATACTCAAGAACAATATATAAAAATGATGCCAATTGTCGTAATATTATACAAGACCCTCAATCCCTGCTATGCCATGTTGGGGTTCGTAAATGTACATGAGTCGTTTCCTAAACGCCATTTGTGCAGAGTGTTACAGTATAGCGTTGTTTTTCACATATTTTAATCGGTCAAGTCGGCTGCCTTCTGCAGTTGACGCGAATGTCGGTCTACTTCCTCGACCAGTCCTTTAATGTTGATCTTTTGGCAGTCGAAGTTGAGCTCCTTGCCATCCTCTGCATCTCGTTAGCCATTGGACCCCCATGGAGACTATAGCCTTCTAGTATTACGTACTAAATTTCACTCGTAGGGAGCTGGGCTCTTTTGAAGTTCGGGGCAGGATGGTTGATGTGATTGTTGTTCCATTCGCTCGGGCATTCGGAGGCAGAAATGTGAGAAACAGACGAGCTGGCTTTGCGCAGGCAGAGAACGGGTTGAATTTGGCCGAAACCTCAGTCATAAACTTGGTGATCATCTTGATGGTGAGGAGAAGGCGAAGCTCGTGAAATACTAAGAGAAATTGGCTTTGGCAAGGGAGTCGAACGTGGTCGTTAACACACTCAAGAGCTATAGGCGGGTAGTTTGGCGATGCTGAAATTTCGAGGTTCGATAACGTCTCAGTACATGCATATCGCCCTAAAGGGGCAGCACCCAGCTAACTGCAACGTCATGTTAATGACGGACCACGTTTCGAGATCGACTTGCACGGTATACACCTGATAGTTCTTCTTCACCAGCATAATATCGCAAGCTCAACAAGCTGAAAATGTCCTTCGAGGGTCTGCAGGAGCGTCTGACGGCTCTGCAAGAGACTACAACACAGCTCAAAGAGCTTATCGATCGACTCGCAACACTTAAATTCCAACCTGGCTCTGTGCCCCTGACCACCGATGAGGAGAGCAGCGAAAGCGGCGAACTCAGCGCAGAAATTACGAGTACTCTACGGGACGGAGAAGAGGAGCATGAGCTTCTGCAGGAAGAAGTGGAGTTTCTGCGTGGCGCAGAGCATGACAAAGACCGATTGAAAGAGAGTGTCGAAAAGATTGGAAAGGAGCTTGAAAGGTATGGTTTGTACTGAAAGGAAAATGGTATTTATGTCTAAACGTACTCTAGCTGCCGTCTCTCTTTTCGAAAAGCACGACTGTCGGCAAAGCATAGCCTCGCACAGGCACAAAGACGAGAGCGCGAGATCCTCCTTACATCATTTTCACAGCCTACCTCCGAGACCAACTCTCTTTACCCTGACGATGAAAAGACTGCTCGTCCTACACGCCATCAGCAGCATGTTCAGAAGCAGCAATCGAGCCTCACTGAAGAGGATCAACAGAACGTTGGTGCGAGTGCTAATGTGACCAACGCCCTGCGACGAACACATGATTTGATCCAGGCGGAGTTGGCTCGCAGCGAGTTTGCACATGAGACTCTGACGGAATCTTCTGCTGCTTTGAAGCAACTGAACGAGTCGTATGGTTCTCTGGACACAATGCTGGCGAGCTCCAAGGACTTATTAGGCACATTGCTGCGCTCGCAGAAAAGCGATACGTGGTACCTTCAGACGACGTTTTATATGCTAGCTTGTACACTCGGCTGGCTGTTGTTCAGAAGACTGCTGTATGGACCGATGTGGTGGATTGTTTGGCTACCGCTGAGGTTGACGTTCGGATTGGGAACATCGGCAGGCAGTGCGGTAATGCAAGCGGGTTCTGGGCAGGGCCAGGTGAAAGAGGCTGGACAAGCGAGCAAAGGAGTTCCGGTGGAGGGCTTGCCGGACGATGAATTGCCTACCGTCAAGGTTGGCACTGAGCAGCAGGCCGAGGTTTTGGAGGAGGTGGATAATATCGTGAACGTTGTGAGAGAGGCAGATGAGCTGGGGAATATCCCAGAGGGTGATGAAGACAATATCGGCAATCCCAAGAAGAGGATGTGGGAGGAGCCCGATGTTGTTGAGCAGCAACGCCCCAGAGATGAGCTATAAGTTGGATAATTATTAATTTTATAGCAACAGGGTCCTGAATATGTTGAGCGTTATGTGCATAATCATGAATCAAGTCTTGTCAGCAATTTGTTCGAAGTTCATGGCTTCGCGGGCTGAACTGTAAACCAATTTTGGAAGATATGATGCCCATCAAAAAACTCGCCAAGAGAATGATCCGTAATGGTGGCATGCTCTATTCTCCGGGTGAGATTTTTCGTACCTTGGTCATTATCATGTTATCGACCACATTCATCTATCGACTACCCTCGAATTTTCTTTCAGCCATCATCTCACATAACGCCTTGCCTCCTTTTTGGTTTTCAAACTAACTACCTGGTAAGCAACCCCGTTCGCTAGGAGCACAAACTAAGGTGCCGGGATTTGTAGTCACACTCTTACTGCTTCTCCGACTATGTTCGCTGGGGAGCAATCTGCTCGACTTCGCTGACCCAAGGAAGGCCGAGCTTCTTCATCTCAACGGCAAGCTGGAACAGATAATCGAGGCTACATCATATTAGCATAATCATTCGCAGATCACGAGTGAGCTTGTGATATCTTCCTTACCTCTCACATTGAGTCTTGGCCTTATGAACGTTATCACCCCAGACGTAGACACCGTGACGACGGACGAGAACAGCGTATGTGTCGGGATACTTATCCATCGCTTCCTCAAGATACTCGGTTAAGTCCTCCTCATGAGGAGTATTCTCGATGACTGGAATGCGAAGGGTGTCATGATAACCCAGGTTGCCTGTCTTGTTCATGCCACGGCCAAAGCCCTTGATCTGCTCAATGTTGTTGATCTCGAAAACTCGGTCCTTTCCGGGGCCTTGTGATTCTAACAGGAGGGTGACCAGAACAGCCCATTGAGAGTGAGTATGTATACAACAGCCAGCTCCTCGGCGGGTGAAAGCAGCAAGGAACAAGGGGGTGCACTGAGAAGGCTTGTAGCAGGGAGGAGATCGCAGATAAGTGCGCTGGTTGAGCTTGTTGTGGTTAGGATCTTGCTCAGAAAGAGCCATGACATAGATGTCGGTGTTCTTCATGAGTTCTTTTTGAACGCCTGAGGGCGCAATGTATACGAGATCACTGCGATCATGGTGTAAGTTAGAGAAACTTTTGCTCCCTATTTTGATAGCAAATACTCAGGAGAAGGTTCAAATGATTTCCCATTCACTTGAGGAGGATATATACCGGTATCATGAGTCTTGTAATAAATAAATTTGCCTTCTCCAACTCGTCATGGCGGGGTCGCGGGGTAAAAAATGATGAAATTTCAAACACGAGCAAGGTAAACATACTCATCTCGAATAGAGCAACCGCCTCCTGTTCCCGTAACCCAGCCCAGAGTCCAGAACTTTGCGCATAGCGAAGGGATCAGGTTAGCAGGGTGGTTCGGGTCCTCGGAAGTAATGAGGGCATCGCCAGTTGGGCGTTGCTCAGTTGACATTTTGTCTTTGGAGGAAGATCTAGAGATGCGGAGCGCTTTAAATCGTGTCTTTGCAGCGGGTTTCTGATTCGGATCGTAGCAGCCGGGGCAAGACAGAGATCCAGCGGAGGATCGAGGTTTGGGAAATGAGATAGCAGCACGGTCAATGTGATGCAGCTGAAGCTGATGTTGGTGGTGGATAGTTTCTTGTCTAATGTTAAGCCAATGCCGCACCTGTCTATGCTGTGGTTTCAGAGCCTCTGAGTGGCTGAGGAAGATAGATCGGGCATTAGGTGCTCTGTGCTGTCAAAATCCATCCCATGATGACAAGAGTACTCGTGGGAGAACTACCTACTGTACGCTAGCCAATTAACAACCAGAAGACATTCTCCAAGTCCAACACCTTTCTGTGGAGAATGAGGTCGTAACTGATGAGCGCAATGGCCTAAACAATCAGAAACAATGGCTTGGGAACGTTGGGCGGTTACTAGTCTTGACTGGGCAGGCCGTATTTCTCCTGGTCCACTGGCTCTCCAAAATCTACACCAAGCCAAGTCTCTGTCTCAAGAATCTTGGCCATGTGATGAAATTTTCTTTTGTCCGGAATATTCTATCTTGTATCCCGATCCTATGCAATGCGTGCGACCTCGGTTTTCAAAGGGCATTGGCCTCAGTCTGATCTGAGGGCTGTATTGCGTCTATGGTGGCAAGCGAGTGAGCTATGAATAGGAACGGAGACGGAACAGCCGAGAATGGTCCAAAAGATACGGAGTACAGCTGGTGATGGAGTTTCTCTTCCGTCAAGATTCATCGATGCAAGTTTGAAATGGGCCAGATAGCCATCTGATACATGTCTTTGCATGAACTCATGTGTTCATGTTATCTGAATGACTCAGAGTTTTGAATATGTGATAATAACCAGCATCAGATGGAGAATCTTCCCGAATTGAAGACGAATAGACGAATGCCTTGGAACAGACCTGGCCTGTGTTTTAACATTTTCAAGGATGGTGCCTCAATCACAAGCCTTCACAGGTGGGTAATAATACTCGTTTAATGAGTGCGAGAATCCATCAACAGGCTCTGAGCATCATGTCTTGTCTTGATGTTGACCCTTGTCCCTGCTTATATGTAATAAATGACCTTTTTCAGCTCTCAGCGCCGGTGCCGGGACGACAACAACCTGGTCCTGGTAGAGCTGCACTGTAGCAGTAGCAGTAGCAGTAGCAGTAGCAGTAGCACAGATACCCCTAATAACAAAGTGGCATATGGGGGAAACGGGGAGCACCGCCGGGGCTTTTCTCCGGCATACCTCGTATTCATGGATTAGGATGGAAGAGGTTGAGCCGACGGCTTTTGCAGGTGACAACGCGGCATAGAGCATCCGCTAGAGGTCCTAGGCGCCGTTTGCCTGTCCCTTTGAGGGAAGAGGAGAGTTTGAGTTTGTTGAGTTCTTGAGCATGTAGTCTATTTTAACCTAGTGACAGTGCATTGAGATGACGCTGGTGTTAGCCAAACAAAATGTATTCATGTACGCCAATGAAAATAGGCCGTTTTAATTACTCTGGCCAAGCCCTCCAAAGCGGCCTCGACTCCCTGAGCCGGTCGGTATGGTGCGGACTTATTACAGTAGTAAACCATGGCTTTCCAGTCTGTTCTTTATTCACTCATACTGTGAAGAAGAAAACAAATCGTCAAGTGTGTTATTGTTTACATTGTATTGGCTGGATTGCAAACACTTTGCAAATAACACTCACTGGCCCAGTCTGGCTGATGGTTTACAAAGTCTCGTCTCGGACACACTTCCGCCCACCCCTTGTCCCAAAATGGAGGCCTGGTCTATTATTGTCTAGCCCCAAGGGTCACCCCCTGAGACAACGTCGAATCCAATCGACTTGGAGAGATCCGATGCTAGTGCAGTAATCTAGGCGCGCTGAGAAGAACAGCCGTGTCCCCGTCACCTTTGAAGGTGCAAATTAGGGGGGCTCATCAGTGGTGGTGGAAAGCAGAAAACACCACACATGTAAGAAAGGACGGCAGATGGTGGTCATGTCGCCTGGCAACACGAGCTGTTGGAGGCGAAGCTCCCCCGTGATGGATGGATGGATGGATGAGCAAGTGGAGGATCATCCATCGAATATGTGTGGGTCGCTTGTGTTTTTATCTCCCAACGTCTTTTTCCATCCATCATAAGTTTTGTTAGTTACGGTCGCTGGCGAGTCCACTCACAACATGACCGTCCTCAATCATCTGAGCCGAAAAAGAATTGTTAAACGAAGGGAGAGATGTAAGATCTGCGCTGAGCCGGAATTACAGGAACATCCCCCAGCTCAACTGGCAAATGGTCGTTTCTTCCCCTAGTCAACGCAGGACAGGGACGGCAAATTAGTGGCAGCCTCTTGGATCATGGCTTGCAAATTTAAAATTGATGTCGGCGGGCTTCCCCAGACCAGAAAGTAAACGAACATCGATCGACATCACATCACATCAGTCGTCTACGGAGCAGGTACCGCATGCCTACCTCCTCAGGCTCCTCTTCTTCGCTCGCTACAGTCCGACCCGACTGCAACTCACTCTAATTTTGTGCTTGTGCTTGTGCTTGTCCTTTCTTTGTTGTTGTCCAACTGCATGTACTGTGCCCAAGCCTGTGTCACAACGTGGACGTGGACTTGTGTGAGGGGGTTTGCGTGGCATATCCAAAAATCCCCCTCATCCTTTTTCTGTTGTGTTATTATGATACCAACGGAACCCCGAATGTGCATCATGCGTACTCTGTGTCTACGGCCGACAGCAATAGCATCCCCGAGAAGGTGATGGATACTTCGTTTCTCTCCTCCCCCGTCTCTTGCACTTCCTGATCAGACAAAATGGATCCTCAATGGCTCCAATCCTAATCCTAGCGCCATGATGGGTCCTCTCTTCCCTCACCCCATGTCCATGTCCGTCCATGCTCCTCCATGTCCCACCTCGAGCCATTGACAAGCAAAATGTGAAGGTCCTGATGGGTCCCCTATCTCCCGATGAGCCGGGGGCTAGCTTGGCGCGGTTTGCCTGCACCTCAGGTCAGTCTTGTTGACTTGTGCCTGTGCCTGCACCTGTGAGCCTGTGACTTTCACGGCTTCCCCTAGCCTGGCCTGGGGGTCTGAGACTTTGCTTTGCCTTGTCTAGGCTTGCTTGGGCTTAAGCGGTGGTGGTATGGTCATTGGCTTGATGGTGTGGATGCCCCTTTGCAAACCGTCCACGTCCAAGTCCAGTTGAGGACTCGACTCATAAAAGGACCTGGCTACCCCGTCGCGTGCTCTTGTTTCCCTTCCTCTTCACCCTCGTTGTCATCCGTCCGTCGTTCGTTAAGACAAGAATTCTACTTCAGACTTTCGCTTTGAGATCTATCTCGATTACTTTACACTACTAATTCTAATATCAACAAACTCGAAATCCATCAACATGCGTTTCACCTCCATCTTCGTTGCCGGCGCTTTCGCCACCATGGCCGCTGCCCAGAGCAAGACTGCTTCTGTCTCTCCCGCTCAACAGTCTCAGCTTGACTGCCTTGACGCCTGTGATGCTGGTGATGTCAAGTGCCAGTCTTACTGCATCACTGTAAGTACGCCATTTCTCGTGGACAGAAAAACACAGGTCTGACGATGATTCCACAGGTCCCCTCTCCCGATGAGAAGAACATCAACGCCACCACCGAGTGTGTTGCCGCCTGCCCCAAGGGCAAGGGTTCTGCCTCCGATACTGAGAAGTACTCTGTCTGCCTCCAGGACTGTATCGCCAACAACTACTGGAAGACCATCGACGGTACTCCCCAGGAGACCGGCGCTGCTGGTTCCAAGGACAAGGCCTCTTCCGCTGCCGAGTCTGCTGCTTCCAAGGCCACCGGGACTGCCTCCGATGAGGGCACCGCCACCGCTTCTGCCTCTGAGTCTGATGCCACCGCTACCGACGCCTCTGAGACCGCCTCTGGATCTGCCTCCGGCACTGCTTCCGGGTCCGCTGCTCAGTCTTCCGAGACTGGCAATGCTGCTACCGCCCTCGTTGGTGGTGTCTCTCTCCTCGGTCTCGTCGCCGCTGTCTTCGCTCTGTAAATTGGATCGCCTCTTTTGGACATCTGGTTGATAGAATGGAAGGATTTTGATGGGTTTGCTCTAGAGCGGTAATGATTGGAGTTTGATTTCAAATGTGATACATGTTGGGCATCATGACGAAGGCCTCTTTAGGCCGGATCGACTTTTCATGGACAAATTATTGGGACACCTTGCGCGTTCACATACGGCTCGACACGAGCATCAATACAATACCTCTTTGTTTGCGCTCTGCGTAACCTTATCTTGATGTGCATTTGCCAATTAACCTGAAGTCAGAACAGAACAAAATACAACACAACACACAACACGACCACAGAGGTTGTGTTGGTTGTGGGGTGTCGTTCTGTGATTGGTTCCAGTTTCCCAATCGGGTGCTTGAGGGTTTAGCTTGTAAACAAGCGAAATGATTGTCTTACGATGAAGTCAAAGCCCGAGTCCAATTCAATCGTTTTATCATAATTTTTTCAATCCCGAGATAGTTATATTTCGAAGGGATCTCCTCGAGTGTTGTTTGCATACCGAGCAGTTTTCCTGTGTCGCTAATATTTGTATAGATGCGTCATGACAGAAGAATTGGCTTCAAATACAGTTTGATTGCAGTAATACCCTTGACGCCACAGTGTTCCATGTGTGCTTGATCTTGTTGCTGTCTTGTCAGGACCTTTTCGAGACACTAGTTCGGTGCTGGGAGCCGCCCCCGAACCCTTTTCAAGCTTCCGCTCCGTGTCAGTCATCAGTCCATAGGGTAGCTGTTAAACAACCCGTGGACAGATTTCTTACCACTGACTGATGTCACTTATGATTAAGGTAATGTGGAGAAGGATAATCTCTATCGATAAATCCAAAGCTCATCGTCCACATACTTTGCGTTGACCAATGTAAAGACTAGCAAGCCACTGTAGACACCTCCTTGTTTCGTTCAGAAGCATAAGGTACTGAAGACTCCGAACTTTACTATTGGTCGAGCAGTTGCTTTTGCACTGAAGCCCAAAGAACGATCCAACTAAGGCTTTGTGCACTCTTGTAAACACGGTTATGCCTCTTGGACTTGCTTGGACGATTTTTTTTTTTTTTAATTTTTTATTAAAGTTGAGGCCTATTACGCTTGTGAAATTAACCAATCATCCCGCCAATTGTTCCATGGACAGCTGTCTTCTTCTCGAGCCTTCTGTGGGACGTGACCTATTCTGTAACTACAAGGCCGAGGCTGTGAGGCTTCCGTCGATTCCCGCCCCAGTTCTATGGGATGGGAGTACCTGACAGTCGGCATCCGCACCTTCCTTCTTCCAACCTTAGTGGCTCCGGGCCACGACCCCCGCTCTGCACCTGTTCGTGATCCCTGAAATTTAGGCGGCTCTGAGCTTCTTCGTTCTACGTGTCCTCAACACTAAGACAGAGCTCTCCACTCATTGTTAAGACGCCACCTTTCGCTTCTTCACTCTCCCCATTCTACATTCCACCTCACTCTTGGACCTCTTATCTCCTCGAGCGCTGGGAATACCCTCACCGAGCATACACTTTTTCTCAGTCACACGTCTTTTTTTGATTGTGTTCCTGCTCCTCCTCTTGCGCAGCCTCTGGTGACGTCCTTAATTCTCTGCTCAAGTTACTCCGTCACTTCCTTCATCATGAAGCTCAACGCTGTTGCAGCGGCCATGTCGGCTGCCATGCTTACGGGCAACGTCCACGCCGAGGGCATCAAGGAGGCTTCCCCTTCTGTTCCCGACAAGCTCCCTACATTCACCGTGAGTTTTTTTAATGAGCAATCGAGCTCATGTATGGGGCTATGTAGCTCCTCATGAGCTCTTGTCCCAGTCAATTGATAGCTAACCCACCCTTACAGCCGACCGTTATCAAGGCCGACTTCCTCGAGCAGTTCACCGACGACTGGGACCAGCGATGGAAGCCCTCTCACGCGAAGAAGGACACATCTGGCTCCGAGGAGGAATGGGCTTATGTTGGCGAGTGGGCCGTTGAAGAGCCCGTACAGTACAAGGGCATCGAGGGCGATAAAGGTCTTGTTGTCAAGAACCCTGCGGCGCACCATGCTATTTCCGCCAAGTTCCCTAAGAAGATTGACAACAAGGACAACACCCTCGTCGTCCAGTATGAGGTGAAGCTGCAAAGTAAGCATGACTCTGGAATCCCACTCAGTGATCGCGCATGCTGACATTTTTGCTCCCAGATGGCCTCGAGTGTGGTGGTGCTTACATGAAGCTCCTTCGCGACAACAAGGCTCTCCATCAGGAAGAGTTCGCAAACACAACCCCATACGTGATCATGTTCGGTCCCGACAAGTGTGGCCACACCAACAAAGTCCACTTCATTTTCAACCACAAGAACCCCAAGACTGGCGAGTATGAGGAGAAGCATCTCGATTCTCCCCCCACCGCCAAGATTACAAAGACCACCGAGCTTTACACCTTGATCGTTCATCCCAACAACACGTACGTCATCAAGCAGAATAATGAGGAGGTCAAGACCGGCAGCCTCTTGGAGGATTTCACCCCCGCTGTCAACCCCCCGGCCGAGATTGATGATGCAAACGATAAGAAGCCTGAGGACTGGGTTGACCAAGCACGCATTCCCGATCCCGAGGCCAAGAAGCCTGAGGATTGGGACGAGGAAGCCCCCTACGAGATTGTCGACGAGGAAGCTGAGAAACCCGAGGACTGGCTCGAGAACGAGCCCGTCACCATCCCCGACCCTGAGGCCGAGAAGCCAGATGATTGGGATGACGAGGAGGACGGCGACTGGATCGCCCCTACCGTCCCCAACCCCAAGTGTGCCGACGCCTCTGGTTGCGGCCCGTGGACCAAGCCAATGAAGCGCAACCCCGACTACAAGGGTAAGTGGACTGCACCTTACATCGAGAACCCCGCATACAAGGGAACTTGGGCTCCCCGCAAGATCAAGAACCCCGACTACTTTGAGGACAAGAACCCTGCCAACTTCGAGCCCATGGGAGCCATTGGTTTCGAGATCTGGACTATGCAGAATGATATTCTCTTTGACAACATCTACATTGGTCACTCCATCGAGGATGCCAACAAGCTCGCTGAGGAGACCTTTGGTGTCAAGCACCCCATCGAGAAGGCCCTCTTTGATGCCGACAAGCCTAAGCAGGAGGACAAGCCTAAGTCCCCCAGCGACCTCAAGTTCCTCGATGACCCTGTTCACTACATCACCGAGAAGGTCGAGCTCTTCAAGGCCATTGCCGCTCAGGACCCCATCGAGGCCATCAAGTTCGTCCCCGAGGTTGCTGGAGCTTTTGCCGCCATTATCATTGGTGCCGCTGGCCTCATCGCTGTTCTGTTCAACCTTGGCAAGTCACCCGCTGTTCAGCAGACTGCTGAAAAGGCATCCGACAAGGCCAAGCAGGTCAAGGATAAGGCTGCTGAGGCCACCGCTACCGGCGCTGAGCAGGTCAAGGGCGCTGTTAACAAGCGCACTACCCGCAGCCAGTCATAAGAAAAAAGAGAAAATAATCTCAGATGGTCAGCTGTATCGGATGGAGTGATATTCAAAAGCGGACGGAGAACCTGTGGAGGTAAGAAGAGAAGCAAGTTTGGAAGGAAATGTACACAATTCTCACGATTGATTGATTGATTGATTGATTTGGCGCATCAGAGCAGCGATAGGGATATCGAACAATTGATAGCTTTTCAGGCTGACCTCACTCTTCATCGGTTCATGACTCGTCGTGGTGTTCCATATGTCTAGACCACTCAAGAGGTACTGTGAAGCAAGGCGTTGGCATTATTATTTCGGTTTGTTTAAGGTAGTTTCGTATTTACAGTAGGTCAACTCGACAAGTATTAAATCTGGTTTTTTTCTCTTTCACCGAAATCGGCGTGCATTTACATAAGGGTGTCCAGTATCAGCCTAGATCGATATTGAGAAGACGAACGCCCTCCATAAACATCCATTTACGTTTGAGAATCATGGAAGGTGACCCCGACGTCCGATAGATAAAGGTCAAAGGAATCGAAGTGGCAGGTGACTTGAGATAGATATGTTTCCCAATTAGGCAGGCGAAAGGAGACGAACAAATACAGTGAGAGATCTAGTTTCTGGCCGGCAATCTCAACCAGTAGGAGACTAGAATTGGGAGACAAACCTCAGACCGTGGTATCCATCGGCATTGACGGTAACCAGCGGACAAGCCGGAGCTCACTCGGCAATTACCCCACACTTTCCAGAAATGTCAGCCCAGCTCTTGGGGGAAGTTGCTAGCTTATCATGAGTTGCTCTTGCCGCCCCGCACTGACTCGCCTTTGGTGCTTGCAAGTGGTGGTGACCTTCTCAGATGAACGCCCCTCCAATTGCCTCCGCACCGTTGACATAGCCGGGACAGTATCTCAGTATAAAAGTCTAGAGAACCCATGACCTCCTGAATTCTGTCCTGTTTGTTGCTTCATTGGAAGTTATCGAGGTCAATTGCTCTCCCTCTCTTAGCTCTTTCCCCTCTCACTTACACACAACGTATTTGAGCCTCATACTGTCATCTTCATTATCACCATCATGCGTCGCGCAATCTCTCGCGGCCTGGGTGCTTCCAGCCGATCTACTCCCGCCCTTTCTCGATCCTCTCTCCTCGCCTCATCTAACATCACAAGCGGCTCGTCCCATGTCGCTGCCAGGCGCATTCATGCGACAAGCAAGCAGCTTCAGCCTGTGACGGCTGCCCTGGCCTCAACCGCCAGCAGTTATCCTACCACTCACGCAAAGGTCGAGGCGGTCGATACTCCCTACTTCATTGACAACAAGTTTGTTTCGTCTTCGACCGATAAGTACATCGACTTGCACGATCCCGCTACCAACGAGCTCGTTACTCGCGTCCCTCAGATGACCGACGCTGAGATGAAGGCTGCCGTTGCAAGCGCCGAGAAGGCCTTCAAGTCATGGAAGAACACTACTGTCATCTCTCGACAGCAGATCATGTTCCGATTTGTCCAGCTTATTCGTGAGAATTGGGACCGCCTCGCTGCCAGCATTACTCTCGAGCAAGGCAAGACCTTTGCTGATGCCAAGGGTGATGTCCTTCGTGGTCTTCAGGTCGCTGAGGCTGCTATTGCCGCCCCAGAGCTTCTCAAGGGTGAGGTCCTTGAAGTCTCCAAGGACATGGAGACCCGAACCTACCGTGAGCCCCTGGGTGTCACCGCTGCTATCTGCCCCTTCAGTGAGTAATCGGCGACTCCCTAGCAACATCCCTTAGCTAATTAATGTGTAGACTTCCCTGCCATGATTCCCCTTTGGTGCATCCCTATTGCCACCATCACTGGAAACACCCTCATACTCAAGCCTTCTGAGCGTGACCCCGGTGCTGCCATGATCATTGCCGAGCTTGTCCAGAAGGCTGGCTTCCCCGAGGGTGTTGTCAACATCATTCACGGTGCCCACCGCACCGTCGACTTCATCCTCGATGAGCCCGCTATCAAAGCAATCAGCTTCGTTGGTGGTAACAAGGCCGGCGAATACATCTTCAGCCGTGGTTCCGCCAATGGCAAGCGTGTTCAGGCCAACCTGGGCGCCAAGAACCACGCTGTCGTCTCTCCTGATGCCAACAAGAACCAGTTCATCAACTCCATTACCGGTGCCGCTTTCGGTGCTGCCGGTCAGCGCTGCATGGCTTTGAGCACTCTTGTTATGGTTGGCGAGACCAAGGAGTGGCTCAACGAGGTCGCCGAGCAAGCCAAGCATCTCAACGTCAATGGTGGCTTCGAGGAGGGCGCCGATCTCGGTCCCGTGATCTCCCCGCAGAGCAAGGAGCGTATCGAGAAGCTCATTGAGTCTGCCGAGAAGGAGGGCGCTACTATTCTTCTCGATGGCCGTGGCTACAAGCCCAGTAAGTACCCTAACGGTAACTGGGTTGGCCCTACCATCATCACCAATGTCACACCTGACATGACCTGTTACAAGGAGGAGGTCTTCGGCCCGGTCCTTGTCTGCCTCAACGCAGAGTCCATTGATGACGCTATCGACCTTGTTAACAAGAACGAGTATGGTAATGGTACTGCTATCTTCACCAGGTCTGGTGCTACTGCCGAGACCTTCCGCAAGAACATTGAGGCTGGTCAGGTGGGCATCAATGTCCCTATCCCTGTCCCTCTGCCCATGTTCTCTTTCACTGGTAACAAGAAGTCTATTGCTGGTGGCGGTGCCAGCACATTCTACGGAAAGCCTGGCATCAACTTCTACACTCAGCTCAAGACTGTCACAGCTCTATGGCAGAGTGCTGATGCCGTTGCTAAAAAGGCTGATGTTTCCATGCCTACCCAACAATAATCAGGCAACAACTCAGATGGTGGATTTGTTTTAAAAGGAAAAGCGAGCAAGCAAGAACGGGAGACGGAAAACGGGATATTGATGTAGAATGCATATCTGCTAGCATAATAAGGGCAATAGTCAGGCTGTTGGGCTCAGCCGAGTGTCATGAAATTTCAAAAACATCGGAAACTTCATTCTATTTCGCTATATGTGTCTTACTCATTTTGCAATCTCTTTTCGTCGTTTTGACTATGCCACACGTGAGATATATGTTCTTGGCACTCTCAAAATATTTTTGAGTGCCAGATGTAGAACAGTCATCCCACCCAGCCCCTATGAAGAGGCGCAGGATTGGAAGAACGACTAATAGATGACTAGAGAGATGCGTGGTGAAGAAAAACGGCTGGTAAGAGAGGACCCCAGATGAACCAGTGTGATTTAGGGACTTTAGAAAGCAGCTCTGGATAGAGACATCTGAGCACAGACTCTGGCTTACATTATCTTCATGTATTCAGAGCTGATAAGAAAGAGAACATGTGGGATCGTATGTATGGCGGTAAAACATCATAATAATAATGAATAATGATAATGAACAATGATGCAGGTTGATAAATAAAATAGATTCCATGATATGAGTAGTGACTAACTACCAAGCGTGTCGTGATATGAGCAAGATTACGCCCATCTGGCGATCGATCTTACTGTGTTGGTGGCCCTCTTCTATTGCCCATAATAACGTCCGTCTCTAAATATGCCTTCCTGGTCCCTCCTCCTTCTGTGAGTGGTGGTTGATCGGGCGACATTGGCCCATCCTGCTTAGTTCTCTTCAATGATGATGCAGGTCCAAGCTGGGCACTGTAGGAGTTTGCATCAAGGATGATAAAATATTGTCAACAACTCCGTACTCCTGGATATAAGAATTCGAAAATGCCAATGTGTATGGGGATCTCTTGTCCCTTAGATGGCTCTCGAAGAATTTCAGATAGAGTACGGGCGAGTCTAAGGGTTGCGTGGGCTTTGGCTGGTCCTCTATATTAACTCATGATCCCCTCCGAGCTTACTGCGTTGGAATTTTCATGAATCCGTCATAATATTCATCGAGCCATCGAGCTGCCTGAACACCAGACTCATCGAGGCTTGAGTCCCAGCGACCTATCGAGCCGACATAACCATCGGGACGAACATTGACGATGGCTACCTCGCCAGGTCCCAGGCTGCCGAGCCATTTGTTAGTGCACAGGGAGCCACGGGTGTCCTGATCGGGAATGTCGTCGAGGTAGAAGGTCCAACGGCTGTCTTGCAGAAGAGGTGGGAGATCTGAGATTTCAATTTCCGTCTTGGGCATGGTGGCTGATTGACTTGTTAGCAAGCGATCTCCAAGTACAAGATGCGAAGGAACTTACTGATAAGACCAAAAGTGAAGAGGTGGCTGACAACGGTGTATCGCTCAGGTCGGGAATAAACATCCTCAGGAGCTGGTGCTCGGGGTTGAGAAGCATAAGAAGCGCTAGCTGCAGCAGATAGACGGCTAATAAAGGAGTCTGTACCTGCAATAGCATGGCAGAAAGTCTGCAGAAACGGTGCTGATTGTTGAACATCCCACATAAGAAGGTAGATTCGGAACTGGCCGAGCATAGGAATGTCAAGCTGGATATCCACAGGGTTGGAGTCGATATATCGAGTCACCTTGGCGGGAGGCAGAAGGCAACCTGGCTTGGCGTCTCCCATTACAAAATGGTTGTTTCCAATTCCTGGTCTGTTGATGGCATTCTCACCATATTCAGCACCAATTCCGGAAATGAAACGGACGTTGGTCCTGAAGTTCTCAGCGAGTGCAATGGCGTCGCCACCAGCAATTTGGTTCGCATGCTCATAGTCAAAGTTAACCAAGTCCAGGGCAATCTTGCGTCGCTCTTCCTCGTAACTCTCGAGAAGATTTGGCTTGGCCAAGCCTCGAACCGCAAGGTTCAACTTCCACGACAAATTCCACGAGTCGTGCATTGAGGTGTTCATACCCTGTGCTGACTTGGGAGAGTGGGTGTGGCTGGCATCACCAGCCAGGAACGCCCTCAGGTGGCCATCAGTGAAGCGACTAGCAACCCTCTGACCAACCTGATACCGGCCGAACCACTCAACGTACTTCCAGTCCAAGCGGAACGGCGCCATAATCTTCTTCGCGCGCTTCATCATGAACTCCTGACCCAGATCGCGGCGATCAAATTTGGCACCAGCCTTCAGCTCAATATAGAAACGAGTCATATTCCTCTCTCGAGGAATGATGAGAATGGAACCGTGCTCTTGTGAGTAGACGAGCGTCTTGGACCAAATATCGGGGAAGTCGGTAATCAGTTCGCCATCGAGAACGCCCCAAATGGCAGCCTGAGACATGCCGACAGCCTTGACATCGGGGATACTCTTGCGAACTTTGGAGTGTGCACCGTCACCTAAGTAGTAATGTCAGTTTCTGAGCGTATGATAAGTGTGAGGGTTTACCACTCACATCCAATCAGGTATTGAGTCAGAACCGAACGCTTGTCTTGATTGACATTGGCACGGCAGTTGACTTGGAGGGGACCAGTCTTGTTGTCGGGGACGCTGTACGACTCAAAAGCCATGTTTCGACGGACCTCCTTGCCACGCTTTTTCATATCCTCAAGAAACAGCCCTTCGACCATACCTTGATGGACTAGAAGAATATAGGGGTCGAGAACATCGATAATAGGGGGATAATGGACTTCGCGACCAAGTCGACGAAGAGGTTCGTCCGCGGTGCTACGCCAGAATGCGATATCGAAGACACGAACACCTTGTTTTAGTAAAGTATCTGATAGTCGCATTTGTCGGAAGGTTTCGATCGTCTTTGGCTGAAGGCCATCGGCTCTATTTTCGAGGTCAATTGGGTTGTTTCAGTGGTACAATTGAATCGTGGTGATAAGCTTACCTTCCCACGGGCGTCTGATCGGCTCGATCATCGATTACCTCAACGTTGATGCCAAATCTGGTCAGGTTTGCGGCCAACATTAGACCGGCAGGTCCTGCGCCAACAACACATACTTGACATTCCAGCGGAGGCTCAGGAAGACTGCGAAGAAGAGCCAGAGGATCTTGAAAGGGAGGAGGAGAGCCTTCCTGGCGCTCACGATGTGCTGGAAAGGGGATTTCCATTTGATCCATGTCGTCAGATTGGACAATGCTAGGCACCATGTTACAGTGGAAGTCTTTGGGAGATCACAAGATCATGGACGACCTCTGTCGGTTCAAATTGTTGACAGAGTGTCGTCCGGCAGTAGTTGCGAGAGGTAAAGGCGGCGGAAGCTTCTGAGTCAAGGTAGAAGATGCCGCAAACGATCAGGCTGGCGACAAACGACGAGGTGTGTGGGAAGCAAAAGATATTCGGTAAGGTGATATTCTCTGAGGAAGTCCGTCCACTCAGTTATCGAGTGCCGTGCGTATCACACCCGGGGTGTTATGTGAACTCCCCGATATCGCCGGATGAGAAGAGGTCGTCAAGATCGAAGTCGCAAAATTGGATATGTCGTAAGATGTTTTGGAGATTTCGAGTAGGTCGCGTAGTAGTATTAATTGGATATGTATGATAGAACAGATCGATCGGTAAGTGTATGGGGTTTTCGAGGTCGCGGGGCAGAATGGCCGAGTAACTATTGGACAGGCTGAATCTGACTGACAAGCTACAACTGAGACGACAAGGGTTTGTGCAGATATGCAGACTACGATGAGAATGGCGAACAAGGTGGACGAGACGGCCGCAGTGATGGCAGAAACGAAGATACAGACGATGGACGACGGAGCACGAAGAGGGACACCGAGGTGAAGAGAGGATAAGAGAGGGGCTAAGTATGAAGCTATTCCGAGCCTCAAGGTCAGATATAGGAAATACAGCACCCACGGACGGGCAGGTACCGGATTTCGGGTGTTGATGGCAAGCGACGACCGGGGTGCTACGATGCCCTGACCTACATGGATCAAAAAGAGAGACAGAGAATGGATGGGAAGGACCGGCGCAGGGTCGAGGGCAACAAGGGCAAGTGAGATGGGGTCACAATTGCCTGGAGCAGAAAAAATGGCATGACACGATTATCGACAGCAGGCGGAGGCAGGCGACGCCAGACCTGACGAGGAGACAAGAAATGGGCTGATTTCGCGGGAGATTTTGCTGGTTCGCTGCCACACGGTCCACTCAGAACACGGTTGACACGTTCAACTGGGTCTAACTTCCAGGGCCCTTCCTCAAATGCTTCCGCCAAGCTCGTTCACTCTTTTTCAATGGGTCCTTCCTGTTGGAATGCAACTTGAAGGGATCCACATGCTGTCTCTGGACCTGTCCCCGCTTGACGATATAGCATGTGATTGGACGATAATTGATGAATTGAATGCTTTTATGAACCCCAAAGCCAAAGCACCGGAAGTTTTGAAGAAAAAAATAGGTGAAACAGCCCGGTTGGCATCATCACTTTTAACCAGATCCGAGCACAAACATTTATATCAAAGTGTAGATATCTCTGAAACAAATAGTGACAAATCAATGGCAGAAAATAACACTGCTAGAAAGAAGGTCTAGAAGGCTAGACCACGGACCAGGTCATGCACCAAGACCTAGACCAATCCTCAACACCACCACCTTCTCCTCCTTTACTGTACAATGACACTTTGGACCAAGACAAAAAAGACGTTGAACCCGTGCCACACGCTCGCACTGTTTCGTCAAAGAATCCACTTCTGCGGCTACTAGTCTCCGATGAAAACGTGGTGTGTCTGGCACCAGATTGTGTGTTTACTGCTCTGACAGCAGCAAGGATCATGCACTTGTTATGTACGTAGATGGGCTTCTCGTACAATATTCAATCCGCATCTGCTAACCTGTTATACCCTTTTCAGCTTTGGTCCAGTGATTTGGCTGCGGTCAGGACATGAACGATGGAGTATCAGGGTCTGACATCGCATGTTATTAAGTTCCTTTTGCCTCTTCTCCAATACGCCGACAGGAACTCAGGGTCTCTGAACCAGGATGAGGCCGTTCTCGGGCGGTGTCATTATCAAGCACCGCGAGCGGATGCGATCCATCCATCTGACACCGGTTTCCCCGGCCTTTGTCTGAAGTTTTGTAAGTCAATGACAGATCTGGTTAAGTCCTGTAGGTTATCAGCTGAAGTTGTCTAAAGTCGGGGAATTGACAATATCCAGCAAAGCCACACCGTAAGTTGTGTTATATATAGGAACCGTTTCATTGACTCAGATGGGATGGATCTGCTGGCAGTAACACACAGATTCAAACTGATACATGCAGGTATTAGCTCAGTGCTCAGCTTATGTACCTGATATCGTCCTGTGCAACAGAAGACGCAAGCATGATGCTGAATTAGGGACTAGCATGCAGATTCAACGCAACCTGCCAGTGTTGCAATTTTCTCAACGCCGTTTGGTTACTCAAACGGACAGCCACATAGTTTTCTCAAATTCTCAAATTCTCATAGTCTGCCATCTCCTGTCCAGGATGAACCCTGGGTACAGTCTGCAAAGACCCATGCCCTACATGTTACGCTGCCACATTTCAGGCAGTTGAGCTGACGATGGAGCCCTTCACCACGACATGCAGCGAACGATGATCATCTCATGATATACAATTGAGCAAGGTATCTGGCAGAACGGTCCCCCTTTTCACCTCGATTGCATATGCAAGCTGTCAAACTCATCACAAATATTGTATATGTATCAACATCGGAGCTGATCCTTTTGCGCAGTGCAGCGTAAGCGACGTCTCTCATCTCATCTTGTCTGTAGGTGCCTTGCCGCCAGCTCACCCATTGGGAGTATTCCGCATTGGAGCCAACCCAAGTCCTGGATGCCAATCTGTTGACTCATTTATCGCATCATTATATCGGCTCATGCCTGGCTATCACTCGAGTTATGCCGCGCGTTATATGCATCCTACTAGAGCGGCATGTCTGAGTGCTCTCAAATCAGTCAGTTGGCACCACCAACATGACATAACATCCGGGCTGGGACATCACCAACACAATGGTACTCTATTACATGGATGACCTATAACGCACAGGCTGGTTCGGACTTAGGTATCTGGGCAGCCCGAGCTCCCACGCACGCCCTTTTCAATCGGACGTTGGGTCTTGTAGTGAGGAGTGACACTTTGAATTGGCTCGAGAATGAGTTTATCAAGTATCTCTGTTGGAAACTCATGGGCCCTACCTCAGTAGACACGTATGAAAACTGCATAGTATTGCAGAGAACAATGATTCACAATGTCTTCAATGTTCTAGTGTTACATTCATTGGCCACCATATGCTGGGATTACATTCCTTGATAGTGAGAATCAATGATATCACGACCAGTTCTGTGTGACTTACCACAATTAGTCACATACAATGTGATAACGTATACGCGGTACAATATGGCAAAATGAAGCAATAGCAACCACAATTCATCCGCAACATTCTAGTAACAAGGCAGTCTTAATCAGGACACCAAAACCGTACTGGCGGTTGCGTTCCCGTCAGCTTCCTTCTCCTCACCATCGTTCTCAATGGCTGTATCCACATCCTCAATGACTTGACGACCACTGAAGTTCTTCATATATGCCTCTGCCTTGGCTCTTACTGGAATTGCATACCAGTCAGGTTGCATACGTAAAGCAGCCAGAATGGTACCCGTGCCAGGAATCACAACATGCCCACTACGCCCTGTGAGAACCTGCCTAACCACTGCATCGGCCACTGACTCGGGTGCAAGTGGTGGCATCAAGAAGTCAGTGTTTTGGTAGTATCCCTTGAAAAGAGCAGTGTTGGTGGGGCCTGGATGGACGATAACAGTCCTGACCTTGGGCGCATTATATCTGGTAGTCAACTCAGCGGTCAAGCCTTCGTGGAAAGCTAAAGCAGCTGCTTTTGAAGCACCATAGTCTACCAGGTTAGGAATTGTCAACCAGCTCGCATAAGATGTCAGGGTTACAACCATGCCGTGGTTTTTAGCGACCATATCAGGAACAAATGTCTTTGCTATCCAAAAGGGCGCAAAGGTATTGACGTCAAAGGTGAAGCGGATATCGCTTGGCTGAGAATCCAAGATAGTCTTGCCCCTGACAACTCCAGCCACGTTGATAACGACGGTCGGATGTCCCACCTCAGCCCTAATCTTTTCAGCGACGGCCTCGACGTTTTCGGGCGATCGTAGGTCGCATCGAAAGTGGTGCACGTTGGCCGCTATTGGGTACGAAGTCAGCCTCCTCCTGCTATTCTGAGCTTGATCTGGGGTCAGATATAAAAAGACAACATACAAACTTCGAAAGACATGGGCTGAACATCAAGAACGACAACTTTGACGCCCATTTCCTCAAAAAGCTTCACAATTCGCCCTCCAATACCTCCTGCGCCACCTGTTACGAGAACAACTTCGCGCTTCCAGTCATATTTGTCGTCAACCCAGTTATTTCTGGTCTTATCGGACCACCATCCGCTGGCCCATCGCGCCAGAGCAACGTAGAATAGTGTTTTGAGGTGACCGGAGGCGCTAGGATGAAGAATGGATAGGTCTTGGCCCTTCTTGGTGAGGCGAGCGAACAGCACGAGTGGAAGTAGGAGAGCTGGGTTGAGAGCAGTCTGACGAATGAGTCGTAGTACAACGTCAGCGCAAAAGCCTTCTCGTGGGATGAGTCCTTGATGCATCGGCATGATGGCGTTTGAGTCTGGTGTAAGCCAATATTTTGTGGTCAGATTACACCGAGATACGATTACTTTTCCACATGAAAAACAAGCAGTGCACAGGTCCAAGAGAGCAGCTCAAGTACTCGAACAACGCACTTTACGCCTCGGATGCGCATAGGCATCTCTTATGGAGGGGGAATGGGCTTGATGCATGGTTCTCATGATGGAGCATGCAAACCGAGGTCCTTTTCCACGAACAGCTACCAACTCGCTGCTCGCTGCAGTAGTTCGCAGGGATGACAAATCTGGGGTAATAGTCAATAACCTATTCGTCAGGGTTCTCGTAGCAGCTCCTACCGAACAACATCTTTGCTTGCGCCAAGCCGGACTATCATGAGTTAAAGATTGTTGTGGATTGTTCCTCGGCGTCATGGTGACCCCGCAATTCGATCGCCTTACAGCTATACTGAACGGGGATGATTCCTTAATTGGCATGGCAGATGATGGTTGACATGGCGATTTGGTAACCTGCATTGGTTAGTGGAATTTGAAGATGTGTGGCAATCTAAGACGAGCTGTTTCAACTTTCACGCTCAGACTTTGGGACTGTGAATTACTATGGCTCGAGAGCATTTGAACGATGAATGGATTCCTGAAACAAGTTTGCTGGAATGCAATATACTATGTAAAAGAGCTTGCGCTTCTTAAGTTAGGGGGTATCAGAATGTCAAGAGGCTAATCAGGATCTTTACAATTAAATCGCCATGAACAAGCTCACCAATCCAGCATATACCGCTAGTTTCGAATCAAGGGCAGATCCCTTCGAATCCTCACCACTGGCATCAAGCTCGGTCGAGTCACCTGGCGCAAACAAAACGCCCACTTTATTAGCTGCCTCTGCGTCAATTTCCTCGGGCGAGAGTATCTCATTCGATAGCTCATCGCAAGACGGCCGATCATCATCCTCAGGAATCGAATTGGTGACGTTGATTGGAACGTCGAAGATGGTATAGTGGTCATCGCCGTTGAGCCTAAAGTTTTGTCGGATGGAAATCTGTGTATATTGTCAGAACATCTTCTAGCAAGGGTACACAAGTATGGCTCACGTTGTAAACACCGCGATCACTGTCTCCTTCAGGATTTCCATCGCCAACAAGACAGTCAGGCCACACCCAGTTAATGTGCTTGACCGTACTGCCTGGTTCTTGGGCCATGATCTCCCCAAGACTTGCGTTATTAGCGGTCGCCGTCCCATTAGAGATGGTCAAGTTGCGACCTGTCATGTAACTGTAGAGGAACATCTCGATACTGAAGATCTGGTTGTCGTCACCTTCGTCATGCGGCGGCAACGGCAGCTTGCCGTTGGCGGTCACATCTATAGCGACGTGCAACGTATCTTGTATCAACAATGTTAGTCTGTCGAAGCTATCGTCGACGGCGTAATGTCAACTTACCCCCTCCAAGGGGCGTGTTCGGTTGAGGGGCATCCAGCACCACAAAACCAGGTGTAAAGATCTGGCCGTTAGAAATCGTAAAGTTCAGTCCCAGCGCGCGCCCAGCCAGGAGCAGCACGGCTGTCAGTTGTTGCTTTGATGATAACATTGCCCTAGTATCAAGTGCTATACAAGTCCTGGCAAAAATGAGGTGTGAGAAAATGGTACCGCAACAACAAATTCATCATCGCGGGAAATACGGCACAGGATTCAAAATGACTACATCTACTTTTTGAAACCGGAAATTGGGCTTGGCCGAGTATCCAATACAGCTGCAAAATCCTTGGGAGGTGTTTGAGAATGGGGGCTTGGTCCTTGATAAAAGTGAGATTACAAGGGTATTTTACCGGTGGATAAGGCTAAGAACATAGAGAATGAGGATGAATGATTGTTTCTATGCCTTTTATCTTGAACTGATGGCATTCCAAGTTCGGGTTTAAGACTTACTTGGTAATAAATAGCTTTGATTCATGAACACCAGACTTACATAGTATAATCGTTAAACCATGCTCATATTATAGTGTTGCAGCGCATTATGAGCATCAACCATGGTTCAGAATCAACTTGACAAGGATTCAATCATCATCTGAACTAAAATGCAGGGTCCTAGCTACGTAAGTACTTCCCCGGCTGAAGAAGAGAGTTAGAGCTGAAAATAACAAGAATGCAAAATGTACGTTTTGGCTCTTCAATGGAGATCATTAATTTCTCCATCTCCAACTGGTAGCGGAATTACTTCCCCCAGTACCACTTGAGAGCCAATGAATCCTCAGAGGGGCATTTACCGGCGGAGCCCCCAATAGCCAAGAGCTAAGAACCACCAACACCGCCTGCTCAGAGCAAAAGATCCTCTACCAAATTGGCGGCTGTGGAGCTCTTTTCTTTTATCGTGACAGAAGATATCTCACGATAGGGGAATCATTGGCTTCTAAAAGTGATCGCTAATAATTGTGATCCGAGGCTCTTCTCATTGCCCGGCTCTAGCGCTAACTCAGGTTGTCAGGTCAGTTCCTCCAACCCCTCCTCTCAGTAAAGGTAATCGACTTCAACAACATCAAATCTTGATTCAAACACGTCGTTCTTCAATCTGAAGCTCAGGGACTTCAACCGGCCTTGTTCATTGGCGTGTACTGCTGCATTTCACTCAGTACAGCAACTCCATTACAGTACAGCAAATCCAACATGCGGCTGTCAAGTCTCATCGCCCGGCACGGCTCCGTCCTTCGGCGCTGTTCCGGAGCCGGAACTCGGCCGGTCTACTCTCATTCTCAACGCCGCCTCATGAGCTCCTCCTTGGCTGGTGTCAAGGACTTGCTCAAGGTCTCGGACGAAATCACAGACGCTGTTGCCACTAACAAACCCATCGTTGCCCTTGAGTCAACTATCTACACTCACGGAGCCCTGGGCAATGAACTCGCCCTCCAACATTCAAATCTTGTCCGCAGCAATGGAGGTATTCCCGCCATCATCGCCATTGTTGATGGCGTTCCTACTGTTGGAGCAACAGCATCTGATATCATTCGTATGATTGAGAGTGGAAACGCTGTCAAGGCGTCCAGGAGAGATATTGCCTACCTCGCGGGAATGGTAAGTCAACCTAGGTACTGATGTTGGTCATGCCTCTCATGTGTGCAACAACGCATTCACAGTCAACACCTTTGATATACAAAGGCTACAAGGCTGACTGAGATTTGCTTCAGGGCTTGACAGGACAGAAGATTCATGGCGGCACCACCATATCAGGAACTATGTTGCTCGCCAGGCTTGCGGGCATTCGAGTATTCGGCACTGGTGGTCTCGGCGGCGTCCACCGCGGAGGTCATGACTCAATGGATGTTTCTGCTGATCTCACTGAACTTGGCCGAACCCGAGTCGCTGTCATCAGCAGCGGTTGCAAGGGCTTCCTCGATATTCCCAGGACACTGGAGTTCCTCGAGACCCAGGGTGCCCATGTTTCGACCTTTTCAGACGGACGATCTGGAAAGATTGATTTCCCTGCTTTTTGGGCTCGTGATAGCGGCATCAAGAGTCCTTCTGTTGTCCATACCGAGAAGGAGGCTGCTGCTATCATTCTGGCCCAGGAGAAGCTTGGTATTGAGTCAGGCTTGCTCTTCGCCAACCCAATCCCGGAGGAATTTGGCATTCCTGCGCCTGAGATGCAGGCTTATATCGAACAGGCTGTCAGGGAAGCCAATGAGAAGGGCTTCACTGGCAGCGCTAACACTCCGTATATCCTGGGTAGACTCAAGGAGCTCACAGGAGAGAAGGCCGTTATCGCCAACAAGGCGCTGGTAACGTCCAATATCACCCGGGCCACCAACATCGCTGTCGAACTCTCAAAATTGTTGTCTTCTGGTTCTGAGCCAGTCAAGACTTTGTAAGTGCAGCGATGAATGGTCTCGGACGTGAATCTAATTGTAGCTATAGCAATTCATACTCTGCCGCTTCATCTGCACCTGCATCTCCTGCTCCTACTGAGCTCAAGGGGCCAGAAGTAACGTCCGACAGTAAGGCCGATATCCTTGTCGCTGGTTCCGTTGCTGTTGATCTAAGCTGTGACTATGCCCCAAGGTCGGGTGACGCTTCACCCGTCCTCCACACCTCGAATCCATCTAGTATCAGCCAGTCAATTGGAGGCGTCGGCCATAATGTAGCTCTCGCTGCCCACTCTGTAAGCAAACATGCTCGAGTACGGCTCTGTAGCATGGTTGGTGATGACGTGTAAGCGTCCTCTCGTATTGAGATCTGGCCCTTGCTGACGTGCTGCAGTGCTGGCAAGACCATTCTTAATGGACTCGAAGCCTCCGGCCTTGACACTACCTACATTCGACAATTAGGCCATGAATACCACGGCTCTAATAGAACGGCTCAGTACGTTGCTGTCAATGATGCAAACAAGAATCTAGTCATGGCTATGGCCGATATGGGCATCTTCACAAACCACTCTTTTCCCGAATATTGGAAGTCTGCCGTCCGGGGAACCAAGCCCAAGTGGTTGGTAGTGGATGGTAATTGGAGCGAGAAAGATATTCGAGCATGGCTCAAGGCTGGCCAAGACCAGGACTGCAAGATTGCCTTCGAACCAGTATCGACAGCCAAGTCTATGAACCTTTTCTGTCCTCAGAAAGGACACCCGAAACTTCGAGTCTTCCCCAAGCCCACAGTAGACATCGCTTCTCCCAACAGCTACGAGCTGGCAGCCATGTACTCTGCAGCTCGTGATAACGGATACTTTGAGGCCCCAGAGTGGTTCGATATCATCGACGCCTTTGGCATGCGAGGTGCCCGAGATCGGTTTGTTAAGATGACTTCAGCCGAGCTGACTGACGCTGGTGTTCCTGTTCAGTCTGTTCAACTACTTCCTTATATTCCGACTATTGTGACGAAACTTGGTCCTCAAGGTGTTCTCCTGACCGCCATCCTCGAAAAAGATGATCCCCGTCTGAAGGACCCTGATTCCGAGGAGTACATCCTTGCTCGCTCAATGAGCGACCACCCCAGCGTTGGTGGGCTCTATATGAGACTCTTCTCTGCAGCTGAAAAGGTTCAGAACATTGTATCTGTTAATGGGGTTGGAGACACGTTCTTCGGTGTTTTGATCTCTGGATTGGCCCAGGGTGGCAAAGTCGAAAACCTCATTGATGTTGCACAAGCTGGCTCATGTTTGACACTAAAGTCTCCTGAGTCAGTGAGTCCTGATCTACACAGACTCGAAAGTGTGTTGGCACAGGCAGCAGCAGAATAGTGGGAGAAGGACATTTAAATACCCGAAATTGGTTTTTTCTTTCTTTTCTTTTAGGCTTTCTTGTAATTCCTAGCATCCTAGACTCTCACATCTGCGTATACTTCCATCATCCTACCTAAGGTATACTTAGGCTAGACACCAAATCCGAAGTTATGGGAGCCTGTGAAGGCCACTGTGGGCTCGCCAAGCTCACTCAGGCTCATTCTTGAGTAATCTTATCAGTTTCGACTTCTACACTGCTTGCAAATTACAATGCTTCATTTCCAGGTTTGATTGGTTCTACGAATAGTCTTGCTTCTCTTATATGGATGCAATATCAGCCTCGTTCAATCTCTCTTGTGATTGGTCACGACCCCACTAGTATTGAAATGGAAGAACCTATCATAGAGAATCGCGTGCGCAAGGCTGCCTGGACCCTCTAAAAAAATTCCATGGCTATAAACATTTCCAACCAGAAACTGCAAAACTTACTCCAGCGAGACAAAGGACAACAATGGCGCCACCACAAGACGAAGAGATGTTAGATCCCTCATCTTCCTCCTCCTCGGAGAACGAGTCTCAATTTGACTCAGAAGATGAGGTTCCTCAAAAGAAGCCAACCATTGCGCTCTACGATAAAGATTCGGACGAGGAAGAGTTGGAGCGACTTGTTCTAGGTAACAAGGCAGGCTTCCGGGCGCAATTGTTCAAAGACGATGGGATTTTTGATAGCAGCTGGGGTGCGGAGGGTAGGGACCTTCAGCTTGTCGAGCAAGATCCTGGACTGGAGGAAATCGACGATGCGGACCTGTTCATGTTCGACACCGGTACTGGACCAGGCGCTGCAGAGGTCACAAAGGCAGCAAAGCCCACCGATGGAAACGCTCCTGTATGGGAGGATAGCGACGACGATAGACTGGCCATTTCCCTGGCTGGAGCCGCTCGGTTACGAAAGCTGCGAAAGACGGAAGCCGAGGATCTTGTGAGCGGAACTGAGTACAGCAGAAGGTTGCGACAACAGTATCTCCGACTTAATCCCCTCCCGTCGTGGGCGCGCGAAGCAGATGGGCGACCTAGCAAGCGAAGGCGATCATCCGCTGCGTCTGACTCTTCAGCAGACAGCGATTCCGACTCTGAGATTTCTGCCCAGCCTCTTGAGAAGTTCCTTCGCGACGTCAACAGTCTGGCCGGAGCTGGATCAACCAAGAAGAGGCGCTTACGACCCGAAGTCATTGACATCCAACGCACACGAGAGATCCCAGACAAGCACAAGGCCCCTATCGCCAACCTTTCCTTCCACCCCGAGTTCCCGGTCCTCCTCTCCTCCAGCACCGCTTCTGTCCTCTACCTCCACCACATCGCTCCCGCCGCTCATCCTACACCCAATCCTCAGTTGACTTCAGTGCAAGTCAAGCAAGTCGATGTTCGAAGGGCCGAGTTCTTATACCCTCGGGGCGACAAGGTGTTCTTCGCTGGTCGACGAAAATACTTCCACCACTGGGATCTCAAATCAGGAACAGTGCAAAAGACAACGCAGATCCTCGGCCACAGGCTCGAGCACAAGACTATGGAGCGATTTAAGCTCAGCCCGTGCGGTCGATACATGGCTATTGTTGCATCTACCAGAAAGGGAGGCGGTATCATTAACGTTCTGAACACGACATCTATGCAGTGGATTTCGGCTGCCAGACTTGCTAGTCAGAATGGCATTGCAGACTTTGCTTGGTGGAGCACTGGAAACGGTATGACTATCCTTGGTCGAGATGGCCAGGTTGGCGAGTACAGTATGGAGAGCCGCTCATTCTTGGGAATATGGCATGATGAGGGTTGTGTTGGTGGTATTGTTCTCGGTCTTGGCGGTCATCAGGGTCCAACTTTACTGGGTGACGATCGATGGGTCGCTGTAGGTTCTAACAGCGGCATCACCAACATCTACGATCGCAACGAGCTTGTCATACTCAAGTCGGAGGATGTATCTATTAAGGAGCGTCCAACACCTACAAGAGTCTTCGAGCAGCTTGTCACGCCCATTACACACATTGCTTTCTCACCAGATGGTCAGCTCATGGCTTTCGGAAGCCAACATAAGAAGGACGCTTTGCGCCTTGTGCATCTACCTACTTGCACAGTGTACCGTAACTGGCCTACGGAACAGACACCTCTTGGAAGAATCACAGCAGTCGCGTTTGGAAATCAGAGTGACTTGTTGGCGGTTGGTAATGACACAGGGAAGATCAGGCTTTGGGAGATCAGGAGTTAGATATTTAATGGACACAAAACGGCGCATGATTATCTACAACCAATATCCTCTGTCACCCCATGGGTGGTCTACTCAATATCCAATGTAACATCCCGTGTCTGATCCTTCTCCGAGGCATTGTTCAGTTGAACATATGCTTCAACAGCGTCCGAAGTGGACTGTCCTTGGGCAGCTGGCGTCGGGGGAAGAAAGCTTTCCTCTTGCGCGTCCAAACAATAAGTTCCTTTCTATTCTTGAAGAGCTCGACATCATCGGGCTTGGTCTCACATTGCAGGAACTGCTTAATGTTGACGTTGATGCTCTTGAGCGCCTGTAGTAAATCAGCATCTGGAAGTTATCATGGGTATCTGAAAACTTACGTCTCGGCATTTAGTCTTGCTAGGAAGGTCACTCGGGAGGCCTAGATCGGCACAAAGTCTTTGGAAGTCCTGTAGGGTGCCTTTCTTGAAGTAATCGTTCCACTGATCCATGAGGGTCACATGCTTGTTACTAGATTCGGACGAGTTGGAGGGAGCGAGGACGATGACACCGGAGCGGTCAACTCTATCACCGTCTGAATCTTCATCAAGGGGTCGAGCCATGACTGAGATGGGAATATTGTGTTCAGGTTGAGAGTAAAGTGGTTATGCTGACTTCTTGATGACTTCTGGGTCAGATCTTACGAAGAAGAGTATGAAGGGAAGGATGGGTTTATGTTCGTGGGATTACATGTAAGGCCTCCAGCAATATTTACCAGACCGAAGTGACAGTGTGACCAGTCCAGTGACGAAGATGTGAATAGCCTGGCAACGTTCACTTATGTTACTTGAAAGAGTTAACTGCAGGCTGCCGTCCGCCCATGATGCAGTTATCCGCTACGGATGGTCTTCACTATTCCTCCTTTCCTTGTTCACTTTCCTAGCAAGCTTCTGAGTTATATCTGATTCATATACATATACATCAAGAGAGGAGTAATGCCGAAGCCACACATAAAGCAACACGAGCTGTTTTCTAAATACAACCACAATATAAGGCGTCATACACTACGCCTAAAAACACAATAACCTTGTTATCAAGTCAACAGATCATACAGCTGCTGATACACATACATATATAGATATGAATCAGTGCGAGCATTACAGTTATTATTGGCACAAAGGCAACAAACACTGGATCTCGGTTGCTTTTCAAGCTCCATATTTGTTGCGATGTTGGGCATCTCTTTGATCCAGGCTCTTTGTCTTTATGAACAACATATTCGTATGTCAAGAAATTCTTCATGCTCATGAGAGCTTTGTGGCCACGCATTGTCATAATTTGATATATTGCAAATGCCCGCGAATCTTCAACAACAAGCAACAGCTGATCGGCTTCCATAGCTCAGTTGGTTAGAGCGTCGTACTAATACTTCAAACCGAGTATCCGGTGATGCGAAGGTCTCAGGTTCAAGCCCTGGTGGGAGCAAGTCTCCATTGCCTATCAGCTGTTATTTTTTGGCCGTTTGCAGTCTTAGTCATCGATGATTCTATCTGTGACTTGAGTCTTTTCGTATTATATTCGAGATTTCAATGGTATTGGTATTGCACTGCCTAAACAGGTAATTCGCACACGGGAGCACCCGAGCAAGGAAGGAAGAAAGAAGCCATAAGCGCTTGCCTTTTGGATTAAGGTTTACTTAAACTTCCTTTACTATTGATATTTATATATATATAAATATGAGCTTGGTATTCGTAACTTATGATACATCGAGCTTGTTTCCCTGCTTGAAACATCCCGACTATGCTTTGTTGGCAAATGTCAAGTAGGTAGGTGGCTGCTTAAGCTCACTGCACGAACGCCTTATTGCGGTTATGTAGAGATATTAGTGGGAAACTCATTTTCCCGGTCGAAAACCGAGCATATGTTTCGATTCACAGATCCATCCATGGGAACATCAAGTAGGTGGGCAAGTGTATATACGTATGTACATACACTAAGGCTGGAGCCGGCCGTTGTGGTGAAAGGCCCCCAAGCTCGTAGCCAAGCAATTGAAATGGCATACATGTCCAGCCAACATCATAAGATTTATTTAGTGTACATACATACTTGTGAGGTGTGATCGGATCGCTGTAGGGTATGGCAGCCAAAGCTGATCTGAGATCACGGAGAAAATCGGGTGAAGGAAAGACAAGGATGAATGATAATGTCATGATGTTAAATGCAGTTTGCTTTTTGTGATGAATGCAGAGGCCCTCCAACAAGTGAGCGTTTGTAATATTTGCGGTTGAAGATGGGCGATGTTGGCAACGCGCTGTGTTGCTGCACATTGACATAGATGGCTAATTTGTTGCTAATTGGCTGAAATTGAAATATAACTTGGAATGGCCTCGAGACGGGCCTCATTTGAGAACGAGGCAACTCTAAATCGGGTTTAATACTACAGTCCTGCAATGCACGCACTGCGCTATGCAATGCAGAGTATGTACTGTACATAAATGCCGCCGGGGAAGCCTGGCATGCCTGCGCAAGCGTGGTCTGACCTCTGCGTGTTGGATGGCAGCAGATCCAGGGTCATTGGTGAACGGAATCCTGAGTGGCCAGATCGTGACGCAGAATTTCGGCAGAAGTCGCTCGCGCGATAGGCATTTGAAAGCGAGGTCGAACTGTTGGATACAAGCTTCAGTCCAGCTGGCAAATCAATTCACAGACAGACAGAACGGAACGCGGCACGGGCTGCATGGTATCGATCGATGATTCATTCATCCATAGAAGTGCCTAGTGTCTACGCCTGCCACGCTCTTCAGTGGCTGCTGAATGCTCAGGGAATCGATACTTTTCAAGGCGTTCATTCAGCTGCTTGATATTGATTGTGGCGACCTGAAGAGGAATGATGTGGTGTGCTGGTAAGGATCCAGAGTGTTGAGGCTTGAGCCGTGGTTGGTCAGTTTCCTCTTTGTCATCCTCAGACTACAACTCCCACAGGATGTGGCCGAAACAGAACAGACACAGATGCCTAACGAGGATCGCGATGTCGAAAATAGGAAAATTAAGGGGACATCAGTTGACCTAAATGCAATACACAGCCAACCACTCTGCCGGAATCAGAACAAAGAAACTCTGACGGTTGACCTGGCTGGCTGAACCCGGAACTGCCTGACAACCCGTCATATGCTCAGGCCTCATCCCATGAGCTGTGGTACTTGGAGGATTATTATGGAAACTCCCCCGTACAGCACGTCAGCTGTCTGTGATTGTCCAGAGCTGACTTTCAAGTTCATGTCGAATGCGCCTGTAACCGAGAGCAAGGATTCAACTTATGTATGGGTCCTACAAAACCTTCTTTCCTTGCTTTGTTTGTACAAGGCTGGATATGCACATATTCATCACAGCCCTCACTTTGCACCCTCATCCTTGACAGTACCCTAACTTATCTATAGCCGAGAAAAGCTGAACACACAAAGACGGGGCAGAGACGTCTGTCTTACTGCAGGTCATAAAATTGATCTGAGGTGATGTATGTACCTAGCCAGGACCCAAGCTCGAGCCCAGATCTGAGCCTGGCTTCGTTTACATCCTGGAAAATTTCCATTCACAAACCTCACTTATCGAATGATAAAAAGATTAGAGAACCAGGATTAAATGGTTGATTTTGCAGTGGAGGTTTTCTGATGCAGGTATCCACTGAGGCGCCATAAGCTCGGACCCAGCCTCCAGCTTCCAGGGGATGTAAGGTCGTTAACCCGCACTAAGATCCATACCTGGTGGAGGTACATAATGACTTGCACGAAAATGCAGGAGGCAGGTGCTTGTTATCGGATCTTGGTAGCCGTTTACAAATGTCGATTTTGGTGGGGGTGGAGGAAGGAAGCAATTTGGAAAGAAAAATGGAAAGAAACCGAATAGTACATACCTAATTCGTAGATGAACAAGTTCCAAATGAATCTAATAACTTCATTTTAACAGCGTAACCAAGAATTTCCAGAAGCTGATTGATCGTCAATTAAATAAACGAAAACATCACGCCATCGCTATCATCAAGATGCCCATGCCCACCAAACCGTTACTTTAAACGGCAAGGAGCAGGGTCTCTGCTCTCCCTCCATCTCAGCGGGCAGAATCCAGCATCTAGCCAAGCATGGACACACCCAAGCCCAGGGCCGTGGCATGATCCCAGCCTTTGCCTACGAGGAACATACGGGGTCCAAGAAGAGCCAACACCGGGGGACCCCTCCAGCCCGGCGTGTCCCGGTACAGAAGTGTTGGATCATGACAAGATGACAGTCCACTTTGCCAGAGACACCACCGTATGCGCCGGGTGCTGGGCACTCTGACCTGGGGAGAATCGATCCATGGGCCAACTCCAAGAGCATCGTCCATGGAAGCCGGAAGCACGTATGGATGGAGAGCAACACCAAGCCAGAGCTTTAAAAAGACCCGCCGTGCTTCATGCGCCGTGGCAGGCGGTTCCCCTCCCACCTTATAGTCACCAGTGAAAACCCATCTTTTGCTATTCGCGATCCTCACAAGCATTAGTGCTTCTACTACTTAGCTTGACCAGCCACAGCTTTTCTCTTTCCTTACACGGCTACCATAGGATAGGATCTTTGCCCGTATACGGACACAGTTGATGTTCCATTCAACTTGCGCCAACGCACGCACATCCTTGGAAACGCCCTGCCGCTCATTGATCCATTCCGTTGACTTGCCGTCTGAGTCTGACTTACCGAACAAGTATCCAAGACTTTTGGACTCCGCCTGCGCCTGCGGTTTAGTCGATCACTCCCAGGTTGCAATCAGTGACCCCGCCGCCGAGTTCCTTGCCGTGGCCTTTGCTTTTCGTTGCGCCCGACCTCACGGCTTCAATCTTTTCCTTCCTCGACATCTTTCCCTGTTGCTTCTCCTGTTGCCAATCGACAGTATCTGTGGACGATCTCACTGCCTCAAGACGCCAATATACAACAGCGCGGTTCCCAATGGACCCTTTGTGCCATTGAGCACCAAAAATCTCGACTTATACGCCCTCTTGAACGGCAGACGAAAATTTAGGGAAACGGTTCTCAACGACATCGGCCAAACATGCCTCTCAGAAGGTCAAGCAACTCGGCCGACGGCCATTCTGTCACATCTTCACCTTCTTTCTCCCTCTCAAGTACCAAGCGCCGATTCCCCCTCTTAAGCAGGAGAAGGAACCGACACTCAGATGTGTCGCAGTCCTCAATTCCTCCCTTGCCATCACCATCACCGCCAGCATCCCCTTCACCTTCTCAGAAAGTTGCTAAACCTGGGCTTCGGGTGCATGTCCAGGTCAGATTCGAGTCTCCTCATGGTTCTGAGCATGTTCGCGACTATGAAGCCTCCCCCCAGCTGAAAGCTACCGATCGCATTTGCCAAGCTTTGCTTTCGCGCCTGCAGCATTGCTCTTCTGAGCTTATCACACGCCACGATAGTAACGCTCTCGACCCGCTTCGCAAGCCACATCGTGACGTTAAGCCATTGCGTTATCGTATCACGTACCGTGTTGAGCGTGATGGCCTTATTCTCGTAGAAAAGTCATTGCGTTCTTTCCAAGAGTATGAGTTGACACATGACGATGCTCGCGAGGTTGTCGCCGCTACCGACCGGATCATTGGTCTCTTTTTAGTGCGGCACGACCCCGGATTCCAATGGTCCGAGTCCGTTGAGTCTGAAGCTACCAGTCCCGAGTCCGAGACCTTCCGGCCGTGCACCGGCCGGCCTCAATCCATGGCATGCATCCCCCGATCTCATTTTGTTAGCGACACGCAAAAATTCGAGTTTGTATCTGGGTATTCGATTGAGCTTTTCTTGCGCAGCCGTTGCGCTACCCGTTATCCAGAGAACCGGAATGCTTCTATCAAGATTGACAGTCGTCAGCCCTCACCTCTACCCCTCCTGCTCGGTGAAGAACTGACTACTCGTGTCTCAAATCTAATCATCGATCCAGTTGACGCCTGGAAGCGCAAGTTTGACAAGCGTCACAAGTCTTGCGCTGGCCTGGAGGGCAGCGGTGGCTGCACTCATATCGAGGATGGAGCTGTTGATATCATGGTCAAGGTCCGTAACCACATTGGCCCTGACTATACCTACTTCTCCCATCGTATCCAGACAAGCAAGGTTCTTTTCAATGGCCACGATGGTCGTGACTTTGACGACTTCGCCAACCAAGTCAAAGCGAAGCTAGAGAAAGCTCGTGATATGACAGACAAATCTCTGCGGTCCTTGGATGATTTCACTCTCACCATCCGAGAGCTCCGCGGCAAGAACTGGTCTGTTCACGAGCCTCTCATCGTCCGACTCGACCCCACAGTTACATACTGTCGCCAAACCATGGAAGCCGTCATGGAACGTCTCCAGACTGGCATCAGTAACGTTCTTGAACATCATGAGGATGCTCTTGCTACCATGACCATTCACAAGCGCGGGCACCTCATCTTTGACGGTTTCCTTGACGGTGCTGGTGGCGATGACAGTGTGCATCACGAGAAATTTGCGACACCTGATCTGGAGCGAAAAGCCCTCGAAGCCCACTTAAAGGAACGCATTCGTTCAGATATTACGATGCTCTGCAGAGACACATGTGCCATCGACTGTCCTGATACACTGCCAAACTTGCGTCTGAAGACAAGCGGAACAGCTGCATCTTCCATTGGAGCAACCCAATTGATGAGGCCTCCTTTGTCCACAGCTGGTTCATCATCTGCTGCGCCTACCACGCCTTCGCTTGCTGCCTCGCCTCTTCCTCGTCAGCCTTCTGAGACGTCCTTCCATGGATCCATGGCCAGCACTCGTTCTGACAAGTCTCTTGCCAAGAAGATTGCGAAGCAAAATCTGAGGGATTCCGTTGAATGCCCTTCGACACCAGCAACCCCGTCACCCGACCTGCGCCGAGTACCTTCGGGTGTTGAAATGGCCAAGAAGCATGGATATATGTCTGACTTCATGGCAGACGACGAGAACCAGTCCGAACCCCCGTCTACTCCAAGTCTGGTGGATACTGATAGCCTCAGCCCTCGAGACAGTGTCGTTGCAACCCCCTCGCGGGCCATGACCCATGATCAGTCCAACGAGGGACTTCGTATCATAGATGATGGACGAAGAATCATCTATCAAGAGCAGTCTGATATGGATGCCATCGCAAGTGGAATGATGCAATTCCACCGCCCGATCACCGACGATGACGAACCTATTCAGCTTGTCAAAGAGAAGCCAGCTGAAAATTCCGATAAGAAAGCGGCTCGCCGATCCCTGGACACCCGTATGCCAGACCTTTCTGGAAACACAGACCAACTTTCTGAGGCAAAGAAACATGAGCTAGCCATAACTCAACAAGAGTCACAACCTCATGCCACCACGACACCTGAGCTTCAGAAGGCAAAGGTGGCTGAAGAGCCCTCAACTGAGAGTGTCGCAGAACAAGTACCCCGGTCAGAGGTGTCTGTACCTGGACAGACAAAGGCTGAAGCCATCGCTGAGATGGGCACTGGCGAGACCCACCGGGCTTCCCAAGAGGAGCAGTGGGAGACGGCTGAGACCAGAGACACACCTCGCGAGAATCCAACAGGAATCGAGGTCAACTCAAAATCTGAGACGAGCTTTGGAACTACACTTGAAGCCAGCATTCGTGGGGATGCCGAGATAAAGGACACTTCTATCCCTGTTGTTGCTGTGACCGCTACCGCTGAAGAACAGCCTTCTAAAGAGCAGCAAATAGAGGCTCAACTGTCCAATGACTCTGAAGTGCAAACGCCTAAGGCTGAGCCTGTCGTTGCTGAGAAACTTCACGTTCCACCCGCTGATGCCGCGCAGAAGACACTTGAGGCGTCTGTACTTGGAGAATTCCCTAAGCCATCTTCCATTCACTCCCACACTGACGAGGCTAGTCATGACGATCAGCAGGAAGAGCATGGCCAGGAAATCCCAATTCAGACCTCGACTTCTGCCTTGAGGCAAGCGGAGGAGGATCCAGAAGTGAGCACGTCTCTGGCGCCTAAGGGAGCACCTACTTCAAGCGATTCTGGCATTTCTATGGAGGGTGATGCCAAAGACCGCGAGGCTCAATCGCCAGCTGTAACAAAGCTTGTTGAGAACACATCTCTCCCTTCCAAGAAGACAGACGATCAGTCTTCCGTTAAGGCTGACGTCGTGGACAAGGAAGAGCAGCATACTCCGCACTCGGATGTGACCGATGAGCATTTCCCCGAGATGGTAACTCACTTTCTTCAGACTGTTCCTGAGGATACTCTTCTTGAACCCACTGAAGTAGTAGCTGAAGATGTCGAGATTGTCACATCCGACTCACCCAAGACGCCAGAGGAGCCCACACCTCTCGAGGAACGTCCTCTTATGCCCACCATTGCCTCTGCCCCTCCGGAGAGTCTACTGACCCTGAAGAATTTCTTCTCTTCTTCGTCAGAAGAGAATGAGAAGGGACAAGAGTCCCCTCGAAAGCCATTCGATACCTCGGATTTCGCCGACGCCCTGGCTCGACCTCGAACCCGACCTCGAACTGCCACACTGCCCGAGCGCCGTTACTCGACAGCTTTGACTCTTGAGATCAACATCAATGCCCACAGCGACCCTGATCAAGAACACTCACCCATCGAGGATGCTCCCAAGAGCGCTAGTGGTGCGTGGCGGCCAGACGGCCTCCATCGCCGACAGCCGTCAGCTGGCTTCATCGGCTTGCCAGACCAGCGCCGGCTTCATTCTGTTGGTCTTCGCAGTGCTGTGTTGCCATACCGTTGGCAGCAGATGCGTCGTGAGCAGGCGCTCTGGGAAGGCCGCCCAGGCACTTCTCATAGCGAGGCCTGAACTTGGAGATCACCTAGCTCCATTTAATGATGATGATGACTTGCACTATGTCTATTGTTCAGTTTCATTTATACTTAAAAAAGAAATAAGAACCAAAAAGATACTATTAGGTTAGGGCGGCAGACGCGAAGGATGGGAAGAAAAGGAAAGGCAACTGGCCAATAAGTCCATAAATGGTATGGCTTGGCAAGGGCGTTGGTTAAATTTGATTTTCATCTGCATGCAAAGCATTTAGACTTGGAGCATGACATAATGCAGAGGATACCATTTCAGAGAGTTTATATAACACCTGCGTATTCCGAGAGAACTGCTTCTTCTTCTACTGTGGCCATTGTCGATGTGTCCTGGGACCTGAAGATGCTGCTTCGCCTTCTCACCATGGGATAATCCTCTTATCGTCCTTGAATGTACCAGTCTCCCCATCAGGCCCCAGAGTGGCGGCTTTCACAGAGCTTATCGCACCCAGATCAACAGGCTCGGTTCCCGCGAATCCATTCAAGGCGGTCCGGGAGTTGTGCCCCGGGCATGCAATATTGATCTTCCACTGCGAATCATTCTCATACCTGGTGGCGTAGTGGAGCGCGATCATGTTGAGAGCCGACTTGCTATGCGTATAAACACCGAAATCAAAGCTATGCATTGGATTCGTAGGATCGGCCTTCAGTGTCAGACTGCTCAAGGCAGTAGAGACAAAGACAATGCGGCGGATCTTGGTAGAGCGCTCGAGGAGGGGGATAAAAGAGTCAGTGACGAGGGCGGTACCGATGCAATTGGTGTTATAGACGGCCATCATAAGTTCTCGCGGAGACACGGCCATGCCGTAGCCTGAGATAGCGCTGTTGTTGACAAGGATGTCAAGGCGCCCAAATTTATCCCCGATAGCCTCGACTGCGGCGGAGATGCTATCATCTGATGTGATGTCCAGTATGAGAGGTGAGACATTGAGCCCCTGAGCTTGAAGCAAGGAGCTTGCCTCTTGTACCGCTTGTAAACGGCGGCCAGAGACAATGACGTGGTAGTCATTATTTTCGCTGGCAAGCTTCTTAGCGATTTCGAAGCCGATACCCTGATTGGCACCAGTGACGAGGGCGATAGTAGTATTGCGGGTGATGGTGGGGAGAGACATGATCGTGTCTTTTTCGGTTATGTGAGTGGTGATAGTCATATCCCGTTGAGTATGGTGGTGATCTGAGCAAAACATTTCTTCGCAGCACTTCTTGCTCTTTTATATCCAGGATAGATTCTGGTGAGACACAGAAACATGTAGCTGTCGTCATGTTGGTGACTCTAATCTCTATCTCCGATATGGGTTGTCGTTGAATCCTAAATCCGTGATTGGACCAGGAGCTCGAGGCCACTCTGAGATTGATTACCCTTTTGGGAATGAGATTGAGTCAGTGAGATGACAGGTTTTGCCAGTTTTGAGGATGCCAAGCAGAGGCTGAGAATTTTAGGGTTCACTTAACAAATGCTCCAGTCAGATAGCATTGGGGCATGGTGCTTATGCGTAAGAAATGAATGCGAATGCCAACAACTCGATGCTTGTTCGCTGCAAACCAGGAAGGTTATGAGTGTACACAAAGCTGAACTGTCTTGGATGTACAGAATACGCATGACATATCGTCGCTTGCCTGGTTCAAGCTTGGCCCCAGCAAGCACATCAGACAAGTTCAGCATCACCAACATCAACCATGTGCTTCGCACTTGACCATCTTAATATGAGCACATCGCCATTCTTGGCAGGGAGAGTGATATCGTCGTCGGTCCCTTTGCCATAAACGTCCTTGTCTCTTAGCATGCGGACAAAGACAGCCGTATCTAGATCCGGCGAATCGATCATGCTGATGTTGCCTGCAGTGTCATTGAGGTTCTGCAGTTGCTGCGGAAATGATGCCAGGAAGGATGAGAGATAGTGATTGTGCAGAAGAGCCTGATGCCTTGTCGCATAGGCTGCTTCTGTTGGAGACATCCTGCCTCTCAGCTCTTGGGTTGAGAGGTAGTGTAAGGTGTGTTTATCGATCTAAGGACAGTCAATTTTCTGTAGTTTAATGAGTTTAATGACACTTACCTTTGCCATACGAGCGCGAAGAAAACTTCGAACGAGGAACTTGTACCTCTCAAGCTCAGTCTGAATAACGATGAGGGCAAAGTTTGTCTTTGGATCCATATCGCCCGTCATATCCTCAACCTTTTCGATCTGGGATTTGATGCGTGCATTGACGCGCTCGAACAAGCCATCTGTTGGCCATCTATATAGATATTGTGAGTATTAGAAGACAGGAAGAAGAGCAGTGAAGTCTTACTCAAGAAGCTCAGGTGCTGAACGCTCAGCAACCCAGAGACGCGTCAAAGCTTGCAGGTCGCGTGTTTCGCTGGGGATTCTGTGAGACGTGGGGTCAACTTGGCGAAGAATGTCGTCGATATCCATTTTGCAGAACAAACAGTTCTTATTTTATGAGGCAGAGGGATTATAGAAAGTTCGGCGGCACAATTGGCTTATGTTCTTCTGCTGTACGGTTTGATCGTCAAAATTGAGGAACTTTGGTGGGGTGTGTTTGTGAGGTTGAAGGGAATGGATGTTTCTGTGAGAGCGGGGCCACACTGTAATACTAACTGGCGACCTCGCTATTTGACACCCAAGACTTGACATTCTTTTCAGCAATTATTCATAAATTTTGACTGTAAAAGAAGGATACTTATGTCGATTTCTCCGGTGTATATTCTTCCCACATATGTACAAGGCTTGTTGCCCTTCTATGTTTCAGTGGTTGACACCACACCACAGCAAACAAGGCCTATTGCCTCTATTCTTCAAGCCATCGCCCCTATACCTACACATCTGTATACTATGTATTTTCCTTACCCTTATTTAGATGATTATTGAACCTTCTTGAGAGGCTTATGTGCCTCCCTTTCTGCTTTTTCGTAGCCATTGACTCGGCCATACACCCACTTGAGGAACGAGGAAGAGACTGTAACTAGCCCAGCTGAAAATGTGAACAGCATTACTCGCTGGGTCGTAGAAAGAAGTTCGAAGAGGGGATATGGGTACCTATAGAAGTTAGTATTCTGCTGACTTGCCGAGAAGTCAAGAACAACATACCATCCATTGTGGCTAAAGCAGAGCTCAACCCAATACCAATAGGCAAAGGCAATGACAGTGCTGATTGCCATAACACCGTAAGCTGGGGTGGCCCAAGGAGGGCTAAGAAGAACGAGATCCAGACTCAGCAGTACGGCAGGCGCAAGATGAAATCCCATATCAGGGATTATGTGCAGATAGAAGTCATCAGGCATGAGAAGCTTGGGGTCAATGAGCCTCAGACCCCAATACAGGATTGAGATGACAACTTCCAAAGGCGTAGCAAGAACAGCAACCGCATTCTTTGCCTGAAAGAAAGTTGGGCTCAGGGTAATATCGGCCAATGCTCCGAGTACAAAGGCAATGAGTGATGCTGAAAGGCCAATAATGGTAAGGAACTGCATATGCCATCCGTAAGACCTGGCTATGGGCGTATCCCAGACTGTGAGAAAGTGAAAGTTGTAACTGAAAGAGGCTATTCCGATGATATGAAGCAATAGCGAAACATCTCGTGAGGGCGACGTAAGTCGTTGAAGGGGGTGACGAGGTGCCATGATGGTCCTGGTTCAGAGAGGTTATTCAGGTGGGATGTACAAGCCGCAGGCGAGAGGAAGAATTCTACGATATGGGACGGAGAATAGAAAAGAAGGGTTAGAAACGTTTGAATTCAATGTACTATTTCACATGATATAAAGCAAGGAAACGAACTTGATTTGACCTGTCTTCGGAGCCGGGGTCTCGGGCCTCATGGGATCCCGTTTAGGTACGTTCAATAGATGCCATGACCTCAATGTGGACCTGATGGCATTGTAGTGAGTGGGGCATAGAGAAGCCACAATTCGAGGTCGTGCCACATGAGGCTGAAATTGCCTTGACAACAATCTGGGATTGTCGCAAAGTGTAAATCAACGAAAATTACATCTTGGTCGCAACACCATAGGAACAACGGATTTACGCTTCTGGAGCAGGCCGATAACCAAGATGGCCTCAGATGATGACAATCGCTCACAGAAGCGTAACCATTCAGAGTTTCGTGACGATGCGTCTGGTACAGCATTTCCTATCGTGTGACGGTTAATGATGCTAACAAATCGTCTAGACAGCTCCTCTGACGATGATATGGGCCCTCAACTACCCTCGCAAGCCCCCAAGAAGAAGCGGCGAGTCCTGCCCCACGAAAAGCTTTACGTCGCGGCTTTGCCAAAGTCGCCCCGTTACTCAAAGTCCCTGATGCACAAGGAACAGATCCTCTTTGCGACGTGGACTCCCCTGACTGAATTCCTTATCACCTCCTCGATTGATGGTGTCGTCAAGTTCTGGAAGAAGATTGCTCAAGGCATTGAGTTTGTCAAGGAGTTCAAGGCCCACAATGGCGAGATTAAGTCGGTTTCCGTGAGCAAGGATGGACGAAGCTTCGCGACTGCCGGTGTGGACGAAACAGTCAAGATATTCGACGTTATCACATTCGACCTATTGTCCATGATCTCTCTTAACTACGCTCCCAACTGCGTATGCTGGGTTCATAGCAAGGGCGCCTCGCTGCCGCTCCTGGCTGTATCCGAGGAAACGAAGCCCCTGATTCATATCTACGACGGACGAGGCGAGAAGGAGGAGGCTATCCACACTATCAAGGGCTTACATAGGAAGCCTGTGCATCTGATGGCGTTCAACGAGGCATATGAATGTGTGGTGTCCGCTGATGAGGGTGGTATGCTCGAATATTGGCGGCCGAGCGGCGACTACGAAAAGCCAGATGGAGTTTTTGAGTACAAGAGTTCAACCAACCTTTTCGACTTCAAAAAGGCCAAGTCGGTGCCGTCATGTCTTTCTGTCTCTCCCAATGGCAAGAGCTTCGTAGCCTTTTCTTTACCGGATAGGAAAATACGCATCTTTGACTTTGCAACAGCCAAACTACATCGCGAGTATGACGAATCTTTGCAGGTTGCTGAAGAGATGCACCGTTCAGGGGCGGGAGCTGCTAAACTTGACAATGTCGAGTTTGGACGTAGGGCAGCTCACGAGAGAGACATCGAATCGCAGACGCTCAAGTACAAGTCCAATGTTATCTTCGACGAGTCAGGGAACTTTATTATCTACGGCTCCATGCTGGGGATCAAGGTCCTTAACACATATACCAATCAAGTGGTCAAGGTGTATGGCAAGGATGAGAACTTCCGCGCTGTCAATATCGCCATATACCAAGGAGCGCCCCAGAAGAAGGGAGTGACGACAGTCGAGATGGGTGCTTCCAGCAATCCCCTTTTACAGGAAGCGGAGACTCGAGATCCGATTCTGGTTGCTACTGGTGTTGGTAAGGTGCGGTTTTACATGTTTTCAAACGAGGAAGACATCTCCAAGTCGACACGAGACGTACAGAACGAGAAACCGATGATGCTGGGCAACAAGAAGGACGCACAAACGAAGAAGACCGAGACGGGTACCGGAGCCGTTATTCACACTACGTATGGAGACATTCACATCCGCCTTTTCCCTGACGCAGCACCAAAGACCGTTGAGAACTTTGTCACACATTCTAAGAACGGCTACTACAACAACACAATCTTCCACCGTGTAATCCGCAAGTTCATGATCCAGGGTGGAGACCCTCTCGGCGATGGTACTGGCGGTGAGAGTATTTGGGGGCGTGAGTTTGAAGACGAGTTCAGCAGTCTCAAGCACGATAAGCCATATACGGTCAGCATGGCCAACGCAGGACCTAACACGAACGCCAGTCAGTTCTTTATCACAACAGAGAAGACGGTGAGTTCATTTCCTGTTATTCATGATGAGCATGTACTGATGTTCAACAGCCATGGCTAGACGGAAAGCACACCATTTTTGGTCGTGCTACCCAGGGATTTGACATCATCCACAAAATTGAGAATGTGCGGACGCACAAGGAGAAGCCTGAGGAGGATATCAAGGTGCTTAACATTGATATCATATAGTAATACTTCTGACTGAGCACGAGCCTGCAACGTCGGAACCGTCCACAACGCCATATTGATATGACTAGCTCACTTTTGACATGCTGAGCCCGTGAGGGCATATAGACACCAAGAGCCCTCTCCGTGACGTCGAACTCCGCTACACTGGCCGAACACAGCCAAAGTCGTCTTCCGTAGAGTTTCTGTCTTCTGTCCATTGTCTCGACCTCTGTCTCCGAAATTGGAGGTTTAACGGGCTATACAGAGTAAGAATACTGGACTTTCATCTTAACATTGCTGACTGTGGCTGGTAGTTACGCTGCGCACGATCCTGATACACCTAGACTTTGACGAATGGAATATTATTAGAACTTTCACAACCCGGTCAGCTCATCCAGGCGGAGGTTGACGCCAGTAAGACGAAGATTACAAATCTATCTCTATCTTCACCGAATATCTGGTAACCTCAGGTTGGGCTGAGTCAAAATGGGATAAGGCAAGTGCCTAGTTAGTAGGCACCGAGGCCAATACAATCCTACCTGGGTAGGCAGATCTGAGCAGAAGCGTTCTTTGGGCCTTACATGAATCGCACGTTCCTACTTAAGGTAGTAGACGTTGGAGTGACAGCAGAAAAGAGCCAAGGAGGGCATATGTCCCCTCTGCTCTATTCATTGCTATAGCTTTACCAATCGTCAGTGTTGCCATCACCACCCGAGTTTCCTTTAACGCGCTGTTGACTGTGGAGGAAGGAAGAAAAGGAGAAAGCGGAATATGACTTGTTCCCCAAAGTATGTGAAGTACTAGATACCTAAGGTAGATAAAGAAAATTTGGTTTTTTTCCTCTTCTTCTTTTTTCTTTTTCATTAATTTTCGATATCTTTCCCTCCCAGCTGATTTGTGCAAAGTATATGCGATTAAGGTTAATAATTACGTCGCCAGAGTCATTATTTTAGCACACACCTCGATTTTGAGCTGGCGTTCGAGCAAGAGCTGTGGCGAAGGATGCTATGGCTGCCTGCCTTACCTAGGATAACGACGATAGGCGATGGTGTAATGAGTAGTGTTGTCTTTCCCTCTGCTGAAGAGGTCACGATTGCCACGATTTGCAAAGTGAAGTGAAAGTGAAAGGACTTGAGGGGGGAAGGAGTCGGCAAGTTGTGGTTACTTTAGAGGAAGGTGGGAAGACCGGAACGCAGTTCAAGGCTCTGAGTTGCTCTGTAGTTGCAAAACTGGCTTAGGATCTCATCTATGAACGAGGCCAGGATAACTGTCGTCGGACGATTCCATCCCGCAGGAGTTAGATAAGCTAATAGATAGGACCAGATACTGTGTTGTAGACCATTCTTACCAAGTATTTAAGAGAACCAGCAAACGGGATGGGAGTCCGGTAGTCAAGATAGCAGGAGGAAAGACGAAATCACCAACCTACCTCATCTCTTTCCACTAAGAGCTCTACTTCCTATCTCGTTAACCAGAGCCATCCTCCGGGCAAGAACCACTCTCCATCGTGAGAAGACACAGAAAGTGCAATCCCTACTGAGCTCGACAATATATCCCCTTCCAGCTCCGGTTTCATCTTCTTCATCTCCTCAACTTCTCGACCCGTCCCCAAGACACCAGCCACCTTCCTCTCCCCCTACTGCTATTCCCTTCGCTCTTCACAGCATCCTTCAGCTCTATCTTCCCAGCCTGCTCCGCCATATCGATCATCTTCCCTTCCTTGCCGTTCTACCTATGCTCTGCCATCCCATCTTGTCGGCATCATCTCAGAAGACTATACGCTGTTGCTTCGTCGCCAAGCCCCAGCTCGGTTCGACATATACAGCTGTATCTCATCGCTGATGAGCTTGACGCCTTGAGTAAGAGCTTCCTCAGTAAACCGAGTAGATCTTCACTGAAGATACCATTAATCTACCGAGCGGATGCACATTTTCTTCTCTTTGTGCACCGCCATGTTGACGACCGTCATCCTTCTGAGAGGTGAGGCTTTGGGGAGAGGGAGCCAGGTACTTTTTTATTTCCCCTTTGAGTTTTCCTTGTCTGCTCAGCCCTCCCAAGGTTGGTTGCCCTGTAGATAAACCATACAATTAATGGCGTAATTATTGAGAGTATATATTGGCTACAGGAAAACAGAGTCTATTCTACCTAGAGGCAATGTGTCATTTTTGCGGTGTTGCCTAGATCTATCTGGCCGAGATATCGATAGGGCTTACCAAACTGAACTGAATCAGGACTCCGACCAGAGTCTATACAAAAGATGATGCAACCGAAATTCAAGAGTACGGTCCCCATCAACGACGACGTGTCTCAGATCCTCCAAGAGCTCATCCAGCTGCAAACCCGACTATTCAAATAGCGTCGCAATTTTTGAGGATGGCGCGAAATAGCGACTCTGAAGCGCCAAGCAAGAAGAGCAATGCCGACCGTAAGGCTATGTTTCTCGCTAGCGGCATGTCCGAAGACAAGAAAACGGAGGACGGGGGCGAGAAGAAAGAGAAAGAGCCTGAGTCCTGAGCAAGGAGTTTGAATGCAACATCATAAAGCATAGTGTAATTTATTCACAATACATATCTAGGGGGTCAAGGATGGGAAAGGGTGGGGTGAAACTGTACCGAGTACAGCTATTGATAAATATAAATGATTTTATCTATTTAGAAAGAAAAAGGAGAAGAAAAAAAAAACAGGTATTCTATTATAATTGTGTTATTCGATTCGATATGATTTTCACTTTTCGATTAACTGTAGCTCGTTTTTATAACGGTGATAGTCGCTCCGGAGCGTTGTCATACACGCCTGGAATGATGGGCAGGGTGAGCCAACTACAACAGAGCTCACCTAGTTCTGCTGAGTCGTGCGAATAGCTGTATGACGAGAAGAAAATTCGCCTCGTAGGAGCTGCCACTCTTTAAGGTAGGCCATTGGTTCTCCTATGGCCTATTCAGGTTATCTCAGTCTCAGCTCTCCTTCTGCAGAAAACTTCTCTCCTGCCCAGGGAGCTGGATCAGATACACCTGCCGACTTCAGTACTGAAATACGGCGGTGCTTTGATGGGCCCCCTACGGGAACAACAATAAAAAGCTAACAGCCACGAATGACATATAACCAATGAGAATGAAAGGTTAATTGCGTGCACGAAAGCTCTGTCGATAGTGGTGTAGGAGGGAGCACACAGAAGTCATATTAAGCAGGGTATGTACGGTGTTGCAAAGCTCAACTCCAGACCATGAATACCTAAGGTAGGTATTCTGAAATAATTCGCCTCAACAACATGAAAGTCTCAGCCCAACAGCTGCCCCTACCTAATAAAACGGCTGGCTTTAATTAGTGCAAAAACCCACCAGCCAAAGTGGCAACCAGTGGCCACTTTCATCTCTTCGCTCAAGGTGAGTCAAGCTAAAAATCTGGAGCTTCCTTCCCGTTTACTTACTGTAGTAGACAATGGCAGAAATGGGTGCTTTGATCCTCCGCCAGGATTGCACGTTTCCGCCCTGTATCTCTTGTGATCGCTGCTAAACCGGCCAGCTAGAGTGCGGGGCAAAGTTCATTTCATCCAATCAGCAGCGGGATAATCGAACCTGAAAACCGTGGAGTGACTCTCTTGAGTGTGACACACCGAGGCCGGCGCAAAGGGAACGGGCAGGAAGAAAGGGACAGGTCAGGGTCTGGAAACCACATAAACTATAATTTATTTGGCCCTTGTTGAGACGACTTTTTTTATGTTATTCTTTCCTTTTCCACACTCGACTCCTATCATCATATTCCTCCTTCTGTGGTACTCTCAGATTCGCGCAATTGAATCTCTCTCTTCTCTTTACACCCCACTCTGACTTGTATCCCCTCTAACCCCACCATCGCCGTCACCATGTCTTCTGTAAGTCCATCTCTTTGAGCTCTCTGCTCTTAATGTGAGGGGTGACTCACGATAATGTCAGTTCTTCATTCCCAACAAGAATGTTGGCAATCAAGCCGACTCGGAAGATTGGAGAAGTAAGCAAACATCTGCCATAAGCTCTGGCTTACAAAATTTGTCCCTCCAACAGATGTGTTAATTCTTCTTAGTTCGCGGTTACAACCCTCTGACTCCCCCCGATCTCCTTCAACACGAAATCTCCCAAACCCCCGAGTCCAAGAAGACCGTTCTACAAGGCCGTAATGAGACTGTGGCCATTGTTAACGGCACTGACGAGAAGAACCGATTGCTTGTCGTCATTGGTCCTTGTTCCATCCACGACCCTGCTGCCGCCCTGGCCTACTGCGACCTCCTCTTGAAGGAGAAGGAGAAGCACAAGGACGAGCTTCTCATCGTCATGCGATCTTACCTAGAGAAGCCCCGCACAACTGTTGGCTGGAAGGGTCTGATCAACGACCCTGATATTGATGGTAGCTTCCAGATCAACAAGGGTCTGCGAATCTCTCGCCAACTCTTTGTCGACCTTACTGCCAAGGGTATGCCCATTGCCAGTGAAATGCTGGACACTATCTCTCCCCAGTTCCTCGCCGATCTGCTCTCAGTGGGTGCCATTGGCGCCCGTACAACCGAGAGCCAGCTTCACCGTGAGCTTGCCAGTGGTCTGAGTTTCCCTGTGGGCTTCAAGAACGGAACTGATGGTTCTTTGAACGTCGCCATTGATGCCATTGGTGCAGCCCAGCACCCCCACCACTTCCTCTCCGTTACCAAGCCTGGCGTTGTCGCCATTGTTGGTACCGAGGGCAACAATGATTGCTTCGTCATCCTTCGCGGTGGCTCGAAGGGTACCAACTTCGATGCTGAGAGCATTGCCGCTGCTAAGGAGGCACTCAAGAAGAAGGGCGTGCGACAGCGAGTTATGGTCGACTGCAGTCACGGTAACTCTTCTAAAGACCACAAGAACCAGCCCAAGGTTGCTGCCGATATTGCCGGCCAGATCTCCAAGGGAGAGGAGGGTATCATGGGAGTCATGATTGAGAGTAACATCAATGAGGGTAAGTCATGGGCCACATCTTCCAACAGAATCAGCATCAGCTAACTCGTCAAAGGTAACCAAAAGGTTCCCCCTGAGGGCAAGTCGGGACTCAAGTATGGTGTAAGCATCACCGATGCTTGTATCAGCTGGGAAGACACTGTCTCGACACTCGATACTCTTGCGCAGGCCGTGAAGGCCCGCCGAGAACTCTCAAACGGAGCCTAAAGTCTGATTTCTACCACATCATGGGCATGTAATACGTTTAGCGCTCGATCCAAAACAAATTTTCTTGGGATTGGGGTTGCATATTGTTGCAAAAGCTCGCATATTTGATTCAAGGCTTGGAGTTTAATGGATTCTTGATTCAAAGGATAGATAAAAAAGCATAAGGCAAAAGGGCGAAATCTGGAAAGCAACAGACAATAAGAAGATATGAGATTATTTAACATGAAATAGCTGGGATTTCATTGCGTAAATCAGACATTTCCTTACTGGAGCGTATCACATACTGTCCCTGGCAAACGCGCACACTGTGATGGCCAAGTCGTTATGGTGCGGCGTTGTTGCTCCTGGTATCGTCTTATTGACACTGTGCTGCTAAGCTTCTAACTGGCGTTTTTTGAATAACGAGCAACCCAGGATCTCACATCCTAAATAATCACCAATCCGCTTACCAAAGATACTCGCAGTCCTTCCCGCATCTCAATCATCAACCAGCAGCTCGTTAGATTTCTCCGCTATTCAAATATCATCAATATCAATTAACCCCGCGCAATTCCCCTCAGCTTCATCGATAAGGAGACGCGCCTGAGCGTCCAGGTCGCGAATAATGGTACGCGACTACTCACCACCTGAGTCGCCGCTCTCATCGGTGGACGAGTCAGACCAATACGAAGAGGACGGCCATGAGTACGATGAATCAACACTGCGACCCTCGAAGCGCCAGCGACTCGAAGCCGGTTCAACTACATCTTCTGCTGTAGTTCCTGATGTCGAAGCCGAAGCGGTGCCTGAACCCGATCCCCTCGAGGGCATGTCCGATGTGTCATCGGATACCTCAGGCGATATCCCCAGTTCCCCGATCAATGCGCGCCTCGACGAAGAAGACTTCCAGGAACAAGTCACGAAATGCGACTGGGATGGTTGTCCAGCGGGCGACCAGGGCAACATGGACAAGCTGGTTGAACACATCCATAACTCGCATATTGAGAACCGACAGAAGAAGTATACCTGCGAATGGATGAGCTGTACTCGAAAGGGCCTACCGCATGCTAGTGGTTATGCTCTCAAGGCACACATGCGCAGCCATACAAGGGAGAAGCCTTTTTACTGCTACTTACCTGGTATAATCACCTCTGCGGATTTTTTTTTTGCGTAACATGCTAACTCGCTGCAGAATGCGACCGGTCTTTTACGCGAAGCGATGCACTGGCCAAACATATGCGTACGGTTCACGAGACAGAAGCACTCCGTCCATCTGACCCTGTTCCCAAGTCGATGCAAGCTGGGCCTCAGGGCAAGGGAGGCAAGATAAAAATCATCATGAAGACCAACCAACAATCGCAAGGCCCCCATGACGACATGGACGATGCTGCCAATGGCGATGAGTCCAACGCCGAGTACTTTACGCCATTGACACCAGATCTCTTCGCCCCTGATGAGCTTAAGCTTCCTGTTGACAAGCTGTACCGAAAGTGCCATTGGGAGAGTAAGTGGGCCGAGGAGATTGGAGATTCTCTTACGAAAGAGTGCAAGGAGTGGGAGGAAATCTACTACAAGGAGTGGCTCGAGAAGGAGGTGTTGCTTTCGCAGGTCATTAAGAGCGAGGTTAATTGGCATGAGCGACGACAGGCTATCCTTACGGGGGTTGTCGATGTTCACGTTCCTGGTGCTGTAGAGAGCGTCGAAGGCGAGAGAACAAACGGTGCGAACGCTGAAAGTGAAGGAGTTGCCAACGGGACAAAAGTGGCAGAGCTCACTGCGTAGGGAGATCTTTCACCAAGGAGCACCGATATCTTGACACCTCGGCGAAATCCACCCAGACATCGTCGGATACCTTGACCATGGCAGGTATAATTGCACGCTTTGCACCATAAAACTTTGCACCATAAAATATTTCACGGGAAGGGAGTTGAGGGAGTTGGGTTATGAGGAAATTGGGAGCTTACAATACACGGGTTCTGATTCCCAATACAGCTGACTAAATCATGATTTAATTATAAACGATACACATACTTGCCCCCGTAGCATGTTCTTACAAAGCCTTCTTCTTGGCCCGATACGATTGAGAGTTCTTGAAAGGGAATCCGCTTGTGCTCTGGTCAAACTTGTGGTACCGGCTCGTCATGGCTGTATCACCAGCAAACAACACACAGTACAATCCAAAGGTCGCAAAGACAGCACTTCCTACACAGCCCAGTAGAAACCCCGTTTCTCCAGTCCAGGAATAGCGACCGTAGCAGTAAAAGGCGCTCGAAGCGTGGTGGAGGGTGGATATGAGGACCGCAGCGGAAGCGTAGGGAGACGGCGCGCCTTCGGGGGCTTCTGTCATCGGGAGTTAGACAATGCGACTCTAAAAAGAGAGGAGTTTGCCACCTTTGGAAGAAGAATCGAGAGGAAGAACGCCTGAGAGAACCACTACGGTAAGGCCGAGCGCAAGAAGAGCGAGTCCTAAAGAGCGGCCAAAGTACGTTTCCAAAGCTTGAGAGTTGTTAGCCGATACGATAGCGAGCAGCTGTAGGAGAGCCCAACTGGTAGATGTCTCATTGCCAGGCCGAAGAAGAGACCCGACAAAGGAGGGCCAGGCAATAAGAGGAAGAGCTTGAGTGCTCAACCAGAGAAAGTTACCATAGGTGTATGAAGCGATGGCCTGGAAATTGTCAGTTGGTGAATTGAGAGCATGATAGTGAAAGCGCATACGCTCATTGTTCGAAGTGTGTATAAGTATAGTTTGAATGAAGATAAGCGAAAGGCGAAGTTACGACTTGGTCAAGGTGAAGCTATAATTGAAGATGCAGGTTGAAGCTGAAGCTGAAGCTCTAGAGCTGATCAATGTCTAGAGATCAGAGGCTTAGACCAAGCATCGACGTCACCATTAACAAGGTATGTGCCCCATCGCATCCGGCTGGCCTTCCATCATGGAACCCCACACCCCCGAACCGAGAGGCTAGACCAGTCTGTTAGTTGTACAATGGTTCGCCACCAAAATTTATAGAGCCGCTTCTGTCTGGTCCGATCTCGCTTGTCCACCGTCCCGCGGAGAGGCCCAGACTGTGGAGGCATTGCGAATCACAACGTTTTTATTGCCTATCTATTACTTTGGCACGGCCTGATACGCCGTCTTCGCCGTGTCCAGTCCTCCGAGGAGTTATACAAAACCAGGCCCATGTGTAAGCCAACCTGGGATTAAGTGACTCTCAGAAACATTTCATACCTTATCTCTGGGTTGAATTTGAGACCTTTTTGTTCTGATATCAGTATTTCTTCTCTTTAATCTTCCATTACTGCAAATCTTCAGGAAAAGACTGCAGGTTTATTTGTCAGCTAGTTTGCTCCAGTCACAATTACGTCCAAGTCTCCAGTTAAAAATTCCCGAGAGGCAACTTCCACTCCGACAAGAATATCCTACCATCGACAAGCTCTCACGCTTCCAACAAGGGCCTCCTCCTCTACCTCATACAATATCTCCCCAGAACAACCGGCGCTATGAGTGCCATTCTCTCTGCCGACGACCTCAACGACTTCATCTCTCCTGGCGTCGCTTGCATCAAACCCGTCGAGACTCTCCCCGCTGCCCCGCCCCCGCAACCACAATCTCTCGAGACCGAAGTTATACTTGACGGCCAACAGCCCGCTACGAATCCGAATGCGCCCGCTCAGATCTCCCTCACAGACTGTCTAGCCTGCTCTGGATGTGTTACATCTGCCGAGGCTGTCTTAGTGAGCCTCCAGAGCCATGCCGAAGTCCTCACAACCCTTGATTCGGCCCCAGCCTTGAAGTTGGTGACAGACGATAGTGGCAAGTTCAGAGTGGAAGGTCTAGAGGAGGAGAACGCAAAGCTCTTTGTTGTCAGCGTGAGCCCTCAAACAAGGGCCAACTTAGCGGCAGCATGTGGCGGAGGCGTGTCAGAGGGCGATGCAGGGCACATGTTGGACAACCTCTTCCGTGGTCCCTCGGGAATCGCCAGTGGCGGCAAATATCATAACGAGTTCACATGGGTGGTTGATACCAATACTGCAAGAGAGGCAACCCTCGTTCTTGGAGCAGATGAAGTTCTCGGCACCTCTCAGACCGAAACCGCAACCCCAGCCAAACCCATATTGGCCTCGTCCTGCCCCGGTTGGGTGTGCTATGCGGAAAAGACACATCCCCACGTTCTACCCCATATTTCAAAGGTGAAGTCGCCACAGGCCTTAATGGGCACATTACTAAAGACGACACTGAGCCGAACGCTGGGTATTGCACCTGGCCGTATCTGGCATCTGGCTGTTATGCCCTGCTTTGACAAGAAACTGGAGGCAAGTAGAGAGGAGTTGACCGAGGAGGTTTGGGCTGAAGGGGAGACCCGGGGACGAGGAGTTCGCGACGTTGACTGTGTCATCACAAGCAAGGAGATTCTCATGCTCGCCGAGTCAAGAGGTCTCAGCTTCTTCAATATCCCCAAGACACCACTGCAAAGCAAAAGTCTAACCCCATTCCCTGATCCAAAGCTCCACGAGTTTCTTTTCCCTCGTATGTGGACCGGAAATGCACCTCGCGAAGCCGGCACTTCAGGGGGTCTTCTATATCATATACTCAAGAGCCGGGCGGCGCAGACCCCTGGCGCAGAGATTGTGCATACACGTGGCCGCAACGTTGATGTTGCTGAGTACTCAATATTGGTGAATGGCGAGCCAGTCTTCCGTGCTGCCCGATATTATGGCTTCAGAAATATTCAAAATCTCGTTCGAAGACTAAAACCGGCCAGGCCGTCTCGAATGCCTGGTGGCAAGCCTTTTGGAAGTGCTCGAAAGCCTGCAGGCAAGGCCGCCTCTCTCGAGTATAGTTATGTTGAAGTCATGGCATGCCCTGGCGGCTGTACAAATGGCGGCGGCCAAATAAAAGTTGATGACCCTGTTGTCATGGAAAGAAAGAATTACTCCGGAAATCCAGGCCCTCAAGAGCAAAAGCTGTGGTTGTCAGAGGTCGACGAGGCATATTTCTCTGGAGACGAGGCGGGGACTGAAGTTTCCGTTGTTGAGACTGCCGAGACTATTGGTGGCATTTCCCACTCATATATAAATGATACCCTGGCGCATTGGGCGGAAGTTACAGGTATTGGCTTAGATAGACTGGCGTTTACGACATATCGTGAGGTTATTAGCAATGTTGGAAAGGATACAACGACGGATGAGACGGTGGTGCAGCTGGCCGGAAAGATTGGGGGTGGATGGTAGAAGCAAAGCATGTCGATAGAAATAATCAACTGCCCCTGTTGCCTCGATGAGCAAAGCCGAATCCTCCCCGGCCACTTCCGTCTGGTCCTTTTGGTGATCGAATTGGTGCCCGTGGTTGCAATTGCTGTTGCTGCTCATCTCGAGGAGTTACGCTCCTACCAGCGGATGAATAATCTGGCTGTCGTCTTTGAGGAGGCTGTTCAGGTTTTGAGCTGAAGTTGGGGTCAAATAGTTCGCGCCCTGAGCCTGACATGTTCTGCATTCTTCGTGGGGCATCAAATGCACGATTTTCAGGTTGACGGTTATCGATCTGTCGCGTGTCGTTGTTCCTGTATCCACCCCTTCCTCGGCCACGGCCGCGACCAGCGTATCCATCTACCTTCGGCGGGGTAACTGTGCCAGGTGATGAGGCTCCTGAAGATGGATTTGATTCTCCGAAGATCTTGGCTCTGGCTTCTTCGTATCGACGTTGCTTTTCTTCTCTGTCTCGCTTCTGCTTTGCTCGCACTTCTTCTGGACTCATCGGCACCTCCTTCTTTGTTTCATTATCGTCATCTAATGAGAGGCCAGACATCCCTGCTGTAGCATCGCGCTTAGCGATGATGGGTTTTCGGCTGAGCACTTTGACTTGTGGTTTGAACGGGGTTGTAAGAGGAACTCCCGAGTTTGAACCAGCCTCGACGTAGTGGAAGGTTTGTGGTGCGTCGCTGTTGTATACGACCCTCATGTTAGTGACACCCGGACATATTGCTGAGGTGGGAGGGCTTACGCAGATTCCCACAACTTGCGATTCTGCTCAGCATGCTGCGCCAGGCGCTCCGATTTGGATAAAGGCACTGGCTGTGTCGGCTGTTCAGGTTCACTGGCCATCTTGTCTGCCTGAGTCTCCCAATCGTCCTCCCAGGCGTCAGGGATCACTGTGGTATTCTTGCCCATGATGAAGAGCTTTTTCTTGTGCAAGGACCAATCTTGCTTATTGTGTATATGTCAACGCCGTCGTCTTCGTCGAGGGAAAAGATGCTTGACAGTGTTGTTGGAAATCGTGAAGTTGAGCATGGAGTTGAGGTTCAGCCAACAGTTGATGTTTGTTCAGTTGGGTAGGTTGGAAAAGAAAGAATGGGACAGGCTGATTGCTGGTGGGTTTTTGGTCAAGTTAGGCCCAAAAGCTGAGCTGAGCTGGCTTGAAATGGATTCACGACGTCAGGCACATGCATTCTTTCCTTATTTAGGTGTTTCTGCTTAAGGCCCTGAATCTAGGTAGGTAATAGAACTTGAAGCAGAAATGCTAAGACGAACAGAGAAATAAATAAAAATTGTATGTATGTACATTTTGTTATACAAGTGCCAAACCTCGTTTCTCTTCACAACTGTTTAAAGCTTGTGGTCTTGGAAAGATTGCGGGGTGGCTTGTCATCTTGGTGGGGTAATAACAGGTATAGGCTGGGCTGGACTGGTTTTGGCTGTTAATCTTGAAGTGCTGTTGTATCTGATCTGTTGTCGGTATATACGTAACACTGAAAACCAAGTTCTTGTCTTGTAATCATTTCCCCAAATACATTCCTACTTGGAACCGTTGTTAGAGGCCTTCCTTTCTAGCCCTTTACTGGCCTTTGATAGCCTTGATTTTGTGACCAAGACTCATTCTTATCCATTAGATATCTCCCCTATTGACCGCTTCAATGGCTGGCGGATTACGTTCATCACCCATTCCTCAACAAGAGATGGCCGACCGAGCCGCCAACACAAGCTCGAGGAGAAATGCAGAAGAAACCGAGACGTTGCGCTCAAAGCTAGTTGATCAGCATATCAGCATGCGTAAGCTTTTCGGCTCAAGAATCGTTTCTGGTGTAGTCATTGACAAGTCCTCTAGTAAACTATCCAGATCCCTTGAAGCCTCGAGCACCGCTTCAGGTTTACCCCCAAGGCATTACTCCAGAGATGGAAGCGAGGTGGCTTCAGATGTTGAAAAAGAACGGTGTATGAGTTTCTGAATGCCTGCTTGAGGGGGGTGGTCTCCCACAGCGGTATGTTCAGAGCAATCTATGAGTGAACGTATTGGGAAAGAAAATTCCCTCTTTCAACCACTGATGCTTAGTGTAACAATATATTATTCTGCTCCTCCTTATGATAGTAAATTATCTTTTAGTATTGAGTGACTTGTGATATTATTTCAACCCGCCCTTGAGACCCTTTATGCTGGGCACTTCCAATTTCTTTTGGCCATTTGCACTTACGAGTCTTGTTGGTTTGTTTGTATGATAATTTGAGTAATTGATCATCATAGGACATGCCCTGGCAGGATAATCAGTTACGTCAGGCACACAACCTATATCAGGCCTGAGCTAAAATATATCTACTAGTAGTTGACCGACTGAATAGGTTGTGAAGAGTCTCTCAGGAGTGTTTCACCATTTATATTCATAGTTGCCGTTTATTTACAATGCAGTAAAGAGAGCTCCCTTGAGGCGATGTGGTATCTTCCAAGTGCCTTGCCGTTTTCATTGTCACCAAAAGTGTATGTGATACATACTGGTTGAGCTTCATGGCCATCCAATACACAATATCGTCATTTATCATTCTCTGCTATGGAAATGTCAGGGATACACCAATCAATAGGATCTATTATGAAAACTCTGGAATACGGTCGGTGATATGCCGCGTAAATGTGATCAGCTCAGCCTGGATATAATAAGCTGATATTATGGCAGTGTCCCGGGCATGAGGCGCCATGCATTTCGGCTTACGGAACTAGTCATGCTTCATTGTGAACCCCTGGCATGCTTTACCAGTTCACTCGAGGCTAATGTTACTATGTTTCTCTGAAATTGTCACTAGCAAGTCGATGTGTCTGGTTTGAGGTGTCACAATCGGGATATTGCCCAATAGGGCAGGGGGTTGTAACACAACAGCCACATGGGAAGGTTGCAGCAAGAGCTGGAAGTCGATCAATCATCATACTAGGATCAGGCTTGTGATGACTTAGTTGGTCGATACAATAATGCAGACGAGAACACCAGACCCTGGTGAAGTCTCAGTTGTAAGTCAATCCGACGGCGGATGAGTTGAAGCATGCAACGCATCACAATTCCAGAGAAGCCATGGACAATAAACTAGGACCCATATTTTGCCCTATCAGATTCTGATATTGATTGAGAATAGATCATAATGGACGCGAACTTATGTCATCGAGGCAGGAGAATAAGGTCTCTTGTAGTACATGAGTATGCGCATCAAATCTAGGTTGAAAGACGTGAAACACGGCGCATATTGTCCTGAGTATACTGTGCTGTATGGAATTGGCACAAATGTAGTCTTGTATCTGAAACAAAATTTCAGTCAAGGCACTCAGATGACTCAAGCAGCAGATCAAAAGTCAATGTACCCTTGTTCAAGATAGTGGCAATAAAGTCATGTTGCAGTCGCTTACTTTGCTCCGGGCGTAACTATCTCACCTACTGACCACATGCAAATGCTGGGACTCCGTATCCGTATTGTCGGTTCACCAAAGATCCGGTGTAACACATTGTAGGCAACCAGATTAATGACCAATGATTGATGCTGAGGCCGATGTTGATGCAGCGAGGCTGAAAAGCAGGGTGAACCAGAGTACACGATGACCATGACTTGTGTTATCGGTCGGTTACCCTGGCAGGCCTGGGTTCTCGGGTTCTCTGGTTAGCTGGACTAGTACCTGATTAGTGTTGAGCAATCACAGAAAAGATCATGCATGCCATGGGCACGGCTGGGTCCTCTTAGGCCTCACGGGACGAGGAAGTCGCCCCGAGCCGAAAGGGACCATAAGCTTATGGGTTGCAAGGCAGTTCTTGGTACTCTGTGAAGATGTACTGGAATACCTTGACCCATCACGAGATGTTCATATTCCACTGATCAGCTGCAGCAGTGCTGGAGTTGAATAAGACCTTGTTAAGTTCTGGGCTTCTTGTGTTGTCTTGTGGTGGGGCTAAGGTCAACTCGGGATATGTTCCTTCGAAATGCGTGTTATTGGGTTATTATGATCAAAACCAGATATCATAAGGCTTCACCCGAAACCTCCACGGATCTCAGTGGCTCACTCTAGACTTATGACTGGTCATACTATTGAAACAGACACCGTACAATTCATGGTTGGCAAAGCGGTTAACAAATCGAGATATCAGACTATCAGCCAAGCCAATGCAGCACGCATGTTTCGCCAAGCCTTAGGTACCGCCGGTTGCTGATGTTGATGATGTGTAATATAAGAGGAGCATGCAATCATCTTGTTGAACCCCCGCCAGAAGTGAAAAGCCCCACCAGTCTGTGAGCGAGTGGTTGGAAGTTTGTTTCCTGTCGTCTCAGAAGACGGGAATTGCGATTGCAGATTTGCAAAGGGATCATCTCCTCCACTTGCCGGCCTATTGTTAGGTAGCCCTTCTGGTGTAAGTCGCAGCTCGATTCGAAATACGCACTCGCACTGTGGAGTGTCTATTGTAATCTGTGGATACGCCTCGGTAGGGTGTGTATCATGATTCAGTTGAAACCCGAACAACCTACCTTAACCAAACCAACTGGGAGTTTTGCATCTTCTAGAAGACACCGCTGTTTTGTCAGCAGCCAGAAGGTAACTTACGGTATCATGCCTGAATTCGCTGCCTTTTCAGGTTGTTGTCAAAGCCAAGTCGACAATATTGGCATGGTCCCATCAGCTCGTTTCCAGCAGCGCTGATGTCATGGACATTTCTTAATGCATCCACCTTCAGCTCCCTAGACCTATCTCCAATGCAGGCTTGACTGCAAACGTATCTTCAAACCCGTTATCGGTTCATCAAGAGGCGGGGTTATTTTCTCTGCAAGAACTAAGAGCCAAGAAGCCCGAACCTTTGGGCGGATGGCGCCGAGCCAACTTCAACAGGTCAGTGTCCAACTCAGTTCGTCCTGGTGGACGTTTGGGTTGTAAAGCCGAATACCGAAACACCAATGTATTCAGCCTCGCAGAGAAGACAGCAGAGGTCGCAACTGTAACACAAAGTCTAACGTAAGTTGCTGCTATTCGGATTTGAGCATTGAGTTTAAATCCAGAATAGTAGGTGATGTAAGCATTAAGGTACTTGAGGCTGCCTCTGATGACATGAACCGTAATCAAGTACCTGAATAATGAATAATCTTGCAACCTCTCTCTCCATACAAGTACTTCAGAGCTCTACAGCATCTCTTAACGACTACCGAGCCCTCTCAGGGGCTAAATTGTCTACTTTTGACTTGTTTGAATCTAGGTATCAATACTTGAATTTCAAGTTGAAAAGAAAACATAAGCTGCTGCGGCTTGTGAAGTACTCCAATCTCCCCTCCATCTTGCGCACTGTACTAACTTCAACACCCCCAAAGCCAGCGCCAGGTCACCCACGCCCACCTCACCTTGACCTTGCCCCAAAAAGACGTCTAATTATCATCTCCATCGCTTCTTTTGCTCGCGCCATCTCAATCTTTCCCCTCTCCCTTTTCTCAACAATAACCATCATATTTTCCGTCGGCTGCGCTTGAGTATCGTCTCTTATCGCGACTTCATCCTACCATCGACTCGAGCAACAATCCTTGGGCCACTGACGCCCAATCCGACAACGTTATACGATTCATCTCACGCAATATACCCGCTTCGCCCCTCTCTTCCTCCGCCGCAACAATTCGGCCCTGTTTTTAAGCCGCGGCAGCTTTAATAAAGCTCCTCGCCGCCAGCCATGACGGGCACTGAGACTTCCAATGCGGGAGGAGGTTTTGATCTGCTACGAAGAGCAACTCAAGCAATGATGTCTAGGTTCGTCAATGGTTTCTTCTTCTGTCATCTTTGAAGCTACTGTTTTGCCTTGCTTTTACTCTCTTCTGCGTGTTATTGCTATTACCATTTGGTGCCCTTTTCATCCTGTTTTTGGTGGGGACTCGAGATGGATATCCTGACCTCCAGCGATGTGGTGCTGCCATGCCCCTCACCAGGCGCAGTCAGTCGGTGGTGGCGACGATGACGGACTTGCAGCACTCGAGCTCAGTAGCTTCAGCGACGCCTGTTCCAGCCAGAGCTGCCATTGGATCCCTTGTTCTACGACACCGCCCATGGGAACCCACATCACCTCACACGGAAATGGAACCGCTGCTGGCACTTACAGCTGTTCACGCAGGACTGCATCCCACTATTGGGCCTTGTTGGGCTCTATCTAGTGGACAGCAGCCCTGTAACCGCACTGCAGGACGACGTCTCGCCTTTGCGTTGGCAGCCAGAGCATGGATTCCCCATAACAGCGGTCGAGCCTTTGCCCTGGTATTGTTGGCAAAGCCCGGCAACCATGGAAAACTCGACATTATAACAGAAGCTCGCAAATACCAATCAAGGCGTCGCCGTTCATTCGACTTCAGTTCGCCATCGCAGTGGAACCGAGCATTCGCCGCCGCCGTCTCGAAATCATCTTGCAGCCTTTAAAATTGGATACAGCCTGTTCCAAACGAGCAAAGAAGCACATGAGCAATCAATGGCTGCTGTGGCATTCGCATTCCCCTATGCAAGAGACAGGTCGTCTTTTAGTTACTTCTCTTTTTTTCCCCCTCTCATTACAAGGACCATGTTGCAACTTTGCAAGCTCAGGTCTGACTCGCTTCAACTGTGATTGGGCCCAATCCAAAGGCTGCCCAGCCTCGGAGTCAGTCCCTGCGTTCGGCCCCGCTATCAGCTTCAGTTTTCCACGTTTTGCTCCTGGTCCAAACAATTTTGGGCAAAAGCCCTCAGGCAAAAGGAAGCTTTTTGGACAAGCCTGACCCCGGCCGCAAAGCGAAGTTTTACTCGCGGGAAAGAATTGATCTCGTCATCGTCCTTTTTATTACATTCAAGTATTGAGCCTCCACTTGGTCCCTTCATAGTCCGTCTTACACGGCCGCTCTCGGCAAGGCCTCGCATCCCATCCTAATCTCTACTGCTCGCTCGCTGGTCCTGGCGCTTCTTCCGCATCCACACCGGCGCGAACACACCACTGGCTACCAAGAGTTCCAAAGTCCTTCCCATTCCGTGTTTTTCTCGTCATAGTCGCATCGTCAGAGTCCACCTCTTCTGTTATTGCCCATCTTCTCTGGTGGTCCCTCTCGGCCTTTGCCCTGTTTACCCTCTAGTTGACGCGCTTGGCAACCGTCATGAACTAGTGTTCCCACTTTGTTTTTTTTCCCCGCGCCGCTGCTTCGGCGTAGAAGCATTTATTCACTCACTGGAAATCTTTTACAAAAATGCATGGGGTTATTAACAAAAACGTCAGGTCTGCGGCAGACGAGGATGGCGCCGATCACATTGGTCTCGAAACTCCTCGATCCGGTGTAGCTACACCTCAACCCGATCTACAGGACAAACGCTTGCCAGGAATCATGAGCTACTTCGGCCAGGTTCGTAAATACCCTTCTACGCCTTCGTCAGATCCCAATTCGTCACAGAGTGATACCACTCTAGACCGAATTTCAGTTGTGCCCACTCCACCAGCCGGCCTGCAGTTGCAGGCACACACCGAAGGCTCTCCTCGCGGCTGTGAGTCCTCGGCTTTGGATCGTTCGCTTCTTCAACATGAGCGTCCTGGTTCCATGCCAAGTACCACTGAGCGGGATGAGCATAACCTTTCGGACCCCTACCCAACCCCACCCACTTCTCAGCCCTCGTCTTCGGGGGGTTCTATCTCCCAGGACATGATTTCTGCAGACTCAGGGGCGCATGGCAGGGCTACGGTCGAGCAAAAGTCTCTTACACAGCAGTCACAATTCAAGAAACCCACAGCCTCACCATTCACCACCACCCACTTTCAAACTTCCAATGACCCATCACTACCTGAACTTGACTCCTCCAAAAACACAGCACCTACCAAAGACTCCATTATTCCTTCGCATCCTGAGCCCAGTACAAGTTCAGGCGCCTGTTCAGCTGCTGCCCCCGGCAAGTGGCATTTTCTTAATGGACTCAAGGAGCTAACTCGTATGACGTTCAAGAGCGGCAACTCGACTCCTACTCGAGCAATGTCGGCTGCTCGACCATCTGGCTCCGATAGAGCCCCTTCCTCCGGGAGGACCAGTCATGACGGTGCTGAAGTCAGCGGTACTCAGACTCCAAGGAGTTCTGCCGGTGCCCAGGCGCCTGCCGCCAAGGGAAAGCTAACAATCAAGATCAATGAGGCTCGTGGGCTTAGGAAGAGTCGGGACCCTTATGTTGTTGTGGTTTTTCAGCGTAGTGAGCTCATTTCTGGGGGTCCTCACCACATCGATGAGGACGATAACCTCAGTGTCGAGCCACCTCCGGCAGCTGGTGGCATCCCTATCCAGCGATCAGGCAGTGACTCTGGGCGTCCCTTGGCTATTCCCATGAGGAGCAGGCAAAGCAGCAACACCAGCATTAATGACTACGGCTCGTTCCGTAACCGATCCGGAGGTCAGCTTACATTCACCAACCCAAAATGGGATGCCGAAGCCGAGTTGTAAGTTACCTTCTGTGGACAGTTGTGTCTGAGACTCACTACTGACACTGAGCAGCGACGTTGTGGACTATGATATGCTGGTCGATGTCTCAGTTTATGATCATGGAGCAACAGGCGATGAATTTCTCGGCCATGTTGATTTTCAGGCTAGCAAGGATCCTGGTGCCACCGTCCAGGGCTGGTTCCAGCTGCAGGGACATGCTGATACCATGGCAGAAAATGCGCCAACCGGTGAGATCTTCCTCGAGGCCATCTACCACAGAGCAGAGAGGAAGCAATTTGGCCCCACTGATTTCGAAATTCTTAAACTCATCGGCAAGGGCACTTTTGGTCAGGTGTATCAAGTGCGAAAAAAGGATACTCAGCGCATTTACGCTATGAAGGTTCTGCAGAAGAAGGTTATTGTGCAAAAGAAGGAAGTTGCCCATACCGTGGGAGAACGAAATATTCTGGTTCGGACCGCCATGTCCGACTCACCTTTCATCGTTGGTCTCAAGTTCTCTTTCCAGACACCATCAGAACTTTATCTCGTTACCGATTATATGTCTGGAGGTGAGCTATTTTGGCATCTACAGAAAGAGGGTCGGTTTGATGAGAAGCGAGCCAAGTTCTACATCGCCGAACTGATCTTGGCCATTCAGCACCTTCATAATAACGACATTGTATACCGGGACCTGAAGCCTGAGAACATCCTCTTGGATGCTAACGGACATATCGCCCTTTGTGACTTTGGTCTCTCCAAGGCCAATCTTACGAAGAACGACACTACCAACACTTTCTGTGGAACAACCGAATACCTTGCGCCTGAGGTTTTGCTAGACGAATCTGGCTACACCAAGATGGTGGACTTCTGGTCGCTTGGGGTTTTGGTCTTTGAGATGTGCTGCGGCTGGAGCCCATTCTATGCCGAAGATACGCAGCAAATGTATAAGAATATTGCCTTCGGCAAGGTGAGGTTTCCTCGAGATACCCTCTCTCAGGAAGGAAGGAATTTCGTCAAGGGACTCCTCAATAGAAACCCCAAGCACAGACTAGGTGCGACTGATGACGCCGAAGAACTGAAGAGACACCCCTTCTTTGCCGATGTGGATTGGACTCTTCTCTCCAAGAAGCTTATCACTCCACCTTTCAAACCCAAATTGAAGTCTGAGACAGACGTCTCATACTTCGATCCGGAATTCACGACCGCGTTGGATCAGAATGGCTCTCTGAACGAACGTGCTGCTGCGTTGGCCCGAGGCTATGCCGCTTCGACTCCTCTTTCTCCTTCTGTTCAGGCCAACTTCCAAGGCTTCACGTTTGTTGACGAAAGCGCATTAGATGATCATATGCGAGACCGAGCAGGACTCGTTGATGAAGATATGGATGATGGACAAAATCACAGGAACCGCGATAACGACGATTGGGACAATCTCGACGACATTGACCTCAGGAAGGCAAACCGGATGAGCGGGATCGTGAAGACTGGACATGATGAGCACATGGTGGGGGGTTCTCACTTTGACGTATAATGCGGCAACTCCTTTTTCCCGCACAGTATTATTCAAGTCAAGCTCCACGGCGTTTCAACCATGCTGGAGATTGATCTATCTCTACGTGTCATACAGAAAGCAAAAAGTAATATTTCGCAAAACCAAAAAACTCACCTCTTCCCCAGTTTTGCATGTGGGTTACGGATGTCTAATTTGTGGAATTATATGCATCGAGGTCGGCTGGTATTGCATTGCATTGGTCGTCGAGCTGTACGGGACTGATGGCGTTTTATGGTTGTGGAAAATGAGAAGAGAGAGAGAGAACGAGAAACAAAAAATAGGAGGATCAAGTCTATTTTGGTCGATCCCTCCGTTGGGGGCCATTTTCCTTATTTTGATTCCCAGCAATAACAGGAGGGCTATATGAGTAATGAAACGAGAATGCCACAGCTATTCTTGAAAGCTCCCTGAAGGGAAATCGGTCTCTTTCGTTTTATTCTAGACTTGTCCTTGTTGGATATAGTAGCCTATGGAAGAGTTCGAGCCCAGCCTGCCAGCCTTCTCCGTCTTGTGGTTGTCGATGACGTTGATTGCCACCTGACGTCGATAACCAAGAGCTAGTGCAGCATAGCTTAGAGGATGAATGATGTATGACATTGGATTATATGAGAGTATTCGGGGGAAGTTGAAGTCATATGGATACATCATTGATGTCAGAGGGCACACGAGGCTGATCGGCATAGGCCCTGCGACGTCAGGTCGGCAGCTTGAGAGGTAGACGCACGGTTAGTCAGATATCACCAGGAGATAGACATATTGTTTCGAGGTTTTACATGCAACGAAATATATATAGTCACTTGGAAATGATCGTTGTAACAAGTTGCGTGTGCTTCATTTGACGTTTGCATTTCGCAATTAGTTCCTACGGGCAACCGAAAAAAAGGCTGAATTTTAGGAAAATGTACACAGGATTCTTATCCCCAATCCACTTGCTTCTGCTTCTGCTTTCTCCTTGATCGCTCCGGCTGCTCTTCTCGGGGGTGAGTTGGTGTCAGCCTCCCTCTTTTTGCTATTCCCATGAAACGGCGGCTGGGCGGTGAGAAATGACCCCCAAAATGCGCTGCAGTCAGGATAGTCTATGTGTTCCCAAAGGTAATAAAAACGCTTTAGTGGTGAGCCTCATCCTCCTCCTCAGCCTCAAGCCAGTCGGCAACCTCGGGGGTACCGGACTGGGCAGAGCTGTCCTGGCCCTCAATCTCAACGGCCATGCTCTCGTACTCCTTCAGGTTGCCGGCGAGGTCGGTCTCCTCGGGGGAGGCAGGTGTCTTGGGGACGTTGAATGTCTGGACGTTGCCCTCAGCATCGGACTCCTTGACGGCGGGGATCTTGTAGGCCTTGAGCTCCTTCAGATAAAGCTCCTGGACGAAGTCGGCTGCGAAGGTATGATGTCAGCAATTGAACGTTGATTCGGTCAAATCATATTTAAGTTGATCGTATAACGGCTTGTCAATTTTTATGAGAGATGCGAGATTATATAGCCAAAAGTAATTCGAACCCTGATTGATATCTCGTTTTTGATGCTGGTTGTTTGGCGACGTCGGAGCTTAGGTGGAGTGCAGATTCGGGTATAGAAGGACAGGTCCGACCGGGAGAAATGGGCAATCGAGATGATGTATTCGCGACATCCAAAGGGATTGACCGAGAAGCATGGAGCAGCGTAGACAGAGTCTTACCTTTCCGGGAGACAGTGGGAGCAATGAAGCCCCTCACCTGAACGGCATTGGGTCTGGCGACACGAGAAACAGCCGCAACAGCGGAGCGAGCGCGCTATAAAACCATGAGTATTTTTATCGTCTAGGCCTGATTTTTGTTCTCACCGAAGCCCTGGAGAGTTGAATGAGCATTTTGAATGGCTGGTGGTGGCTCAATTGAGGGGATAACTCCGGGGGAGATGAGCGAGAGCGAGATCGAGGGCGAGGACGATTGAGGGTTTTGGGGGAAAAATCGTGAGAGGTTGCACTGGACCATGCGTCTTCGCCCCCGGTTAGAGCGGTTCGGCCTTGCTATCGTGGAGTTAATGCCTCAGGTTTGAGTAGGAAACTGGGTGGCTGCCGGAGCATCACGGAGCTGTCGCACGTGACCTTTGGGAGGTGTGATTGGCCAGGATTGATATATCTTGCATTGGACCCTCTCTGCTCCGGGTCTATTCACTTACACGGAGATCAGCCAGCATGGATTTTAATGCTCAATTTGTTCGAAAGAAAATATCCAACTACTGTAAACTGGTAGAGTCTTGCTTATTACCACACTCCTGTCGACAGCTCTTTCCAGTTGTCGCAGTTTTCTATATTCGAATATCAATTAAGCAACAGCTTCCAAAGCCTTATGCTAACCAGGTTGCACAACACAATGCTCACCAAAAATGTTTGATCTAATGATTTCATCCAGTCTATTGGTATGGTATATGCTAAGTCAAAAAATTTCAAGGTAACAAAAAAGAAGAAGAGAACGATTGACATCGCAGTTAAAACATCTTGCCGATTATCAGATCCAGTCCCAATGGACTGAAGATCTATGGTATCACAATTCACGAGTCCCGATATCCGAAACACCTTCTAAGCATTACAGCCCCACCATATTACTCCTCTTTTAGGTTGACGAGACAGTTTATCGTGCCTCCTCCTGAGACATCTGCGGAGAGATTTGCTTAGCACGAGAAGCGTTCCTTCGCCTCTCACCAATAAAGGCAGCAGCCAGGTAGAGGATGGCAGCGATACCGGCAATGACGGAGTATGCGATGATGTACGCAGTGGATGAGTTGGCAAGCTGAAGACCAAGGCCTCCGTTGACGATACCGATGATGATGAGAGCTCGGCCGAACCAGACGTGAACATGGCTGACAACTCCTCGCTTGCGGTGGCTCACAAAGTACCGGTGGTGCATGTAACCGAGGACAGGCTGCAGGGTCATCAAGGCACAAACAGCAGTGCCCATTCTTGTGTGAGCTTGTTTTCCCCACTAGATTCGCACGTTAGTACTGATAGACAGGTTCCGACGCGAGCGCATCTCAGGGAAGAACTTACGTAGCCACCATCACGAGCATATACGTATCCAAGGCCGAATCCAGCCCACATGAGGAGCAACATGACAACTTGCCAGCCCGCGTGGATGAGCCACTTTCCAAGCATGGGCATAAGGATGGCGCCCAGAGGATATCCAGCAATGAAGACAATCGACATGATGATGCCGTGAGCGCGCAGAACAGTTTTGCTGGGGCTGCCACTTCCGTTCTGTGTCACAGCACCGCCAGAGCTAGAACCAGAGTTTGAGTTGGTGTTTTCATTGCTGCCGGTGAATGGGTTGCTGTCAGAGCTCATCGTGGCTTTGGAAAAGTCAACGCTGAAGTCGGCATGGGTGTCGTGCTCAGAGATGCGCTCCTCCATGCTTGTCGAGTCCAGGGAATTTCCATTCTTCCAAGCTGCGATCCACGAGCTCGTGCCCTTGAGACTAAGGTCAACACAGTTGTTGCATCGAATGTTGGCGATCATCTGGTTGTCCTTGATTCCGGAACCGTCGAGGAGCTCGAGTCCGCTTCGCTTCGTGTACTGGGGCATGACCTCGCCGACACCTCTCCTTGGGCTCAGGGTGACATTGCCGTTGCCGTCTTGGTAAATGATGAACATGTTGGATCCAGCCATTTGGGATCCAGTGCCTAGTCCTGCCCATTGTGCGGATGTTGGTGCCTTGATCTGGAAGTAAAAGCTGCCAGATCCCGCGCTTGCAGAAGCCTCGGGGATACCCCAACGGAAACAGACGTTGCCATTGTCCGGGCAGAAAGAGGATGTGACAGCGAGTGCACTGCTGGCAGCAGCTGAAGGAGGACTGTTAGTTGGATGGGAGAGATGCGTTGAGTTGACGGGGACGACTTACAAAGCACCGCTAATGATGCGCTGAAAGTTGACTTCATGGTATTATTTGGAATGAAACAGAGACAGGTGAAGTGAAGAGAAGGGAATTATTTTTTACTGCGAGTGAGGAGATAGAAATCTTACATGAGGGGACAATGAAAGCACTAAATATAATAAGCACAAACAAAGCACAGCTGGAGATAGACCAGGGGGGCATTCCTATATTGAGACGATCGTCCACTGGGCTACAGACGCTACGCGCCGCAAAGCCACGGCAGTGCTGTGGGATACAAAGCCTGGTGCCGGTGGTACGGGGCGATTTACAAAGTCGAATACTACCAAGGAGACCCGGCAGATGACATTACAAGTGCCGCCATTAGTTAGCCTGGCTCAAAGGGACGGATCCCTTGAGCCCAAGGCTTGGACCCAAGGGAAGGGATCGATGTTGTCGTCAGCTCTTTTGTCGGATCCGCCCTGGTTAATCCTTGTCAAGCATGAGATGAAGGTATTAACTTAAGGTTTCGCTCACACTGCCACAGCCCAGACAGTTATCCATGCTATCCACGCCAGTGAATAGACTTAAGCCATCGAGGGTTTCAGTGCCGAGATGGCGGCAGTTTGCCCGCTTAGAGGCTTCAGGGCACAATCACGACGCCGGAACGATTGGTTAACGACACATTTCTTTCAGTCGAGGCATCATGATGTTGAAACTGTCGCCGTTGGGAAGGTGTGTGTTCGTGTGCCTTTCTATCCGTTGTCCGAATAAGAGGGGGAGGCCTCCTCTGTTTCAGTAAACCTCTTGGTGTTCGAACACGCGCTCAATTGCTCGATATGATGCATGCCCAGCCTGCCAGTGCATATGTACAGCAAGGACTCAATCACTGAAAAAGGCTGTGATAACACGCTTGCAAGGACTGGAAGAAATGGCGGCCGACCCCTACAGGGATATCTCTGCAGGTGAGATCTGGGCTGTCGGGAAGACTCTCTTCTTTGACTAGGCGCCCAAATCAGGCAAAAGATCTGATTATGCTTCTCTCTCAGGTAGATTGGTCAATCCGACAACAGACAGCCATCCCACGGCAGCAGCGTTATCCCACGTGGAGTACCGAGGTTTCAACGCGTGAATAGCCTCAGAGGTCCACGTCAGAGTCTACCATTGGCAGTATCGTATTTTGTTTGATGAGGTCACATCAACAGTTCTCTCCTCTCCCATTCCCCCAGGCCCACGGCTACCCCCAAAACGGGTACTATAACCAAGCTTCAGCCCAATGACATTATCCCAATTTGCAACACGACGCTACAAGGGTCTGGAACTCTCCTCCAAGTCTGATCAGTACTTCTTTCTTAGCCTCATGAATACGTCAGCTCTTTCAACCCAAAGCTTATTCTCTACTCTAATTCTCTCCGAATAAGGCTATGGACCTTAATCTTTTCGTACTAGGGTTCTTGGAGGTTTGATTATTCGATCATCACAAAGCAGCTTCATCGATGATGCCAAGAAACGCAGATGCAGTCTGATAGTATCGTCTCAGTCGATGGCATGCAATAGTCTACGCCTCGTACATGATGATTGCGCGGCCCCATTTCATGTTGCAGTTGCACTCTGGACGATCAGACTAAGTCAGGACTCAACTCTACAAAGCCTATTCATGCAGTCTGTCACTGTTATCGTGGCCTGACGTGATGATCGAGCCGATCTTCAGTCTGTGACGCATTCGTTTAATCTTGTAGATATTGGTGTTGTAGTTGTCACCCATCGATGCAACTTATTCCTGCGATAAGCTCAGTCTTCAAAGCCGGCACGGCGACTATTCCTAGTTGAAGACGCGTAAGGCGCCAATATAGCAACTCAGACAAACCCGCTCAAGTGTCTCATTCTCACCCTTCTGCATGTTATTCCCGATTATGTGAGATCATGTTCTTCCGTCGTCAATTTCCCCGTGTCTTTGACTGACAACCTAATCATCACAACTGCATTACTCGCCCAAATACGAAGTCACGGTCATGCTCTTACAACCCAACAAACACCAGCCTGACGGCTAAGCCCCCGGCTAATCATAGCCCCAATCCGTTATTTGTCACTTGCCCCGGCTGTTTGCACGTTTCGGGCAGTTATTAACACCCTAGTCGATGGCAAGGATCAAGTATAGAAACGAAAACTCTATTGAAATCTACAATTCGAACGGTACTACCAGACTGACTTAACAGATACTACAGTACCTTCCAACGGCCATTGAGGCCCTGTCTTTGTTGTAGCTGCTCTTTCTGTAGGTAACGCAAAACCGCACCAATCAATACGCAAGCATCTTGAATAACACCAATGCCTCTCAATCAACTCCCCTTCCCCTGTCTTTATAGTCTATAGTCACCATTTCTCTCCTCCCGACAGTAAACGATCAGGTCTGGGCAAAAGCCGCGAATCGATCTTCATTCAACAGGCTTGAAGATGCAACAAAACTAAATCCTCCAAAGAGCTCATCCTTAGGGAGACTTCGAGGCCATGCCTCCTTGTTTGGTAGCACCGGGCTGATGGACAGCTCTGTAAACTCTGGGGCGAAGTTCTCGGCTAGCTCAGGGTCCGTGATCATGGGCTGAATCGGTGGCTCAAGCTCGCGCTCCGCCAGCTTCTTCCAGTCAATCTTGCGGAAGAACCGGTGTTTCTTCATCGTCGCCAGATCCTTGGGCATCACGGCACCGAGACGCTTGCTGGGGTCCTTGCGAAGAAGTCGGGTGAGTAGGTCTTTAGCATCAGGGCTCAGGAAGTAAGGAAGAACCAGCTTCTGCTTGACGATGTTGTCTTGGATCTTGGCGTGATTTTGGCCACGGAAAGGTGGGTTTCCGGTCATCAGGTCGTATCCGAGGGCTCCAAACGACCACCAGTCGACTGCCTTTCCATACTTCTTTCCAAGGACCACCTCGGGCGCCATGTACTCGACAGTTCCCAGCATCGAGTTGCAGCTCTCATTCTGGTCGACCGAGACCTTGGAAAGACCAAAGTCAGTCAGGAGGAGATGGCCTTCAGCGTCTAGAAGGCAGTTCTCCGGCTTGAGATCGCGGTAGACCACGCCGAGATCGTTGTGAAGGTGAGAGATGGCTAGAAGCATCTCCGCCATGTAGAATGCGGCCACATCCTCCGAGAACATCTTCTCGGTGTTGAGATGGGTGAAGAGCTCACCGCCCTGTCCGTATTCAAGAATGAGGTATAGTTGCTCTTGGTCTTGGAAGGCGTAGAACAGCTTGACAACAAATGGATGTCTGTTGACGGACTCGAGAATCTGTCGCTCAGTCTTGGTCTGCTCAACGAGCTTCTTGTGGACGACAAGCGAGGCCTTCTTGAATTGTTTCTGGGCGTAGAGTCTTCCAGTCGCGCGTTGCTTGACGAGTAATACAGTGCCATAGGTACCCTTGCCAAGACATCGCAGCTGTTCAAAGTCCTCCGACGTCATCTTACGGTTTGGCGCAAGGCCGCCCTCTAGGGTTTCGAGATATCCACTACGCTCTCGAACACTCTCACTAGCAAAATCGTGCTCGAGGTTAACCTCGTAACTAATAGAGCTGTCTGAAATCTCGCTACCAGCCTCGCTGCGAACATCCTCTCGACTCTGCGTACGGCTGATCATTTGCTTTCGAAACTCAAGCGCCAGTCCTTGTTGACTTCCAGCACGACTCATGGAGTGGCATGGGGACCCTCCATCGAGGCTCAGAGGCTCCATCTGCATGCGCAGTTTGGCGATGCCCGACATGGCGGGCGAGGGATGGGCGCGGAAGGTAGGGCTGCAGTTGGCACTCACGACATCGTTGATGATGAGGTTTCGGCCGGGAGTCTTGCGCCGCGGAGTAGGGGCCTCGCTGTGTCCGTGGTCGGAGTCCTCGTCGCCCGAAGTAGCAGGTGTAGTCTGGAATCCGCGGACGGTGGTGACCGCGGCAGGTGCCTGGCTTATCATGGTGGGCGGTATTTAAAGTGGTAGTCTGAGTTTCGGGGGTTAAGGAACGGCACGATTATGCTCTGATAACTACACCACGCAGCACTCGCCCAGCTCAGACAGTGGACAAGTGCAGATAGTCGTGCTATTCAAGGGAATCCTCGTCGGCGCTCCGGATCTGCGCGGGGCTGTGATTCGAAGTGACGCTCGATCTCGTAGAAGTTCGCGACACGCATCTGGTATCGGAAGAAAGAAGTACGGAAGACGGCAGGCTTTGCTATATGCATTTGGCAGCGGATAGGTGTCGTGGGTATGTCGAACTGGTGTTCACCAAGTGTGGTGTGAGGGAAAGAAGAGAGAGGGAAAGGACAAAGAACGGGTCCTTCCAGTATTAAATCAAGTAAGAAAAATAAAACAAGGATTTTTTGGTGGCCATAGCCCTGCGCCCATTTCAGCAGGTGCGCTGTAACTCCGCGATTTTTTAGGCTTTTTTTAGGCGGTTTTGCATTGGCTGCATATGATTCAGCCCGCCTTGGTATCGGCTGGGCCGTCGCCTTCAATGAAACCCCCTGTCCTCATAGCCCGAGCGTCCACTTGGAACGCGGGGAGGAATTAAAGGCTCGGGGGGCCTAGTCAGCGGGTGTTGCAAACCACCACTCAAGTTTGGGTATTATACATAAGATAAACCCCTGAGACTAACACAACACATGACAGGTCAGGGGATGCACTGCATCAAGACTGTCGAACCTGGCTGCTGGAATCCGGAATTCATTAGTTCGAGTCGAAGCCTAAGACATGGACCGTGAGACTTGAGAGTAACAAACATTGTCGCATTAACCATAATTATATTTGCCCCTTTTTGTTTAATTTGTGGCTGTAGAGCATAGACTTGTTGCTCCCTTGACTGGTTCTGTGCTATCCACAGGAGCCAGCGAACAAACCTCGAACGTGACCCTTTCTCATTCGTCTGCCAGATTCTGTTCTTCATGTCAGCATCACAAGGCATGAAAGGTGACCGAGAGTCTTGAGACACTGACATCACCAATAACCTGACAGGCCTGGGCCATGCGGTGATCGATCCCGCAAAAAGCGAATGGTTGGTCTTCGTTAAACTTTTAGCTTGTGATTCTTGACGGCCCATTAAACATTGGATCCTAACACCTCGCCAAGACCAGGGTGAGAAATACATAGGACTCAGGTAAGTTTTTAACCTAACCTCCCAACTATCTTTAAAAGTAGAATAACATAGAAGAAAAATGAATTATGTATTATAAGAATTAGTGCCTTTTTCATTCGTTCATTCGTTGGTTCTTTTAATAGTGATATTCTTCTTTTTTCTTTTCTTTTCTTTTTTAAAATACATTTTTGTCATAAATTACTCCCAGGCTGATCTCCTGTCTCTTAGGCCTGGGCCATAGTCGGCCACCGGCGAAATAAACTGCCGACACAATACGAGAGCTTCAAGGTCGCGTCTGGGAAATTTCACGTCTACCAATCCAAGAGCGCGCGCAAAACGGCAAGGCTGCAACTACCATAGCATCAGCCCTCGACTGACAAAATTCGATATCTCCCTTTTCAACTGTTGAAAAAGAAAAGAAAGACCCCTGTACAACGACAACCATTGTCAAACTCTTCACTGCTTGTGCACAAGCGAAGCTATCATTTACCCACGTTTGGTCATCTCCAGCCAAGATGATGCACCCATCGCGGCAGGCGTACGTCGAGGACGCCGAGCCTCAAGGAATCGCATTGGAAGATGTCCCCGATGACCATGACTACGATATTCCAATGGGCGGAACAGGTGTTCCATCTGAAAAAGCTTCCGCCATCCTCAGCCAATTCAATCGCAAACGCCTAGCAGCAACGATAGCAGTCCCTACCGATGATACTCGAGTCCGCGCAAAGCTTCGAGAGATGGGTGAACCAGTCACTCTATTCGGAGAGGCACTTGTGGATCGTCGGGATCGATTACGGGAACTTCTTACCATCCAGGCGGAGATGACAGGGTTGGAAAATGGTGATATCACGATGGAGGACGCTGGAGACCAGGATCAAGAGGAGGAGCAGGAGGAGGAGTTCTACTCAAGAGGTGGGCCTGAACTTCTACAGGCGCGGTTAAAGCTTGCTGAATACTCTCTGCCGCGAGCCAAGAAGAGAGTTCAATTTCAAAAAGCTGAATCCACGATCCCTCTACGCACCCAAGTCAAGTTTCGCAAACAAGTCAAGGAGAGATTACAGGCATTCGAGCTCCAGGGCAGTCAGACGGTTGGCGAACGTCATGTCAGCATGACTCGCATATCTCCCAACGGCGAGTTGGTCGCTGTAGGCAACTGGGGTGGGCAAGTCAAGCTGGTCGAAATACCAAGCTTGAACCAAAAGACAACCTTCCGCGGTCACACCAACAAGATTAGCGGCTTATCTTGGTTTCCTGGATCTACCCTACCAGAACACAATGTTTCGCCTGGCACCGTTAACCTGGCGTCAGGCGGTGCCGAGGGCTCGATTCATTTATGGTCCCTGAACCAAGATACTCCCCTGTCCACACTCGAAGGACATTCACAGCGAGTGTGTCGTATCGAGTTCCATCCCTCTGGACGTTATCTGGCCTCTGCTTCTGAGGATACTTCATGGCGTCTCTGGGATGTTGAAACAACTGCAGAGGTTCTCCTTCAAGAAGGTCACTCAAGAGGTGTCTACGCTGTCAGTTTTAACACTGACGGATCCTTACTCGCGAGTGCTGGTCTGGACAGCATAGGTAGAATCTGGGACTTGCGTTCCGGACGTACCGTCATGATCCTGGATGGGCATCTTGACGGACACATAAAGCCCATCCATGCGCTGGACTGGAGTTCTGATGGACACAGGGTACTATCTGGCTCAGCTGATGGTTGGATCAAGTGTTGGGATGTTCGAAAGGTGCAAAGGACAGGCGGTATTGGTGCGCACACCAGTGCTGTCTCTGATATGCGTTGGTTCAAAGGTCTCGACGATCCTCTCACTGGTGTTCCACCTGGTGTTGATGATAAGGGCGCACAGCTACCTAAAAAGTCGGGCACCTTCTTCGTATCAAGCGGCTTTGACAGAAATGTCAAGATCTTCTCGGCAGACGACTGGACACTGGTGCAGACGCTCAGCGGCCATACAGGCCCAGTTGCCAGCGTCGACTATAGCAGGGACGGCAAGTGGATTGTCAGTGGAGGCCACGATCGCACAGTCAAACTATGGGGTCGCAACGATGGCGAGGGAGTCTAACGTTAGGGTATTGCTGACGAAGAATAGATCTGGGTAGAATGAGACAAACAAAAGCTACTATGAGATACCCCAAAAAATTCATAATAATAGGTAGCCCGAATAAATAAAAAACGAAGAATGAACAATCAAGCAAGCGCCAATAGTCAACAATCATCCAAAACGGGCCTTTTCCTATTCATCCAAAGTGGGGGGTTCCTATTGTTTCATCCGTTGAATTGAGTGTTACAATCACCCATTGGAGGATCATGTGCCCACCCTCCTGTGATTAGATAACGCTACCCAAATTCGGTTCTAGTTTGTTGCCCCTGCTGTCAAACGCCAACTTCCTTAGATCAGGTTCCTTGCAGTGCCGGCTAACTTGGACTTCGCATCACTTTCAACTTCGCAGCTACGTGCGTTGATCATTGGCACCGCCACCTTTCAGACCGACGCAATCCTCTCCTAGGAGCCATTTCCTTATCAGCGCTTCAAGTATCGTTATCCCGATTTAAGACCACCGGCCATGGCGAGTATCGATCGCTACAGGCCTCCCAGGGAAGGGTATCAGCCCCCGAACCTACCCGCAAACCCACGACCTGAACGGGATTCGAGATCACGATCTCCCCGGCGTCGCGATGCCGTTCCTCCAGCAGTTCCAACTCCTCCGCAGCACTCAACACGAACATCTCCCCCCCGACCACAAGCCCGACAACCCCAAGAATCACCGGCCCGATCTGGTGCGCAAACTCCAGTAGCTAGTCTCAACCAATGGAACTTTACGTCGGACGAAGTGCGAAGCACACCTAGCATAGTCGAGGGTCTTTCGCTGGCGGAAGAGAGGATGCGCAGGGCCAAGGGCGTCAACTTCATCTACCAGGCGGGCGTCATGTTGGATCTCCCTCAGATTACGCTGTGGGTAGCTGGAGTATTCTTCCATCGCTTTTTCATGCGCTGCCACATGGTGCAAGAAAAGGGTGGAATTCATCATTACGTGAGTTCTCCCGCTTGATCTTACAATTCCAACATCTCTCTGGAGCAGTGGAAGACTGCTCTTAACTGAGCAGCATGCAATTCTTTTCTATATGCTAACCTCTGCAATCAAGAACATCGCAGCAACAGCCCTCTTTCTAGCCAACAAGACCGAAGAGAACTGCCGCAAGACAAAGGACATCATTATCGCCGTAGCCAAAGTTGCACAAAAGAACGCGAAGCTCATTATTGACGAGCAGAGCAAAGAGTACTGGAGATGGCGAGACAGTATTCTCACATACGAAGAGGTCATGCTAGAACAACTCACTTTTGATCTGATGGTCGACAACCCCTACCACCACTTATTCAAGTTACTCGATCAGCTTGGAATAGTTCATAACAAGAATCTACGGCAAGCGGCCTGGGCTTTTTGCAACGATGCTTGCCTCACGTCGATCCCTCTGTTGATAGGACCTCGAGACGTTGCCATCAGCGCCATCTTCTTTGCGAGCATATATGCGAACCAACAAATCGAGGACATCAATGGCGAGCCCTGGTGGAAGCTCCTCAAGGGTGACGAAGTCCTTTGTTCTCAGGCTATCGAGGTGATGCGCCAGTTTTACACGGAGAATCCGCTTAGAAAGCAGAACCCGTCGCTGCCATCACCAGCATTCCATCTCGAGAACACCAGAAAACGTGGTGATACTCTGTTGAGCCAACCAGACACATTGTCGTCAACGACCGGTACCCCCTTTGAAGTTGACCGGGCGAGTCGCAGCCCTGGTGTAAGCTCTAAAGTCAACGGCGCTGCTCAGGATGGTGAAGGGCGATACCCAGAGAGAGATGAGGGTTCTCAGCCTCGGCATGACGAGAACGGAAGACCCCCCAGGTCACCACTCAAGCGAAGAGAGCCTGACGATGGCGAGGAACAGAGCGACAGAGCGGAGAAACGAGCTAAACTCTCAGAAGATGAAGAGGGAGAACTAGTTGAAGATTGATACCAAGGTTGCGGTTCGTATGCAACACAACACAACAATACAATATTTGTAGAGTACGGGACAAAGAGGCGTTATAGGTTTCCTTGAGTTCGTGAGTGACACCCGCTCGCGTGAGAAGGTTGATAGGTATTTACGCATGGCAAAGGCTGGATCTGGTCGAGCAGGTAAGCGTTCGGGAGGATGCTCCCAGGATACGGCGTTTGGATGTAGGTAGTAGACGTGCTCTGCTACTGTACTTAGTTTTAGCTCATGATCGAGGATATATTTCGGAGGAAGTTGTTAGATAGCGGCAGACGACGCCAATTCAAGTACAGAATCGAAAAGAAACCATGCATATTTCCTCGTATTTGTGACTAAGAACAGCACTTGTATCTCCTGTATATTTAATGTGTGCCCTCGTAGGTATCCTAGGGATCGAGAACCACGAGTGGTCGCGGTTGGTGTTGGTAGATTGAATTGGTCCATAACTTCCTTTTTCCCACTTAATCAGGAATTTGTCGATTTTCCAGATCCAACATATTATCTGGTTCATTCCCAGCCCCTTTCTCCTTCTTTTCTATTATTATTATAAAAGTAAATATAAAGTAAGACTCCTTTAGGACATTTTGTACTACACCTTTCGGATATGCCGACGAGAACTCTTGAGTGGTAGGACCTTGACGAGCTTCTGATATCTGCCAGTTCTCTTCCTTTGAACCCATTGTTTCAAGATTCTCTCAACCTTCCCGTGCACGTAGCTGCCTCAGTCATTCCTCGTCCCCGACCCAAGTGCTCGCTTGCTGCCTGCGCTGCACTGAACTGAACTGAACGCAGCGGAACCTCAGGCTTCCCCAGAAATTCTGCCAATCAGCTCCACTCACCGCCTTTAGGCTCCTCTATAAAATCTCGTCGCGTCCCGTTCAAGCTTCGCTTTCTTCTTTTCCTTTTCTCCTTAGCTCTCTTTGCCTTTTGGCTTAGATCAAGTGTAGTATCTGTTCTTTTCAGTTTAATCTCTGAAAGATGTCTAAGGACATCAATCGTGATTATTCCTATTTTTGGCTTTCGGGCAGTTTCCTCTGTGCTTGCACATGATTCTGCCCACAGTGTCCCTGGTATTACACTGCCTCCAGGTGACGCGAACACTACATGGGCTCGGTTTTTCATTGCTTGCTCGGGCTTGTCCTGGGTAGTGAAGAAGACATTTTTCTGAATGACGCTGCAATGGATGAGACATCGCTGTGTGATGTTTCAGGTCCTTGTGCATACTGGGGTGAAGGGCTGTCGGAAGAGATGATGTTCAATCACGATCTTTTGGCTACGCTCGTAAGGAGTGCCTCCACTGCTGAACGATGTTCCCGTGCTCCTCTATCCATCTTGCTTATATGGAAGCAGTACTCAACTGCTGGAGGCCATCATCTGCAGGTTTCATTTAGGGTAGATTTTCTCGTTTGTGGCGTTCGTGATGCGAGCAAATGTAGCAGGCGGTAGTTCAATATTTAGTATGTTTCCCGCTACTAAATACACCCGTCGTTGACCTGTGATCTTGCTTGTGCTGCGGTTTCCTACGACTTCTGTATTCGTTGCTTTCTGCATGGCTTCCCACATACCTAGGATAGAGGTTGGTACTCCCACCATGAAATCCAAAGTGTGTTTGTTCCTCGGAAGTAAAGCGGTGCTTAAATCGACCAAGTTTGAATGATTGGATAGTAATATAGAGACGCAAAACCCAACATCAAGCATTGAAAACCATAACAAACATCACATATCCGCCGCCAATATCCGGCATCACAACTTTGTCGTGTGCTTTGGTCGTAGAAGTAGTCCCGATTAGGTCTAGTGCCTATGCTCTGAAAGCTCGTCCCAAAAGTCCACCACAGACACCCACATTGACTGTCGAAACAGCTTCAACTGATACCCACTGAACGAGTCCAGTAATTCCCTTCAGCGCACTTCGACCTCTATAACTAGCCAATATCCTTTAATACCACATCCAGAATCCAAGCACGATATCGCTGAGGAGATTCAGACGTCATGGCTACACTCGGTGGATATCTCAACAGTAAGACACCCCTCCCGAGATCTACTACCTACCTCACCAGCTTGCTAATACAGACCACAGAGAAAGTCCTGATTGTTACAGCCGATTCGCGTATTCTTGTCGGAACTCTGGCAGCATGCGACCAAACAACTAATCTGGTGAGTACCCTCCTACTTATCTTGACCATACAAACGCTCACGGCATGTGCCCAGGTCTTGAACAACGCCGTGGAACGAATCATCCGAACGCCCGACGATCTTGAGCCTTCCGCTCAGGTACCTTTGGGTCTATACCTCGTCCGTGGCGACAACGTATGCTCGATTGGTCTCGTAGATGAGGCGCTCGACGACAGCATCAACTGGACAGAAGTCAAGGGTTCAGCAATCGGCGGTATAAAACATGTATAGACTACACACTCGAAACATCGGAAAGCGGTCCGTACTGCGACATTTTCTCTCGTATTATTCTGTTTGGGGTACAGCATCCACGGCTGGAGGTTCGGGAATCTCTTTTCCCGCGGCATCGATAGGATCACAAGGCGTTCGAGTTCAGGGAGTTTAGACAATTCATCTTGGCCTTCGCCACGGTATAGGCTTTCAACAATTGGAGATAATTTATTTGACTATTTAAGCTGACGCAAGATCGACAACCTGGACTCTATCCAAAGATGCGCTGCATGAGCACTTCCTTGAAGATGTCATGTCCGGGAGAGTCGATCACACGGTTGAGACGGTTACCCTTGAGAACACTCAGCCAACCGTGGTCGTCACCAGGGACCTCATCGAGAGTCAAGATATGGGGGTCCTCATTAGGGTTTTCTGAGAGGGCGACTGCGGCTTCGGCAGGCTTCTTTCTGAATCTGCGATCAACAACATGCATTCCATGTGTCCATTGACCGCTGGTCTCTACACGGATGTCCTCCAGTTTCTCGGGTGTCTTCCACTTAGGATCATCTCGAGTCAGCATATACCATACCGTCAGAGGGTCGTGCAACGAAAGACCGGGCTCGTTTTCATCCCCCTCCATATCCTCGATCTTGCTGAAGGATTTAGTGACAAAGTGTGACACCCACCGAGCAAGTGGGCTGCCAGCTTCGACGTGAGCCTGGATGTTCTCCTTGAAGTAATTCTTGCCAATCAAGTGAGGGGTAGTAATATCGAGGGGGCAAAGTGTGAGCTTAAGCTGGCGGGAAAGTTTGGTTGGGTACGCTTTCAAAGTTGAAAGCTCCTGGGGAATAGTCGGCATCGTGGAGCTCGGCTTAGGGGAGGTGAGTGCGTAAACCCGAGCAGCAGCGACAGCATCGGCGTAGCAGTTGAATTCAGCCACGGGAGTACAGTTTCCCTCAACATTTACCGCACCGCCCATGACGACAAGCTCCTTCACACGAAGGAAAGTCTCGGGATCTTCTGCGGCTGCTAAGGCAACATTGGTAAGAGGACCAACTGCAAGGATGGAGACGGTGTCCATGGGGTTCTCTTTGAGGATCCGGAGAATCTCATGGTGAGAAGGCGCCTTGGATGGCGTAAAGAAAGGAGAATAGTCTCCGGCTTCGTTGGCGCCATCACTAAAGATGCCTTTCCAGGTTTCAGCGGGAGACAAATCAGGATGAGCTTCATGAACATTATGCAAGCCATCTATGCCGTCTACAGAAATCCAGGTATTAGTAAAGGGAACGGATTATCAAAGCAGCTACTGAACTTACGGAAGTAATCCGCCATCAGCTCTTCGTCGCAAAGGGGATGGTCAGGGCCAACAGCCACGATAGGCTTGTTTGCCTTCATGGCTCCAAAGCCTTCGGGCTTGCCAGTGGACTTCCTCCACTCAAGTTCTTTCCCAAGCACGTGGAAGAGAGAAACAACGTTTCGGAGACAGCTGAGAAGGTTCTTAGTGTTGGTTCATGGTAGTGAATAGAATTCAAATATATATTTACCTTTGGAGGGGGACATTGCCGTATGTGACGGACACCATAAGAACCTCAAGTTCCTCCGGTTTGGCACTGAGTGCAAGAAGCAGAGCCAGGATATCATCGACGCCTTGATATATTAGAATTCAGGTGTTCCAGCCTCAAAGCGCATGACAGTTACCTGGATCGGTATCGATAATGATCTTCTGCTTGGGAGCCATTCTCGAATTTGGAGGATATGTTCAGAAAAACCAGTGGCGACTTAGATGAGGAGGTCAAGCTTGTTCAACAAGTTTAAGAAAGTATAAATGCAGATGAATCTAATCAACCTTGAATTTATTCTCACAGTTCCGTAGCCCAGGAATCGAATTCTTTACTTGCAGCTCAAAATTGAAACGTTGCAGGTTGAAAACAGGAGGATCAAAGTTCTTGTTCACACATGTTATGCCGATGAGCGTTTCCCCTCCTTCGGTTTTGGGCAGGTGGGCAGGTGGGGTGTTAGTTGCTGAGATAAGCTTTTCACAAGAGCTATTGGTTGTTCAATTGAGCGAGATATGAATGGGCATTGCTTCTATTGGGCTCCTGTCGCATTTGTACGATAATACATGAACTCGCCGTTCTTACACGGATGTCAGAGTTGGAATACTTGCGAGATCCGAGCCCGACGCAGGGTAGTGCAGTTTGAGTTGCAGATGGCATGAAGTATGTGCAACCTCAAAAATCACTCCGACAACCAATCAAATAACTCCAACGCAAGAGTTCAGGGCTTCAGGAATAACACAAAGAAAGTTCGATGTACCCTCCAAGCAATTATCAGTGACTCATCTCACGATTAACTTGTCCTCCCAGCCACGTATGCCAGACAAATGAAAATGATGTGCTTTGCTTAATTAATCATATGGTTCCCTTGATCTTTGAAGAGCAGTCTCCCAGAGCATATGATACACACGTGACCAACGAGATGCATATTCGAAGCTGGTACAGCGACTTCAACAAGGACCTTCGCACGTATTTGAATTGTAGTATACTAGGAAAAGGACATGTTGTAATTTCCTGTTTATCATTTAGCAAAGTTCATGCCTCGTGATAAAACCTCTCACTGGAGTTGAGGATCGATGCAGGCCTTCAGTGGTAATTTTGAAGGCTTCCAGGTTCGTGATATCTGTCCACTCCCTGAACAAACAGCTGCGATGAGCCAATCCCAGGCCTAACATCCATTGGATGACTCGAAGACACTGGAACCCCTGGTTTAAGTTGTAATGGGTGGCCCCGCTGTTATATCCATGAATAGTCTTCGTCTCATCAACCTCATCCAGCCCAAGCAGGAAGTTGGTTGGAAGGAGCGAATTTCAAGCTCTGCTGGATCCAATGTATAGACTTCCAGCCCATTCTCCTTTTCAACACCTTACGACGTCTCCTCTCCGACTGCTTCCTCCCAAGAAACCTCGACGGATAATCACAAACGTCCCAAGAATATAACCAGCTCCCGTTTATTTCGTGTAACACGGGCAGTTGCTGACTATCGAAAGCCTCTCCGTAAAAGTACAGTGGCTGCATCAGTTTCGATCCAAATCTCTCCAGCTAAAGTACCTCCTCACCATAATCCGCCCACGGGCTACCTTTTCTCCCCACTCCGAAACCCCAAGCTCCCCACTGCCTTGGCGTCGGGTGCTTTCTGTCCAAACATTGCTCTACCTCCCCTGCAGTCGGAACCAATTCAGTCAATCCCGCGACCCTTCCTCGCCTCAGGTAGCCCAAAACCGACTGGTTGACTTGACTTCAAGCCACCTGGTGTCTTCTCCTTCTGTGTGATTTGCGCCAGACTCATCAATCTTCTTCTGAACCGGCTTCCGTCATTTCTCACCCCTTTCCTCACCTATTCCATCATCAACCTTTCCTTTTCCCTTTCTTTTATCCCCCTAACTCTTCGTCTACGACTATCGACGCTCTCGCGGCTCAGCGATTGGCTCATTGCTTAGGACAATCTGGCCTTATAATTGCGACAGCTTAGCTGCCCCTACTTGGCTCGACCTCACAGTCACGCTTCGTCCACAACTTATTTTTGTACACAGCCGTTGCTTCCACCCGCCTTGGTTCGTTAGACCAAGAGGCCAATTGTCGTTAACCGATAGACGTGCTCGAGTTCCCACGCCTGTTTCGCTTAACTTCGGATCGAACCACGATCTTCATCTCGAAGCTCGAAACGAAGCTCGAGGCAACTTCGCTCAGCTTTGCACCTCTTACAAGTACAATACAATACACCATATCACGGCGGACAACATGGGCTACCTCTACACCATTGCAGGCTACGCCCTGCTCTTTTCCGTTGCCTACGCCCTCTACCGATTATCTCAAGGCCAGAAAGCTGGAAATCAACCACGGGCTCAAATCAAGCCGGCCAAGAGCTCGCAGGCGGAGACTCGTAAAGAGGACCGCAAGAAGAAGCAGCGCCAGGAGGCCTTCGCATCAGAGGCACAGGAGGCTTCCAAGAAACCCAAGGCTGAATCAGAGACCAGTGCTTGGACAAGTAGTGCGAAGGACAAAGACGACAATGTCGACAATCGCGAATTTGCCCGACAATTGGCAAAGGCCAAGGAAGGCACCAAGTTTGCTGCCAAATCTGATGCTGGTAAGCAGCGAGAGAAGTCTGTCAAGCAATCTCGCGCCAACAAGGTGGCCAGTGCCGCCGAGGAGAAGGAGTCGGCTCCGTCATCTACCACTGGTGCCGACGCCGATGATGACCAGTCTCCTGTAACCTCACCTGAGGTCGGTCCCGCAGTCGCAGTCGCAGGCGATGTTTCCGACATGCTCGAAACCGCTCCCGCTCGCCCAACAGTTCTTCGTCTGACCGACACGGAGCCCAAAAAGCAGAATAAGAAGACTCCCAAGGCTGAGGCTCCTGTTGAGACCAAGAAGCAGCGCCAGAACCGTAAGAAGGCCGAGGCGGCCAAGGCTGCTCGTGAGGAATCTGAGAAGGAGCGAAAGCTTCTCGAGGAGAAGCAACGCCGCGCCGCTCGCATTGCCGAGGGACGTGCTGCTAAGGACGGCTCCCAGTTCACTGCTGCCCAGAGCAAGTCATCTGCTTGGAAGGAGGGAGCTCCCAAGGCCCCCAAAGCTGCCCAGACGAATGGCTTTCATCAGCCCCTCGACACATATGAGGAAGCCCCCGCTTCTGCAGTCAATGCCCCCAAGAGCACCGACCGCAAGTGGATTGAGTCTCTACCTTCTGAAGAGGAGCAGATCCAGCTCCTCCAGAACGATGATGACTGGAGCACTGTCAAGACCAAGTCTAAGAAGGGTGCTAAGAATGCTACTTCAGCTGGATCTGGCGACGAGGCTGCGGCCCGCCCCGCCGTCCAGCCCAAGCAACCTACCGGGCCTAACAAGGCTTCTCAGCCTTCTCAGTCATTTGGATCTTTCTCGGCATTGACTACTAAGGGCGACGCTGCTGAGGAAGAGGAGGAGGAAGAATGGGATGTTTAAGAAGAGCAGGTCCCAGATGGATACATTGGGTGTCTTTGAGGCATGCTATTACACTTTCCTTGTCACCTGTCTGTAACTTGACTATTTCTTTTTCCATCAACGAATTTCTGCCACAATTTGGATCAAGAGGCAGTCTGCCGTCCGAACACGTGCCAAGACGTTGGTGGAGTGCGAGAGCTGAAGCGTTTGCGGTTGGGAGTTCAGGGTTTATGGTCAAATTTTCGACGAGGCAAGGCTGGCCATTCCAAAGGTAGCCATCGAGAGAAAACGCCGACGGACACAGTTCACATATATGGACAAAAAGCAAGGGTTCATGTTGGCCGTGGAATGAAAGAAAAGCCCGCGGTTAATGACTGCATTGGTGAATAATGCAAGGCCAGTATTTGGAAGAAAATAGGGAAGTGTATTGATAGTCGATTCGATTGTTTGCAACAGTTTGTCGGCCCAAATAAGAAGCAAATGAAGCATAATTAGCCACGGCTGAAGTATTTGAAATGGTGTCTATAGATTGTGTCAAATTCACGTGTTCCCTTGAACTCTTCATGATCTCTAGTAGAACTTGATAAACCTTTGGTGTATCCCTTGTTGGAAGTTGAGATAAGGGAAATTAGTTTAGCAAGTTTGGGAATGCACTGAGCTGTAGCATAAGATTGAGAGATAAAGCATGTGTTGAAACGTATGTCACAACATGTGTAGTATAGAGTAGTCGTGACCAGAGGAATGTAGAATGCAAGGCGCTTCTTGAACAAGAAAAGGTCAAGGTAAGGGATCAAGTCTAGATTTGATAGCTTGTATCAAGTCCAGCTTAGTCAATGGCAGTGAGAATGACATCCCCTTCAACGCAAACATGTCTTTTTTCTGATTTCACGAATGCTATTATATTGTTCACCGCTTCATGCGGCCCATGATACATTACACATGTTGCGGCGTGCAGCGTGCAGCGTGCAGCGTGCAGATTGAAGACTGCATAGTGCATTGTCGGATGGTTTTGGGCATGGATGCAAGAACGGGATTGGATAGCCGTAGATGTGCATTGGAATGACCAGGGACTAACCTGTTTACTGGTATCGACTTAATGGGCACTCCAGACCCGGGCCGTCGCATCTTATGTTAGCAGATAGTATGTACTATGTAGTATCGGTAAGCGAGCATCTTTCTTTATGTTATGGTGTTCAGTGTGGTGAGAGAATTGGGTGTGAATCGACTCGTGTCGTGATAGGTCTGGTATGATCGTGTTCGGAGATGCCAAGCCGGGTGGAGAGGGAAAAACGCAAGAATTGGGCCGAAGAACGAGGAAGAGAATGAGGGGGCCGAGCCGGAAGACGGAAGCGGGATGCGGGGCATGAGGTGCAGTTGCGGGATGAGGAAGTAAGGTATCCATGACGAAAGACAAGAGAATACGCTGGAAGAACCGGCAACTTTGGGGACATTTTGAGTTATTTACGTGGCAGACACTTACCTTACTTAATATCAGGCGTTTCCTTACATGGCGGGATCGGGCAACGTGAGGAAGGCAGTTAATTACATTTCGTTTAATTATTATCGAACTAGGTAGTTGTTACTGTAACAAAGACGTCGTATAGTTCTGCGGTTAGTTTAGTGCAGTACCTAGGTATTGACATGGATAACCGAGTCTCCAGTGAGAGAGCCGTTATCTGAGAGTGGACCAGTCACAGAGAACTGGCCTCGAGAATGATGTGAATTCGCGGTGAAGAACTAAAGACGTCACGAATTAATTTAGTTAAGCTCTATGAACCTACTACGTATGTTACGTTGCTCGGCGTAAAAGTTAGAACATGGCGTAGTTTGTTTTTATCGTGCAACGGCGGCTTGGCTGGCGGTTGAGAGTTTCGTGCATTGCTTCAAGTTATCAGCTAAAACAAACAAATGGGAGATCCCGTCTGAGACCGGATGTTACATTGGGACATTTATAGACTGATTATGATAGACAATGACGGCATCAAAGGTAGCATCGGCAAGAGATTGATTGGGCTTGTGGTAAAACAATTCTGCTCAGTCTGCTGGACCTGGTGTCATGATTCGGCCCTCAACTTGATAGACATTCCCCGTCCAAGCCATTGATGCTGATGCCGAGAACAACTCCTCTCTGAATTCCCCAATCATTTCAACAGCCCAACCCCCTGCACTGAAGAAGTCTCAGATGGTCCAGGCCGCTGCACCCGCTCGCTCGATCCATGCCCATGTCCATACTTGTACCCATGCCCAGCCATTAGCACCCCACCCAGCTCCGACCAAGCGGGGGATTAACAGTGGAGGACCTCGACTCTTGGTACCTGGATCATTGGTGGACTTGTGCACATGTTGGAGGTCCCTTGTGCCTTTGCCCCCTGCACGTTCGGTGGTGATCCATGTGGTATTTGATGAGATGGGTGCGCCTCTTTTTTTGATGCAGAAACAGAAACAACTGGAAATTTAATACGGTAAATGGGTTTACCGCGAAGACTTTGATCAATGCATTGAGCTTATTGTGCATGGCATTGTTCTTCTGATCTTGGTTGAGTTGCATATGTTGTCGTCTTGGCTCGGCTGACTCTGCCAATACAACTGCTCTCCATTTCCCCTGGATCTTTAATTAACAGCCTGCCCCCCATTATCGTCGACTAAAGCCTTGACTTTTACCGCAAAGAACTGTAGCGTGCTGCAGCTGTGGCCTTCTGCAGCTAATCCAGGCTACCTACCTACCTCATCTATTCATCAGCATACGACCAACCTGCGCCATTTCCAGCTGCCGTCAACGCTGTATCCGTCCGTATTATCGTACCTCGTTTGTAGTCGGTCTAGGACTTGGTTACTATAGCACCTCTTTAGCCCATCACCGCCGCCACCCAAAAAGAACCCTTGTCTCCTGTCCTCCCACCAACCTACTCATTATCCGATCCCGTACGGACCTGACCTGACGGGCCGCGACAGCAGCAGTCGTCATAAACCCTGCATTACCCACAAATATATGAGATTGGGAATCTTCCTTCCTAGCTCTGGCTCCCTCAGACCGTATCTCACTCTCTGGTCGTTCATATCTCGTTATCTCGTTACACGGTCGACCCATTCCGTTTTCCATCTCAGCCTCTCTACTAACCCGCACTATAATCTCTGCCCTGCCCATTGAGTGCCCTGTGCAAACCCCTAGACAAAAACCCAGTGACCACCCCGTTTTATCTACAGTGTCTAGTGCCCGCCGCACCTCTCTGTGAAACGTCGTCTCGCGCCCCCTTTATCACCCACGATACCCTTGGTGGTTTGGTCGATCACAAAGGAAAAGGGATCGAATCCCAGGGCTAGCTGTCACTTGTCTTGGTTGACAGAATTGCATTCTCATTCTCACATTCCTGTCCTTTAACTTCAGGACCAAAGGGGTCCTTTCCAAGGGGGGACTCGTTAGCCAAGTTTACGTCTCTCACTCACTGGGATCGGCAGAGCACCAGAGCAATAAGCCCCAAACAGCCAACGTCTCCGGTCGCTCAGGAACGCCTCTTACGAACCTAACCTCCAACGACCGGCCCCTTCGGTTTCAGCTTTACGGCCACCTTCAAGCAAAGACGAAGCGTTTCTACTTTTACATACCTACATTCTTTACCATTTGGCCATTGCGTTGCGCTACGTTGCGCTCTATTCCCCTTTGCGGACCGTTCTGGCCACTGCTGGCGTTGGCCTAGTCAGTACAGGCGCAGCGCCTCTTTCGCCCAAAAGAAACGACCACCATCTCGTCAGGTCCAATCTCATTTACACCGCAGTCCTCACCCTCATCAATTCTTGCGTTTAGCCTTGCTCGTTTTCCTTCTCAATTCAGCTGTCACCCCTTCGGCATTGGCATCCTCTTTAACTTCGACTATCAATCTGCTCATTCTTGGGCTGGACCCCTTTCTCTCCGTTCCCTTGCCTTATGTCTCTGTGTCTTTTGGTGTAGCAATTGTCTTCCTCTGTCCATTATTCCCTTCATATAATCGTGCTCGTCGTTTCATACGCATCATCTCAATTGAAAGCCGGCCAAGCGAAGCGACTCTTATGCCCGGTACACTGTATACAAAGCGACGACCACCAACATGTCTCTTCCCGTCGCAATTCAATCCGCTGTCTTCTATATTCTTGCCTGCACACCATGCGCCCAAGTTCGACATCGACAAAAGGTTCGCGAGCAGTCTCGGAGGGAGCGCGAGGAGAAGGCCAAGGTAGTGGGCGAGCAACCGGATGTATACCAACATCCCTCACCGTTTAACACAAACCCGTATTGGCAAGAGGAGATTAGCATGGGACCATCTTTACCACAAAAGAAATCTGCCAGCAAGAATTCTAGTCAGCGTGGCCTCACAAGTCAGGGCGGAGAGAGCAGTGCATTCAGCGTATCTGAGCAGACACATCAAGGCGGGAGCCGCATCAACTTTGGCGCTAGCAATTCCGTCATTGCCGAAGACGACAATCTCTCCGACGATTGGAACCGGCGACATGGATATCAGCGAGAGGACGAGGAGCTATGGGGTCAATGGGGCGGCCAAAAGTTCAAGGACGCCATATCAAAAGCACGAGGTTCCGCCGGACGATTAATCGAGTCTACACTAGGACTCGAGAAGGAGGTGACAGAACAGCAACGGCACGACTTTTACTTTCCGAAGAATCCTCCCATCAACGAGTACCACCCTCCTGTCGTCAGCAGCAAGATTCCTTCGCGAAACGCCCACCAATGGATGCTGCAGCCTCCGCCACCAGCCAAGGTCATGGAAGGCAAGGTGCCTGTTAGCCGGGCTGGAAGCTCAGGGAGCAAATCGAGCGGCAGGACATTGGTTGGAGACGATATGCAACTTGGCCGACTTGTTCACGAGAAGCTTGTCATGGAGAAGCTGAAGAAGGAAAACAGCAATCCTACCGAAACCGAACTCATCGAATCCCTCTTCCTCAACCGCACTAGCCAGTCTCTCTCTGTCCACCGAACTCGAAGCCTTTCATTCGACACATCAGACGACTCGCTCGATAGTGGCTTCGCCAAGCGAAAGACACGCCTGCGACCGGTTGCCGCACCGCCAGGATACGATTCTTCTGATGATTCAGATTCTGACACGCCCATTCCATTCTCGCAAAGTGCCATGAACCTGGGAACCCGCCGAACACCCTCGAGTGCGGGACATGCCGCGCAACGACCAAAGCTTGAGACCATCATGAGCACAAGGTCGGCCACTGCCATCCGAATGTCCTCGAAGCGATCCAAGCGACAAAAGTCCACTCGATCGAAGAGGCTTTCAGGTGCTGCCTCCCCTGTTGGTGACGACACTGACTGAGTCGGATTCGCGTGTAACAAACGCTCAAGCCACAGCGCATAAGATACGGCAACCCCCACGTCCTCATTACCTCTACGAGACCGTTTCACCCTGCCACCCAACTCATTGCGGTCTTGTCTCTTCCCTGTTTCACATGTCTTGATCTCTTTTAGCATCGTTATCTTCACCGTCTTCTCTAGTACATTGTTTCAGCTCGGGTTTCTCTTGTTTATAAGCATTTATATGGGACCGGTTTTGGTTTAGCATTGGGCGGCATAGCACTTGGGCGTTGGAGCAGGTTACATGATTTATCTTTTCTTTGTCTTGGTTTTTGAAGCACCAAAAGGCCGGCAATGCGTGCTTTCAAACTGTCGAATGACGTATAAATAACACTGTGGCTTCACTACGCAGCCTTGAAAGCAGAAGTCCTCAGCAAGACACTAGCTGAGATCGAAAAATAGCAAAATTGGTTAAAAAAAAAAAAAAAAACCCTCCTCCCTTGTCTGTGAACTGTGACCTAGTGTAGGCTGAACCGATTTGACCATTTCGTGTGATTGAACGATTATGCACAACGGTATACTATTGGGTATCATGCCGTCATCTCTTTCCATCTCCCGAACGCCGGCTATGCTGTATTTTTTTCATGTTTCTTTCGCCTCCCGATCTCATAGGTGCATGCCTCCTTCATCATCGTCTGTGCCTAGGTCTCGCATTCGCTCCTCTAGTGCCCTGCGAAGCTGCTCATCGCTCAAACTTCCACCTTCTGGTCGACCGGCCTGACGATCCACCTGTACCTCGCCGTTTCGAATTGTCCCCGTTTGAAAAGTCCCATCGTTCCATGCATTGTGTCGATTCTCGTTGTCCGATGCCGCGGTGCTAGCTTGAGTATCTCCATTGACAGCAGCCGCGTCTTCATCGTTCTTACTTGTTGTCTCATTCCGGTTCTGGAATTCCGTCCAGCTGAGTCCACGCTCTTCCACCTCTGCACGGATCAGAGCTATGCGCTCAGCCATACGATCAATGACTTGTTCGTTCTCGCGAATAGCATCGATGCAGTCCTGGTCGGGCTCCGAAGCTTCGCCGGACGGTGTGGTCTCTGTACCCTCTGCAAATGGCTTGAGTTGGTCGTTGGAGTACTGTAGATGGGCGATCGAGTTCCGGATTTCAAGGACTTTGAGGTGCAACATGCCCACCGAGAGGTCCTTGAGGGCGGCGGCGAACCGCGCGGGGGCGATGGGTGTGGTGTCGGCGGATGTGGACGTGGAAGACATGATCAAATATGACGAGAACCGTGTGAAGAGGTGTAGTTGGAGATATGATATGTAATAGGGAGCTTCGAGAAGACCGCGGGGCAGTTGAATGCAATGGTGGGGTCCAGGCTGCTAGACGTCCTGCGTAGTTGGCGGTACGTACCTCATTGTTGATGATCCTTGACATGCTGTGTCCAAAATTATCGGCCTCATGCGTCGAAGATTAATTCATGCACTAAGAGGCACCATCATACCATCGACTGTTCCCCTCGCCGTGGCTGCTGTGGTTTTATTCGAGCCGGTGGCTCTCTAGGGCGCATCTTGCGCATTCAATCGTTCATTCACAATGAGTCTATTCGCCTGCCCCAATTCTTCAAGGGTGCTGCTGAGGTCTGCTCTTCAAAGAGCAGTGTCAAAGGCATCAGCCTCTGCGGCCCAGCCGTTTACGCCAACCCGATGGATTTCAAGCTGTGCGTCAAGGAATCGAAGCGGCCTTCTACCGTCGTCCACCAATTGTCGAAGTACCATTTTTAGGAACAACAATACCTCATACGAGACCCGACGAACGATATTCTTCGATAAGACGATCCGAAACTATGAGGACTTGCCGAGAGACTACCGAGACCAGGTCGGTCTTCGATTCAGAAGCAAGGACTTAACCGATGCAGAGGTTGTGGAAGCGTTCGGAAAGGGCATCAATCCAAAGAGAGCGAATCAACTGTTGCGGATCCTCCACGGACGTCGGGTTGCTGGCACTCTCGACGATCCAGCCTTTGCGGTCCATACATCTTCATACACCAAGAGTCAGATTGCCAAGGGTCTCGAGTACCTACGAAAGTCAGTGAAGGTTGATGAAGTGCTGAACGCGGGCCTCCGAGCTGAGGATGAGCTTGCGCAACTTGAAGCGGAGAAGGAAGCAGCAAAGAAGCCGAAGCAAGCTTCCAAGAAGAACAAGAACGAGGCCGAAACCAAACCCGAAGAACAACCCGCTCCAGTTTATAAACCAGACCCCGTCTATGGCCATAGCAAACTTGACGAACTCCGAGCTCAGAATGTCGCTAAGCGGAAGGCGAAGGAAGCCCTTGAGGCAGAAGCACGAAAGGCGGCCGAGGCGAAAGGGGAAGTAAATTCTGGCACTCTGGCTAATCTCGACCACAAGGCGGAGAGACAGATTGCTAACCCCAAGATTGCTGAATACTATAAGAAGGCACAGTCTGATCTGGAAGCTCCTGTAGAACTCAAGACCTGGGAGCGGGTTCTTCCCTCCGCTACTCTCGTCGCTCTCGTCATTGGCTTCCTAGCTGCTGTAAGCACTGTTTATGAAGAGCCTGCTCCCCGGTACCGTGTCTTTCCCGATATCTCTACTGCTCATGCGACGCTGGGAGCCATTGTTGCTGTCAATGTGCTTGTCTGGGCAGCATGGAAGGCCCCTCCTTTGTGGAGGTTACTCAACCGCTACATGATCATCGCTGTCGGTGCTGTCAAGCCTGTTTCCATGTTCACTGCACCCTTCTCTCACCAGTATTTTAGCCACTTGCTCATGAACATGGTTCCCCTCTTTCTTGTTGGATCCGCACTACATGAGGATATTGGCCGAGCCAATTTACTGACCCTCTATGTGGGCTGCGGTGCGGTTGGCTTTGTGGGCAGTGTGGCTACATATGCTATGCGAGGTATGCTAGGCGTTACCACTCTGGGTGCCTCAGCAGCAACGCTGGGTGTTTGCGCCGCATACTTCTGGGAGCATCGTCTTGATGGCTACAGATTCTTTGGGCTACCTCAGGACGGTGTGCCGGGCATCATTTTCCTGGCGCTCATATGCGTGCCTCAACTTGCTGCCTTTGGTAAGACGGTCAAGCTGAAGATTGACATCGCATCGCACTTGTGCGGTATTTTGAGCGGTATTTTCGGCATGGAGCTGATTAACCGAACAAGAAGTGAACGGGAAAAAAAGACGATCGATGTGGCTGGTACTCCCGTCCGAGCTGCACGATTGCCTCGACCTGATGAGTCGGTTGAGAGATCTAACTAAGACGAGATGAATTGTACATTTATTTACTATATTATTTTTGCTTATTTGACACTGGACTGAATCTATGCTTATAAGATTTGGCATTGATGTGGAATGCCTTGTTGTGTCACTTCGTGATCTGAGATACCTAGGTCGTCGATTTATACGCGCTAAGTTAAAACAAGGATATGGCGCTTATCGCGCCTAGTAATTCTGCACGGAAACGTGCCATCCCCACTTGTGGAAGGTTCAGGGCCCAAGCCAAGTGGACTGTCTCTCTAGCAACCGACGAAGGATTGAATTGTCTAGGGGAGGCAATAAAACTCAGGACCTCAATCCTGAATGACAAAAGGATTTAGGTAAGGTTGCCTAAGTTTGGGGGCCTATTTAATTAATTTATTTTGGCATCTTCTGTTGTGAATTGATTTGGAGTGCGTTGGAAGCACCAATGAATGCTCTAGAACAAATACATTTACTGTTTGCTTTCGTCGCTTGTATTGGATGCATGTTGCCCTCCATTTGGTCAGCTACACGCGATTTAGGCAAACTGGGTTACCTGATGACACTCATATCGAAACCATTTATTATACACACTCTCCCCCCAGCTTAGGCCCAGAAGAATTAATCCTTTATAAATGAACCACGAGGTACAAGATACCCGACCTGTTTATGACTGGCTTATACGGAGAGTGTACAGTATATTTCGTTGGATAGCATAACACCATGACCGAAAACCCCAGGAACTAACCTGAGGCATTATGATGGAGAAACACATAGATTTTACCTTCATACACTTACAGTCAGAGACATTGGTGAATACAGCAGTCGAAACAGCTCCGTCAGAAAGTCGCTATTTGCGTCACAAATAGTCGGACTTGCACATGGCGGTCGATTTCGACATGAGTGGCAGGCAGTGGCGCAAATTACATGCATAAAGAGAAACGCTTTAGCCGATTTCGGAAATCACTCTAAAACCGAAACAATTGAACTCGCGTAGGAGTTAAAGAGGTATATGTATAAGGAGTACAGAGAAGCAGTGCCAGCAAATTCATGGTCAGTGCTATGATGTGTTGGATGCCAGCTGGAGCGAGAAAATGAGTGACCCAATGGCGAGTTGGAGCTGCTCATTGGGCATTACTTAGCTCCCACACTCACTGCATGCAGTCCAAAATAAGCTAAAAGTGAATCATCATACCAGCCCCTCGGTAAGAGCAATGTCAGGATAGGGGTGGTATCATATTTTGGTGTGTGAACTGAGTCTGCCGGACTCAATAAATATATATAATACCTCAGTATTTGAAAATGTTTCCTGACCGTAGAAACCCGGAACTCTCGAGGTATAAACTAACATTCGTTTCTCGGCAGTTATCCATTGGCTCTAACACACTGCCTTTCATGCAGGTTGCGTGTGCCTGCAGAATACTCCAGCCTATCACGACCCACACACCACCTGGCACCTTCAAGGGTCAGCGTTGAATGGCAACAGACAAGACAGGGCAGGGCATATGATCACAGCCTGAGCTGATGTCACCGCTCTTCAAACCCATGAACATAATTGCTCTTGACTGTTCAGTAGAGTAAACATCAACAAACCAACCTCGAACACACCACAAGTTCTTATATACTTGGCCCACCTTGAGGTTAATAAAGGTCGACTTCTTCAAAGTTTCTCTTGACTCCATTTATCGATCAAAAACCAGGATCACCTGCCACGCTCCGTCTGTCATCCAATCTGGCTGTGCGGGTGCGCACTTTTCCCATATGCTTCTGATATTAGTACAGCATTAGTGGTGGCTGTGGCTTAAACACTAGTCGAGGGCCCTGGCTTAGAAACAGTACGGGAGTAGGTGCAGTACTTTGTGTTGTGCTGCTCCTCCTGCATCTGTAGTAGAAACTAAGAGACAAGGGCATTGCAGACGCTGCTACACGCTAAGTCGGTACTCCCTTCCCCCCCGAAACCCGCTTTCTGGGTCTGAGGTGCATTCTGCAACTACAACTCTTCCGTCATTTCCCCCGGTTTAGGCTTTGATTTGCTTTGCCTTGTTCTGTTTTGCCTCTCTCAACTCAAACCTAGGTACTCAAATCACACTCAACATTGAACATTTTCTCTCGCTTTTGCTCTTTCCCTGGTTCACTTGTGTTTTCCTACCTGGACCAGCTGCGTTTCTTTTCTTCCAGAAACTGAGTATCGACTGCTTGGACTTACATCTGCACCTTCCCTGCGCTCTTTCATCCCGACTCGACTACAAAGACAAGCAACCGGCTACTTCTCTTTCTATCTTTTGCGCGATGAGGTAGAATTGGAGCAAGCACACGCCTTTCCCGCCCTTCCTTCCGGAAAACTCCACCCTTCCTCTGGAGGTGCTCCTCGACTCTTACCGCACGATAGATACCCAACAAGAGGAGCAAAATGAGTCCCTCGAGCCCTCTATCTTTCGTCCCTGACGGAGAAACTTCAACACTCTCGTCGCCACTCTCCAATCTCTCCAGAACACCATCATTGCCTTCGTCACCTGACATGCCCGACCCCACGAAGCGCTATCCATCTCCATCAACAACTGCATCGGGCCCGCACTCTCCAGATAAGACGTGTGACCTTCCATCCGAAGATGAAATTGTCGCCAAACCACTCGATGATTCCACTTCAGGTCCCCCGCCAGCCAAAAAGCGTCGTATATCTCCCCCGAAAGAACGTACCACCGAGTACCTAGATCTGATGAAGCCCGAAGATGAACTCACTGCAGAAGACCGTGGCCAGTTGAAAAGGCTCATTGACACATTGCGCAAGAAAAAGAAGATTGTTGTCATTGCTGGTGCTGGAATTTCGGTTTCGGCAGGAATTCCCGACTTCCGCTCATCCACTGGCTTATTTGCGACCGTCAAAACCCAGCATAACCTCAAAGGCTCTGGTAAACATCTGTTTGATGCTTCAGTTTACAAACACGATTCCACAACTCAATCTTTCCATGCAATGGTCAGAGAAATGGCCACAATGACGAAAGCTGCTAAACCTACACCATTTCACGAACTATTAGCATCCCTGGCTCAAGAAGGCCGCTTATTACGCCTTTATTCGCAAAATATCGACTGCCTTGACACCCAGCTAAAGCCTCTGGCCACTGAGGTTCCCCTCAACCCCAAAGGCCCCTGGCCTGTTACAATCCAGCTGCACGGCGGTCTCCAGAAAATGGTCTGCACCAAATGCAACAATATCCGGGAATTCAACGGCGAGGTTTTTGACGGCCCAGAGGCCCCACTTTGTCCAACATGTAAAGATCTCGACGAAGTTCGGACCGCCTATGCTGGGAAGCGAAGCCATGGCATCGGCAGACTACGACCACGATTTGTGCTCTACAATGAGTACAACCCAGACGAGGACGCCATCGGAAATGTTTCAAGCGCTGATCTTAAGGCCCGCCCTGATGCTGTATTGGTAGTTGGAACGACACTCAAGGTTCCTGGAACTCGCAGACTAGTGAGGGAGATGTGCCAAGTCACACGAGGACGAAAGAATGGTACGGCTATTTGGATCAACGTGGACGACGAACCCAAAGGCGTCGATCTGAAAAATTGCTGGGATATTGTAGTACGGTCAAAGTGCGATGACGTGGCTCGATCTGCGGCACTTCCTCCCTGGAATATCACCATTGGGCAGGATTATGAGGTGTCCGAGGAAGACTTCTCCAAGAGCCAAGAGGATCGCAAACACTTCAATTTCTTTGTTGAAATTCCGGTCAATTCTGTCTCCACGCACTCTCATACTGAAGGCCAGGGCGCAGCCAAATCGAAGCAGGTCAAGCAGGTGCAGGGCATACCAACACCTCATGCAAGCCCCAAGATATCAGCGATCAAAAACCCGGCGAAGACGATGCAGACCACGATATCTTTCGATGGCAAGGTTACGACAGGCCAGCCTTCACAACTCTCCAAACAACGCGGGTCCTCTAAACAAAGCGGGCGCAAGAGAAAGGCCCCAGGTGGACATAAGGAGGCGCAACTTAAAAGTTTCAAGGCAACTAAAAATATTATCGGCCAAGAGAAGGCCGACGGATCTGCATCAGCTACTCAGACGAAGCGGAACGTAACTGGCAGAGGGAAAAATCGCCATCCTCTGCCCTCTCAACGTCCCACGAATGCGCCGCATAAGGAGACGTTGACTGACACCAAGGACCTAGACGAGAAGGTCCGTCAACGGGGAACTGGTTATCCTTCAACTCCGACCACAAAAATGAATGGTACCATTTCTCCACGATCGTACCCTAACAATACGCGACATCTGATCGATTAAGAGCAGAATCAGCACGATAGTATTTAGAGGGAACAGAAAACCTGCAGATAGCCCATGTTATTATCTGTATTCTTTAGCATTCATGGAGTATGGGGTTGGCTGATACCAGATACTACAAATCAAGCTGCGGTCTCTGGGACCGACAACACAGGCAGCGAATGATGTATACTACTATCCAGGGGCAGACTTGTATTATTTCGGACCAAGGTTTTGTTAACGCCGAGGCAGCGGGTGCCCGGTCCGGCTTGGTTGAATAGAGGCGTTATAGGGAAGAGCCTTGCAGCTGGACAGCCAAGGTCAATTACATAGAGGCGGCAAGAGATGCGCCAGATTCAAATATTAATCTGATTATTGAAGCGAAACAAATGAGTAACGAAAGAGCAACGTCAATTGCGTGGTGAAATCGTCATAGCTAAGTCTCAAAAGGGGTTTCCCTGGGTATCATGTCATATCCTTCAGCGCCGTCGTCCACCTCCACCTGCAACAACCTATCATGCCAAAAAAATCGTGCTACGACTGAGCTCGCTTTAATCAATATGCACTTCGATTGTGTCTTGAGCCTCGATCTCGGCATCCTTCATCTCCACGTGCTCCTCGAGCCGCTCGCCATCCCACCAAAGAGATACCTGCTTGTCTGAGCCAACATTACGCTGTTGACGGAAGTAGGAGATGAGCGTTTCCACAGTCGTCTCGGGGAGGATCTTGCAAGCCAGCGGTTCAACATCCCGTCCTTTGAGCATGATCACGAACCTGATTCTCTCGGCCGGCTTCTCCTCTTCCTCGTCAGAAAGTTCACCGGCGTCGCGCTTCCGCTGGAGTTCCTGCTCCTGCTCCATCTTCTGAAAGAGTTCCGGATTCCAGGCTTGCACGTTCATCGAAGTCATGTTCTCTCTGAAGCCTGCGGAACCTTGGCTGTCGCTCACAGCACGTCCATTGCCGATTGGGCGAATGCCCAGGCCAATTAGGGTGGAAGTGTTGTATACTTTCTTGTTGTTCCAGGTGAGAGTCACATCGTCTGCTTGTATGGAAACACCTTTATTCATTTGGTGTTTGACCCACGCATCTCGAACTATGCGAAGGGGTTTGTTAAATGAAAACCTCACTTGCAGGGGTACAGTATGAGGAATCGTGCTGGTGATAAAAATGTTAAAGGCCTCCTTGGACTGCTCCTCAGACTTGTTAGCTTGAAGAGCCTGTTGGCGGGCGCGCTTCTCTTCGGCTTTGCGAATGTACTCTGCGAACTCATCCTCCTCCACTGGTGGTGGGCTTGGTTCCTTAGAAGGCTTCAAGGTCCGCTCCGCAAGTTCGATACTGCTACTTCTCGGCCTCGATGACAAGTCGGTCTTGGGCTTGGGAGGTTCTGAGTCGGATTCCGGATCCGAGTCAATCGTTATAGGATCTGTACTTGGTTTGGCCTGTGGTTTGAATCCTTCTGTCTTCAGATTTCGACTTGGAGTAGGGGGGTTACGAATCGGCCCCAATCTCCGAGTTGGCGAGGCATCTGGGAAAGGGTCTTCGTCTATGTCGAGTTGCGAACTAAGTATAGGCTTCTGGGCCGAGCTTGAGTCAAGCCTTGACCGTTTTGACGAAGGAGGAGTGACAAGTTCACTAAAGGAATCAGAACACGATGTTAGGCGATCTGGTTAGCAAGCATACCTAGTACGATCCGCTCCGTCTTGTGTCAGTGGCTGATCGGTAACAGGAGTCCCCTCTGCCCGTCCAGGCAAGGAAGGTAGGCCGTCGCTGACCTTGGGGCCAGGGTCCTTGTTGGTGAGCCCATCACTATCTGGGGAGTCTTCTCGCGGTCGTTTCTCCCCAATGGCCTCAAGTCGTTTGCGCTCAGCTTCCTGCTCAGCTTCTCTATGTCTCCTCCAACGCCTTTGCTGATCAGCTGCCATGATAGGCGCCATCTCCTTTGAGCGGCGGAACAGAGAAAGGCCATCGTCGTCGCTGTCCTTGGAATCCTCGGACTCTGTTGGTTTTGGTTTTGGCGCAGCCTTGCGCAGCGCGGTTGGTTTAAAGGGGAGTTTCTTCATATTGGCGAAGAACCTCTGATTAGCTTGCACGAAATTTTGATGATAGCAAAGCGTCAGTTGTTCGCTCAGTTTTGTAGAGTAGTAAAGTGACAGGCGCGCACAAAGCGATACAGGACAATCCGTTGGGTCTAAAAGTAATCAAGAACAATGAAGCTGGGGGTTGGACGGGTCTTTCATTGAAAGGCTCGAACCGCACTTTACACTTTACGCGCCTGGAGGTGGTGGGATGGAGGTTGCCTGGGCAGGAAATAGAGACCTGGCCCGCTAAAAATACATCCGCTACGTGCCGCTGTAACGGGACGTTAGGCGACTTCACAGCAGGCGTGATGCCCCACAGTGCGAAAAGACTCCAGCCTTAACAGCACGGCAAGGCATCAATCTTTCAGGCTAGACCCAAACAACTCCACAAGCTCTATCCAAGATCCATTATCATAAACCACCAACGACACCCTGAACCTCTCAAACCGCCAACCTCCAAACACCACCCCAGTCTTCACGATGGAGAACGGCGCTATCTCTCAGGGTGAGGGAAAAGACCCTTCAAGCTTCCTCAGTGACATCATCGGCAACCCTGTTACTGTCAAGCTCAACTCTGGCGTTGTCTACAAGGGTGAGTCTTGACCTCTTCGCTCATCGATTTGACGATGCAGCTGAGCGCCTCATATGCGACGATACAGCGGATAGGATGGAGCTAATACTCATAGGCGAACTTCAATCTGTGGATGGCTACATGAACATTGCCCTGGAAAAGACAGCCGAGTATGTCAATGGCCAGAAGCGTAGGGAATACGGTGACGCCTTTGTGAGAGGAAACAATGGTGAGTGTCGCTTTGTTATGGGGAGATATCTTGCTAATTGAAGTTGAAAGTCATGTATATTTCAGCAGACTCATGATTGTTCATGAACAATGAGAAACGGCTCGGTCTCGACATGTAGATTTATGATGAAACTAATCTCTACATCCTCTTCACTCTGGGCCATCCAAACGTGACGTCCAGACAAAGAAAGTGCACCCATGAAGCTCAACCTCACCGTTCTCATTGAACGTGGCATCGCCCTCCTTGATGATCTTGTCGAACTTCTCTCTAAACAGTCGACGCTCCTCCCCTTGCCGAAGCTTGTTCCAGCTAAGTGTATCGAATCTGTCCCACAAAGCATCAGGGGTCAACCAAATCGACCATGTGATTTTTTCGGTCTCGATGGGCGTGGAGAAGAATGGCTTCTCAGCCTCGGCTTGACGTTCGAGGACTTTCTTCCACAGCAAGTGTCGGAAGCGAGGCTCATTGTCCGCCTTTTCGTTGAAGTTGAGCTCGCTGAGCTCCTGCTCCCACTTTGTAGAGGCTGGCCAGCTCTCGGGGCGATTATCTTGAGGCTATAGTCAGTCACTCTGGATGCGACAAAAGGCAACTGGGACGTAATTACATTCTTCGGCATTCCAAATCAATCCCAGTTTAGCCCCAGGTTTGAGCACCCGATGTATCTCCTTGAGGGACTCCTCTCTGGCAAACCTTGGACTTGGTTAGGGCCTATTGTTAGTCCTTTGAGGAGCGACTTACCAGTGAAATGCCTTCAAATGTCAGTCTGATTTCTAGCTAACTAGTGCTCTCTCCAGACAAGGCATCTAGCTTACCTGAGCCACAATGCATCCATCTGCCCATCCATCTCCCACGTCCTTCATTTCAGCTGCCGTACCTGGGCGAACGTCCACTTTGGAGAGTTTCTTGGCAGTAAGAGTGTTTCTCATCGAGTCCAACGGCTCTACGGCAATAATTTCGTACCCTTCCGGCCTGGCAGACAGAAGCTCAGTGAACTTGCCAGTACCAGCTGCCAGGTCTAAGATATGGCGGCCAGATTGACCCTCGAGACCGAGATGCCCCAGAAGGCTGGCAACAGCAGCAGGGGGATAAGAGGGCCGGTGTGCGTCATAAGACAGGGCGTCATCAAAGCCTTTCGTTGCAATATCATGAATAGTCTGAGATGCCATTTTGTGTCACTCTTGAACAGCTCGAGGTGTCTGGACAATCTGTCGTTGGTCTTCAAGTATCTTCAATGAGACAAGCAGCTAATTTTGAGGGAGTAAAAGAATCAATAGGTGTCAGAGATATCTTGGAAACCTTTTATAAAATTACCCAATGATCTTCCCCGCGTTTCTAGATCCTTGGGTACTGGTCCTCCAGAGTTCAATGATGTGATGGCACTTAGATCTGGCTACCGATGTCGTTCCAAGACCCCAGATCCCGCGGGAACGAGCCGACGGATTTACGGCGGAGCCCCGACAGATTTAAAGCAACAACTGGATAACACTTCAATGGCAATCAAAGCAATTGGGTACTTGCAAGAATTCGTGATGATTTGCTAACTGCTCGACGATTCCGATATCAATCGCCTTTTCTCTGATCTGAGGACTCTGGGGTGCCCGCTTGGCATTGCCACGCTTCCCGCCGACGGCTTTCTCACGCGTGGCAAGGCATTTAGCTGCTCTATATTGAAGATGGTGTCTGATACTGAGTGTCCTTTCCCCTTGTCGAAAGCTTCTGTCTGGCTTATGGTAGATCCCGGTGGTGTTTGTTCTGGCGTGATGAAGTCGTCGTTGCAACTGCTGGATGATCTAGAACCGGTGTGGTTGCAGTTTATCTGTGAATTCCGTCGTACACTCGAGTCAACTTGGGTCTTCGTCAATGAACTAGCTGAATCGACATGTTTTTGCTGGCTCTGGATGCCCTCTGTCGAAATAATGCCATCCTGCTGAGATGTCTTTGTAGATGGTGGGTAACTTGGCGTCGTTTCGGAGTCGAGTGTGTCTGATAGACATTCTGATGACCCTATGTCTATCATTTTCCCCTTTCCCTTGGATATTCTAATGCGCCGACCAACTTGAGTTGCTACTGGTGTGAGTTGGCATGGCCCAGGCGAATTCGGCCTTGAGATCCAGATGCCCTCCACCTCGACGCCGCTCAGAATAGCACGAACACCGAAAGGAATCCCGGGAGCTCGCATGTTTTCGATGCCGCAGCGTGACATGAGGGATATTCGTGCGCGCTTCTCCTCGTCGATAATCTCAAGACGGCGTATGGCTCGGTTAGACCACCATAGTTTCACAAGCCCCATGGCGAAAACAAGAACGATGCAGCACCCAAGGACCTATGACTTGCCGTTAGTCTTTGAAACGACACTTTGCAGGTGTCCCTGAAGAAGAATATGAAGTCAAATTATCCATGCATAGATATACGTACGAAAGTCATCTCTTGCCAGAGATCCCAATCAACAAAGAAGGCAGTCATGATGGGACTTGATACTATGAAGACGAACAGAGCTCCAAGGAAAGAGAGTACAGAATATGCTTCAACTTTACAAAAACATTCGGACGATTTGGATGTTTGAAAGGCTCCAAAATTGTAACATGACAATCCAGGTTCCAAAAATGAGAGTGAGCGGGTGATGCGTGGGCAAGGAAGCAACAAGAAAACCAAGCTCTAAACGAGCCTCGTGAGTGCCATCGCCGGATTAGCACGTGTCATTGTTGATCGAGACTGTTGGAAGTGCAAGTGCGATGAATGGTTTGGAAGTTACCAATATTCACTGACATCCGTAGGCAGGTGCGGATAGGCAGTGGCCAGTGTCACTCGGAGAATGAACCAGCAGCTCTGTGCCATTCGGTAAACACCTTAACTGGTACTATCTAACCCAAATGGAACACAATATGAGTGTTAAAAAGACTTTTACTGAGGGTTAGAGGACATGTCCTACTCAAAGAAGATACCAATCAATACCAGATGGGCGCGCGAGCCTGCATGAGGCGTCGAAGCTTTTCTCGAATACACATGGTCAGGCTGAGTTGGGCAGAGTAGATAGAATAGAATCAAGGTAACCGATTGCAAGATACTGAAGGCTGTTTGTCCAGTTGTTTGGTATCGATAGGACGATGAGCCAAGGATATAGTATCAGGTGTCCAATCAGAAGCAAAACCGCAACAGACAAACCAAACACTCCATCAACCGTCGTTGGCATGCTGGTAAGCGTCACCCTAGTCTGATCTGGTCTTTGGAGCATTGAAACATGTTTCGGGTAGCTACAGATTCCAGCCTAGTTGACATAAGTTACCATATTCCACGGGAAAACGTGAGGGGAGAGACATATGTCTTCTGAAGCAGCATAAGGTAGGCACTTTGAGGTTAGTCTAATAGGATGCTAAAACTTATTATCCCATACATGATTTCGTCAATGCTCTTTAAAGAGGCACTTCGTGATAGATACCTAGGTAAGCCCCGGGAAGCAAGAAAGTTTGAGACTTTAGAAGAGGATGCCAAAATAAACTCATCAAAGAGTCATACAAGTCAAGGCTAACTTACCTAAATATTTCTATCGCTTAGGATTAAGCGCCTAAGCTTTCTGGCCTCCCTGAGGTAAGGTAAGTATGCATGCTGGGTGTTGACTGCAATGAGATAAGCTATGGTGTTGTCTCGCTTGAGTCATGGGAACAATTTTTACATTAGTATCTAACCCGTCTCTTCGAAAAGAATGCCATGACAGTAAGCTGAGAAAAAGCTTAAAGATGTTAGCCTGCCCAATTACAATTGCTCGAATCATGTCACCATCGGCGTCGGGTGCAATCAAAGCCCGGGACTTGAAATCGGCCGGGTGTTAGTGGGTCACTGGCAACACCGATTGAAGGCCGGATCGGCGTTTCGGGTCCTCTCGAGGGAGAAGGCATGTTCTGAGGATCGATCCACCATTTCGGATATCCCGGACATTGGCTCTGAACCACTAGAGATTATCACCACAAGTCTGGTGTTGTCTGCATGTATGGGGAGATGGCCAATTAAAGAGAAGGTCAAAATGAGTCCTGACATCAAGACCTGACGTTAGCGAACACCAACTTGGAATCAATGAGCCCTTGAAACAGAGTCTTGGCGTTTTTGGTCCTGAATCAGGGAACCATCACCAAGTCGTCATAGGGACCGGACCATCAAACCTCCAACATCTAACTTTCACCATCCCAAACAGGATCAGGCACGTTATCTTGGAACCGAAACGGAACAGGGTGCCGCAACGTTGCCAAATTCGGGACAGATGCCGCGCCGGGTTAATTGCAGACATGATTCCCATCTCTTCTGGGAGTCTGCCTTGGTTGGTGAGGTGTCGATCAGGATGCCGTCCGTCTGCTGTAAGCCTTGATTTAGGTGATCTACTTACTGTATCGTGCCGCCAGCATCGCTATCTGAACACAGTGTGTCGTATTGGAGATTATCGGCGGCCCGGATCTTGCTTGTTGCGATTCCTGGTGTGTGAGCTGTTGTTGTGCCATGCCAATAGGATCGTTGTTGGACGATGGACCCGATGACGGTTTAACCCTTCCAGTCTTGGCAATTGTTGGTGTCAATCAAATCCCTGAACTCCGGGGGGGGGGCCAACTTGGGACCTGACCCTAGTGCTGCTGTGCTGATCTGCTGGCGATGCTCGGCTGACATGCAGTTTGTGAGATGGCTGTGTACATACGATACGCAGCAATGCCCAGCCAAGCAAAGCAGTACACGGGTGCGTATTCCAAATCAAATGGCAAGCAATGCTTAGCTGTTTAGTGCAAATAGTTGATGCTTGTTTTTGCCAGGCGGTAATTATGTTTCGAAAACACTGAATGATATTACAGACCAAATTGTAAACTAGATGCTGAGGCCCTCCTCAACCACCTCAGACTCAACATCGCCCTTACAGATTGTGGACTCTCTCAATCGGTCCATTCTCAACTCTCACTTCAGTCCCTAATCTCATGTTTCACACCCTCTTCGAAGGCGAGGATTTGACCCGACTCGGTGGTGCCACGCACACACGTATTCGTTTATCCACACGTACATACAACCACAATTCTCACTCTACTAATCGCCAAGTCTCACACATCTCACCCACTTACAGAGTTCATAGCATCGATCCACAGGCCGTTTCTATGTTTCAATTTTTCCTATTCGTCCTCTAACTGGGCAAGCACGAGTCCCATTTTCATTCCCCCTTCCCATTTCCAATACCTTGTATCCATTCCCATCTTGGAGTTCCGCCTTCCCCGTCGTCGTCCCCGGCTCTAAAAGTCAATTAACTTAAACATCGGCTGCCCCCAAAGCCCGTCCCCCGTTCCGCCTTCCTTCCTTTCTTCGATGTCATATTTCCCTTCCTTCCATCTCGTTTTTGCTCTGCGCCTGTAAGACATCGTGGTACATATCTCACATTTCCGAACTTTGGCTGCTTCTCTCAACAACACCATCTTCTGATATACCAAACAATCAAATATTCCATCAACAGCGTCCACCGCTTTTCTTTCGCAATGCCTATTCGCAACCCTTTCGCTCGTCGCCCTGGCAGTGTTATCGTTCAAGATGAGAACCAGCGCCCTGATTCTACCCCTGGCTTCGAGAAAGTCGACACTGTCGGCTCCAAGTCCACCCCTGTTTTAAGCATTCGAAGTCAAGGTCGCGACAATGGCGAATACAAGATGAGCGGTATGTCAACCGGCCCTGGTCGCTTCCCGTCTCTCATGGCCTCCCCCTCTACCTCCGTAGTGGGGGGGCAAGTCATGAAGAGGCGCATTTGGCATCTTGTCACAAGACCAGAGGGACTTGGCTAATTTGTCTTTACGCAACAGTTGTCAACGACAGTGGCGTCTATCTTCCTGTAAGTCGATTTAGCCCAACGTGCATAATGCCAGATTTGAAGCTAACGGTCGCAAAGCCATCACCTACTGAGGAAAAGGGCCAGTGGCCTCGAAAGTACCTCTCGACCCGCAACTCGACAGATACTCGAAGCAGTTCTGGCGACATTGAACATTTCTCTATTTCCCGCGAGTCCTTTGATTCCTACCGCCGATCTTTCGTATGTATTTCCTATCATCTGCTTTTTCAAACAACCATCCGTCAAATCAGATATGCTTCGCATTTGCTCAGCGCACGACTAACATGAGCAACAGGACATTTCTGCACGATCGCCAATGCCCAACAGCGATTTCCCAACGCGCCAGAGCCTTGACTCAGCACGTCTTCCCCGACTACCTAGATCTGCGGTCGAGCGATCATTCGAGCAGCCGCCAACCGCCGAGGAGCGTTTTGAAGACGTTGGACTGGACGATCATAAGCAGCAACAACAGCAGCTGGCTCCCCAGGCACAGCCTCAGAAGCGGGGATTTTTCTCGAAATTCTCCGACAAGGACAGCTCGAGCAATCCTACTGTATCCCGTTTCCTCATGCATGGTCGCAAAAGAGCCCAGAGCGGCCAAGGTTCGGAGCTCACTCCCATGGACAACGCATCGCCCAAGGTGACTGTCTCAACCGATGGTCAAGAAATGCAATGATATGCACGATCAAAGTTTTGTTCTTCTACATTGTATTAGAGATACCTGGAGTTTTCGTTTACATTCTCGGCGTTTTCGGTTGGCTAGGTCGGGATAATGCTAGAATCGCATTCGCTATGAGACTATCCTGGGTATACCTTGATGGTGAATCAAGGGTTGGATGAATTGTGCAAAGAGCATTTGTGGGCTGAACGTTGAGTTGTAATGCCCAGACGGACAAGCAACATGTGCTCTGGGCCGTGTCCCTCGAAGAGGATCGAATATGAGCTACATAATGATAATGAGAAGAGACATATGTTTCAGTGTACCTGTATAATGGCTTCGAGTGGTCGCTGGTCATCAGGGTGAGGACATTACAACCATAAGCTATAAACTCTCGGCCTCGGTTACAGAAGTATAAACTGAGTGGATGCTTGAGTTTAACGAGCAACCGATCCAGCGTTACATTGTCGAAGCTGATGCGATATTAATTGGATAATTATGTTTCAGCTTATATTCAGCATAACAGGATCTTGCCATAGGGCGTGGTAATATAGCCGATGACGGAGACAGTCCAGTAAAAGAAACCGTAGAATTGTTCCTGCGGCTGCATCCACTTGTAATTGCGTGCTTGTCATTGCTAGATTCCCTAGAGGCCCCGCTCTATTACTCGGAGGGCGCCAGACATGAACAGATATAGAAACAGACGAAGCCGAGTTTAACTTCTGTCTCTCTCTGGTTTTCTGGCAACCTGTTCTCTATGAGTCAACAGCATTGAGGACGTGCCAATTGGGCTAACTCCCCAGTCTTTATTCGTATCAAAGATTGCCCCTCACCTGGACTACTATATCAACTTTACAAATTTCCATCAAATTCTCAAAACAACTGAAAAGACAAAGACGGAGATCATGGCCTCTGACGAAGTTCCTACCAACCTCAAGGACGTCTCCTCGGCACCGGACGGTACAGCCGGGGCCCGGACCGGACTTGATAGCTCCCTCGCCGGGCTGTCACTGGCATCCCGCGCTGTTCATGCCGATGAGGGTATCCAGTCACACAGAGCCGTTGCGCCGGCTATGCATGTCAGCACGACTTTCAGGTACAGCGATGACCCTGACGCGCTGAAGGCCTGGGATAATACTGATGTAAGTGTGCATCTTTCCTCGTCTTGATTTGCTGCAGGTATCTCCACAAGAGACTCTCAGATGGCCGGGAATATTATGACCGGAGTCGATCCAAGACCATCATGAAACTCTCTGACAGCTTTCTGACTTCTCATGACGACTCTTTGCTAACTTGTGTAGCCCCATAACCCTCTAGACTCTCATGTCTACTCTCGAGCAACTGGTCCTAACACCACTCGTCTCGAGGCAATTCTCACATCCGTCATTGGCGCTCCAACGATTACTTACTCTTCTGGTCTGTCTGCTTTCCACGCCATGTTGGTCCATCTGAACCCTAAGCGTATTGCAATTGGAGATGGCTACCACGGCTGCCACGGGGTGATCAGCATTCTCTCTCGTCTGACAGGTCTCAAGCAACTGCCTTTGGACTGTGCTGTTGAGGACCTCGAGCCTGGCGATGTCATCCATGTCGAGACGCCCCTTAACCCTACTGGCGAGGCACGCGATCTTGCAGCATATGCAGAAAAGGCCAAGAAAGCTGGTGCTTACCTGACTGTTGATGCGACATTTGCACCACCTCCGCTGCAGGATCCTTTCAAGTATGATGTTGATGTTGTCATGCATAGCGGTACAAAGTACTTTGGTGGTCACTCTGATATGCTCTGCGGTACGCTATCTGTCAACCGCAAGCACAGAGACTGGGAGAGCGCTCTCCTCAACGATCGCCTTCTTCTTGGTTCTGTTATGGGTAGCTTGGAGGGGTGGCTGGGTATCCGCTCCCTGCGAACTCTCGAGCTCCGCGTCCAGCGCCAGAGTGCTACAGCTACTGCACTTGTTGCCTGGTTGGCTGAGCAGCAGCGCGATCCTTCATCTGCGATTGGCGCCCTCGTCGAGCGTGTCCAGCACGCCAGTCTCCAGCCCGAAGCATCAGTCGAGGGTAGCTGGTTGCAGAAGCAGATGCCTAATGGCTATGGCCCTGTTTTCTCAGTGTATCTTCGCGATGGAGATGTCGCCAAGCGACTGCCATCCAAGTTGGAGTTGTTCCACCATGCCACTAGCTTGGGTGGTGTTGAGAGTTTGATTGAGTGGCGTGCGATGACTGATCCTAAGATTGATAAGAGACTTTTACGAGTGAGCATCGGTGTTGAAGGTCTTGAAGATCTCAAGAACGATTTGCTCCAAGGCCTGGAGGCTTTAAGAAAGGAAAAGGAAAAGGGGGTCAGTGAATGAAGGGGATAAAGAATTAGAACAGACAGTCATTTTTTGATAGAGAAGGAAGGAAAAACAGAAACGTTTTGTTTATAGAGAAAATGAAAAATGCATCATGGAAATGAATATCCCTACAATGGCTTGCATTGGTTAAATGGCTCGTCCATGAGACAGAGAATGTTGTGATATATCAGATATACACAGACCATGATGAAAAGAGAGAGAGGATTTGTATGAAAAGATCACAACACTGGTCTAGCACAATCAAAGGAATGTGACTGTCCGATCTAAGAAGAGATGCCATACAAAATGGGGGAAACATGTAAACCCAACATAAGCCATGTATGTAAGTCAGGCTGTGTTAGAGAGAGGAGAGACAGAGAAATCTGGAAAGAAAAGGAGGTAAGAAGAGAGGAAAACAAGAAATAAAATGAAAGAAATCGAGACGCAATGAAGAGTACTATGCTCCTCTAGATGCCTTTTCTCCAAAAGTTGTGTCTGCGCACTTGGAATCGTTGTTTAGCATTGAAGTTGAAGTGGTGTCGAATCTTAGGCGTTGATGTGGCGAAGCTCATTCTTGAGGGGGTAACCAGAGGCCAAACCAATTGCTGAGTGGTTTGTACTTGACTTCCCGGCTACGGAGATATATGTTAGTGGATTTTCCCTGTTATTGGTGAGTTATAGACGTACCGTGAGCGATCATTGTCGGCAAATGAGCCAACTCCTCGAAGATCTTGCTCCGCTGACCTGGGCTCCATGTGTCGATAGTCCACGGATCTGTTGTCAAGGCGGTAAGATGTAGAGCCTCGAGAGGAAGCTGGGGGAGCATTGTGATAGTGGCCATCATGCGGTCGGTGGGGGATAGAAGTCCTCAAAGGCGGCGCGAGAAAGTCATTGGCTACAGCATGTGTCTGATATGGAGGTGCTTCCTGAGTTCGAGAGGGAAATGTGGGAGAGTCGCTAAAGGCGGGAGATGTCGTGGGAGTTGTGAGATCAGAAACAGCATCCATTACATTCGAGGGATCGTGGCTGTACTGTTGGCCGAGCCATTGGTTAACCATCGTCTGGCGTCTGTCGTAGGCTTGGGGGCTTGGTCGCCTCCAGGCCTGGGACTGGTCTCTTGGTGATGTGTTGGCTGATGTTGTTCTCTGGTAGTTGGAATCCCAGCTGCCTCTGACAGCTTCCTCGCTCCAGTTCCTAGAGCTCTCTGTGTTGTAGATTTGGCCGTAGTGGCGCTGGTGGTGGTCTTGTCGACGACTCATGGTTGCTTGAGAGTGAGGTCGTTGATGATTGGTTGATTGCGTGTAAGTGGTTAAGTGGGTGTTGTTTGAAGGCAAGGCAGTGGAGAGTTAGTAGCGATGGTCAAATAGAACTGGGTACCTATGGACTGAATTGTTTGATGAAGTGGATAGATTAACTCGAGTCTGAATGCATCTTTTTTAACCATGATGTATTGAATTTTCCTCGACATATGTCACTTCCCATTGTTTGGATGCCTCTACTCAAGCATGCTTCAACTGAGTTGCGGTCGTGGCTGAAGCTTCCCTATTCGCGGGGACGCCGGGAGGCCGCAGCTTTCGGCCAATAAGAAACGCCCGCTCCTCGGAACCCCAGCGATAGTTGATCGTGGCCGTGCAGAGGAACTCTCTCCAAGGGCCTGGGTTTGGCCCTGGGACCCCCTGGAGCCGTCAGCAAGCTTACTGGAAGCAGGCTAGAGTCAGAACGTTATGCAGGGAATTGGAAACAAAGACGTCAGTCTTCGCAGGCCGCCGAAGTTGCTAGCCTTATTCCGGTATCAAAATTAGATGGCTTTCCTAGGATGGATACAGGCCCTGGGTTGTTATTATGAGGCTCAGCCAATGACGGGGACGAATTGGCTATGGAAAGTGAAGTCACCAACGTCACGCGATGTATTCTTGATCAAAAGTTGTCTTGTCAAAGATTTTTGAGGGAGCCTGTCGATGCATCGTGAGGTTTTTCATAATGCAAGGAGCGTTGGTCGGGCAGATTGTGCCAATAGCTCTGGCGTAGAAGTACCTGGATTGCTATGGAACAGCTTTGAATATGAAAATATTCCAGAGACAACATTTGACAACACAGAGCATACTTTGGGATCACAATTGTCCCAGATACAAATGCCCAGGAATTATTCACACCTTCAGTCATCACAAGTCTCTCACAGCTCGTATCATGACTCTCGGGGGCCACCAAAACCAGGCTTCATGAAAACCCAGTAGCAACAAAACTTGACGCAGTCACTAATACTCAGTACTCTCGGCAAGAGCGCCTCCCGATCGGTTCCATGTGAACTGGCCAACTAATTCAGCCATCCCGTGAACCAATGCAGCCACATGCTGCATCATTAAACCTCCGAAACAATCGCTTAGAGGCCCTGGGAGCTGTTCAAGCGCGATAGGGCTGAGCAACTAACCAGAATCGCGCTTGAATGCTCAAATTAGGATCAGAAACAGGGTTTAAGCGCTTGATAACCTTCGCCAATCTTGGAGCTGGTTGCTGGAAGCGTAACTGATGTGCTTGGCTTGCTGCGCTTCCAGAAACGATCAGCTGTGCCACTGGGCTGTGTAGGTGTCAGCCCTGTGCACGTCCCCCTCATGATGTTTCTCTGTGCCGCGTCAAGCGCAGGGGTTTGGCACCAGGCTCGCCTTTCATTGGTCGAAACAGACGCTGCAGAAGCGCGAGCGGGTCCCGTCTTGCATGAGGCGCCATGACCATGATGCTCGTCCCCTTTTCGCTGCCTCCTGGCCTCTTTGTATCCAATCTCTACAACACCACCACACAACCATCACCAACCTCCTCCCTCCCTCTTGAGAAGAGGGAGCATGTGCAGGCTACAGAGTCTCGTTTCTGGGACTTGCGGCCGCAGTTGACCACCTAGTCAATGCTCCAATGGCCCGATTCCCCCTTTTCCGCCTGCCTACCAAGCTGCGGCGCAGGGTCAGGCGTAATCGCATGGCTACCCTTATAGCCCTCGTCGTCCTCGTTGGCCTCCTAATCTTTCCCTTCTACTCGGCCTATTGCGTCTACAAACCTCCGAGATACCTCATCAATTGGCTGCGGAGGAAGTACCCAGACGTCCTGTTCGAAGAGCCCACCGACCAGAAGATCATCGCCCTATCTATCGACGATGCGCCGTCCGCCCACACCGATGATATCATGCAAGTCCTGGAGGAGAATGAGGCCCACGCTACCTTTTTTGTCATAGGATCTCAGGTTGAGGGTCGCAAGGATAAGCTCGTCAAATTGGTTGCAAAGGGGCATGAGCTGGGAAACCATGCCATGCATGATGAGCCCTCCAAGTCACTCAGCAACGAAAAGCTGCTGGAGGAAGTCCACCTCGTCAAGGACATGCTGACGGAGGCATACGCCGCCAACGGTCAGATCCTCCCCAACAATTACTTCCGTCCAGGATCTGGAATATTCAACAGACGGATGCGAGATGTGTTGGGAAACCAGGGTTTTCGCATCACTCTGGGCAGTGTGTATCCTCACGACCCCCAAATACCATATCCTGATACCAACGCGAAGCATATACTGAGCATGGCTCACCCGGGAGCTATCATTATCTGTCACGACAGGAGATCATGGACTGTGCCCATGTTGCGCACTGTTCTTCCTGAACTCAAACGGCAGGGGTATCGGATTGTTACCATCACAGACCTTGTGAAGGCGGTGTCGTCTCAAAACCAACGGCAACAACATCTTTGAACTCTTGTGAGCGTTTCTTTTGCCTATGCATGCATTGATCCGGGGATTACTAGAATGTTTGGATATGGTCTAGGGTATAGATTGGTTTGTCAATCAGGTAACATTAGAGTGTAATTTTTAACGACCCGTCTTCTTCTATGAGTTTGTGTATGTTGTATCTGGGTGATGTTAATCTGTGACAAGTCAGCTTTGTTCTTGACGGAGAGAGAAAGTATTCATACGTGAATCTAAGTGTGCCTGTGACGATGGAACGGCACCCATCAACGTATCTCTTCACGATAGCATGTGTTTGTTCTTGAAACTCAGTCTTCCGAAGCAACATATTCGCTGCATCATCGAAGTTGTTGACTGCCATTTTCATCCTTTCTTCCAGCTTAGCAACCACAGCATCCAAGCTCATGCCAGGCTCCATGATGGCTGCAACGGCATTGATGACACAATCGGTCCGCAACTCCTTCTTCAGCGACAGCATATCATTCATCAAGCTCTGGAGAATGCTCACTTGTGTCCATAAATGAACGATCTCTGGAGCTGACAATAACGCTCCTGGAAGCCTCTCGTCGGTTGCATATGGTACAAGACTGCAGAGCATTCTCCCACCGACAGTGCCGATCCTCATCTTCATGTACGGCTCATAATCAGGTATGCGACTGGCCAGACGGAGTTCCTGCTCAGCTGCGCAGCTGTTGATGAAGAATTGGATCTCATCGTGTAAGAGGCGCCGTTGATCCCTCGGCGCCGTCTGACAGAATCGCGCACCGAACTCTCTAAACACGCCATTGATGGGGTCGTCATCCGCTTCACTCGTATTCCTTTCGTCAACGGCCAATGCCTCACGCACCATGCGCATAGTCTGCCCCCTCCAACGCTCTGCGCGCATAAAGTCACCCGCCAGATCGCCCTCGTTAGCATCAACAGCATCATCCCAGCAAACAAGCCACGTCGTATAGAGAGTCAAAGCTTCGATCTGCCGCCTACGAGCTTGGGGATATAGTGAACAAGCCAGAGAAGCAATGTTGTCCTTTTTTCGAAAGGCGATCAACGGATATGCCATAGCCATGCGCTCAACCGCTCGATTGACGATTGGCGTAACGTGCTCATGATGGCGGTTGAGTTGACCTTGAGGATTAGGCCAAACCCGGAAGAAATTATGAAGATTAGGAATTGGTAGTGTTTGGCCGCGAAGGGCATCTACTATTGCGGCTTGGTTCAGATGTGAGTATTTCATGAGCAAGACATTGATCAGTATCAGCAGCGAAATATTTCGGGTTTGAAGATCTGGAAGCCCCGGGCTAGAGAAGTGGTCTAGGTTAAGCCTAAATCATCAGCTATTCATTCCATTGACATAAAACGGCGTAACGATGACCCAAAACCCCGGGTTCGATCAAATGGCTGAAACTAAAATAGATTCCAGAACATGTGTGCATTTGCGTGATTGAAATAATACAACAGGAGTGCATCGTAAGACATTTAGTTGCTGAAGCTGTTTTTTGTGAGTGTTCATGTTTAAGGTATTAGATAATTTCTAGTACGCAAAGCTCAACTATCATGTACAGCCTCAACAAACAGCAATTCTGCCCCTACTATGGCAGCCCAGGTCACCACCACCTTAGTCGGGAATAAGATGGAAGCATAAATTGGATTGGTTGCCATCCGGTAGTTTATCTCTCACACCCTCAACAAAGAAAGTTCAAAAGCCAGACGCGTCACATAGAAAAACGCAGACGCCACAACAATGAGAAGCTGCCCAAAACTCAAAACCTCAACGGGCACACATGAAAGAAGAAAGAAAAAGATAGAAAAGTCAACACCAAGGGCTACGTCAAATCATTGCCCAAACTTGGATATCCTTACGCAGTCTTTTGAGCTCCTACTCTAATAATACCAAATTGCCGTTTGAGTTAGAGTAAGGCGTGTTTCCGATCCTGCAGCGGCCCTTGTACCTTGTACAATTGCCGGGGTCCAAGGGAGACAGTCCAAGCAAAAGTCAAAAAAGCAACGAGCACCGCATGAAAATGCTCGTTGCTAATTGATGAGAAGTTTCACAATGTCTCATTCTGCTGCACATGTATTTTAACATTCAGACTGTTGCAACGGTTGAAGATCAGCAGTTTCAACTTAACTCAAATCAGTAGCACCAAGATCATCCCTCTCGAAACGGAAATCGGAGTATGAAAAGGAAAAATTGCCGTTTATGGCGAGTGTGTAGGTAGGTAGCATGACCAAGTATCCATCTAGATACAACATCATGAAACAGAATCATCCAGCAAAAGAAAAAAGGTATCCATCCATCCATTCATCCATCCAGTCCTTATTCCACCCTGGTCCTATCAAACGCCCCATTGGAACCTGTGTCCGGTCAAACACTCTTGAGCATGTGAGCATCAGACACGGTCCTTTCATCCAAAGTAACCCAAACCAAACCAAAAGAGACGTGATCAAAGAGAAAAATCTTCAACGAGTGAATAGATGCCGCTTCGTAGAGCAACCAGTAACTATGTACCTTTTTAGTCATGTCTGCCATTGTCCAACTGAGGACCCCCTTCTCATGGTCGTAAGATGTCTATTAAATATATACTGCCGAATCAAGAAACCGGAGTGCCGGTGTAGAGTGCGCCTTTGGATCAAATCCACTGTGGTGTCGTAGGCTTGGCGTGTGACACCTCAGGGAAGAAGCTGAGGATGAGGCTCTGAACGTCGCTGAGATACTCCTCGGGGGAGAACTTGTTCAGACCTCTGGACTTCATGTATCGGTGGTCCTCCTCATCCTCCTTGGTCGTCGGCTTGGTGCTGTACTCTTCGGCGAGCTCGGTGACTTGTGCAAGCTCGTGACCAAATGGGTGTGAATCCTTGAGAGCTCGCTGCTGGAAAGATGGCGGGGGGACTGGAGCGACTGCGGGGACTGCTGGAACAGGCATTGGGGGAGCCTTTTGGGCCTGGCTTGCAGAGACATATGAAGCTGATGACGCCCTAGTAGAAGTTGACGATGATCGCGAAAAGGTGAAGCTGGCCTTGGTTGATACTGAGTGCTCTGAGTCCCTGGACATCTGCGAGGTGGATCGTTGACGGGCGAGCGCTTCGTAGGAGTTCTGCTTAGTGTGCGAAGGCGAACGCTTAGGAATCGCAGGAGCCTCGGAGATCTTTGGCAGGACAGCTGGCTTGTCCGAGACACTGAAATAGGTTGACAGATGGTTCGGCTTAGGACCTGGGCACTCTTCGACAGGAGATACATCCGGGCTCGTAGGTGGAGTTGACTCAGTAGTTGAAGGAGCCTCGGATTCTTCGCCAACGGAACGCAGAGACGACTTGCTGCGGAGAGCAGCATGCGGGATATCGGGAGCGTTATAGGAGAGCATGTTGGTTGTGTGAACAAGCTGAAGTGGAGCAGAAATCTGGTGTCGTAGAATAGGATGCTGTCTATCGCGGGCCGAGTTACTACGGTGCGGCACTTGAACTTGTTGCTCTCCCATCTCGGTCTGGCCAGCCATTTTGGCCTTTCTAGTTGTGAAAGCGCGTGAGAGCGACATGGTTGAAGATTTGGGAATTTGGATTTTCTGAGTTACGTCTTTTCTCGAAAAGCTTGTTGGTTTTTGGCCGGGTTCTAAGTGAGTTTGTGGGGTGACGAGGAGTTGCTGCTAGTGAACAACAACGTCTTGTGATAAGAGGGATCGTCGAAAGGGTCGTGCCACTGACTCTTGACACCGATTTACTTTTTGAGGCAAGTTTTGCTTGGAACTATTGCCAGACAAGGAGCAAAGAATGTTGGTGTGAGGTGATTTCGGTTGACGTTGAATGCGTAGTGAGACAAGGAGTCCAGTCCTTTTGAGTTTGTGGATAAAGTGTCCGTGTGAGATCCGACTTCTGGAGCGGAAGATCAACGTCTGGCGTGATTCGATGTGAATGTGTCGGTTCTTCGAGAAAGACAGTGATTTACGTTGACCAGCCTTGCAGTGACAACGTGAGAATGTGCTGGTTGTAAAGGAACGTTCAACGTCGAAAATAGGTGTATCGGTCGGTATCCGTGAGGTTGTTTGATCGATCCTGCGACGAAGGGATACAAGAAAAGAGTAAGAGTGTAAATGAAGGAAGATAAAGAGGTTCTGGCAGAGGCAGAGAGATATAGAGTTAAATCAATGCACACTGAGAAGCAAACACGATCGAGAGAGCGATGGATCGTGATACTTCGTATTTTCGAGAAGAATTGAAGATACAGGCCTTTTCCGACGTATGCAATGCAAGTTTGTCGAAGGACAGAGGCAGAGGCAAAGGAGAGAAAGTCAAGCGAGCAAGCACTTGAGAATAGATGGAGAGAATCGAACTGAACGGCAGGCGTGGGGACGGGGGGATGAAACAAAAGATATGGGGACCCAAGCCCTGCTAACAACTGCCTGATTAGAGAGCTGAAGCCGAACCTTCGGGCAGTGAACAGTACTCAGCGGAGGTGGGCACCGGCCTTTCACTGTAAGTTTAGCGCACACCTGGCCACGAAGCCCGTGAATTGGAGGGCAGCTAGACTCAGGCTAACCCAGGCTAACTCAGGTTCACTTCAGGCTTTGACTTTTGGCCTTTGCAACGGCCCGGCCATCCCCCCCTTGTGGCTATCCCTAGACAAAGACCCATGTCCCTGCAATTAAGCCCTCGTTGGCCGACTCCCCTGGCTAGAAGAACACTTGAAGCAAAGAATCCTGGTCTCGCGTCAATAGGGTCAGCCAATCGCGTGTATTCTCTCTCTTCCTCTACCCCTTGTCACTTTATGTGATCGGTCCACTGATTTGGTTTTTCCTCTCTTGTCTGCATGGGAAAACCCGCGACCAGCGCCAACAGGAAGGGCGAGAAAAGAAAGAAGAAAAAAACCAGCTGATGTCTGCAGATCCGTGGCTCAGGTGTCGTGCAGATTCTTCTACGGAATTGCGTGTTTGTTGTTCCCTTGTCTTGGAACTCGCTATCGCTATCAGAAAGTATAGAACAATAATGGTGTACACGATCAAGCCCAAGAACGCCAATGGTGATACACGATCGATGATACACGCGTACCTACAGTACCCTAATTGTTTCTTTTTCGTCTCTTAATTCGTTACAGCTTAGAAACAAACATCTTTGCTTTGTTTCTTTCCCCTTCTGCCTTGATTTCTAAGTACACCGGAACCAAATGGTGAGGCCTTTGTTTCTCAGCTAGCATATGCACGTCTATGTTGGCTTCCCACCAACATGGAGCTCTCTCTTGGGCCATTCACCATCAATCTTGACCCTCCATCCTCAACATATCCCACCATTCATGGCGGCGACGTGACCCGCGCGCTACAGCAAAGCAAACCAAAGCAGAGCAAGGAGGACCCATTTGAGTGATGAACGGGGCCGACATGGAAAAAATTCTATTCTATCAATCGGGTTACACCGATCGCCAGGGGATGGATGCAAGCACTCAACTCCAGTGCAGTGCAGACGCCCAATTCTTCTTTGACAGCTTGGCTGGCTGGATGCAGAATATGCGTTCGTATGTGATGTGTTGTTATTGCATGACCAGCTCATACACAGGTAAATTGAAGATCATCACCAGGAACTGACTAAATGGGCTGAATTGTACATCAACACTCGAAAGCCACACCGTCCACGTCTCGTCTCAATTTCCTGACAAAAAGTACCTTCACGTAGTAATTGAGTCGTGGCCATGGCCTTTCGGAAATGACTGGAGCTTCCTCAGGCACATCAGGGAACAAGCCTTCAGACTCTGGTTGACCATTCTCCCTCAATCAACTCGTCTCTAAGCCTCAAGAAGTCCTTAATTGGGTCAACGGCTTCAGCGACATTACCGTTTTCTCCTGTTTCAGGCCCTTGTGCCTGCGCAAGCGGATCCAACTAGAGCCCTGAACTGTGATGTGATGGCGTCTAAGTCCGTAGAAACTACGAGATGCCTTACTGGACAGGCAGAAAAAACAGCATGACCCTCCCTGTTCCTGCTTAATGCCGTGTGTTTTGGGGGCTGGTAGATCCTCCGCTTTCGATAAACGAAATGTTGAACATGGCATGGTCACAGCTTTTGTCTTCTCCGCTGTGAGAGGATTACTCCGTCGGTTGCAAGGTACCTTGAATACGTAAATTGCTGCATCATGAGAATTCCCGTAAATACATGATGTTGAGTAAGTATTTAATGTCTGTCCTCAGAAACCTCTCTTTCATGTAATACCCACCGTTTAACTAGTATATTCTCGTGGATGTTCTGCAGTGACGTGATCTGCTCTTCAACCGACTCCTAGCTATGGGCCCAGCGCACAGAGGTCTCATTTCGCAATGTCCACCCTCACGTTCGTCTTGTCTTGGACTGTCTGAGATTGGTCCTTGACAATGCATTCGCGCGACTCAGTGCCACCGCCCTATTTTCGGCGCCTGTGACGTGTGAACGTCTGTTCTCAGACAACCTAAAGATGACGGCTTGGTTCGTGAGCCATCTCAGACCATCTAAGAGGACCCTTGATTTTCCCTTTCCACCAGCTATCTTGTCATGCTCACATATTGTTTCTATGCTCATCTCGTTCCGCCGCTCACTAAAAAAAGAACCCAAGATTGTTTGAAGATCAGATCCAACTTTTCCATTCCTGTTCAGAAACCTCGTCTATCTAGTCAATTTGTAAACCCCCCAATATCCATCCCGCTGTGAAACAGTTCCTGTGCGCCAGTGTGCTTCATTCATGCAGAGTACTCTTTTTCTCAGGAGTCGACCTCCAGAGCGGGCAAGACATGATCTTCGCTACAATCGACCATTGCCAATGCTCTCTAGGGGTCGCCGCGCCATTGTCCACTGAGACAATGATCTCATCCAGCCTCAACCTAGGCCGTAGATCTGTCCAAAATCTTGATTCGAAACGTTTTCAATAAATCAGAGATTCGTCTAGTCCTCATCCATCGAATCATCATCGTCCTGCTTGTCATCTTCCTCATCGTCATCGTCGGAGCTGTCATCGTTGTTAACGCCCACGAGGCGATCTTCACCCTTCCCGCGCTGCTCGGGCACCCGCTGAGCAAAGGCCTTGCGCACCGACGCGTTGGTGCTGGTGTCCCACACGTGCATTGTTCCCTTGCTGCCGGCGACGGCGAGGCGGAAGGCAACCTCCGGGTCGGGCGCGAACGTGGTGGAGAAGACCTTTCCGACGTCGAGGTTGCGCGAAACCACCACCGAGGGCCCTGTGGGCTGGATGTTCCACAGCTTGACCGTCTTGTCGGTCGAGCCGGTCACCATGTAACCGGGGACCACGGGGTTGATGTCGAACGAAGACACAGACTCATCGTGAGCCTGGAGCGTCCAGACAGCCTTGGTGCCCGTAGGGTCGGACGGCGCATTGCGGACGTCGTGGTAGTGGATGACACCGTTCTCCGTCGACACGAAGAAGAAGTTCGGGTCGTGAGGATCCCACCGCACATTCTCGACGTCGCTCTCGACGCCCCATCGGGGAGGCTTCGCATCTGGCGCACGCATATCGGCAGCCACCACAGTTCGGTCGTAAGAACCGCTAAGCAGAACGGTAGGCTCGTTCGCGTGCCACGCAAGTGAGCACACTTTGTCGGTGTGATAAGTATACGACTTGGCGCACTTTGCCGTGTTGAGATCCCACAGCTTGACCGTCTTGTCGGCAGAGGCTGAAGCCATCAGGTTGCGATGCTTGCGGTTCGCAGCCAACGACAGGACAGCGTCAACGTGGTACTCATCGTTGGACTTCTTGGACTTCTTCTTCTTCTTCTTTGACTTCTTCTCCTCCTCGTTGCCTCCCTGGCCGAGGATCGCATTGGGGTACATGCAGTCGATGGTGTCCAGATCCCACACCTCAATATCGGGGTCCATTGTGCCAACGGCGACGAAGTTACCCGTCGAGTCCTTCTCTGCACCGGGCTTGTTGACGGGCATGTCGATCCACTCGACACACAGAGGGATGGCCGGGAGCATGATGTCGTGGTGGACGTAAAGGTTATCAGCCTCATCCTCGTAAACGAAAACCTCGAGGTGCGCCATCTCGTCTTCCACCTTGGCAGCCACGATAAGGTTGTCCGTCGCAAGAATCTGGAGCTCTTCCCGGTCCTCATCCTCCTGTTCCTTGTCGGCATCAATTGTGATGTAGGGGTCGTCCTTATTCGACTCGTAGTAGGCCAGCGACTTGATGTTACCAAACATGCCCATGCCCTCGCCGTTTCCAGGCTCATCCTCACCGTCGTCGTTGTCGTAGTTTTCCAAATCATATTCTTTTAGGTCATCATCATTAAGGTTGATCCTGAGGCCTTCAGTCAGCCTCTGTCCTCCACTTCTCAGATATTTGTTAGTTACGTACTCTGTCTTCTCGGTTGGCTTGTCTTCATCAATCTTCATCTCTGAGTCCTCTTCATTGTCCTCGGTCTCGTTAGCCTTTGCGCCCTTCTGCGCAGCTTCAGCTTCCTCAAGATCCCCTTGGGCGTCGTCCAGTTGGAGCTTGGCAAGCTCCGCTATCCGCTCAAACTCTGCCTCGTCTAGGGTATACTTCTGAGGGAAAGGCGCAGCGAAGCCCCTAGGGACCCACTGCGCGGCTGTAATCATGGAAGACATGGTGATTGTCTGGGTATCCTAAAATGGTGTTGTGAAAGTCCAGCTTGCATCGGTAGGTGGGCACCCAGATAAATTTCTCCCAAAATTTCTAGTGGGGTTTATCGATAAGAGGCCAACCCACTAGGGGACCTTGGCTAAGGTGCCTAAGGTAGGGGGGGGCGAGAAATCTTAGGACTTCGATCCTATACCGATAAGAAGATTTAGGTTAGTTGGCATAAGCTTAAGGGTCTCTTTAATGGGCTTGTTCTGGCATCCGGTCTTAGGGTCTGAAGTTTTCTTGCTCCAGGAGCTTGTCCTGAGAGTGCAAGAAACTATCACTTATTAGTATCAATATGGCTTGTCAAGATGTTATTACAATATTACTACCTTTATATCATAATATTAAGAAGTAAGGCAAGTGAGAACTATTTTATGATTTAGTAAGATATGGCCATGTGCCTAAAATGGCTTGCTAAATAGAGCTGCAAGTAACCAAGCTTAGGCTAGAATACTAGAAACTCATCCAAGGCGCCGCTTAAAACCCCCTACCGCGTCTCTTTATGACGGGCTTTTTGACTGCACCTTGTGTTACAAACTTCTTACCGTCTGCCCCTATCTTCTTGCTCTTCTTTTGAGTCCGTTCTTCTTCCATCTGTTTCCTTTCTTCATCCTTCCGCTTGTCATCAGCCATCTTGGCTTCAATCTCCATCTTTCGGTTGAATTCTGTTTCAGTGATTCGTTTATCTCGAACCGAATAGCCCTTTTCCTTGACTGAGTAGAAGACACCACCGAGATCTGCAAGCCAGTGGGGGTCCACGGCTGTCACTGTCGAAACATAGACCTTCGAGGTGAGGATCAACTCGTGGTAAACGATATAATCCGGTGGGTGCCCTGCATATAATGCGCTTGTTGGGTGCAGCTGTACACCAAGGTTGGTACGCAGGTTGATATACTCGCCTGAGCCTTTGTATTTGGCTGCTTGGTGGTAGTATCCCGAGCAAATGCACTTGCGGACAATGTCCCAGTCCATTCCACAGCTTGTCAATTCCATCTTTTGCATACGAACAATATCCAAAAGCTGTTCACGAATTTCTTTGGCTCGCCTCAAAGATTTTGGGTGTAGAAAGTGCTTAACACACCAACCGTCGGAGTAACCGTTGGCCTTCCAGTTTGTGTAAACCTGGAGGTATGTCAAATGATCTGACTCATGCACCCAGAATTTCTCGCGGGCAGCATCGGCTTCTTCTTGTCTCTCCTTTGGTCGGTAAAAAACGTTTGGCACGGACAGCATAGAAACAATGGTAATCATCTCTTCACTGCAGCCGTATTCTTCTGCTGTAATGAGAAGCTTAGCCAGCGAGGGGTCCATGGGGAAAGCACTCATTTTCCTTCCAAGATCAGTAAGTTCACCGAGATTGTCAAGTGCACCAAGAGCCCATAAATCAAACATTGACGTCGTAATAGTGTCTTGTGGAGGAGGGTCCATAAAGTCAAAGTCCAAAAGGTCCTTGACGCCGAGAGATTTCAACATCAGGACAGTGTTAGCAAGATTCGTGCGCTGGATTTCAGGAATAGTCTGCAAGTATAGATCTTCCTTAAACTCTTTTTCTGAGTACAGTCGAAAGGCCTTTCCAGGCCCGGTTCGACCGGCTCGTCCTGAACGTTGCGAAGCGTTGGCCTGCGAGATGGGTGTGATCTGAAGCGTGTCCATGCCGATTTTCGGATTGTAGACCTTCATCTTGGAGTAACCAGCATCCACGACGTATTTAATACCATCGACCGTCAGACTGGTTTCAGCAATATTGGTGGCAACAATGCATTTTCGTACACCAGGGGCAGCCTTGTCAAAAATCTTTGCTTGCAGATCTGCGGGCATTTGACTGTATATAGGTAAGATACTCAGCTTTGGGGGGTCGTTGAGGGCATCAAGTCGTTTTTGGATAAGCTCGCAAGTGATCTCGATGTCTTCTTGGCCTGTCATGAACACCAGAATATCGCCAGGGCCCATTGAAACATGGATTGACAACACTTGATGCACTGCCTGGTCCACATAATCCTCGACGGGAGACCGATGGAACATAACGTCAACTGGGAAAGTTCGTCCAGGAATGATGAACTCGGGTGCACCACCAAAGAAGTCTGAGAAGCGTTTCGAGTTCATGGTGGCCGATGTGACAATGAGCTTCAGGTCGCGACGCCTCTGTAATATCTTCTTGAACAAACCCATCAGAATATCTGTGTTCAAGGCACGCTCGTGGGCCTCGTCCATGATGACACATGAATATCGATCCAGATCAGGCTCGTTGAGGGATTCTCGCAAGAGAACACCATCAGTCATGTATTTGATGACTGTCTCTTTGCTGGTGCAGTCTTCAAAGCGAATCGCATAACCGACTGTGCTTCCTAACTCAACCTCCATCTCTTCAGCAACACGCTTAGCTACACTCATTGCAGCCACGCGTCGCGGTTGTGTACATCCAATCATGCCGGTCTTTCCATATCCGTCCTCTTGCAGGAACTGTGTCAGCTGTGTCGTCTTGCCAGAACCTGTCTCGCCAACACAGATGACAACTTGGTTTTCTCTAATGACACTGAGAAGGTCTTCACGTACTGCAAACGCGGGCAGATACTCCCGTTGCTCCCGTAGGGTCTTGCTCTGGCTGAAGTTACTCGCGCCATCGGCCTTCTTCATATGTGCGCTGAATTTATTACCCTTGCGCTCACTCGGTTCGGCGTTATCCTCAGCAGGCACTGGTAGTGCAGAATCGCCGTCTTCCTCTTTTACACCCATAATATTTCCAAGAGTCGTTCCGGTCATGCTTGTGGCTTCCTTGGCCTGCCGTTGACGTTCTCTCTGCTGCCTTGCTTCCTTCACAACTTTACTACCCTTGCGACTGAAAACCGCCATATGACTCTGAGGATCTTTGACGGCTGGAATTGGTTCTAGTTGCTTTGTGAAAATAGTCCGTCCGTCCAGAAAGGGTGGGCGTAGATCGTGTACCAGAAGATGAACTCTGGTCGACTCGTCATCGTCAACAAAGTCGGATGCCATATCCCGTCTTTGCGCGACGCCTGATTGCAGCATTCGGTTCGTTTCCCAAGCGTCATTCTCTCGGTTCCTCTGGTCTCGTCGCGCGTCGAAACGACTAGTCATCTTTTCGTGTCGGGCGGTTTCCTGTTGCTGTCCTTCCCAGGTGTCATAGGAGGCGAATGGGTTATGGGCTTCATCTCCAAAACTGTGGCCACCAAATTCATCACCTCCGTACCAGTCTCGGTCTAACGCCTTCGAATCCTCCTCGGTCGGTCCTATATTTCGGGGGGGTGGTGTGGAAGCATAACGCGATTGTGCCCTGTGGGGAGTTGAGGCGCGCGAATCATTCTGAAATCTTTGTCGAGGTGTATCAAGTCGTCTCCTCTTTGGATTTGGGTTATACCCATCGTACTCTCGATCCTCCGCCATTGTGTTGACTTGTAAGTTATCCGTCGATGGTTGGACTTTTTATTGCGACAGGAAACTTAGGCTCAGATAAGGAAGCCGATAATGGTCACGTGGATACTGTGGTTTGAATGATGTAAGTAGGATAACTTGGAGTAATTAAAATACACGAAGTTATCTTACAAAGAATTCAAAAATATTATATATTTCCCTGAGCAGTCTTTTAGCATAACGTGAAATGTATTATAGGATAGGATATTTAGTTTCAATTATGAATGTCAGTACTTAGACAATCAAGGCATGGTAACATGTGATGTTCGTCTTGATGAAACCCCTTTCTGTCCACGCTCTGATCGTATATACGAGTAGATGATATTCCGGCATTCCTATCTGGAAACACAGGTTATAGAAGAACAAACTGATTCAAGTATTGGACGTTTATCATGATTTTGTTACATAGGTTTTGTATCATGTCTCGTTACTACCAATTCTCAACGAGTAACAACAAAGTCATTCTCGTCCTCGATAATTTGCCGGTCTTCTTGGGAAACTCTAACCACGCGAGCAGACCTTGGGCCATTGTCTACATCCTTGAAGAATTTGGATAGAATTTCTTCACTGGCTTGAGCCTCGCCCTCGACCTATGAAAGCTCTATATTAGCCAATGTCATCTTGCTGGGGGCTTATATGCACTTTTTCATCCTTCGTGTTTCGACACCATCCCGTCACTCCGTACTCTTGGGCCTTCTTTTGAGTAAAATACCTGCTATGCATTAGATGCGATGCCTCGGGGTTTGTTATCTTAGAGAACCATACCGGAAACCAACACCTGGATGACGTCAGTTCGAGTGAATACTACATAGTATGATAGAGATAAGACATACCTTGGACACGTCCTTCAACGGCAAAATAGACCTTTGAAAAGGTTAGATCTGGCTTTATAATCATTGTGGAAGATGGCTCACACGTTTCGACATATTGGCGAGTCACAGTTTAATAGGTGATAGATACTAAGGTTATTGTAGAATAAAAGTTAAGCTTGAAGCTTGGAAAGGGTTGGAGAAGAGCTAGGGCTTATTAGCAATCAGTAATAAATATGGAAACACGATGATTTCCATCGCCTGCGAGATATGATCTAACCTTTATGTCAACTGCTTGCCATCTAGCGGATAAGTTGGCTTCTATAGGTGGCTTACAAGGTGGAAGGAAGGTGCCCGGGCGCTGAGTTTAGGTTAATGTTGATAAGATAAGCTCTGGACCTCCACTGATGTCACTTATCAACTTCGTGCGTATCTCCACTGACTAAATCAACACCTTCATCCCTTGTTTGCGACGCGAAGATATCATATGTTACAGAGCCCGCGCGCAGACTCATCGAATTATTTATGGAAGCCCACTCCTCGGAGCCGACTACAGAGCCGGTCCGATTCCGCGCTGGCAAAAAACGAAAGGCCTATCGCCAACGCGTCCAGGAAGATGACGCCGCTGTCGCAGAAACAATACAATCGCCTCCTACTGCGTCTGCATCAGAACCCAGTGATGAGTTCGCCCGAAAGGCTTCATCAGATCGCGCCCAAGATGAAGGAGAATCTGTTGCTGCTGCGCTCAAGTTGCGCAACGCGCGAAGAGCTCGGCTTGGAGGTGTCGCATTTCGAAATACAAACCGCCCAGACGATGATATGAACAACGAGCGTGCTCTTATTCCACACGACGCAGATTATACTTCGAATAACGAACCCATTATGAAAGGAGTTGCAGATCGATTTACTCACCAGACGGGTAGACTGACAGATCTTAATGACAAGCATATGTACGTAGAGGACCACCGTCTTCGTCATTCCTTTCTCACCATGCAATAACTAATCATTCAAGGATGGATTACATAGAATCCCGACTATATAATCGTGCGGGCGGAAATAGCTCACAGAACACTTTACCAGCGACTACATCAGACCCGGCTCGGCAACCTTCTGCAACAACAACAAACCACGAGAGTGGACGGGCAGTAATGCAGGGCCAGTTGATGGAGATCAATCTCGATGACCACTCTGCTCGAAGTGAGAACGCTGTTCAGGCAGATAGTGCTACAGACGGCGGACCAAGAGCCAAGAAGCCTAGACTTAGAAGGGATGGCAAGCCATGGCGTCCGCGAAACCGTCGAGATAGTGACGCCCTCAAACGAGATCAGATCGTTGACGAGATCCTTCATGAAACAAGACGTATGTCCATGATGTCCATGTTCCTCAAATCAGCTACTAAATCATATTTCCTAGTCGACTTATACGAACCGACTCCAGAACAAAACAGCCGCACTGTAGTTGCCGATCAGGATGGCGCCGCTGATGCGCGGCTCGCCGAAGAGTTTCGGCAGCAATTCCTTGAGGATGTAGCAGAACGACAGCTTCGCAAAAAGAAGGCAACGAACCAAACAGCGCGCGCCGGTACCGAGGAAGTACTCAAAGGCCCCAAACTTGGTGGCAGCCGTAACGCTAGAGCTCAGATGAGAGATCTATTATTGAAGAAAGAGAAGGAAGGGAAGAAGTAGTATGGACCGTTGAACTATGTATGACCTTTTTTTTTTTTTATCTGTGGCGTTGGATGGTTCTGGTTTTGCAGCTCCTTTGTACCAGTTAAGGATTCGCACACATCGCATCACCTTATGATGAAAGATAATCAATTATAAACGACATCTTAATCTTGTAAGTGTAACCATAACAATTCCGTTGAACACTTGCATTCATATTCATATTGACTACTTAGTCTGTAACGATCGATAGTGGTGGGGGCATTTTGATCCAGTGATCTGACCATGTAGAAGAAAACAGTCCTAAAAAGAAAACCTCACTGATAAGCTCCCGACATCCAATTCTGTGTAGTCGCAAGAAGATAAACAATGAAATAAGAAAAACCACTTAGCAAAAACTCCTTTACCCAAGTCCCATATATAGCAATTTTCCCAAGTGTGCAGGGCAAGGTCCAACGTTGAAATGAATGAACATTCAGTCGCTTGGCACAATAGGTATCGATCCCGTGCCGTAATTCGCCTTCCGTCTTGCTCATGTGCAAGATCATTTGACTTCCGTCATATGCCAGAACGCCAAACCCAATGTAATGTTAACCGTCAGAGAACCCCATGCGTTAAATCTTGATCGATGTAATGGAATGTGAGTTCCGGAAAACCCTTTATCTAATGTCGAGCTGGAAAGGCTTGAACCGCCCGCCAATTGTAGCACAGCGGGGACACTTCCTTCTTGCTCCATGCTCTGTCATGAGAACCTCCACACAAGTTGGGCACAGGCCACAGATACATTCGGTACATGCATACGAATCCTTGAGTAGAGAGAATCCTTGACAAGCAGCGCAGTATATCTGAATATTCTGGGCCGAATATGTTGGTGACGAATCAGAAAGCCCCCGGGTTCCCATGTGAAAGTTGTCGCCGCTTTCGCCACTCTCCACGGATGGAAATGGCTCTACAGCATCCTGGCCATATGATGGAGGCGTGAGTGCCTGCTGGAGAGGCGAAGCTTGATAACTGGCCGGCTGGAATTGAGGCTGGTGGGAAAAGGGCGGTAACGATGATCTATGCATTGAAACAGGAGACTGAGGGACCTGAGAGCCTGTTAGTCAATTCAACAGTGCAAAGGTGAATATCATCAACATATGCACATACAGGAGTACGGTCTTCGTCAATATCACCAGCAGCAGAAGCGGCTTGATCAGCTGCATCGATAAGATCTTCCCACCGCTTCCCGAAGTCTGCCGATGGTTCTGCTGACAAAGCCTTCCGATCATTACCTGGTCTATATCGTTCTTCATTTTGAATTCGGCGTAGCCAGTCAGTTGCAGAACCTTTAGAGTTCTTCTTTTTGTGGTGAGGCTCTCTTCCTCGCTTTGTAACAGACTGCTTGCGAGGCCGATTAGGCCCCACAGAACGCTGAAGAGGTGGGAGCGTTGAGGATCTTCCAGGTGGTGAGTTTGCCAGAATGGAAGGGAGAAAGTCGCGCTGTCTATTAGATTTGGCAGATGAATAAGGGTCGCTAGTAATATCATGATTGGAAAGATTGAGAGGCGGCAGTTCGATGGATGTCCGTGGCCTACGTCGAACATCCATGTCTGAGTAATAATCCTACGTATCATTAGCCCTGGATGGCGATGATTTGAATTCTTTAAGGGCATTTCACTCACACCGTCCAAATCCATGTCGCGTTCACTCTTGACGCCATGAAGTTCGGCTAGGGCAGCAGCGGCACTGGCTGTGCCAAGCATTGGGCCAGAAACCGGCCCGCCATTACTGAAATCATCTAGAAGGCGCGGAGTGCCTGGATTACTCGGTTCGTCGCGATGATAGTTGTGTCGCTCGTGAAAGCCTTGAAGGTGGTCAATGGGCGGGGGCAGGCTGGAGTGAGAGTGGGACAAACCCTGAGCATTTGGAGCTGAGGTCTGATCTAAAGGGCGTCGCTCCGATGGTGGAGTGTTAATCATTAACAAGAAGCTCTCTTCTGTAGCTGGAAGCTTCGAGATGTAGTGCTCGGGGTGTGCGCGGCGGATATGCTCCTGCATGGAACGATATCTTTTTTCCTGCAATTGGACATTTAGAATCGAATGGGTACCGTTGCATGGTGTTACAGGAACGTGCTTCCTCAGTTGGGGAACAAGTGCGGTAAGTGGTAAGACATGACGATGTAAGGTGGGTGGGTGCAGCGATGGTAATTCAAGACCAGCTGCAGGGCAAGACAGGGCAGAACAGCTAACGAAGGCAATACCCAAGGACTTACACCAATGCATCTCTTGCGACAGCTGGAGCCATCCTGGTTGCGAAGAGGGCAGACTACCTCATTGTTGGAGTCTGTAATAGAGAAGGACGACGTCAAAGATGATCGAGGCGGCATCTTGACCCCACCATACGTGATGGCTTGCTGGCGGGGGGTACTATAGCGATAAGAGACTGAGAAGCGAGATAAGAGATGATAGCGATGAAGCTGAGCTTTCAACGAGACGATCAATTGGTGACAATGAAGCTATGCAAAAACCGTAACATTTCAAAGTGCAGCTCATGGACAATGGAATGAGCTGCCTTTGAGCATGGGCAAGCTTTGCTACAGGAACCGTTTCGAATTGGGCCAATTATGCGACAGTGGTTGCGTACACGATTGGGGCGTCGATTGAGGTGGTGATGGAGGTAGTTACTGGGAGAGCGATGAATCCAATCTCTGGTTGAGAATATCGATAACCGTATGTTGAAGAGTCTAAGTTGGATGAGAGGCGAACAGAAATATTCGATCAGAAGGTCGCTTCTTTGGAGAAAAGGTGGGTTGCAAAGAAGGATGTATGGAGGGAAGGAGGGTGAGTGGGAGGAAGAAAGTAGAGGCAGGTAGGTGCAGGTAAGTAAAGATGACAGGAGCTTGCGAGGTCGAAAAAAAGAAGAGACGGAAGAAGGTGGGAGGCAAAGATGCCTTTTGGGTAAAGCGTGTGAGTGAGTAATAAGAGCAACAACGCAATAGCGAAGAAAGTAACGGCCAGAGAGAGGCAAGAGGAGGGTGTGAGTCGTTGAGTGTGTGGTGTGCGGTGCTGCCGAGGGAAGCTGAGCTCGAAGACCTGGATGAGAGCTTTCGCCGACCTTGGACCTAGATATGTAGGTAGGTATTCAATATACTTTGCTCACATATCACCAACACCAGCATCCAGATATTTGCGACAACTGCACAAATATCTAATATTACAAAGAAGCTCACAAAAAGGTAAGCGCAAGGAAAATATCAGAGGGCATGAAAAAATTACCAATAACTACCTAAAGGCAAAAAACTCTGGCGGGAGAGGGCGTGTGGGCAACAGAATCAAGGCCAGTAGCGAAAGATTCCGCACAAACAAGACTCTGTCTGGTTTAATGTCCATTCATTGCTCACTTGACAAGGGACCACAGACTGAGCTCTGGGCTCCTCCTCCGACTGCCATGCCATTGCTTGCAAAGCCATGCCTTGCGCTTCGCCTCCACTGTTGGAGATCTCAGCTGCCTCGAACGACTTGATCTCCGGGGCCAATAGTATTGACGCACAGCTTTGGGGGTGCGGCTACAAGAAGCTGTCCAACAGTCTTCTAGGCCCATCAGAGAAGCAGCAAAAAACCTTCTCCAGCTTCCATTCCATCTTTCCATGAGCTCTGTATGGCCACAGTACGATATGGTTAAGGTCCTGTGGCTCCTTGAGCAAGCTGGCGAAGCTTCGATCTTGCAGACTTTCAAACCCTGTAGCGACACAGTCATTCCCAAAAAAAGATTCTCCAAGCGTCTGCAACATCCAGTAGCGAAGCACAGCTTCCAAGCACAGAAGCATCAGCAGCTCAACCAGAGAATGGCCCAAGCGCTGCGCGAACAAATCAACTGGCTACCATTGCAATGACTCGAGAGGGGCTACAGGGGTGAAGGCAGTAGAAGAGTGGGGTGGCCGGCGTGGAGCTCTTCTCTGGACGGATGGAGGTCAAGAACCAGGCCCTTGACCCAAAGAATGCCGCCTGTAAAAGTTGCAGAAGCTCCCTAGAACGTGCAGGGGAAGCTCCAATAGTGGAACTGGTCCCTTGCTCAGGTTTGTTGAAGATCTTTTCTTTTTACTGATATGGTAGTGCTGATAAAGTTGTTAGATTATAGCATGAATACATACAGAGGTTCTCATTTCTCTGCAACATGTCCTTCTCATCATTACCAATCATATTCTCTTTCTCGAGCTTCTGTTTGTTTTTATCAGCTTCAGCAATTATCCGGCTGCGACAGATCCTAATCAATGTCGCAAGAAAAAGGCCGGCGTCTGAAGGGTTGGCCATGTCAAACATGACCAGGGTCGGCGGGGCCGAAGCCTATGGCCAACTGCCACTCACAGGTACCGTTCCTAAGCCAACTCCGGACGTGGTTATCACATGTACATGATAGGTACCTCTGCATGACTCTCGCCACGGCTATGGCCACGGGACCTCGACTACACAGAACGGTCGTCACTACCAGCTGGAGCTCAAGCCTTCACTTACGCCGGCTACTAATCCAGAGCTGGAACCGCGAATGTTGATGTGGCGTTTGAGATTCGGCGATACGCAGGTGTGGACGTCAACAGAGTCAGCATTGGAGTCGTCGATTGGAGTCGTCGACGCCAACCAAAATTTCAAACCTCGCTTTGGCTTCAGGGGTATCCCATCTACGCCTCAAGGAGCATATTGTCTTTTCAAGAACAGTTGGTAACTGACAAAATTGGGTTGAGAGAATGCGGGCTGCAAAGGACCCAGTGATATACGGACAATTGAGAGCTGACCTTTGACTCAGCTTCAGAGACGATGGAGAATTAAACGCCTGCAAGCCCTGTCACCACACTCCCGGGTCTTTTGAGACGGTGACATCACCAGCCAGGGGATACCGCCTGTCGCCCTACAGCACGGAACCGGCGGGCGTGCGCAGCCAGTCCGTTAAAGGGTCTTCCACCTCGACCGAATTGTTCGACTCAGAGTAACGCACGCTATGTCATTCACATCTACTTGGAAGGCGGTGAATTTTGATGTCTGAAACGCCCAAGCTTTGTCACGTTGCGGCGAAAACGGAAGAAGGGGCAGGTTGTAGCTCTCATCTGCAGGACCAGCTGAAGGTGCATGAACAGACTCGAAATACGCCTACTCCGTAGACAAAGCAAGACAGCGTCGCGAGGGCTCGATACGATAGCCCATACAACCAACCAGCGTTGCAGGAATCGAGGTCGATAAGTCCGGTTTTATTTTCCAGACCCTGTGAAGGCGGTGACCCCGCGCCATAACAGGGTCACTGCGAATCTTACCCCAGCAGCAATCGTTAACAGAACCTTCAAATGTTCAGTTGCACTGATCGAATACAGAAAAGGGCCTAGCTCAGGCCTTTTGTTAACCTAATAACAGTAGTTGCTTGGATGGCGGAATTGAATTGATATCTTACACCACAGTTTCCAAGTCGACAGCTCCGTGGGTTTGGGACAGGTCGAGAGTTTGTAGCTCTAGCTCTGTCAAGGGGTGAGCATATCCATGTGGGGGCCGACTTCTTAAGCAGACCATCATATCGCTGCTTCTTTTAGGTAGCTGCTCGACCTGCGAGAGCGATTGAGCTTTCAATTATATGCATGCTATAAGTGGTAACACAAAGATCCAAGGCACACCGGGTACTTTGACCATGGCACTGGAATCTTCTTTGCAGTACACGGTCTAACTTTTTACTCAGGTCAGCCCCAAAACACGAGCTGTGACGGCCAAGAGCTGTAAACAATGCATTCCTTGTTAGGTTGCAACCCTTGAGTGTAAGCTTGGATCAAGTCAGGCTGGTCCCATGACTGTCAAAAAGAGCAACAACCTTGGAACAGGTATATATATCCATGTCAACAGAGTCAACAAAAGACTCGAGGGAGCTTGCGGTTATCGGCTAAAAACTTCACCTGATGGGTGTACTGGACAAATATAATTACCACGGTAGCCACAGCCTGTTCCTGGCTCTACCAGTATGCGAACTGGTTTGGCTGATGTTTACGGTTTACCGACCCTTTTGTATGTCTAATCCAATACACTCAGGTCTACACACTTCAAAGCTTGCCAGCATCTGGTCTCAACAACAAAGGACACCTTCGCCTTGCTTACCGTTCTTGTTCGCTTAACTTTATCCCGATAATCGAGGCTTCGCCAGTAGCATCGCCTTGATATATCTAGTTGATTTGGAATAGAAACACGTTCTCGGACACGGTTTTTACTCTACTTGAGCGATCGCACTTTAATAGCTGAGAATATTCAAGTCGCATTTGCAATGGCTAGGAGCGGTTTCATCATACCATACAACTCGCTTGTTGTCATAGGATGGTACTAGTGACATGACGCATGTCATGTAACTCTACTGGCATGAGAACAAGGACAGCTGAGTGAGGAAAACTAACAACGTAATAGACAATATAAGGCGTATCTGAAAATTCGGTAACCATAACTGTTTCTGAGCCAGTCTTGAACTCAAGGTGATAGTTTTTAACATTCTCCCAGTCTTCCCGATGGCGAAGCCAGATGACGATCAATGACTTGGGCAGTATTATGGAAGTAAGGTGTGGGTGCTCATAGTTAAACTCTGGTATTTGCAAACATTTAGAGCTCAATTGTCTCTGACGACTCGTGATGACTCGCCAGCTCATTTGCTATGTCATTCTGGTTGAAACATCTGAAATGTCGTATGGAATACTTGGAAGAACTACTCCGTACATAAAGCTATTGTGGATTCACCTCTGCTAATTATATCTAAGCAACAAAAAGAACAACTTCTTTGCTAGGGCAAGCCTTCAGCGTCAACGAGCGTCACTTAGCGCTCGTCATACCCAAGTCGAAGCATTTGGGTTTGTTCTTGGTTGAGCTGGGTTTAAGCTACTGAGAAGCCGAGGCTGCGCCAACCTTGTGCTTTGAGACATCGTGTCGAATGAAATCGCAATGGTCATAAAAAAACATGCTAAGCAATATTATTCAAGTTTGATGTCAAGGTAAGTTTCGGTCTCTAAGCCAGGATCCGGAGACTCGACCTAGGGTATCTTTGGTTCATGCTATCACATCTTAACACCTCCCCAACCGCCCAGTCTGGGCTGTATCTGTCGTAAATTCCACTCCAACATATATGCATGGCCTTTCCCTTCCCTTAGGATGCAAAAATCAAATCCACATGACAACTAGAGATCCCAATGTTTAGTTTAGCTTCGGTGCTGGCTTCCGACGTATAGTCTTTCAGCCTTCGCGTTTTTATGTCGCCTACTTGAGCTGCTTAAGGATTTCCGTTAAGAAATCCTCAAAGCTCAAGGTGATGTAGCCGTCGCGATCGTCGTCATACTTCTTGAACACGTCTGTCATGCGTTTCAGAGAGATACAGCTTTGAACAAAGAGATCGAAACTCATGACACCCTCATTCCTCTTATCATAGGTGTTGAAGAGTAACTCAACAAACTGGGGGCTTAGTCGGTATCGGAAAGCGACAAGTGCGTTGTTGAATTCGGATAGAGAGATGTTGCCGCTGCGGTCGGCGTCGAATCGGTCGAATAGAGTCCTCCATGAAGCCAGGAAGGACCACAGCCCGCAAAACTCCTCGAAACCAATGGTGCCACTTCGATCGGAGTCAAACATTCGAATCATCATGCGGACGGTATGAGGGTCAAAGGCGGTCCAGTCTCCGTTGACAAGGGCGGCAGAAAGTTCCCTCTCGGAAAGGTGGCCGGTACCTAACCGGGGAGTAGTCAGCAACTGCTATGAACGTGGTCGATGTGCCGTGCACGTTTATGATTTATTCTTGAATCGGAAGAACCTACCATCTTTGTCTACAGCGCGGAAAAGGGGCAAAAGTGAAGGGTCTGAACCACTGCCATCGATACCAGGCGAGGGAGGAGGTCGTGAGTTGGGAGCAGGGCGGTTATGAGCCTGTGGTCTGGCACCACCAGGGTTTGGAGGCGGCGACATATGGCCGTAAGCACCTTGACCTAGGGAATGGGATCGCGCATCTCGTTGGGTAGGTAGAGGCTTGTCGTATCGAGGCTGTTGGTGGTGATACTGCTGTTGAGGGGCATATTGCTGCTGCTGGTGCTGCTGCTGAGGAGGAGGGTGTTGCTGCGGGGCAGGTGTCCTAGACTGTCCTGGTTTCTGAAAGGCGCAGTGTCAGTTTAAGCTGCTCGACGTTGTGATAACGTTAACGGTGCGTGTATTTCAAACATACAGGCTCTGGCTCAGCGAACCTGTGTAAGTTACATGGTCAGCTTTGTGTTGCATCGTGACGTGTGTCAACCCATAGCTTCAAGCCGCAATCGCAGAGCCGCAATGGACAAATGCGCGGGGAGACGAGGGGCAGTTTGACTGAAGCATGGGACATACCTAGGGAGAGCATCCTCGTCGTAGGGGCGGTTATAGGCCATGATGAATGCGGGATTTGGGTATTCTTTTCCCGGTTCCAACTCAGAAGAAAAGGGAGGCTTATGAAGAAGTAAGGATAGAGAAAGGGGATGTTGCGTGTGAAGGGGGTTTCGAAGGTTGGGCTGAGTTGGTTTGGTGCGCGGCTGAAGAAGTAACTGGAAGGCCACACAGTTAATTAGTAGTTGTCCTACCTGGCCTACGTACCTTATGTGACTGCACTACCTACAGTGATTGACCCCAGGCCAGGGGAATCTCCAGCGCGGGGCAGTGTCGTTCGGTTGGTGGAGCGCAGGGTGAGAACAGAGCACAAGAGCGTGGCTGAGTTGGTCTTGATAGTGGGAATGTTTGGGTAAGACAAGATTCGGAGTTTTTGTCCTCACTTCTTATGACTCAATCAAGTACAATTGACTGATATGTCAATGGAATGATTGTTCACTTGTACAGCAAGCACTGGTTTTAGAGTTCAGCCTAGCTGAAGAAGAGGTCATTGACAATGATGAAAAGACTCAGTATACACTCGATACATATCATCCCTCGTTATCGGGTATAAAATGCCGTGACCTTATCTGATATGGGACAGGGAAGATAGCTATGAGACTAGTGCTGGGATTAAAAAGCCTGACTTGCTCCTTGTCCTGCCGCGCCAAGGCGTCGGGACCCTTTATTTCTAGGGAATTTTTCAGTCCGCGTATACTAGGTACGTACGGATAGTCAATTCACTACTATACATGAATCGCAAATAGTCCTGGAGGCTTTAACAGAGACAGGAGGTATGCTCACTGGAGAGCTAAAATTAGATATCAGTATCGAAGATCATAGGGCCTCACTTTCATTTTCGGGGTCTGATAGACAGTCCAGATGAAGAAAGGACCCTTGGGTAAGGTTCTCGGACACGGCAACAGCGGTCCCGTCCGTTATGTGGGTCACCAGATCCAATGACGTCGATGCGAAAAAGAGAGTAATCAGCCACTTTGAACCCGAGAAAAGCCTCAGCCACTAGAAATGAGCATCTCAGTGGAGGCGCGGAGTTGATGGGTGTCGTCTTGGAGGGGAGGAGAAGGAGAAATTTGTTCCATTATTGTTCTATGGTTTTCTCTGACCCCTGCTTACAAGCCTCCTCTCATTCTTAGTGGTCATCACCTCATCAGTGAGACAAGACACGATATACCTCCACTAGGTGTACTATACCTAGGTCGACGTTGGATCTTGATCCTCCAGACACTCAGCAAGAGTCATTCCTTTGTGAGAGTCACTTCGTCAATATCAATTAGCAGCCGGATCATCTCGTATACTCTCAAGCCCAGTCATCCGATTTAGACAGTTGCCGAGTAAGTGGGCGTCTACACAGATAAAACGGCATTATTAATGTTCCCAACTTATAGTCCTTTTCACAATGCCCGATCAAGACTCGTCACAACCCTCCGAATTCTGGTTATATGGATACGGGTATGCCGAGACCTTCCTGGCAGCAGATTCTTATTCCGTGATTAATGCCATCTACAGAAGCTTGATATGGAAGCCTCCGCCACACTTCGGTAAATCACCAGTGCCCGTCTTACACGATCAACGGCCTTTCCGCTGACACTTGATCTTACTTGTTAGACCGCAGAATTCCTGGATGGGTAGATGGCTATGTTCGTCGTTTCTGGCAGGTAAAACAACTTTTTGCCCATATCGTAAATACTTCGCTAACATGCCTTCCAGGCTAGGTATGCCTTCAAACAACCGAAGTGAAACTCTAACTAAAATCGATCACAGTGAGGACCATAGAGGCACTCCTGAGGCCCCCGGGCGTGTCGTCACTCTAATCGAGAGATCTTACTGGGAACAGCTAACTGATAGTCACGACTCTGCTCCAGAGCGAGTTTGGGGGGTTGCATACCGTATCATTCCTGAGAAAGTAGCCGAAGTCAAGGAGTATCTCGATATTCGCGAGATCAACGGCTACACCATTCACTACGCTCCATTCCATCCTGCCGATGGCTCCCCCCCTATTCGCACTCTGGTCTACATCGGCACTCCAGATAATGAGCAATTTGTCGGCCCCCAGGAGCCCCAGGAGCTCGCCGAGCACATCTTCCGCAGTCAAGGGCCCAGTGGCCTGAACAAAGACTACCTGTTGAGTCTCGATACCGCCCTCAGCGAGCTTGCTCCCGATAGTGGCGATCATCACATCCATGATCTGGCCCGCCGTGTCAGGGAACTTGAGAAGAATTGTGAGGATGAAACTAAACTCCTCAACCCAACGACTTCAGTCCATCAACAAAAGCACAGTACTGAAGAAGCCGAGGAGATCGAAGAGCCACATCACTAAGAAACGGACAATGCATCAAATACACAGACATCTCAGCAAGCGCATATAAATAGACGATAGATCCTCATGATGAGTAGCATACTTATAATGAGCAGTTAGATGCCAATCCTCATGCTTCGTGCCATCGCTCCACAACTTTCACCAAGTTCAGTCTCGGTTAGCCAGCGGTATTCACGTATCAAAGCACACGTAATCAAAAGGAACAGGTCGCATGCAGCGCCATTTCGCATTTTTGTTCTTGCCCTATCGAGGCAATCCCTCATCATTTTTTCGCACAAGGTTCATTCGTAAAACGGCCGTGTCAAGATGGCAAACCATACCAGCCCAAATGCCATGCCATGCCCCCTAAAAATCACGCCTCAACCGAAGTGCCTGGGTATAATTCTGCGTTTCAATATGCTCACCAATGCCTGACCTTATCATCCAGTCGTACAAAGAATCCGCAAGCCCAGGAGTCCGAAGTCATCGAAGTCAACCGCCATTGAAATTCCAATCCTCAAGGCCCCATCGATAACGTTTCGAGCGCAATGTGACGCACTCCACTCCGGCCTCAAGTTACGTCAACTAATATCCCCTTCCACCCTGAGGGTGTTGTTGCTGGGGAGGCATTTGAGAAGGATCAGGGTACCCAAACTGCTGCTGAGGCATGAATCCTATATGTAATTTAGCATTGTTATGAATTGCCTCCGTGCCTCATTCTCAGCGTACCTTGGGGGGGAGCGCCGTAGGCTTGCTGGGGAGGAGGGTATCCCCGGCCATAAGGCATAGGCGCATACATGTTCGGAGCAGGGACTTGGTAGCCGTGTCCAGGCGGAGCCATTCCGTACGGAGCTGGTCCCCCAAAGCCTCGCCCGTACCCACCTCCTCTGCCGAAGCCGCCTCGGGGGCCATTGTCGGATGCCTTGTCAACTCGAATGGTTCGTCCGTCAAACCTGGATATGATTAGATTCTGTATTAGAATGAGATAGCAGATCCGCCATGAAACAAGGAACAAAAGTGACTCGTACTCGACATTGTTCATGGTTGCGATGGCCTTCTGAGCATCGCCCTCCTGGGTGTATCGCACAAATCCAAAGCCACGGCTGCGGCCGGTATCACGGTCCTTAACCACCACCTTTCCATATCCATCGTTAGAAGTGATCTTATGGTCCAACAAACACCCGCATCAGAGCCACAGATATGCAGAACTAAGAGCGCTTTGCTTGAAGGAAAGAAAGGAACAGAGTTACCTACAGCTTCTTCGACAGGGCCGAACTCCTCAAACTTCTGACGCAGAGTAGCTTCCTCTGTGTGCCATGCTAGGCCACTTGAATGGAATTAGCAGATGAGACAGCCGCAAGAGAGGCTTGAGACGAACCCAATGAAAAGCTTAGACATATTGGATCGTGGGTTCTAGCTCAGACGTCAGCTTCTGTTCACGATAGATCACTAAAACAAAGATTGTCATAATGGTTGTAGATGCGCCGCAGAGGAACAGGCTTGCACAGGATCGTATCCACAGAGGGTAAACAGAGTCCTCGATAACCTCCCCGGCATCAGGGTCACTATTCTCTGTGATCAAGATGCCGCGCGTCGTTGCGTAGAAAGGCGCGCGCTTATAGGCAACGCTTATGCAGAGAGAGGAGGGCAAGAGGGGCACCATGAGATAAAGAGCGCACCTTTATTGCAACAAATGCCTTCGGTATCGGTGACTGCGTCTTCTACAGACCTGATCTTGTTCTTCAAGAAACTGAGCGCTTGCGCTAATTATCAAAGACAACCAGTTGACAAGTGGTTGAGCTGAGGTGCAGGGAGAGAGATGAGGGTGGAGCTTCAAAACGGGAAGAGGTTGCGGATGTAATGAAGTTAAAACAGCAGAGAAAGCCGGGTAACAAACAGGTAAGGTAGCTTTAGCTTAGCTTATATTCACTAGACGGCGTGGTCCAAGGCCCAAGGATGGATGAGAGGGGTCCTGAGCATGTAATGTAATAAAATGCGGGCGGAGCGTGACTGTTGATGTTATGTATGTATCTATATGTATGCACCCTGCAGCTGCAGCACAATGCAGTGAGCTGGAGGCACGGCAGGCACGTTGTTTCTGTAGTCTATCGGCAGCGGCGTTGAATGACGATGCTTGCCAGGGGTGTTTTAGAATATCTCGTCTGGCCAATGTCTGGCGAGGGGCCTTGGATCGGTTGATGCCATGTTTCGCTACTCAAGACTCTCTTTTCGACAAGATGAGCCAGAAGTCTATCGCCATCACACGAGTTGATGGCGCTTGCTTCATTTCCACCATCATTCATAATTCAAAGCCAAGCTCCCTCTTCGCGTCGATCCCAGGTCCCCGGTGGGCGCATCCGTGGAGGCAGTGCTGATGAACTGCACCTTACCGTACCGTCACCGCGACAGACGAACCAGGGTGTCTGGTCAGGACGTTTCGGACTCGGGTCTGGCAGGGGGAGCTTTCTCCAAACAAGCTTTGGGCGGCAGAAGCAAACACAGGGGGAGCCCAAGGTGCACTACCTAACCCACCACCCTCACCGTGGCCATGGGGGTTTTTGGCGGCATCCATCAGCTTCATTCAAGCTCGTGCGGGCCTGTGATGACGACGGTCCTCCACATCCTGTCCAAACTTCTCCCCACAACCATCAAAGCCAAGCACCGCGCCTAGGCTTAAACCGCACTCTGCCCCTAGGTCAAGCATAACTGTCTGACGATCTTCCCCCTTCTCATCATACTGCCACTCTTCAATTCGCCGCTTGCATAGCCCCCTTCAATCCACTTGAGCCAATATCCTAGTCCTCCTCCGTTAACTTTAGGTTGGTTCCTGTTATTTTATATATCAGACTGCTTGTTGCAGAACATTTGGCATCCAACGTTGTGGTCTATAACGGGACATTTCCCGCTTCGACAGTATATGCACAATACCTACGCTTTTTTAAGGTAGCGTTCCATGCTCTTGGCGATGGTGCTGCTCCTTTCAGGGTGTTATACTCAAGCCCCGCCTCACCAAACACCTGTTCCAGACACGTGCTGCCCCTCTTTCTCACTGAGGTGGAGGGTTGATTCAGGGGCCAAGCGAGCATGCCAGCATGGTAGGCTTGCAAGACGTTGTGACATTGAAGAATTCATGCGCAGTTTATTTATTTCCTGGTTTGATTATAGAATAAATGAAGATCTGATGTCTGTGTATGTATTAGCCGGCCTTGCCAACTTTTGAATCATTTATCTTCTTTTTTCTTCCTCCTTTATGGCTTGATGACTTACACAAAATGAAGTTCCGGGTTCTTGAATTCCTCCGAAGAGTACTCCGTATGCAGCATGGATTTGAATCTGTGTAAGACAGACACTAATCCCAGACCGTGAAACGTGCAGCGTATCGAGATTCCGTGTCTTCGTAACGACGAGTATGAAACAAGCCAGTAAAGGTATGCCGGAGTTTCTCCTGCTCGCATCACCACTCGCTTGAATGTTTCAACAAGGAGATACGGGAAATAGGTAACCCTGTTAAGCCAGCCATGACAGCGGCTGCCTTGACAGATATGCAGTAGCGTAGTGAAACGCTAGATTAAGCATCAATGCGATGCTACCTTGGCAGCGGCTTAGTCGATTGAGGCACCAATGCCAAGAAGTACACTTCGTAAACAAGATCAGGGACCATCACTTAGATCTGACAGGTAATTCGCATAATAGCTCTTGATTAGGAATCAGAAGCCGCATGATGGATGTTCCTATAGCAGAGATTGGTGGAAGCGAGCTTATAAAAGACGCTCAAAGAGGTGGCATCCAAGGGAATAGATTGGCTTCAGCGAACTCGAAGAACTACCAGTAACGAGAGTAGATCAACGTTTTCTTAGAACGTGAGAAGAAAAGTCATGTAGATACTTACTTAGGGATAGTACTTAGATAAAGAAGAGGAACGAGAGATGAAACGCCCTTTCTTTTACCCATGACTTAAAAGTTTGGGGCAGGCACCAACCATAAGGTACCTACCTTTTTCAATATCCAGACTCGTTGCGCGGAAGGCGCTGAGCTCGTATCATGTTTATCTTTGGGCTACAAATTAACACCATGTCAATGATGTCCTCCCCTCAACGCTTGATCACCTGCAAATGCATTTCAGCGACTCACAAGAGACTTGCAGGTTGTGCTCTCCGAAGCTTGGCCTAGATGACACCTCGTCGCAATCGCCATCATTCGAATGGCCAACATGAGATCCGGCACAGGGTCTCGGCAACTCCAAAATTTTACTCCCTAGATGTCGAATCGAACAGACTTGACACAGTTCAGGCTTGGCTGAGCCAGGTTCATGATTATGCAAGTCACAAAGATTCAGAACCGCATTTCACGCAAGACATGGACGACGATTACACACCAAACTGGAAGCCTCACAATATCTCTGTTGTACCGATATCTCGAAATTATCACCAGTTTCGTCACTCTGGAAACCGAGCCTTGGATCAACGACTCACTTCCCCAAAATCTGGTTTACTCGAAAACGACACATACTCAGAATTGCAACAGGAGCCTTCTCTTGACATAGGGTCTAACAAAGAGAATGGAAAGAGATCTCGTTCACGTTTTACGCAGGATTCTCATGAAGACAGATCCAACAAAAGGTTGTTCGAGAGACAACCAAGAAGGAAAACACGCCCAGACCGGTATACTTCCAAAGACGCGGGGGTAAAGAGGGATCCCACGACCGAGAGCGAAGAAAAGAGGGATCCCACGACCGAGAGCGAAGAAAAGAGGCCAAGAAAAAAGTCACGCTCAAAAAAGCAAGAGATTAGAGCGAGTCGAGATATTATGAACAATTTTGCATCTGGTGCCATCCCAAACACCAGAGTGACGGTAAGCGGTGAAGCAAAATCGAGCGGATCTTCCCTATCGAGTAAACTAATACTCGTGTATTTTGTCAGATGAGGCCTAATCTTACTGCTGGACTCTTCCTGAACGGTCGATCCTCAACATACGGACGGGGTATGCTACTTCTCGGGCTCGATTTAGTCTTTTCTCATCATAACATAGGGGCTGACATTACATTCAACGATATGACGCTTATTGAAACATGCGGTGAAAAAGGAAAAGCAGACAAGATTCCTCAACATAGTACAAGTGAGAATTCTAGCGGCCAAGATGATGTTTCAAATAGCGGCCATATTTCGCGGAGCGCCACGGAACTCCCCAGAACCACAACAAATGATGAAGAGGGAGAAGTACAAAGCCTTGTGGATGATGGTTCCCAAGAGAATCAACAGAATAATATTCAAAAGGAGGGGTCTGAGGCTCATAGTGGCTCTGTATCATCGACAGAAACCACTCAAGCATCTGGCTATGAGACCCCTGAAGCGATGCTGAAGAGACTTATCGAGACAGGCATCTTCGATGGCACAGGTATTTTTAAAACAACTTCCCATAGGACTATGGAGCCAAATATTGAATATCACGATTGCCTCGGCATGAATGGTACAGAACAATCAAGCAAGAATCCGACATATCAGGATAAGGGGGTAATGGCCGACCGCAGCAGGCAGTCAACTCTCGGACCAAACATACAAGCTGTCACAAACAATACACAATTCGATCTTAATGTTGGCGCAAAAGATGCACCAGTGCCAACTAAAGCACCGCGCTCCCAATATGAACAGGAATTGCTAGTTCCGATTTGCAGCACCTCTACACAAGTTCGACCTCCAAATCTGCCAACGTCGGTAATTGAAAATAATACACACAATATTCCTGAGGAACCATGCGTTAAACAACCCCAAGGTACGAAGAGTACCTCTACTACTAATAGTCGGGGTCACCCGCTATCTCGAATCTCAGAAAGAGGCCACCGTTATACCGAGCAAAATGATCGGCCAGGGCTTATGTTTCCAAACCTCATAGCGGAGGATTTCAATGTTGAGCACTTATACCACCAAGACTCCACAGAAAACAACGAATCTCAGTCGAAGGGTTTGTTCGTTCGCCGAGGACTGCAGTCCCATGATAACATGATACCAATTTCAGGGTCTCCAGGCTTTCAACATGCATGCCGGCCACTTAATGGGCATATTAGCAGTGCAGGACTCGATTCGGCCGTCTTCCCAACAGTGCACTCAGAGACCTACTCGGACCACCGAGAGATACAGCATGATAACAGGCAACTTACACAGCCAGGCTACTGCGAGGACGGTGAGACAATTCACGAATTCATCAAACGGATCGAAGGCGAGGTAAGTATGAAATGGGACAACTCGCAGCAGTCTGTTGGTGTTGGCTGCATTAACGATATAGAGGAATGTGCCAAAAGCGAGTCGTTCGAAATGGACAACAACGAGGATTTATCGCAATGCAGCGATATAGAGCATGATGCAGCAATCCAGTCGAGCTTACACGGCATATTCTCGAGCTCTGATCAAGGGTCTGTATCGGCGAACCAAGCTATGGCAGAAGATTGGGAACACTCAGGTTATGAACAAAGTCGATACTGGACAGGAAAATATTACGATGAGCATGGAGTCTCAGATGCGAAAATGGTTGGTTTCTGGAGGCCTAATCACTTTTAGGATGATGTACTCCAGTCTTTAATCTTTGGTATAGCGGTAGGTAGCTAGGTTAGGATTCATTACTCGGGTTCTTGGTCCTTCCATTTGTTTCTTAAGGACTGAACATCAATACCACACTGTTCTGCTTTGACAATGACAGCACCAGCTTTGCCAACAACGGGAGCATCAATCATTTTACCATCTAGGGTCCAGGCGCCTCGACCGGACGCCGAAGCCTTCTCATCAGCGATGGAGACCCTGATAGCCCATTCAACTTCGTTCTGATCCGGAGCGAACATGCGCTGGACGACTTCGACCTGGCTTGGATGTATGCATTGCTTTCCGTTGAAGCCAATGGATTTCCCTCCGGCACACTCCTCCTCGAGAGTTTTCAGCCCCTGCTCTCCCTTATAGGAGGTGCAAACCAGATCAATTGCACTTGGCAATCCGGCTGCTCGGGCTGCGGTGACTATAGCAGATCTTGCGTAGAGAAACTCAGTCAGAGACGGGGTTCTTGTCAGCGAGAGATCAAGGGCGAAATCCTCAGCTGCGAAGATGAAGCCACTCAAGTAGGGAGATGCCCTTGATATCTGAGCCAAGTCCATAATGGAACGAGCTGACTCGATAAGAGCTATTATCTTTATTGGGTTATCTGCCTCAACTGTGTGCCGTTCTGGAGCGACATGTCGGAGAACATCAGTAACGAAGGTCAGGTCAGCCGCAGAATTGACTTTGGGAACCACGACAGCGTCAACATGAGACAATGGCGCGAGTGTGGTCAGGTCTGAGAGAGCAAAGGGGGTAGAAACAGCGTTGATGCGAACAGCCAGCTCAGAAATGCCAGAAGGCCGAGCTTTGAGGTTGGAGATGTGCTCACGCAGTTGATTGCGGGCTGTATCTTTGAGAGAGGGTGTAACGGAGTCTTCCAAGTCATAAGTTACGTTGTCTGATTTGAGACCGAGAGACTTGGTGAGCATCTTTTGCGATGAGCCTGGCACTGAGGGGGGGTCAGTCTCGGCATTCGATCAAGAGTGAGGAGTCCTGCTTTACCATAGAGCAAAGAGCGGCGGATAATGGATGGAGACCGGGCAGCCATTTCGTGGGATTTTACTGTTTATCAGATACGAGCACAGATATTTGTGAATTGCGCATATAAGCTGCGCTTGTAGATGATATATCCTGAAAGACCGAGGTACCTTAGGCTATCGCGACTTATACGCCCAGAGTCGGGGCCCACCCACGGCAGCTCAAGCTCATGACGTCCCACCGTATAAAACAAGATCTGCCATTGTCCACCGCCTGCCTAAACCGGCGACAGGGGTTTTTGCTGTCGCGGATCATGCTCCATCCCTTGCGCGGCTTGATAGAAGGCCAGCTTACACAGTGATTCTGAGAGTGACAGGTAGCTTCAAAGCTCAACGTTTTGTTACCTTGTCACCTACGACCCCTTCACCAACTGCGACACTCTTTCTCAACGAGTCGAATACGGACAGTCACTGAACGAAAAGTATAAATACTACGACCTACCTACTTTCCAATACGTCGACTTATTGGCTATCATGGATGCCACGCAACCACAGCCCGCGCCGGGCAGTCTTAGCTGGCGCCTCAGCGCGCATCCCATTACGCTGCTCACGTTTCTGGGATTCCGGATATGTGCGCCTCTCACGGTATTCTCTTGGAGCGCAATTGCTAATGTCCTGCAGCAAGTGTCCTGATCTACTTTCTCGGTCTGTGGATCATAAAAAGCATGTGCGTATCCTCCCTCGGACCTCTTCAGCCGCGCAGAGCACTAATTTTCTTGGTAGGATCATGATCTTCATCATTACGATTCTTCTCCTCGCCGCCGACTTCTACTACATCAAGAACATTGCCGGTCGTCGCCTTGTAGGTCTGCGCTGGTGGAACGAGGTCGATCCCCAAACGGGAGAGTCGCAGTGGGTATTTGAGAGCAGCGAGCCAGGTACCAAGACTGTCAACCCGACTGACAGCCGCTTTTTCTGGCTCGCTCTGTATATCCAACCTATGTTGTGGGTTCTCATGGCTATTCTTGCTCTTGTGCGACTGCAGTTCTTATGGCTGCCCCTCGTCGGTACGTTTGATAAAATACCCCTGGAGTCTGTGATTCAAAGACAAAGAGCACGCTTTGTACCTGTGCCGGATTCAATGCCACTAACACTTGGTACTAGTTATCGCTCTTGTCCTCACCATCATGAACACTCTAGCCTTCTCGCGATGTGACAAGTTCAGCAACGCTTCCAGCATCGCTGGTAGCGCTTTTGGGACTGGCAACCTGGCCGGAAGCCTCGCAAGCAACATGGTCAGCAACTGGTTTTCTCGCAGCTAAAAAAAAAAAGAACAAAAGAGTGGACTTCGAATGGATGAAGCCGAGCGAATTTTCACTCCGTCACTTCGCTTGACTGGACGAAAAAGGGGAACTTGGCCTGCGTTTTGTGTTAGGACTTTGCAAGGAAGGCATTGATGCCGGTATGAGTCGTTGACGTTGTAAAGTAAAATTACAGGGTTTCTTAATCACTGGGTGCGAGTTTGCGATAAAGATTTGCAGTTTCACAGCACCTGTGGGCTGGAAATGTATGAATAATAGCTTGATCAGTTACCGCTCTGGTGTCAATTATTCACGATATAACTAAAACGCTCTCGCTACAAGGACTGCGCCACGCCATCAACGTTTTCCCGCTAATTGTGTTTATGATAGCACCAAATTCCATGTTTTTATAATCGCTGCAACAAGCAAACGTCACGCAAGATATCGTGAAAAGTTTGGGGCCTTTGCCAATCTGGCAAAAGAAATCTGTGGCATCTCTCTGGGTAGGCCTGCATCTGATCAATAACGGACTAGCTATGCCGTCAACAAGCCAAGAATACACAGCACCGTTACGATGAACAAAACTAAGCAGGCTACGTAGGCGACCCAAGAAGTGACCGTAAGAACAAGATATGTCATAATCCAAAACTCCAAACCCCATAACACACCCGCACCAGGAGTCAATGCCTCCCGTGGGGCCCGGATTTCTCTGGTCTACAGATGGCTTTCGCCCATGCGAGGCGGCACTATCGTCTCGCGGCACGCTCAATTTCATCATCCAGTTGCCGCTCCTCTTCCTCTAATCTTCGAATCTCATCGACTGTCATACCATCTTCGACCAAGTGAGCCACGTTGGATGACATGCCCTGAGGTGTCTGAGCGCCGCTGTGTGCTGCACGATCATGGGAACCGATGGATGAACGAGGCACGCCGCCGGGTGGGGGAGTTGGAGCGACACCACGATCACGATCGAGGCTACCGAGAGCAACAGGTTGCATATGGTTTTCATCTGAGTAGGGCGAGTTGGGTGAATCGGTAGCACGGCCATGAGTTTCCTTGTCCACTGCGTATGTTTGCTGTGTGACATACTCATCACCAGCCTGCTTGCTGCGTCGATGCCTGCGAAGAAAGAACCATGCCAGTGCACTGATGATGAGAAGACCACCAATAACGGCACCAACGGCAATGCCAGCAGTTGCGCCGGTTGAGAGCCCGCCGCCGCCGTCACCACCACCGGAGTTCTCTTCAGCCCCTGAAGTCGACGAAGGCGAAAGGGTGGCTGTTGCTGATGAGGATGAGGAAGTGGTAGATTCTAAGGTCTCCTGTTGACTTTGATCCTTCTTGAGTTGGTTATTTAGTTCAGTGAGCTCGGTGGTGTTGTCGGTATTGGTGACAGTGAAGAGTTCTGTTTTGGTGTAGCCTGAAGCTCCATCCTTCTTCCAGTCAATCTGAATGTACATCTCTTTTCCGTAATACTTCGAGGTTTCGCCTTCAAAGTTGAGCGTCACAGAATTGTTGTCAACTGCGTTAGATAATGAATCAGTAACTTGAAGATATTACAAGGGCGTTTCGCATTCCGAGCAAAGCATACCATCTATGAGTTGTCTATCGGGCTTCGCATCGCTGAATTCGGCATCACCCAAAGGCTCAATGTTGTCGCCGCTGATGACCTGCCATTGGACCACATCGAGCGTGGTTTTGGAGTCGGTCTTGGAAAAGCCGATTATCTTTTTGTTCTGGTCACTATCCTTGAGCTGAAAGACATGACCGTCTGCGAAGTTTGTGGAATTAAAGACAATGACTTTGGTCTGTGAACTCGAACCTCCCACGCCTGTGTTGCTGTTGCCTGAGCCGTCAACAACACCCTCGGAGTCGCCTTTACTGGAAGGCGAGGCAAAATTGATATTGGTGGAAGATGGTGCATTTTGCATGTCCTTCACAATATCGCCCGTATCGTCCCGATCAATTTGGTTGGCTATTCGTTCCATTTTGGGGTGTTGACTTGTCTTGTCTAGCTAAATCAGCAGTTATGTGTTGGCGATTGGTGGGATGCCCGAATCAAATAGGTTCTCTTAGACCTCTCGTCCGCTTCTGGAGGCCAGCACGTTGGAGTTGAAAATAGTTTGAAGACCGGTCCTTTGTCGTGAATCGTTCGATTTCGTTTATACTCGTTTGTCGAATGTGGTCAGGCCAGGTCAGGTCAGATTCTATTCCAAACCGCCAAATGGTATCTTGGGACAATAAGTCCCTGAGGACAGAGAAACGAAGTAAAACGCAACACAAGCAAGAAAGCAAAAGCGAGGTGGTTTTATTAGAGGGTGAATTTCAATATCTTACTAGATGGTAAGACGGGAAAAGAGGTGACAGAAGCGGAGGGAACAAAGAAAACAGGTCCAACGGGAGTGAGAAACGGCCTGCTTGTCTTTCCTTCCTCTTCCCTGGTCATATTGCTGCGGCAAGCCAAAGCGTGGTTCAGCCCTGGCCTGACTGGCTTGTCTTGACTTGTTCTGGATGGTTGCAAATGCAGCCCTGGGCGTACTCAGCCTGGCCAGCTAGGACTTCGTATAGAGAGGGAGGGTACTTTGAGGGTACAGCACAGTGTTTGTCCAGAAGGGGCAAGCTTGACGATGGACGGCTCCACTGCATCCCCTCCCTAGGAACAAGGTTGTTTCTACTGGGCTGAACAGCTGTGTTGAGTGTGTGTTCCATTGTTTTGTGGTAACCGTAGGACTCCATTCGCTGACATGAGGTCTGAAACGTTTGCTAAATGCACACATGTCAGTTACCGCTCATCCCGTACATGATGTGTCTAGAGATACAGTCAAGTTCTCTAATGCAGCCAATCCATTTTGATCATCATCGCAATCCTTTTGCATACTGGACTGTCTGAGAGTTCACAGACCATCCATCAGCCCAACGTACGGATTCTCTCTCAGCTGAACTGTTAGAACAAAGGGAATGCTCCAATCCTTACCTCTTCTGGCTTGGGCTGGACTGGGGTACTGCCCAGACCCCTGAAACCTCTCGTCCCTACTGGAGACCCTTGATCCACGCCATCACAAAGACCCGAGGCTCTGATGGAGTGCTTCTGTAAGCACTAAGGTATCGAATTGGAGAGGCCGAACCGTTCAAAAGGGTTGAGATTCTCAGTGAGCAAGTGTCGGGGTGATGTCTGCTCCCTTTTGTGTTCCTTGAAATATGTGATTACCATTAACTCTCTGGCTACGCTCTGCTCTACCCTCAAGACATCCAATGTACATCGATTTTGTCGTAAAACAGTGGAGAGGTGGTGCAGCCCGCTAACTGCCTGCCGCTACTCCAAACGTTGACTCTGCCCTATAAAACGTTGGCATCAAAGCACCCACTCTTTGACGACGTTTCTCCAATTGGACAAGTCTACTGCGGCTGACAGGATGCCCAGGATCTGCTCAAGACAGACACTGCGAGGTACAAACTGTAGACTTGTCGACCCACTAGAAGTTTGGTTCGGCGCATCGTCTTACACTTATTGGTGCTGAGCCCCGTCAGCCCCAAGATTACCTCCATCCATCGTTTCTAAGGTGGACTTAGGACTGCTGTCAGACAATAACGGACGAGAGAAAGACTCTGTTTCTGAGGATTTGTCGAACAAGAAAGAATCCCCAAAAGACGTTATGCCTATAACTTGTCTTGTCTGTCAACTATTGCTTGTTGTCGTGGTAGAGCAACTCACTTATACGCGCCGACCAACTAACCTCAAGCGTAATATCGTACCACCGCAGGATTTAAAGGATGAGAGTACCTTGCCTCGACCTCTTCTGCCATTCTGGTACCAACCCAACGACGATCTCGCCTATCCTCACACTTTTGAGACATATAGGTATAAATGTATGTACTTATCCTGGCCACAGGGTCAAACTAACGGCCAACGTTCACCCCTCTCAAGGTCAAGGACTGAGAGAGTGTGAGTGCTTTTGGCCGACACGGGAAATACCTTCGTCTCACTGCAAGATTACCCAACTGAAATTCAGCATACCTACACTTCAGCCGCTCTCTAGCAATGCCTCCCACTCAATGTTTATTAGCACAAGCCTCGACCAACACCGCCACCCATCCTACCCTGGAGACGACAAGATGTCCTGTTTCTTTGACAATTTCCATCCCGCATAGCCAGGAGGCGTGTGCAATATGGCATTCCAGGGCTGCAAAACACGTGTATCGTGTGACCTGTTGTGTAGCAAATCTGTGTATAGTGGCTAAAATGGGCAGTACATTCACAAAAATCATCGCCCAACAGTGACATCCACCCTTTCATGCTTGTTCTGTTTATAGAACTGACCATCAAAAGCCAACCGCTCTTTTGGTGGCACACGGACCAATAATGCAACAATGCAAAGCACCAACATTCGAATTAATGCTCCTCCTCTTTGAGTCTCGTCTTTGTCATTGCTCATACTTACTTCGCAAAGTGTTCTAGATGGTACTAACTACTATGTCTTATGTGTATTTGATGCTCCAGCCGATTTTGATTACTCCTTCATGAATGCAATAACATCCAAAAACCATCAAGCCTTGTTTGCGCCGGAAAAGTCAAACTCAAAGTCAACGGTAGAGTCAGAGCAGAGTCCAGACCAAGAGACTGAGCCCCTCCAATCGCTCGCCTGATCCGAAACGCCAGCAACTCAAAAAGGCAACCCCAAATTACCAACTCAAGCGAATGTCATTGAAATCTCCTTCTCTTTGCCAAAATCATCATCATCTGAATCCCCCCACGGTTCATGCAATGTCATCGTCGGCAATGTCTGTGCCGTCTTCACCTGTGGCCTAGTTGCTGCCGTCTCAGTAGGTGCTACCGTTGCTGATCGCGGATGATCGTCAAACGAGGTATCGAATGTCATCTGAATGTCATCCTCGTCATGTCGGCCCGAGCCGTATGCGTCACCATGTCCTGACCCAAACCCTCCGCCGTACGGTGAGCTGTACCCAGGTGGTGATGCTTGTCTGGTGTAGCTTGGTGTGTAACTGTGAGACCTCTCTTGGGACACACGAGTATCGTGCGAGTCTCGTGCGCCGGTCAGATCCGTCCGAGACCCTGCCCTAGAGCCATTGGCCACCGCCGAAGGAGAAGCAGGAAGCGAGGACACATCCAGCTTCATTGGAGGCAGAGTCGATTTGATTTCCTTGACTTGCAGGTCCTCCGGACTGGCGTAGTGATCTCGGGCATCCTTGGCAATTTCTGCACGGATTGCATCAATGTCGAAAAGGACACCAGTGTTGTTGTCGGCTTGTTCCCCCTCCTTTGCCTTCTCTTTGCCTTCTCCCTTGTTCTTTGAGTCTTCGTAGATTTCCCAGTCCTGTTTCTCCGCGTTCTTTCGACGACCGAAGAAGCTGAATCGACCACTCTTCTTGGCCTTGCCCTCTTTCTCGAGGTTCTTGCGTGCCTCTTCGATCTCATTGATCAGCTCTCTCTGGCGTTCATTATGGTTGTCCGGGTCTGGATCTTCGATTTCAACGAACTCTTCACTCTCAACAGACCATCCACATCTTATCAACAATACCGGCATCTTTTGACGATAGTCCATGTGACCATTCACGAGATCCGTTACGTCCATGTTCTCAACAAAGGGACAATCCTCCACCGGAGCTAGACCTGCTACCCGGCGGATACCTCCACTCGTGAGTCGGAACAAGTAGCCTAGAATCCAGTCGTTGCGGTTGTACGCATTCAGGAATCGCCCAGAAACCACAGTCTTAGCCTTGATGTACTCCTCCTTCTTTACCACGATAGGTGAACCAAACATGTAGACATTTTGCACAATACCGACCGCCCCCTTCTTACTGAGCTCCTGGAGGCAAGAGAAAACGACTCGTGCTCCGATCGAGAACCCAACCAGTGTAATGGGTCGTGTTCCTAGGTTGCGTTCTAGCAGGGAATCTGCTAGAATCTTTCCAGCGGAGGTGGCTCTGTCCAGCGAGACAGCCCAAGGGTTGTCAATAAGATAGGCAAGCTTGGTAAGAATTATCGGCAGCTGCAGAGCTGACATGAGAGCAGCTAGTATGGTTGTACCCAGAATTTGCTGGATACTTTGTGTAAGAGCCTTTGTGATCGTTAGTCTGATAATCTCTATTGGAACAGGGTGTAAATTTTCTGACCTCAGTAGCTAAAATGTTGATGGTGTCACCCATACTCCGAAGCATCTCAGGCTCGAAGAGCACTGAGTAAAGGTCACCCATGACAGGGTCTACCGTACTGAATGGCAGTCGTACGTCATCGACCTTACCTGTCAGCCACCCCGAGATAGTGACAATGAGGTTGACTCGCTTGTTGTTGTGAAGGGGACGATATTCGAACGTCCTAACCGCGCCAGTTCTTCGGTCCGCAGCCCTGCCTCCGATGATACTGCCTGACGCCGCTGCGCCCGAGGTGATGATGGCTGCGCCTCCTACACCACCGAGGAAACTTCCCGTGCCAGTCACTCCGATGGCTGTTAATCCGGTAGCCAGGCCCGCACCGATGACAGGAGCAAGCAAACCTGCCGAAAGACCAATGACCAACCCACCACCTACGGTGGCCAATCCCATCATCACATATCGCCGGGTCAATGCGTTCTTCCTGCGAGTTTCCGTGTGCTCCTCCTCGTTCCAGTTCTCTTTCTCGGCAGCTTGCTGCATCTCCAGAGCCTCTGTGACCTTCTTCTCGAAACGGCAGATATCAACCCACGTAATATCAAGACTCTCACCAACTCGCTCCAAGAGAACCCTCGAGCGGGAATCGTAAATAGAATCTGCGATCAAGAGGAGGAAGAGGTCGCAAAGTACAGTCCACCGAAGATCAATATCGATCTTTGCGGTGGTGGGGAGCTGTGATGGTGTCTTCACGTCAGAGAGCTCCTCCCCGTCAAGCGCCTCATATGGCGGCGGCGCCTCTGCAGGCTTCTCGTCCAGTGATGGGGTGCTTGGCATCGATGACTCGCCATCTGCCATGGGATTTGATACTCGAGCATTAGTATTGAGCGCGGGTGCCAAGTCCTGCGGCATAACTCCATGTTCTGCCAACTGTTCAATCATAATCTGCTCAGCTTCATTGATCTCCATGTGAGCGTACAGTCGAAGCATCATTTTTTGACCCCACATCAGCATGGATTCAACTGATATACCAACCTCCTTCTTCGTCTTCTTGAACGATTTCATTTTTTCCGCCTCTTTCACAAGTCTGACGATTTCGAGACGGACCAATCCAACGTATGCAACTCTTTGGCCTTCGGTCAAGAGATCTTTGGTAGCCTGCATCTGACCAATAGCATCTCGTCCTTCATCATCGTCGACCATACTGGTTCCGGCTGCACTCTTGAAGAGATATTTCGTATTGTCGTCCATGCTTGTTGCCGACTCGGCATCATCGTCCAAGGTTACCCGAGTGTAGCCCTTGCCAGCACCACCAAGTCCTCCATATTCGTATGATTCATCCTGTTCCGGATCGTATTCCCTTGCAACTAGCTTGTCGTCGTCGTTGTACATATCGTATCGCGCATAAGAAGGCATTTCTTGCCAGTCATCATCGTCCACCCCCTTTTGAGGTTCTTCTGGCTTGGTAGAGATCTTTTGGTGGGAAAACTCAGAAACATCCTTTCGATTGGCCTGCGTAGGCGATACAGGGGTCGGCGTGACTTTGTCGGGCTGAGGGGGCTCTTCCTTACTGACAGCTACTTCATCACCTGTAGACTTTTTGACAGGATCTGCTGCCTCTGGTTGTGTTTCCACTGGGCCCTTGTTCGTCGGATCGTCTGGCTTGGGAGTCTCTTGCTTCTTGATAGCGACATCGACATCTGTAGGCTCTTTGGGAGCCTCTGGCGTTTCTGACCGTGTCTTTCTAAAATCTTTTGGCTCTGGATCGTTGATACTTTCGGGCTCGGCAGGCTCGATCTTTGCTGGAGTTTTGCTAAAAGTTGGTGGGGGGGTTTCGTGCGTGACAACAGGCGGGTTCGAAGCATCTTTGCTGGGATTTGACTGTTCAGATCGAGCATCTTCAAACGTTTCGCTCTTGTCGTCATCCTTAACAGGTTCGACGGCGGGGGGTGTTGTCTGATCGCTGGACTTATCGTTCTTCGTCTCGGACGCTCTCGGTTGCTCACCGCTCAAGGCATCTGCTACTGGACTTGCAGCAGGCTTCCCATCTTTGGGTATCTCGGTAGGCTCATCGTTCTTCGGAGTCGGAAAGCGCCTGATGGGCAGACCAAAATCGTCAACCTCGGCAGGTGTAGTCATGATGTCAAATAATGGCGAATTGTGGTTTGTCTGGGTCTCCCGTTCAACGGGTTCGACGGAAAGAATTGCTTCTGCGACAGAAAGAGAAAGCAAAGAGAAAGATGGTTCGGCTACGTGTAATGCGCCTTGAAAGAATGGATCGAAAGGGCCGAAGATCTGTAGATGACATTCGACCCAAGTAGAAGTGCTGCGAGTGGACGAATCCTTCTGGCTCCTGGATTAGGTTGAGGCCGTCAAAGGATAACTCTATGGTGAGATGATGTAAGTGGTTGTTCGACGTGAAATGTCACACCCGTATCAATGGTCTAGAAGCTGAGGTGAGTTGGTGAAAGGAGCGGGCTTATTGTTCCCCTCGTCCCTCTCAAACTAAAAGGAACAAACTCCTATAATTATTGATGGATAGAATCCAACTTGACATTGCTTTGGGTGGGGGTCGACCCATCCCATCTGAAAAGATGGCTGAGTCCGTCGGAAGCGGTTGGTGGCCCTCCACTAGCAGACAGCGGATGGCGGGACTCTCAGTGGTTCCTTTTAGTGGAAGGGCATTGTGCCTGAGGGTCCATAGTACAGGGCACCCTTGTAACTCAGGGATGTGTCTCGTCATTCAATATATGGTTGTTCTCAAATCAATTTCTCCTTCATACCTCACGCGACCCCTGATTTATCTACATAGGCATACCTTTCTTTGATTTGAGATTAGCTTCAGCAATTGATACAGTTTATTGTCATTGCAAGATAAAGAGTTGGTTACGGCTGAGTGAATCATGATCTGATTAAATTGTTAACATTGTTGACGCTCAAACACTATTCCTTTCATGCGCCCCTGGACTCCCTCAATCTATACTATCTTCTCGGGTATCGCTAACGGCGCACACTCCTTTTGATATCCCCTGCCTTCATTAGCACATATTCCAGATCAAGCACGTGGTGATCTTAGCATTACTGTCTCAACCCTGGAGACTGCCGCCCGCTTTGCTTGCTAGCTTTCTCATGTCTCTGCCATGGTCACTTCCGCGGCTGCAGTGTCCGTTTCGCCGTCGTCTGCCGTGCCTACAGTAGCCTTGTTCCTCCTCCGTCTCTTTCGCTTGCCGGCACCTTCTTGTGGCGCGTCCTTCGCATCAGTGGATTCTTGCTTTCGTGGTTGTTGTCCTTCTGACTTTGCCTTCTTGGGCTTCTGGACCGCCAAAGGATTAGGCCCCTTGGGTCCGTGTCCTTTCTTCTTCTTCTTCTTTTGTTCTTCAGAGTTGCCATCGGCCTTGTCGGCCTTCTCGTCGTCGTCTGCATCATCTCGCTTTCGCTTGCCCAATTGGTTCTTGATCTCTGCTCGAAATTTGCTTCTCTCCTCCTTTGCTCGCACCTGAACGCTCTCATCCGCCATTGGCTCGAGAATCATAACACTCCTCTTGATATAGATGAGGGGGACTCCTTTGATGCCTCGCAGCATCCTTCGTACCTCCTGGTCTTGGCTGGCCACAACGTAGCGATGCTTGTTTTGAAGTGTAGCCTTCGGGTCGACAACTGATCGAAGACACTCTTGAGTGCTCAATGGCTCGGGATAATCGTCGGGATGGTGACCGCATCGTCTTCGCTCCAGGGTCTTGGCTAGGTCAATGGCCTCATGTACACCTGGCTCGTTTCGCGCTGCGTAAAGTTTGCGAATTTCGCATTGAGTAATCACTATTCCGGTTAGAAGATCGACCACGACAAAGTTTGTCATGGAAACATACTGGGCTTGACCTTGCCATGAACTGTCCTCGACAGAGCGGGCTCGAGGTCCATCTTGAACCGGGAAGAATCTCTCACCATTTCGGCATCGACTGCATCTTGTAAGCTTTGTCTATCTGGCTCAAGTTTGCGACAACTTACCCAGAACCTGATAGGGCTCACGAAAGCCGAAAGTCTGGGAGAACTGCTCCATGAGCTTCCGATATTGTTTTGACCGCTTTCCTCTCATTTTGAATAATTTGTTGTCGAAGTATGTACCAAGCTAATTGTTTAGACGTGCTAGGACTGGATGCGACGAAAGTCAAGGCTGGCAGAAAATAAATTTCCTTATCGCGGCACGTGCGATAAGCTATAACCGACCCGCTGCCATGCGCCATGGCTGTAATGCCCCGCCATCCCACTTCCTTCACTTCCATTGTCATGGCCATCTTCAGGGCTGAAAACAAGTGAAGTGCTATTACTTTATCATGGGGGTTCCATATCTGAATTTTGTCTAGGCAGATTGTCTCTATGTAATGCATGATGACCCGTTATATGAGAGCCATATGTTCCCCTCTCCACCATTAAATCGTGTAATTAGGTATCTTATGCTTCGAAGGGTTGATCCGGCAAGTCTACTGTAAGCCGTTCAGATGTCTCAGTTGTCCAGCAAAGAGACTACTATCATCCCTCATTCTTCACGCAGAGGGCTGCGACAACACTGATATCGTCAAGTTTACCTGCTACTGTTAGCTTTGCTTTCTCTCTTGGAAACCTGTCGCTATTGCTTACCACCCTCGCTCGCCAAACCCTCCTCGATCGCATGCTCCATGAATGGACTCTCAGCGAAAGGATCTACGGCGATTTCCCGGGCTGCCTCCATCAGATCTTGAGCCGCAACTCTCATTCCACCGTTGCGGCCACCTGTGCGATCACCCTTGTGAGCTTCTGCATGTGTCCCAGATTCCCACTCTTTAATACTTTTGAGTATTCTTGCAACGATCTCATGCTCCCAAAGATTATCGATAACTCCGTCACTCATCGCGAGCACAATATCTCCGACTTCCAAATCGACCTTGTCCATAACTGCATTATCAGTGGGTGTGTCAGGGCTGTTAGTCCCAAGCTGTCGTGGGCAATCAAACCAGTGCCACTGCTCCACAGTCTTATAAATGACTTTTTCAGTACTGGGTCGGAGTACCATGACCTGGCAGTCGCCCACATTAGTCACATACAAGACAGGCGATGCCTGTGTTTTATTCTCAGTACAAGTCTTGTAATGTAATTGCGCGCCACAGGCTGTTGTTGTTCCTAAACAGTCATGCGACATAGTCGCCTCAAGAGTCTGTTCATATGCACTTTGTAGGCTGGCGATGGGGTTCGGTTCTTGCGACTTTGGTAATCTAACAAGCTCTTCCTCGATCGCAGAAGACCAGAAATGCCCAATCAATCTTGACCAGAGTCTACAGTCAAAGTCAGTAACGATGGTAAAAGAGATTCGGAAGTTGCCCGGCAACTTACCCGGCATGCCCTCTCGGTCTTGTGGCCCACGCTCCCACGCCGTCGTTGGCACAAATGAAATAATCACTCGCGTAGACAGCATCATCGCCGTTTGTTTTCCCTCTGATAAGCTGTCCGTTGACAAAAGCACGACGGTCACGGCTTTGGTGATGTGTACTTAAAGGATCGGTAAAGGATGTAGACGGAGGAGAGAGGAAAGGCGGAGGGAATGGGCGGGGAGGTCGTTTCGCAAAGAGTCCAATGCCTGTTTCGAATCGAAAAGGCAAGATAGGAACATCATGTAAAAGGCGAGTCGTCGTCGAAGCGAATCGTCTCTTGCGACACGGGCGCCATGTTGTGCATGTCAGGCGTCGAACCGGGAGCGATGGTAAGAAGGATGTCGGGACGGCCGCCAGAATCGAAGATGGTTGACTGGGCATTCCAGCTGCACAAGCCTGGAGCTGCCCCTTTTCAGTTGCCTGCCTGGCCGCAACCTGTAGTTAGATTGCTAATGTGCTCTCCGAGAGAGAGATGTGATCCCCAGGAGAGAGCAGAGCACCGTAATCACGCTCGGACAGTTGGGGAATTACAGACAGCTGCCCAGACACGTGATAAGCCCGATACCGCCAAAAAAGGGCGTCATCCAGAACAGGCAGTTTTTGTGTCAAAGCGACCAATGATTTACAAACACTATTCTTCTCCCGCAGGAACCCGAGCTCATTGTTGACCCCAACGGTAGGAGAGCTGACTAGGCTGAGCTAGCATTGGAGGCAGAACGAGAAGAATCACCCTATTCACCCCCTTAGGACGATTCAGTTTGTGCGGTTGGCCTGCTTCTTTTGTAAAAACTTGCCTTGAAATAGGGATGTGCTTCGGCGATCTTCCGTGAGAGAGTGGCCGAGGCCCAATTGTAGCAATGCATGGCGTTTGATAAGTCAGCCAATACCTCATCCGTAAATAGGCTATATCTAGAGAAACTCTGAGTAAATTTGATAACTGAAAGGCATATATACATATAGAGGGTCCATAGTAAGGGACCTCAGTCAATTATAAATTTGGTGAATTGTGTTAGTCTGAAAGACACGAATAGCAATGGTGGATACTTTGGAGAGAAAGATGAGGAAAGATGAGGGACCAATGCATAACATATCTTAGGTAAGGCTACCAGGTTACCAACGGGAAACTGACAGCACTTTAAGAAAATTCTTGGAGACAAGATTGACCAGATGACACTGCAACACTGAGGCTGTAGTCGCTGGAGCTGTCTAAGGTACCCACGTGTTGGTGCCATGGAGAGACAGGCATCTTCACACGTCATGAAACGAAACAAAGCTAACTTGACAAAATAAAAGTGTGTCCAATCTCATGGTTGCCGCACCTTGTTCCAACCGATCTGGAGATTCAACCCAATCATGAATGCCAAGAAGGGTTGGCAACCTGCAAGCTGCCAAAAGGGAGCCGGATCCTCCACTAGCTGGAGATATCGTCAACATTCGTTCAGGAAAGGCATTTATGATAAGATGAGGGCTGTAGGATGACGCATTTTATTGAGACACTGCTCATGATATGCTCTGATTTCTCCACGCAAAGATCAGCTGGACTGGAAATAGTGCCTCATCACGATCTGATCCAAACTTATCACCGCAAGATTGGACTCATGACGTAAGGGATGGGGATGAATCGATTCTCAATCAAAGCCCATTTCCCCATTAGGGGTCAGCTTGAACCTCTTGCGGACGCTATTATGCGGACTGCGAAAATAGCGTCCAGAACATGATTCTAACGACATGCGTGTAGCTGGCATGACGATCTGCGGCTCTTTAGATGAGTCGTCGGCTTTTCAAATGCCTGACGATCAAACAGGTGGACCTGGACGATCGTATGGGGGTCTTGTATCCGGATGTAAAAGGCTGTGCTAATCGCAGCAATCTCGTGCAGTTGGAACTTTGAAGTGAGACGTCTCATGTTAATCACAATCGTGATTGACACGGCTAGTACTTCAATCCCCATCTTGACACGCAATCCTTCTTGACCGTATAGAGACAAAGGCATTAGTTAGCCGCCTTTGCAAAATAACAAACCCCATTCTGGTTGTAACCTTCGAGCGTATTTCTGGCGGCTGAGTGAGCATGGATAGTGCAAGGCTAAGGGGAAGCCGGTGTAGCCGGTTGAGCTAGGAGCTTCATAAGATTTTGCCCTGAATTTAGCTACGTCTTCTCAAACAATAATACGTTGTGACTAATGGGACTTGGTGATAGTCACAAACACCAAGAGCTTGGCAGCATAGCCATCACGATTTGGAGTCCAAGCACAAGCTGCAAGGTCTTGTTCAAAGTACTTTTCCATTCGGAGTTTGACAGTCCAGGTAGTCTTCTCCAGGTTTTTGAAAACCCCAAACCATCCTGATCCTTGTCCGGCTGAATTAGGGCTCGGATGCCTCACTCAAGACTTACCTACTACAGCATGTGCAAAGCTCAGAGGTAATGGATATCTGTGTAGAAGATAATGGCATTATGCATGAATTCGCTACAGATATTGTATGTGCGCATTCGGCAATTGCAGTAAAGCAATTTGCATAATACGAACCCGAAGCCGATAGTCTACCCACTCTATCCGTATCTGAGATGGGTATCAACATTTGAGGCCTCAAAGTGCCAAGCTTTTTCTGACCCCAGAAAACTACTGAGCGAAGCCCGCTTATACATACTCCGAACAGATTCTGTTCAAATCCCAGCGGCTGGACGCTTACGTATCCATGAAGGAGAATGGTGGAGTCGAACCAACACAGTCTAGATACCATGTTGAGGCTTGGCGAAATACTATTGAAGCAATACGAGGCCTGGCTTGCTGACTTAGCTCGCTCGCTGGTATGGTGTAATTTCGCTGGTACGAGACGGTATTCCATCAGTGAAGGAAGCTGACGGGATGGGACGATGCCCGCAACATGACGAAACAAGAGAATCGCGATCAGAGTGGCTGGCTGCAGGGCTTCAGGCGCTGAGACGCATTCAATGGATCCCACGAGAAATCATTGATGGAGACAGCGGCAACAAGAAGCCTTGAATTGGAAGATGGCGTTAGTTAGTGACGAATCTGTTTTGCCGGGATATGCCTCTATCCACTCCGTCCGTATCCCGCCCGTCGTTTAACGCCGCTCTACGGGCTCCGAAGCGGGAGAATCCCAGCCACTGTCTACCGAATATTCTTTTATAGGCTCACATTGGCCTGTAGCTTTGGGTAGTGGATCGGCGGTAAATACTGCAGGTACCCAAGCAGCCAAGCTACTAACCCAAGTTACCTCTTTTGTAAGTCGTGAAGCGTTTGGACAAGATTTGTTGCAATCTTGCCTTGAGCTCTGCTGCGCCGCGAGTTCCAAGTCTTGCTGTTTGTGCAATTTGCATCAGATGCCAGGTTGCGTGCTCAGATACCAAATCAAAGTCGTCTCAGACAAAGGCATGATACTGGTGATAGCCGGCGCCAAGCGACCAAAGCCCAGATGCGCGTGGCCTCTTCTCACGTTGCACCACGCATGTCTCCGGATCTTGGCTGGGTCATAGACAACTGATCCGGCGTCAGAATGATTGGATGACATGTTTCTCCAACATGGCTCTCCAGACGTCCAACTGTCTATTCATCATCTTTCCAGTTAGTGAAAGGCATGTTGCGAAACAAAGGCCTGCCGCGCGAAGGCTCCGATTGATTCTCTGTCATTCTTTGAATTCTATTTTGGTCTCCAAGTTGAGTCGTCAA